ATCTGGGCGCATCAATGGCAAGCAGACCGAACTCAACTCCGCCTTGCAGGAGAAGGAGGTGTTGCAGGATGAGCTCAACACAACCAAGGCCGAGCTAGCGACACTCAAGGTTAAGCTCGCAGAGACCCCTGCACCTGTCGACAGCGCTCCGATCACGCAAGTACCCGACTCCGCCCCTGTGCCCATGGAAACCGAGCCTGTCAACCCCACGCCTGCTTCACAGTTCCCGACTGCTGCTACTCAAGTTGTCCCAGTTGGCGATGAACAGAAGATTAAGGAGCTGGAGGCCAAGATCCAGCGCCTGGAGGCAGCTCTTATTGAGAAGGATGGCCAACTGGCTATGAAGGATACTGAGCTGGAGGCAAAGCTGAAGGAACGTTCCGATAAGCTGAAGGAGATGTATAACGCCAAATTGGTCGAGATCCGGGCAGCTCAGCGTAAGGAAACTGAGAATGCGCCCGCTGGAGAACAATCTACCCCGACCACTCCGGCGACCCCCGGCGCAAATGCCAAGCAGCCACCTTCCACCCCAGCTAAGCTGCCTGAGCTTCTTGAGCTAACTGATGCGCAAGCGCGCGAGTTGCTTTCTAAGAACGAGACTCTGCGTGTGATTATGCGAAATAACATTCGTAACTACGTGGACAAGGCAAAGCAACAGGCCCAGGCAGAAGCTGGTTCCAACGACACTGCACTGGCTGCTGCCGAATTGAAGTACAACGAAGAACGCGAAGCTCTCAGAAAAGCACATGAGGATGATGTGGGCGAGAAAGTCAAGTCAGCTGTGGAGCTTTCAGACAAGAAATCTCTCGCACGCATCAGCATGCTTGATGGGCAAAAGCGAACCGCTCTGGTTAAACTGGAGGTTGTCAAGAAGGCTGCTGAGGAGACTCCTCAGAAGCCAGTCATTGAGGTATGGGAGATCGCCAAGGTTGCTCGACCTCCACCTGTCGCTGCTCAAGCCCCAAAGCCTGCTGCCATTCCCTCTCCTGCTCAGCCTGCTTCTCCTGCTCCTAAGCCCGCAGTTCCGCAGGCGAACCCTTCTACGCCAGCTGCTTCTATGAACACTGCTCCAACCGTCGCGCCCACCTCTCCTGCGCCCGCTGTAGAGCAAGCGCCAACTCCTGCTCCCTCAGCCCAACCGACTGGCGGGGGAGAGCAACAGCAGGCAAATACTGAGTCTCAGCCCACTGTTGCTCCCTCGAACCCATTTGGGCAATCAGTACAAAACCAGCAAGGCCAGCAGCCTTCAAACCTACCCACCAAGCCCCCGGTGAACAATACACCGGCTGGTATGATGAGAGCCCTGCAGTCTAATCTGCCAATTGCTCGAGGCGGTGGCCGTGGTGGCCGGGGCGGCGTCCAGCCGGCAACTTTCAACCATGCCCAACAGCAGCAAGGCGAGCAGCAGCAGCAGCAAGCTCAGCCTCAAGCCCAGGCCCAGCGCGGTACCGGCCTTCCTCGAGGCCGCGGTGGACGGGGTGGGGCAGGTCGTGGGGGCAGCCAAAACCAAAACGCTGCTGCTCATAATCAAGCTCAAAGCCCTACCGCAAACCGGGGGGGCCATGAACCCAGGCGCACGCCAGTTTGTTCCTCACGGAAACAAGCGTACGCGTGATGAAGCATCTGATGCTCCTACTGAGACTAATGCGGGCGGGAAACGGATGAGAGGTGGTGGCGGACAGGCTCGTGGCGGTGGTGGAGCGGCCTCTTAAAGGATTTCTCTTTATCTCTTGTACCTTAATCCATTCTGTTTATTTTTATGTTCATGGAGCATGAGCATGGAAGGCCGCTTCTGCCTCTGGTTTTCTTGCCGGGTATCGGAGAAGTCATCAAGACCAAATTATTCTCATTTGTTGTGTATTTAGTCAATGTATGATGGAGTTTCTGGGTTTCTTTCAATTGTTTTTTCATCATTCAAATTCGATATTCACATGTACGCTTTGGCGAGGTTTCCAGGCCGCTGGCCCAAAGGGGCAGCTCCACCCTTGCTGAACTTAGGAGCATGGATTAGGTAAAAAAAATTTGATCAAGTTGCAACAGAACTGTCAAACAGATTAACTACAAATTGAAGACCAGTATTCGCCAGTCAAAAAATGTCTAGACTAATTAATATGTTGACTATTCAGAGAAGTAATTTGAGCTTGATACTGGCAAAGGACGACACAGCACCAAACCCATTCGCCCATTTCTCCGAGTCCACGTTATCTTCTTGTCGGGGAGTCAAATGACACGCCTGTGAACGATGACAGTTTCCCCCGCAATTCGAACATATTTGGGGGGGCACGATATCGCGCTGCTTCGTCCTTTTGACATGCCTGGACATTATGGCCCTTGTCTTTGCAAACGATACATTTGATAGGCTTCCGTAATCAATCGCGTCAAACACGATAACTGGAATGGTAGATTGAAAGTGCGATTTCCACTGGCGTAATACCAAGGATGGTTGGGAGACGCAAGAACTGCGGAAGGTTCAACTCTTGGAGAAATAGTTGCAACCACGATCATTCCTGGATGGCTGTGATCGCTGTGATCGCTGCGATAAATTCTGCTTTAGTGCTTGATTGAGCTACGCAAGACTATTTCTTGGATGCTCACACAATAGGCCTGCCAGTAAGCAAAAAAAACGAACTCGGGTGACGAAATGGCGGCATCTGCGTGTTTTCCTGCCCAATCAGAGTCAATGTATCTATACAGAGGATCAACAGTTTAGTGATACTGAATAGACGTGGTGCGTAATGGTACTAAGTGGATATCGATACATACAAGAGACAGCAACGAAGTGTTGATGACTGGTGTTGTGCATGAATGAGTATTAGAAGAGAAGAGAAGAGAAGAGACTAGGAAGAAAACTTTGTGTTTACCTAGGTATACTACCCCTAGGTAGGTAATTAGCAGGTACTAGTAGAGCTGCCTGCTTCCAGGCTGTTCCTTCCTTTGGCGCATACTACCTAGGTACCTACATAGTAGACAGCATCTTTCAAGTCCCTGTTTAGATAATCAAGTGATACTGAGCTACAGTAGCATATAAATATTGCGAGTTTTTTAATTGCTGGTGATAACTTGAGCTCCAAAATTAGAGGAGTGGGGGTGAGATACTAGTAGTAGATAAATAACCTGGGAAGTAGAAAGCGCCCGGAACCTTTAAGGGCAAGGTAGGGTTGTGCTAGTAGGTGGCTAGGTACCCTACCACCTCGGATTTATCACCTACTACCTAGGTAGTACTAATGACGATGTTCCACAGCTTTGCAAGCTCTAATCACGATAGATCAATATTTTCCAGCTGTAGTACAGCTTTGTTTTGAGCAAAGTGGATGATTCCGTTCGTGGCGGACCCGAACTGGACTACTATATGACCTGAGCATAGCAAACAGAATGTAGCTCAGCATTCATTCGGTTCAAACAGAAAGGACAAGTAATAGCGGACTTTATTCAGTCATCCTAATTACCAATCTACTCATCAAGTTATACATGTGGGAATCATTTTGAGTCCTCTCCGCTCACATCGGGGTACACATCAAATCGGCGCTGGGTATAGATCGGGATGCCCTTGCGAGTGTTCACAATGGTATCATTATCCAAGTCCGCATAGATGATTGTCTCCTTCTCCTCCGCCTCAGTCAAAATCTTCGCACTGGGGTCGCTGATCAAACTGTGGCCATATGCATGGTAAGAGGCATCCAAGTCCCGTGATGGACTGCACAAAGCAACATAGGTTTGGTTGTCCACCGCACGGGCTCGGCCTGGTAGAGACCAGTGCAGCGGTCCAGTGGTAGTGTTGAATGCACCGGGGTAGACGAGCAGGAATGCACCCTTGCGAGCCGCAATCATGGCGGATTCAGGGAACCGAATGTCGTAACATATCGCCAGGCCAATTTTGCCGTATTCTGGGAGATCAATCACGGTCAATTGGTTGCCTGGAGAGAGCACCTCGCTCTCCTTGAACGTAATCTTCCCGGGGATATCGATGTCGAACAGATGTGTCTTGCGGTGGGTACCAATCAAGGAACCTGTGGGTGAGAAGACAAGTGAGGTATTGAAGTACTTCTTCGTCTCCGGCTCGAGCTCAGGAATACTTCCACCGATGAGGTAGGCATTTGCCTCAGCGGCGATCGCCGACAGGGCGTGGAACGAGGGGGATTGCTCCTTCGTGGGAGGGGAAGGGTGGAGGGTCTCGGCGTATTTGGGGAAGTATGGCGTGCCGTACGGAGAGTTGAAGCATTCTGGGAGGACGATCAAGCGTGCGCCGGCCTTTGCGGCCTCGAGGACCTTGCTTCGAGCGTGAGAGAGGTTGACGGCCTTGTCCGCGCCTGGATTCTGTTAATAGCGGTCCAACGCTGGAGAGGGTCATGGCAGGAGCATCCTACCTGATGCGAGCTGCACCAAGGCAAGCTTAAGAGGCTTCTTCAGAAAGGTAGCCATATTTGTCATTGGGAGGGTGAAGGAAGAAAGAAAGTTCCGGTTAAAATGAAGAAATGATTGAAATGGAGAAGGGGACCGCTCCGAAGTCCGAAGTGCGGGGACAACCCTGATAAGGCGCGATATCGTTAGAGTCACTTCAGGGCTTCCTAAGGTTGACCAGTAACAAACCCCCGTTTTCTCCGATCTAGTGGAGAAAAAAGCCGACCAAAAAGCCGATGGAGATAGATTATGGCAGAACAAGAGCGAAAGGTGCCAAAGAAAAAAAAACTTTAATAGGACAGACCTCGGGAATAGAGAAGAATTGCGCGTAGACAGCCTCTGCCAAGACAATATTGGGGTAGCCCCCGAGACCCCCATCATATACTAATTTACTCCAATTATTAGGTGGGGGTGTCAAAGATGGAGTGTTTATTTGTCCAATCAATTAGAAAATACTGCACGATCAATGAAAGAGAGACCAGCAGTACAAATTAAAATTTCAAAGTCTAAACCTTGGAACATAGTTCACCTGGAATGGATGATGCTTCAAGATGTTACATGCATTCGTACAACTTTAAAACAGCTGAGATACCCCGCCATCCTCAATGCTTGTCGGTGTTCACAGCATACTTGCTGTACTTCCGAATCTTGGGACCATAGATGAATAGCAAATAGGGAATAAATGCCATCAATCCACTGATTGCTCCCAATATCGTCAACGTATACTGTACCCCAATGGAGCGATAAATCGGGATTCCAGCGACAGTCATACCACCCGCAACAACATAACGTGTGAAGACCAGGAATCCCAAAGCCGATGCCGAATAGACCCCGTAAGAGTCAATGACATACATATAGGCAACAATGAAAATGGTGGTGATGCCATATCCAAAGAGAGCCGAAGCAATGAGTGGAGACCAGATCGAGATAGATGACTTTGGGCAAAGTTAGTGAAGTTCTTATTTCTAGGTTGGGAAAACTCACATTGGCAGTCCATCCCATCCAGAATAAACTGATTGGTACTGCAGGAGCACCTCCGAGCATCGCATACCAAAGCCGTGTTTCTGGCACAATTGTGGAAGTTTTCTGGTACTCTTTTGCTGTCCACGAGTAGACCAACGGGACGATACCAGTCACCAGGAGAATGCCACAAAGCATACCGGCCCAGGCGACATTAGTAATCCCTTGCGATACTCCGTATGTATCGGTGAAGATGAATGTGTACCCCTCCAGGAAAGTGAATAGGACGATATACACCACCGTCAGATATAGCGACATCAAGATCAAAATCAACTCGGAATAAAACAAGATGAACGGGCGGTAAACAGACGTCAAGAGGCGACGTCCCAAACTCTCGCGCTTCATTTCAATCGGAGCTCGATATCGCTTATCGCCAGTTTCCTTGCGAAGGGCTTTCGCCTTCCAGTGCAAGAGAAGACTTCCGTATGTTTCGGGTTGGAGAAGAAGAACAATGAGAAGGATCACGCCCCCCCATGATCAACATAATCCACTCCAACCAGCGCCATCCCAGCGTTTGGGGAATATAGCTACCGATAATTTGGCCAATCATAGGCCCTGAGAATGCTGGAATTGCATAGGCAGGGAATGCATATGCCTTTTGTGCTGGGTCCCAAAGATCAGCGACTGTTCCTCCGGCGCAGCTAAGAGGCGTCGATCCAAAGAATCCTGCAAAGAATCGGAAGATGAGATGACTGTGGAGATTGGGAGCGAGCGCAGAGGCCATGACGAAAATCAAGAAAAGAAGCATCGTTATGAGATAAACTGCATTTCGTCCAAATGTCTCGGAGAATGGGCCTGAGAGGAGCGATCCGGCACCAAAACCAACAAGGAAAAGACCTAGGGATCACCATTAGCTTTTTTGAAATGAATGTGTGGAATTCAAGAGCCATTTACCTGTTGCTAGAGATCCAACCACGTCGGTTACACCGAAATCTTCACTGTATTGTAGCACGCCACAAGCATCGATTGCAGATGCTGCCGTGACGGAGATAGCAATGAGAGAGACCAGAAATGTCATAAAAAGCTTCCGTCCAACAGTTGCATTGGCAGGGTTCAGGGGATCATCAGAGCCGTCCCAGCCGACCATGATCAGAGACTCATTGTCGGCAATGACTTGTGTAGAGGGACTCTTCTCAGCATCAATTACTTTTGGATCGTATAAAGGACAACTGTGAGAATTGAGTAAGTTTATTGAACATTGGCGAGAAATACCTAGGTATTAGAGAGCGATATGACAAACCTAGAATTGTGTAGCGACCCAATAGTATAGCCCTCACAACTACATTTAGATTCGATTTCAGCCAGCTGGCGGCGAACCGCTTGCCCGATCCTACAATACTGTAGGTAAGACTCCATTGCAATGAAGTGACCGACCTGGAGCCCCTGCTCTCGTTGAAATAAAATCTAAAGCCAAGACCATCACCGGTGGAGATTGTTGGTTTTTAAGACCGCCAAATTTTCCACCGGTACCCACAGTGCTCCTCATCCAAGGCCGGGCCCGCAACTTGAATCTATCCAGGCACACAATTGGATGCCGATTTTCTCTCTAAAGTACATCAACATGTCGTGCTAAGCAGCTTAATATGGCGTTTGGTGCCTTGGCTGTTGCTTTCTCTCTAACTGTGCTGTGACGTCTCGTTCACTGATGGTCACATTTAACACAAACCCTAGAAAGTTTGCATCCGTGCATGGATCAGTTGCTGCATGACTCGTGAGAATTTTGATGTCAAAGTGAATGGAGTGTGGAGTACCTAAATTATGGATTATTAATTGTCTTGAAGGCCAAAGCTGCAGATCTCCTTCTCATTAATGTGTTATGTATGCATCCACTCCGTACTCCGTACTGCGTAGCTGACAGCCCGTTTTTGCCGAGTGAACCCATCTCGGTGGACCCCATTCCTCCCCGAGAGTTAGCCTTAGCCTTATCAGTGGGATCTTCCCAGCATCCACCCGGCTGGACGACCTTTCGACCCCTATCTTCGGCAACTCGTTCCGACTCTTCTCAGTGGTGCGGATAATCAAGCAGGGAATCGATGTTCCTTCTGATTAGACACTAAGTCGCAAAATACAAACATAAATGTAAACAACTTTATTTACCCATATTGAAACAGAAACTGCAGACAGCCAAGGCCTAGCTAACATTTTACAGTGAAGGTTCTTTTGGCTTTGCTCGAATAGATTAGTTCAGGTGATTGTAAGATCTGTACTGTTAAGTTTGTACCTATTTAACCTTGGCCAAGCGCCTGGTGCTGTAACTAACCATCGGGTCTGATAGGTAAAAGGACTATTAATCGCTAACCGAACAATAGATGATTTGTTTGCAATAGAAAAAAAAGAACCATAAGGCTTGCAGACTTACGGACTTGTTGAGACTGCATCAAGAGGGAATCGAACCCCCGGCTCAGACTTGGAAGGTCTGAATGTTACCACTACACCATTGATGCGGTTCTTGTTGATGAGTCATGGTCTAATTAGTCCTCTAATTATTATTATTAGTGCTAAGTATACCCACTGACATTTCGTAAATAGGTACACCTTGCTTATCCAACAATTTTTTTATCCTATTTTGTATGATAGATATACTAGTTTTATATATCACCACTACAAAGTGTTAAATAGAAGAGTATATTATATTACTAGTAATACGTAATATTAGATAGAATACAAGTTACTTACTATATAGAAATCTATACAGGGTATTACTACCACTACTACTAATAAAAAATTAAATAAAAATATCGTAGCAGATAGGTGTAGTTAGTATAACAGTAGGAAAGTATTTTTATTTAATTGAAACCTAGTAATAGTATAAAAAGAATGCAAATAACCTCAGAAACGGCATTCCAACAATTAATAGCATCCAAAGCGGGAAGAAAAAGATTTTCAGACAGACAGGGTGCACCGACCGATTTCGTTGGAGTGTGAAAAAAAGAACTGCAGGGCTTGCAAACTTGTTGAGAATGCATCAAGAGGGAATCGAACCCCCGGCTCAGACTTGGAAGGTCTGAATGTTACCACTACACCATTGATGCAGTTATACTGGTATTGCGTGAATTACTGACCTGTATCCAGCATCTCAGCTATTCATTCCGGGCACTGGTCGACTCCCGGTATCCTTGTTTTAATTCTAATCTCACAGCAAAATTGAACCGCAGCTACGGCAGCCGGTAGCCGCCATTCTAGTGATAATCTTATACCTAGGTATGCCATTAAGCTTTATTTATTATTTGGATAATTTAATTCCCCTCAGTATAACGACGAGTCAGTTCGTGTTTCCTTCCACAATTGACTCAGCCCGCGAAGAAAGTCCGCAGGCAAAACACGCTCTACAATCCACGTTGATATTCGGCCAAGCCGAGGCAGGTATAGGACTGTTCCCTTCAACTATAACGTAATCCAGTTTCGTGTGTAAGCGGTGAAGAAATTAGCCGTAGAGAACGGGGGTAGGTTTTAGTTATTTTAGCAGGCGACATAATAGGCACAGCCTAAAATGTAATAAAATATGCAAAACAGGACCGGGAGGCAGATACGTACCGAAAAGTAATGGAATTGGACTGGAAGTTACGTTGCAAGTAGGCGGCGTGTAGGCAGTGTGAATACTTGCAGAGTCACGGCCGTGCGCGGCCTGAGGGAGTTGCTTTCTAGCGAGCCGGTCGCAGATTTTCTCTAAAAAATCGAAAGCAAAGCCCAAATTGTTTTTCTGGAAGCGACAGACTCAGGCCCTATCGTTTCTAATCATGTTTAGCTATATTTCAACTTCATACACTTCCAGTAGCTAGCTATAAATATACATGCCATCGCCGAATAACCAGATCTAACCGGCTAACATAATTATGTTAATTAGTACTTACCTCTTTCTTTATTTCTGAGGTTTTATTGCTTGAAGTATGCTCAGAATGATCCGCATTACGATCCGCATGTCATAATCCAGGCATCAATCAATGACGTGCCGGCAACATTCCAACTCAGGATCTGTGTCGATATCTTCGCTTTCCAGATATAATCTCCTGCTTCGTTGGTCTAGTGGTTATGATTCATCTCTTCCAGTGTCAAAACTTGTGAAGATGAGAGCCGTGTTCGATTCACGGACGATGCATTTACTTTTGCTGGATTTTCAGTCATATCTTTTCTGGCGAAAGTGGAGAGGGCACGGACGATCGGTCGGAATACCACCAGTACTACTCCTATTCCTTCATTCTTATATTAAGCTCTTGATAGCTTCCATTTTTGATAGTCCGAGCCGAGGTCGTTTCCCTCTTGGTACATGTTTTTTTTATTTTTATTTTTTGCAAATTATTCTAGTTCTGTTGATGGACGGGTTGTGGCTGATGGTTGTGGTTGATATTGCGGGTTGGATCTCGGATAAAAGTATAGCGAATAGAAATATTACCATTAATACACTAAGCGCCCGCTGTGGCCAAGGTAAATATTTTAAGGGTCAGTTGGCCAACTCTATAACTAAATAGAAGATAAGATTTGGGGAAATTTTCATGCTTGGAAGGAGGAGATTGTGCGAAGAGCGGGTTTTTCGGCCTTGGAATTTCATTTACAGCAGCGACTAAGCCAGGGTCTAGTCATTTTGTAACATGAACACCCACCTCACTGCCAAATTTAGATGGAATTGGAAAACGCTATTCAGAATCAAAAGAATATATCCAATTCAGAATAATTCCTCGGAATCAAAACTTCATTGACTCCACACCGTTCTTGAATCGGTTCTCCGCCTCCTGCCAGTTAATGACCTTCCAGATATTGGTGATATACGTCGCCTTGTCATTTTTATACTTTGAAAAGTCAGCATCGCATTTTTTTTCACGACTCCCAACTCACAAATTATCAACTCCGACCTTGAAACTCACCTGAAGATAGTAGGCATGCTCCCACATGTCGACGCCAAAGATAGGAACCGCATCTTCCACCGGATCTTGGTCTTTCAAACTGATGACCTCCAGTCTACCCTCGACCTGCTTATTTGCCAGCCACCCCCATCCACTGCCTTGCAAGTCGGTCAAAACGGTATTAAATTCGTCTTTGAATTTCTGGACACTACCCCACTGGTTCACAATTGCCTTTTTGAGTGTTGGTGCAGCCGAGTCGATGTTGGTCTCCTTGGAACCAGGAGGGGCTAAGTTCTTCCAGAATAGAGAGTGATTGATATGACCTCCGCCATTGAATTTGACCTTCTTCTGCAGCGATACTAGTTGTCGCAGGTTGCTCTCTTCCAGAGCTTTGGTTTGACTGTTTAGAGCGGTGTTCAGATTGTTCACGTAGGCTTGGTGGTGTTTGTCGTGGTGGATCTGCATGATCTCCTTGGAGATGACGGGCTCAAGAGCCTTCTTCTGTCAGACTTTGACAACACCAGAAAACCAGATCTTCGAAGTGAGATGATCGTGAAACTTACATCGTATGCGTATGGAAGAGGCGGTAGAGTGTATTTTCCAGCCATCTTGGCTTGTCTTGTACTAAGTTCAATGAGGTCCCGGTATGCCAAAACGAGAGCACGCTTATCAACGGGCGCGGCAGAAGAAAAAGAGAGGAGTGAGATTAAATAGAATAGAGACAGTAATGGAGTAAAGCGAGCCATAATTGAATCACTGCTCAGTTTCCCACTAGAAACCAGGCAAGCGAGGTAGTGTTTATTGGGCACTTAGACTTGGAGTGGTACAGCTTGATGGGCGTACTCTGCAATGAATAGATCACAAATGTCAATAATTCAATTGAAGGGACCAGCGCAGATTTAAATACAAGTTTGAATGAAAGTTTTATTAAATGCCAAACATGATTAGTCGTACAGAGAAGGTCATGCGGTGAAAGCTGCAAGCTGTATAGTCACTATCCCCGAGACAAGGTTCTGTCCATAGCCCAGTTCAAAATGATCCTCATTAACCACAGGGAAGACTCACCAGCTCGTTTCTAGTGGCTGGGAGCTCTCCGAAGCGGCTTATTACGGGGCCGGCGCCTGATGACCTGGCATACAAGAATAGAAAGCTGCCAAGTCCTGCGGGGGCTGCCTTGCATAGCCCGTCATTTCAGCCATGGCGCAGCAGCTCTATAATTGCGCTTGACTGGGGTCTATGGTGACTTGATTTCTTTTTAAGCTAGCTTGCTGTTTTTTTTCCGGGACATATGGCCATCTTGATTCTTGAGACCCTTGTTAAATGGTATTCAGGGTTTGCAGTGCCCTTCCCAATATATGCCTCACTAGGCCTAACTTGATTATTTCTTCAGCATCATCATTTGAATTATCAAATAGTATGATCCATGTATACATCGGCATTCCTGGTTTACATTTATTGATCCCGGTCAGGTGACTGACGTCGCAATGTTTCCTCCATTCTCTCCCCCTCCCTTCTCATCCCCGTCAACAACTTCCCCAAACCCATACAATGGTGTCGCTCGATGATGTAAAGAGGCATAATGCTAGTCTAAAAGACTTTGGCCCGAACCTGGTTGCCGTATTTGGTACACACTTCATCTCCCATCGTTTCCGGGCGTCCGGTGTTCCCACAAGGTGATAAGCTGACAGTAGTGTGTGAAGTTGGTGGAACGAGCGGAATCGGCGAAGCAACCGCCCGTGCATTTGTTCGTGACACGGTATCCTCGCGAGTCTACCTTGTTGGGCGGAACGAGGCCCAGGCATCCAAAATTATCCAGGAATTGCGCCAGCTTAACCCGGACGGGCAGATCAGTTTCGTCAAATGCGACGCTGCGAATCTCAAAAGTGTCGATGAAGTATGTAAGACAATTCAGCAAAAGGAGAATCATATCAACCTATTATTCATGACCGTTGGCATTTTTACCACCAAGGGTCGCGATGGTGAGCGTCTACAAACCCCACTGGGACGTGTCAATGGCCATTCGCTAACTCTCTGGTAGAGACTGACGAAGGGCTGGACAAGAAGTTCAGTTTGAATTATTATTCTCGTATGCGGTTCTTGTTCAATCTGCTGCCTCAGTTGACAGCTGCGAGTAAAGTCGACTCTGCTACCGGAATTGGCCTTGGTCACAACTTATCGAGAGTGGTGTCCGTGCTGTCTGCCGGTGATGAGGGACCTCTGAATATGGATGATCTCTCCTTGAAGAATAATTTTTCTCTCCGAAACTGCGCCAGGCATACGATTACCATGACCTCACTGTCCATGGAAGAGCTGGCCGCGGCACACCCAGCAACATCATTTGTTCATGCATACCCGTCAGCAGTCAAGACAGGCCTCACGCGTGGATTGGGGCCGATTGCGCGAGGTGCATTGGAGGGGATCTATTTCCTTGCTAAGCCATTTTTTGTTCCCCTTGACGAGAGTGGAGAGCGTCATCTTTATGCTGCTACAAGTCCTCGCTTCTCTCCGCGAGAGGCCAAGGATGTTGCAGATGCTGCACCTGGTTCCGATGGGGAGAAGGGCAGTGGTGCATATCTCCTGCACTGGGATGGGTCCGATAATGGGAACAAGAAGCCTCTTCAAGAACTTCGTAAGAACGATACTGGGAAGACGGTGTGGAAGCATACACTGGATACGTTTGATTCGATTTGTGACCCGAGCTAGATGGTTTTATAACAGCAGGTTGTATTATCCTGAATGAATAATTTTCTAATTTAATAGAGCGAAGTCTACTAAAGTATACTAGTATGGTTTCACAGATTTGGCGGGGGTAAATGTCTCTGAATATAGTAACTAGTATACGAGTAGGTACTAGACCAAGTGCTAGTATATAGTACTAGTAGTTTATATCTATTAGAAAAAGATCTCTTTCAAGTTTGGTCCGACCCGAGAGTTCTTCCGAATAATCCCCTGTTGGATGAGAGGAAGTACATACCATTGGCAGTGTACCTAGGTATGTACTTGATGTACATACTCCAGCCAACTCCGATACGATGATCAGCAACAGTCTTGTTCCCCGCAACGCAACTTTATTCCAGATCTTTCTTTCTCTCTGTCTCTTCTGCTCTATTCCCATCTACTTCCCTCCCATCCAAATTATCATTCTACTATGGTTTAATATGCTATATTCTCCATTTTCTACTCTACTCTACTCCATCTCAACCATGGAAGACACCCGCATCACGTGGTTTGCCTCCGGAGGGGCGTGGACCACCCCAAAAACCAAAATCTTCCCCAAAAAAACTAAAAAGAACCGTTGGGTGAGAAGGGAAACAGAGGAAATTTTCTTTCCCATCGTTCGTTTTTCTTTTTGCGTGGATTCTCGCCAGCTGGCAATTCGCACGCCCTCAAACTCCCCTGACGACTCTTGAGAGCATCTCAAGCAGCAACCCAACTCAATCCCGAACCCGCCCCCGTTTGCCACATCATGTTTGAGGACTTTTCATTCACTTCGCCCTCCTCCAAGCCTGCGCGGTTGGCGCTTGATGCAGAGGATCGGCTCATGGCCGACTGCAACAGCCCGTTAATCTCCCCGCTGTCCTCGCGGTGTTCCTCGCCCCATCGACTCCGCACGCTTTCGCGGCCCCGATCCTCCTACTTTCGCTCGCAACAGCCTCCGACCTCCGTTCCCTTGGCCTACGAACAAAACCGTCTCTCTATTTCCACGTTGACCCAGAAATTACACGAGCATACGATCCAGGGACCAAATGGCGAGCGCATTCCGGACCAGGGCAACTTCCAACGTGAAGGTGCCATGGCCTCCCGCTACTCGGGATACGTCTTGACACCACCGGATACGGATCATGATGAAGATGGACATTTCGACTCTTCCCCGTCCCTCTGCTCAAATCCTAGTCCGACTTCTGCGCCACCGGATTTCCCCGCGCTAGATGGACCGATGCCAGAGCCCAAACTCCCAGATCACCATTATATCCGGCGACAGCGACAACAGATCTCCGAGATGCAATGTCACGAAGGTGATGTGGACTCCATCCGCCGTAATGCCTACTCCGGTGACTCCTTCCCAGGAACCGCCCTCGCAGAAGACTGCCACCCCAGCTCTATGCCACTTCGATCCTCACCCCGTCGAAGAGCCGCCACCTTACACCGCAGTCGGTTTGGTCCACCGGACTCATCGGCCGGAGTGGGAGAGGCACGGGGGCGGAGAAGGAGTAGCTCGGGAGCAATGCAGTCGCATCGCATAGAGAAAGCCTATCATACGTTTAATAGTCGAGAGGCTTCAAAACGAAATGAACAAGGCCTTCGAAGGAAGAGTATGGTGAGCGCCGCACTGGCATCTGTAGTCGAGAGGTAGAGCGGCCTGGGTAGATCCTGGTGTCTTGGTCTTTTTCGATTCTTCATGTATATACACTTTTGAAATGATACCCATTTTTAGACATAACCGCAGCGCGAGAGAGGATGGTAATGTCGAGTAAAAGACCTTGCTCAGGTGCCCGAAGATTACTACTAGTAGTATTTAGCGGTGATTACCCCCCAGGGCTCGTACCTAGGTCCTAACTACTACTACTACTACTACTACTACTACTACTACTACTACTACTACTACTACTACTACTACTACTACTACTACTACTACTACTACTACTACTACTACTACTACTACTACTACTACTACTACTACTACTACTACTACTACTACTAGTGCGAACGGGGTCTTTTTCATTAATTAACAAGACATTCCCTCACTTTTGATTTAATTTATTTCTCTTATATCAATGGTTTTGATTGGATGATCAACTTCAAGTTATTCAACTATTGTGAAGTTGTCACTGGTGAGTGGTCCCTGCTGCTACCTAGTACTGTAAGGTACTCCGCAATCACCGATTAAATCCAACCTCAACCCCAAATCGCCCACCTCAAGTTTCCAAGCACACCCCAATTGCGCGCAGCAATCTTGGAATCCGGAAAACACACAATGGCAACTCTCAAACCACCATCAGCAACAGCCCGCTCCTCATCCAGCTCAAGCACACCCACCGGTCCTCCAAAAGCCCCCCTCAAAGCCGACCCAACGGCAACCATCTCCGACACCGTCATCTTCCACGGCAAACACCCAGTCACAATCGGCGCAGGCACAGTCATCCACCCACGCGTCCGATTTTACACCTATGAGGGCCCCATAGTAATCGGCGATGGCTGCATAATAGGCGAGAAAACCATCATCGGCGCCACGCCCTCCTCTGCCTCCTCATCCTCCTCGATCGAAACACCAACCCGCCTCTCATATTTCGTCACAATCGGACCCCAATGCACAATAAAACCAGGCGCACACATTCACTCATCCTCAGCAGTCGAAGCCCTCTGCACATTGAACCGCCACACGGATATCGGCTCGCACTCTAAGATCTGCTCTGGCTGCGAGCTCCCCGAGCGCGGATCCGTTCCCGAATGGACTGTTGTTTGGGGGTCGGGCATTGGTCAGCGGAGACGGCGTGCGCGTGAGGCCAAAACCCCCGGTCCCGCCGTGACTGTTGCGGCGCAAGTTGCGCAGATTCCTGCGCCGGGGCCCGCGCCTTCGGGGAAGGTCATTGAGGATGCTAGATTGATGGTTTTACAGAAGGAGAGGGAGATTCTTGGGCGGATGCTTGTTCCTACTGGGCCGAAGAAAAGATGAACCTCATGAACGACTGGCTTGGTTGGGGATTCATTGAGGATTGATTATTCCGAGGCGTTGAATGGGAAGGGGCCAGGCTAGTAGCTTTTGTTTTCTGGCGTTTTGTTCTGCGTTCTCCGCGTTGAGACAGCTTTGCTTGAAGGAACCTCCTGATCTCAACTTGACGTTCCTTTTGTTTGTTTTTCCTTGTTGTTTAGCAAATTATACCCAATCCCGCGCAGCACTGTGAGAATGCTCAGGTACGGCGACGACGATCAAGATGTGATGAAGATACCAGAAAACGTATAGTAGTGGTTCGACGAAACTTGAAGTATCTAATAAGCTTGGACAAGAGGCAGAAAGCAACTTGAAGGGCTACTAGTAGTAGATACATGATGTGAAGGGTGTATTACAATCCTGGACGGCATGCGCGAAATATAATACTTAGTATTCGCCCAAATTCATCATCGGATAGATAAATACTACAGCTTACCACCTGGGCAAGCAAACTTGAACTTGAAGATACTTCCAAGGTGACAGAATGGAGAGATAATAGTACTACTATATCAGGCATCGGAGAGGCCAGTCTGAGGTGGGCAAGTACGGTCATCTGCATATCAATGTGCTTCTTACTGGGAGAAATATTATGCCAGTGTAGCTAGATTAGAGATAGCTTCCGTGGGTACGCTTGCTGATGTTAATGCTACACTGTCGGAATATCTGGATGAGTTCTGCACTGTCTATGTGCCCTCGAAGAAGATTGGTTCTAATTAGCGTCCATGGAGAGCCATTTCAAATTCTGTACTTTAGTGATTTCATTCTAATTCACTGGATTACACTTGACAAATAGTGTGATTCTGATGAGCCTTGGAAGTTTCTTCACGATTCAACTAGTAACTATAGCATATTACAATAGCTGTAGTAGTACTAGTAGTAGTGTACATAATGTGGCTGCCTTAGTATTCAGGCCAAAAGTTTACCGTTGAATCGGGCTAGATTAGGTGGGACCATATCACCTGATACGACCAACCAGAGGCCTCCCACACGATAAGCGAGCCACACTCATCCGCGGCCACAAACCCAGAATTTCCCGGGATTCTCTTCATCGACAACTTCCGCCCACAGTCGACGCCGCCCCAACCAGTTCGTTCGCCCTCCGAATCGCTTCCACCATCCTACTAACATTTCACTCATCAGAAATGTCCAACGTCAACACTGGCAAGAAGACCCGCTCGGCCATCGCCGATGTGGTGACCCGCGAGTACACCATCAACCTGCACAAGAGGGTATGTTGAAAAAACCCCCCCGAAATCCCCAAAGACCTGATCTGCGACGACCGTCAAGGCGCAATAAGGAAATACAAAAAATGGACAGAGAACACACAAGCTCCGGAAACGGAAGACCTTTTTTCTGGGAATTGACAAGATTCAAAATGTGTGTGCGTGCGGGTTCTCGAAGCCAATGGTTACCAAGATGAGATCTTCAACAATCTCTCTTCGGCCCATGCCTCGATTCCCCTCACTCCCCGACTGCTGCACCGTCTCTGTGGGAAACCGCAAAGTGACAGCGCGCCGACCGGACAGGACAACTGGGAAACGGCTCCTCTAATCGTGAGTCGGGGTTCCGACTCGCCATTGAAGGGACGTGGAACAGTTGGCATTACATACACACGCCTTTCCCTCGAAATCGATCAGCAAGAAGAAATTAGTTTGATGAAGTCCACCTTTATGGCCGAAACAATCATCGCAGAGCAGCGTCTCTACCAGATGGCATTCGGACGGAAGACTGATTGTACCTTCTTTTTCGGTATAGTGCCACGGTGTTAGCTTCAAGAAGCGTGCTCCTCGTGCCATCAAGGAGATCCGTGCCTTCGCTGAGCACGCCATGGTGAGTTTTTTTCTCCCCCAGTCCCCCGGTGTTGAGTGTGCCCATGCGCAATCCGCATGTGGGCACTCACCTCCGTCATGAAGGACCCCGCTAACCCCTTCACAGGGCACCAAGGACGTCCGCCTCGACCCCCAGCTCAACAAGAAGGTCTGGGAGGCCGGTATCAAGGGTGTCCCCTTCCGCCTTCGCGTCCGCATCTCCCGCAAGCGTAACGACGAGGAGGGTGCTGAGGAGCGTCTGTACTCCCACGTCCAGGCCGTCAACGTCAAGAACCCCAAGGGTCTGCACACCGCCACCGTCGATGACGCATAAATGGTTTAGCCGCGGCGTCTTGCTTCTATGATTCCATGTTACAACTGGGGTTCGGTTGGGGCTTTTCAAAATAAAATATCTTCATACCCTTGATTTGTGTGTGCATTTTTTATCAAATTCTTCCAAGTACCTTTTGCGTAGATGTAGATGCACCGGTCCGCGTAGTATTGCTACTACTTGTAGTGTTTGGATGAGAAGGTAACAATATGCCAGTTATCGGTGCTGGGTTCTAACTCCGAAGGTCTTTCTGCCCTTTCGTTGGAATATCTGCCCTCGTTCCTACTATGACTACGCTGTCTCGGAACCTTGGAAGTACCTTGCTTGATCGAACTGCACCTGGCATTCAATGCTCGCTAGTCTATTACACTCTCCACTGAGACAATACACAGAAATGCACAAACGAATTAAACACAATGACATGATGAAGCCGGGAACCGGGGGTAAAATGCATATTTTCGCCAGATGATGCTGAAATCAAAAATAAAAACTGGGACAGGAACGTACAACGTAGATTCCTTGCATTATCGTACATTCGGGAATGGTAGGAAAAAGGGAATAAAGAGGAGCAAGAGAAGAAGAAAAACGAAAAACGAAAAACGAAACAACCTGCCAGCTTCTGGTCTTAACCCTTTCTCTCCTGTTCTCAAATGAGAATCTAATTTTTGATTGCTTGGAAGTGCTCGTTGAGGGCATCAATCGACTTGGCGTTCACTCGAACAGCCCATTGCTCAGGCTTGCCATCAGCCTGGGGGACCATGAACTGCATGCTGTTACTGGTACGCGCATAGTCCAGCTCCTTCTTAAGAAGCGTATTCAAGATGATGTTCCCACCAGGATCAGCACGGAGAACAACTCGAGCACGACCGGTGGCGGGATGCTTGAGCAGTCGCACAACTCCAGTGCCTTGAGAAACCCATCCAGTGGTTAACTTGAAAGCGCGAGCGCGGCATTCAAAGACCACGGTCTCTTCCTCCTCGCCGGCATTGGCGGAGGACATGTCAAATATGGAGCCAGGTGCACCGCCCTCTTCATCAGGTGTTGCAGCTCCAGGGGTGGCATTTTCAGCACCAGAAGTCTGAGCTGATGCCTCAGTGGAGGCTTGAGCGGAAGTCGAGTTTGTGTCGGCGGCAAACTTGATGGGAGTAGAGGGCTTCCAAGTGTTGTCAGCCGGGGCAGGGGAGGTGGTAGATGCCAGCTGGGGTGAACTGGTACCAAACGAGGCACCAAAGAGCTGAGAAGTCTGAGAGTTTGCGCCGAGAGATGCGAAAGGGTTTGTTGAAGTAGAAGGGGTAGAGGCACCGAAGTTAATGCCGCTAGAAGTTGGCTTGGGAGAAGCGATACTTGGGGTTGGGGATTCAATACGGTCGAAAAGGCTTCGGCTGGCTGCAGCAGTCGGCGCCGGAAGGGGTGTGTCTAGGCTAGACTTGCTTGCATCGCCATTTTCGATTGCCTTTGTCCGCTTAGATTTACGGCCAGTAGGCTCAGAATCGTCTTGTTCATCGTTGTCATCGCCAGAGGCACGGTGCTTCGGTGATCGAGGCTTCGCCTCATCAGAGGCGTCGCTGTCATTGCTATCACCGGCGGGTTGGGGGGTTGTTGAGGAGATCCGACCGAATATGTTTTGAGAAGCCGGGACAGGCTGGCTAGAAGAATCAAAGATCGAGCCAGAAGAAGGAGCAGGAGAAGGGGCGGGTAGTGCAAGTTTCTTAGAAGACTCTTCTTGTGGCGCCTCGTCTCCATCAACAAATGAGAAGCCCTTGCCAGGAATGAAAACGGCCTTCTTGTTCGAAGCGCCTTCCAACTTCGCACGCTTCTCGCGTTGTTGCTCAGCATCACGACGCTCCCATTCCTCCTCATCGTCTTCATCAGAATCGAAGTCCTCTGCCTTCCGCTTGGCCTTTTCTTTGGCCGCGGTCTCTTCTGCCTTCTTTTTAAATTGGGCCATGAAGTCCATGTTGCCAGTGCCATTGCCAAACTTAGGCATTGAAAGAGGAGCTGCTGAACCATTTGCATTCGATGATTGAGCACTGGCAAACATATTACCCGCCAGCTTTGGAGCAGCAGGTGTTTCAGGCTTCTTGGCTGGAGTTGATGTTTGAGTTGTGGTCGGGATCTTAGCAAAAGGGTTCTCAGCGGCCTTGGGAGCAGATTCAGAAGCGGCACCAGTGGTAGTGGTAGGAATCTTCGCAAAGGGATTTTCGGCGGGCTTAGACGAGTTTCCGGAGTCAGTCGTGTTCAACTTTGCGAACGGGTTCTCGGGCTTTTTAACTGCAGCATTTGATGGTTCAGTTGCCTTTGCTGGGGACGAGAACGACTGTGCAAACACGTTAGAGGTGGTCGAGTCATTCACCCCGTTCACAGTCGTAGGGGCCTTAGCAACATGGCCATTAGGCACAGGTGCGGTCCCAAAGGTCTTCCAGTCATTTTTAGAACCGACGGGCGCGCCCATTGCCCGACGTACAATCAGATAATGCATAATCAAACCGTCGAACCCATCCACACCAGGTTCGTAGATGGACAACTCTTCCTTGAAAATGGTGTCCAGGATGCGAAGCTTATGCAAGAGTTCAGAATTGCTCTTGTCCACGCTATCAGCCAAACCTGACTTCGGAATGGGAGGAGCGACCACCGGCTTGGCATTTGAAGAGGTTGACGAAGAAGGAGCAATGCCCTGCGAGGTTGTATCGGGCTTGGCGCCGAAGAGACCACCCAGAGGCTTAGCGGGGATTGTTGACACCTGTGGCTTGGCAGGTGAAGCTGCGAATAGATTTGCTGTCGGGGTAGATTGGGGTTTGGCGGGCTCCGGCTCCGATGCATTAGGCTTGGGGGCAGATGCTCCAAGCAAAGATCCAAACGGGTTAGAGCTAGATGGCTTTTCGGAAGCTTGGTCTGCTGCCGATTTCGACGCGAATAGATTGTTTGTGGCGGGCTGATCTGAGGTTGGCTTAGGAGCGAAAAGGTTCTGGGCTGGGGTTGGCTGCTCCTTGGGGGCTTCAAAGGGCTTGGGGGTACCAGCAGGAGCTCCAGGTGCTCCGAAGAGAGATGTGGACGGCGCAGCGAGCGCTGGCTTGGGTGAAAACATGTTGTTAGGTGCCGAGGGCTCAGCAGGCTTAGGCGTGCTAGATGCAGCAGCCCCACCGAACATGTTTGTGAATGACTGGGCTTCCGCAGGTTTGCTGGGGGATTGCTCTGTTGCTGGCTTTGGAGCGAAAAGATTCTGGGCTGGAGGAGCCTGAGCCGGAGGAGCGGATGTTTGAGGAGTGGCTGAGCCAGCTCCGAATAGGTTCTTAAATGGGTTGGCATCAGCAGAAATGTCGGTTTTCGGTGCGAAAATGTTGTTTTGCGTGACTTTCTCAGCCGCAGGCTTCGCGGTTGACGAGCCTGGGAATGCAGACTGGCTCGAGCCAGCTCCAAACATGTTCGTCGGTGCAGGCTTCTCAGATTCTGATGGCTTCGCAGCTGCAGCGGGGGCACCAAACAGGCTTCCAAACTGAGGGGCCTGGTTAGATGCTGGGGTTGCTTGACCGGCAAACGCAGGCTTGGCAGCAAAGCCCTCAGGCTTGTCGCTTGCGGGCTTCTCAGCGGTCGAAGTGCCATTCAAGTTACTGAATGGGTTACCGGCCTGGGTATCAGGCTTCGGAGCGAAAACATTGGTAGCCGAGCCTCCGAAGAGATTCTGGCTTTGGAAAGATGGAGTGGTAGTGGAGGTCTTTGGTTTGGCGTCCGGTGACATTTGCATAGAATCAGCGGGGGTGGAAGAGGAGTTCATGGCGTTGGATTGACCAAACATGCCAGAGCCCATTGAGGGAGTCGCGGTTTGAGGCGCACCGAAGGAGAAAGCAGGCTGGGATGGATTTGCGGATTGAGAAGTGGGTTGGTTACCGAAGCTGAAGCCCGTGAAGGGTGCGCTCTGGGTAGTCGGGGTAGGGGCAGCTTTGCCGGCCTCGCTAGCGAAAGGGTTGTTGAAGGTGGAAGAACCGAATCCACCAGAAGAGGCTCCGAAGTTGAAGCCAGTTTGAGCAACACCGCTGCTGCTGCTGCCACCGCCGAACGAGAAAGCCGAAGCATTGCTTTGGCTGGGCTGGCTGGGCTGGCTGGGGCCGGAGTTGGCTCCCGGGAAGCTTTGGCTTTGGGTCTGGCCAAAAGTGAAACCTCCAGACTGAGCAGGAGGAGCTCCAAAATTGGGAGCGGGGTTAGAGAAGTTGGGGGTAGAGAGACCACCAAATGCATTGGTGGGTTGTTGTTGTTGGTCTGCGCCGCCAGTCGGGGTCGTGCCTCGAGGGCGTCGGCGGATGTCCTTGATTCTGTTTTGTGATTGACTGTTAGCCGGATGGCTCTGGGAGCTCCTGTTGCGGATGCTACGGATAAGATTGAGATGCGACATTTCGAAGATGCGACGGAAAAGGCGCATATGTCAACGTCCAGATGGAATGGAGACGAAGTGAAGCAGGAATAGAGGAGTGCAGAAAGGCCGAGTCAGGTGGATGGAAGAAAGCGGTTGTGAATCATGAGTGAGAGGACCAGAGCACGAGAACACGAGAACAGCATCTTCACTTGCTGCCAGCTTGCGCGTCCTCGGACTCTCTCTGTCACTGTCTCCGACGCGGACTTCCATCCACAGGCAGGCTTGTTTGGCCTCGCCTAGAGGACCTCGACTCCCATCACCATACCACAGCTCCCGGGGAACGAGGGTGCGTATGTCACTTACTTTCGGCTGGCCAGCTGAGCGGCCGTGGCGCGCTGAGGCGCATCGTTGGGAGTGCTAGACATTTCGAGAAAAGGGTCGTCGTCTTTGGATCCTTGGGGACCTTGTGCTGAGCGTTTTGACATACTACAACCTTTTACGAAGGTTGGTTTGTTGTGGTTGTTATTTTGGTTGGGCGATGGACGCGGTGGTCGTGGTGAATGGCAGGAGCAACCGTCGTGCCTTCCAAATTTGGCGACCTTTGATCTTTTTCCAACTTCAATTCCAAATCATCCAAAATTATTCTTCAATATTCTTCAACTATTCCCTAACTTTCAAGGGCAGGCTTATTTATCTATCCCAAGCCCTTGTTGTGGTCGTCGGGGAGCTCTGGTCACCTCTCGCGCGTGGGATAAGCCGTCAAAGAGCTTCGATTGTCCGTCGCGCGGTATTGGGAGAGAGGCGAGAGAGAGGACTAGACCGTCGGAGATCACCGCTCTAATGTCTTGAGTCGCCTAGAGAGCAAAAGCCAATTTGTCTCTGCAAGATTCGATGGGGGAGATGTTGAGGTCCTTTGGGTCTTGTTCCGTGGCACGACCTTTTCCCGCGATCAGTCGTGCAAGCTGACTTCGACGGTGGAGTCACCAGGGTCAAAAATCGGAAGGATAGGATGGAAAACTGATCTCTTCGATGGAGATCTAGTCTTTTCGCGATGTCGGAAGGGAGGGAGGAGGTTGATTTGGCCCTGGGTATATTTTTTTTGGGACGCGGAGACTGTCAAAACTCGCGGAGGCTCACCCATTTCTGCCATCACGTGAGTATGTCTTGGCATGAATGTGCGTTGCGAGGGCATCTTACTCTCTATTGCTATCGGTTCCTATATCTTTTCCTTTGTCTTCTACCAGGGGACTTGGTGATGTTCAATACAGAGACGCTTTCGATAGAAGAAGGCACAGCAACCTTCATCCAAGCCTTCCGACGCAAAATTTCGACCTCTTCAATGACGTCGTGGTAACCATACTCTTCAAGTCCGGCCATCCGCAGTGAGTGGACGCAGCATCCCATGCGGTCTTCGTGCACGGTTCACCGGGGCCCTTCTTCGGGGGATCATCGTCTTTCCACTGTTCTTCGATCGCGATCTGTCCCATATCCTCCGTTTACTCCGTATCCACTCTTGATCCGGAGTTCTACAATCTCAGAGTCCGGTCTTGACCACTGGCTGTCGCCATATTGACACTAGCAATCTAGACCCAAGCCCCTTGACCGAACAGTTTCAAGTTACAACCCTAATTATCATCACCAACGAAGCATGGGTGGTTTGTTAATTTTCGCCACGAGCACTTGCATGGCTTTCAGTCTAAATTGAGATTGGTCGGAATCATTATCCCACCTGGTTTGACTGACTTACTAGTATAGCGTTTGCTTCAACTAGTTCTCACCTGGTGCTCTTGCCCCTCTGCAGAAAGATATATGGTACTATACTACGCCCGTGATCGAGCGAGAAAACATGACTATCGTAGCGTAACTATGTGATTGGATCACGGATTTATCTAGAGCAGACTAATTTCCATTTATCTCATGCCCAGGTGATTATGAACTTGGATAATCAAGTTTCCAATTTCCAAGGTTGAAGCCCTCAGGCTGGAGGTTGCAATGGAGAAGGGTGGAAAAAATTCAAGGCTTCTACTCCGTACAATCCATCATCCTGCAGATATATACTACTACTACCAGGGTAGTATCTAGGTAGGTACCTAGTAGGTAGGAACTTCAATCTTCAAGTTGGAAGCCCCCTGGGCCTGGAGTTGGAAGACGAGCGCGGATATATTCCCAACCTTGGAAATTTAGTCTTCAAGTTCTTGGAAGTTGGAAGTTGCTACTACCTACTACTACTAGTACCAGTAGTACCGACCTAGGTAGGTAGGTATTCGAAGCAAAGCAGCCACGGTCGTTCTCGTTCCTGTTGCTTACTTAGGTACTCCGTAGTAGACTCGGATTTAATTACTGAGGTCCCTCAACTCCTCCAGGGCTGTCATAATGCGTGACCCCTGAGTCGCATTTCCCCCAAAAGTGGCGCCAATAGATTCTGCAGCTAGTCACATTCCATTCCCTTTTGCTGCCCACCCCGTCCGTCTAGTTCCGTTTGAGCTCCAGCAAAATGTGTGGTGGCAGTGATTTTCCTCGCTATTGGCCCCAGCCTGCAGACTCGAGAGGGGACTCGATCCCCTATGGGGCGCGATCGGCGCGGCCTGTTCCTTATTCTCAGTTTACCTCGCCCCTAGATCATGAGGCAGGTCCAGCGTGACAGCGTGAATAAATGTCCTAAACTGGCAATGGCTGAAATGCCAAACTAGCCTCTGCCGGTAATTTGAGCGCCCTGGAGTCATTAGATTGATATTTCCCCGTCTCAAGTAGTACTCCGGGGTGGCACTCGTCGCGCGTTCAGGGTCATTTTCGGCAATATCAATGTGGACCGCGTGGGATCTCGTTTCTTTTCCTTGAATTGTCATGCGCACTTTCTCCACGCTAGGTACATAGCTTGTTGGATCTAGAAGAAATTACCGAAGCTGAATGTGGACGCGTGGGTATAAGAAACCGTGCACCCCCACAGCATAATTTGCCTTGTACCCGCGTCTTTTATGATCAGTGCTTGGAGTCAAAATGCATTATGCTCCGGTGATCACGCTTGTTTCCCTAGTGTTATGTGTCCGTGGGCAGCTTTTGGACATCCCGGCTGTGGATGAGCTCGTCCAATCTGCCTTACGGCCCCTAGCAGACTGGACGGACTATGATGGCCCTACTGGAACTGCCTCCTCCGATCTGACCAAAAGCACCAAAGCCACCGTCCACGCCAACATTGCCATTGAAGCAGCAGCAGTAACAGACGCGTCGTATTGGCTTGCCAGCATTTCTCACCAAGGCAAAGCTGCTTTCAACTCAAACCCTTCCAGCTATACTGTTTTCCGCAATGTTTTGGACTATGGCGCCAAAGGTAACCTCCCCGTTATACTAAAATCCAGATACAATATTTACACTCTCTAGGTGACGGAGTGACCGATGATACTGCCGCAATCAACTCTGCAATCAGCTCTGGTGGCCGTTTTGGGCCTGCGAGTCGAGAGAGTTCGACCACAACCCCCGCGATTGTTTACTTCCCGGCGGGAACATACTTGATTTCTTCACCCATCATCGACTACTACTTCACTCAGCTAATTGGAAACCCAAATTCTATGCCCGTCATCAAGGCCACTGCCGGCTTTAGTGGACTTGGATTGATTGATGGAGACCAATACCAAAGCGACGGCAATCAAGGATGGACTTCAACGAACGTATTCTTTAGACAGATCCGCAATTTGAAACTGGACCTGACCAATATCCCCGCGAGCTCAGCTGCTACTGGAATTCATTGGCCAACTGGACAGGCGACCAGTATCCAGAATGTGGATATCGTTCTGAGCTCTGGTTCCGGGACCCAACACCAAGGTCTATTCATTGAGAACGGTGAGATGGACAACCCTTTCCCTTCAAACAATAAAACTGACTGAACTAGGCTCTGGTGGATTCTTGGCTGATATCACGATCACCGGCGGCCTGTACGGTGCCAATGTCGGCAACCAACAATTCACTATGCGCAACTTGGTAATTTCGGACGCAGTGACGGGTATCTCTCAAATCTGGGATTGGGGCTGGACTTACCAGGGTCTCACTATCACGAACTGCACCACTGCTATTTCAGTCAACAATGGCGGTGTTGGGAACCAGCTCGTCGGATCAGTCGTTGTCCTTGACAGTACCATTCAGGATTGCTCGACCTTCGTGACTAGTGCCTGGCAGTCCTCAACCTCAAGCAACGGAAGTCTTATCCTGGAGAATATTGCTCTTGAGAATGTCCCAGTCGCAGTCAAGGGCCCGAGTGGTACAGTCCTCGCTGGCGGCACCACCACAATTGGTGCTTGGGGACAAGGTCATAAGTATACTCCTAACGGACCTACCAACTTCCAAGGCACTTTCACTGCACCAACACGCCCCAGTGCACTGCTTGCGAGTGGATCATCACGCTACTATACAAAGAGCAAGCCCCAATATGAAGCATCCGCCCAGTCATTGTTCGTCAGCATTCGAAGTGCTGGCGCTACCGGAGATGGCTCTACAGACGATACATCTGCCATTCAAGCGGCTCTGACCTCGGCTGCATCTTCTGGCAAGATTGTGTTCTTCGATCAAGGAACATACAAGGTCACAAAGACGATATACTTCCCTCCTGGATCGCGCATCGTCGGAGAAGCATACCCGGTGATAATGGCAAGTGGAAGTACTTTCTCAAGCATCTCGAAACCCGTTCCAGTTATCCAAGTTGGCAAGTCCGGCGAATCAGGCTCGGTCGAGTGGTCTGATATGATTGTCAGCACGCAGGGATCTACTCCCGGTGCCGTTCTGATTGAATGGAACTTGGCTGCAGCTTCGGGCTCCGGCATGTGGGATGTTCACACTCGCATTGGTGGTTTCGCTGGCTCCCAGCAGCAGGTGGCTCAGTGCCCAACCTCTGCAGCCGTGTCTGCCGCTTGCGAGGTTGCTTACATGTCTATGCACATCACTAGTGGAGCCAGTGGGGTGTATCTAGACAACGTCTGGCTGTGGACGGCAGACCATGACCTTGACAGTGCGGATAATACTCAGATCTCCGTCTACTCTGGAAGAGGTCTGCTGGTTGAAGGTAAAAACATATGGCTGTAAGTTCACTGTCGGAATCTGAGCTTGCTTCGCCGCTAACTTTATCAGGTACGGAACCGGTGTTGAGCACCACTCGCTCTATCAGTATCAATTCTCAGGAGCCAATTCTGTTGTGGCAGGGTTCATCCAAACAGAAACACCGTAAGTAGTTTTGAAGTCTAATCATGCAGCCTTATTTCACATCTCACTAACAACCTTGTTAGATACTACCAACCCAGCCCCAATGCGGCAAATGGCCCTTACCCTACCAACTCCACTTTGAATGATCCAAACTATAGTAGCTGTCTCTCTGGAAACTGCGATGCCTTAGGACTACGTGTCCTCAATAGCAACAATATTAACATATACGGAGCAGGGCTGTACAGTTTCTTCAACCACTACAGCACCACTTGCTCAACTTTCCCGTTACCCGAGAACTGCCAAAGCGAAATATTTAGCATCGAGGGTAGCACGAGCAATTTGGTTGTATACGCGTTGAGTACAGTTGGCACGACGAACATGATTGTCAAGGATGGGATTTCTTTGGCTGTTGTCGGCGACAATTTGGACACTTACGCTGCCACTATTGCGTACTTTACTTTGTAACGGATACTTTTGATTCTTCTTTTGATTTGTATTTAATTATCGTTCGAGTTGAAATTATGTCATTTATCTCGACGTCTTTCATGGTATCTACTGGACTTCAAGCTAGAAATACCCCTAAGTGTCTAATCTCCGATCCACTTGGGCATTATGAGGTAATTTGGTATCCTGATAGCTTACTAGCTATTGTTCTGTACCTGCGTGTCTATAGTATACACTGAAGGTCTCCATTGTCTAACATCTATTCTACCATTGCAACATCTCCCTGCGTGAATTCTCAGGATCAAAAACGAGCGAATGGCTAAAATATACCTGCGCGTTGGGCTGCTCCTCGTCAAAGAAAGGCATACAGTGCGCTATTCTTGCCGCAGCGGGTATATCTGCACAGCTTGTTACGGCCTCGAGCCCTTCCTCTTCGATTTCAACCCATTTCGCCGCTATAGCCGCTATAGCGACGCTGTTCCACACTCCTTCCTGGACAGTCGAGGAGCGGAGCACACTGACAGCACGCCTTCGGATGTAGGGGTCGCGACAATGCGCCGCGACGTTAAACATACTTGCAATGATGCCGAAGTCGAGCGAAAATGTTTTGGACGAGGATCGATATGACGAGACCGAAGAAGATGGCGAAGATTGCGGGGATGAATGTGACTCATTGATCGACTCGCCCAGAGCCACCATCTGCTCGAAGTAAGGGCAGAATTCGTCCCAGGCGAAGATATTCTTTGCCTCCAACTCGCGGACAAGTGGTTGGGCATGGAGCGCTACGAAGCAGTCAAGCTTGCGTAACTGCAGAATGGCGGCTCCGCGGCGCTCACGGGTGGAAAGAGAGGCACTGCGCTTGTCGAGGAATTCTTCCAGGGCTGTGGACCAGCGTTCCAGTAATGAAAGCCCAGTATTGCGTAGGATAATAGCATCGCGGTCTAGATTGGAGATTGAATCCGCCATGGTCTCTGGATCTTGAGTTTTGAGTTGTCCCATTCGAGATATTCTTTCCGCGTCTTGCTGTCGGTACCAATAAGTGTAGATCTCGAGCATCTCGCGCGCGTCGGCTAAAGAAGCGAAAATGACGGGCCGGTCGAGGTCTATAGCCAGTTCGGGCCAGATATTGAATTGATCTGAGCGGATATGCTGCTCGGTCTGTCGAGAAACTTATTAGCAACGTTGTTGATAGGTGATGGGGTCGGTTTTTGAAAATGAATATTCGTACAACAATCGCCTGGCCCTGTAAGCGTGTGAACAAACCGCACAATACCCTCATGGGAATGTATGGGTTTCTATTCAAGTCCGAAGCAATAAATGGGCTTGATGCGTTTCTTCGGATCTCGGCGAGGATCTTTAGTCCGCTGGTGATATGCGTGATGGCTGGCCCGTAATGACCGCGCATGGCCTAAGCATTGAAGCTAGTACGCATCGCTCTGCGGGGAAAAGAACTTGAATGAAAGCGCACCTCAAAGCATGCGAATAGAATGCAGGATATTAGGCATACATCGAGGGGTTGTGAGCTGGTCGGTGTGGGCATTAGGCAGCGCATAGCAGATAGATATTGATGCAGGGCGAATGTGCCTTTAGCAGCCAATTGACCCGAGCGGAATGGAGTCACATCGCGTTCAAAGGTTTCATGGAGTGAACCTAGAGCCACGGTGACATGGCGAATGGCCGGTTCGTGGTGCACAGACTGTAGTAGTAATGATTCCCAGAAGGCGCACTCGAAGTCGCCGGCCAGCTGCGGGGCGGTCTTCTCTAGGAAGAATTGGAAGGATCGGCGCTCCCGATCGCTATTAAATAAACTATACCAGGGGACACTGGATGGCTGAACAGTGGGTCCTTTCGGTAGTAGTGAGTTTGATCGTGAAGTCGTTAAGCTCACGGATGGCTTAGTGTCTCCATAGCCATCGCATGGGCGGCCGGTGGATGTGCATCGCTGACAGGCCGGGCGTTCTTCATCGCATTTGACGCGTCGTTCTATTGGTTTCAGTGAGTAGTCAAAGAAGGAAAAAGGTTAATGCAAAGAGATGCGCCTCTCACTCCTAGATCCAGTCAGCAGGAGATCGTGCTGGGGCGGGGAGAACGGACTTGCAGGTCAAGCAGCCGGTCCTTGTCTTGGGCCGATATGCTCGTACCCGGGCCTCCGGATCTACTCGGGGCATCGTTCGCGCAAGCTGTGGGGGATAAGAGATTAAAGGTGGTATGGGTGGACGAACGAGGGGTCATCGGTGGCTTGAAAATTGTCGGTTAGGGGCGACGCGATTCAAGTTCCACTTTGTCAGCGATAAGGCTGGGCTTGCGGGGAATATTGGGAACATCCTAGGATGAGCCGACACAACCTTGAAGTTGAGACTAGATGTGTATTATTCTGGGTGCAGTTTATTTGTGTATTTGTTTTAGACAAAGAAAGAAAGAAGAAACCTAATTTGGATATCCCCTATTTCTAGTTGCGGATAATCTACGGTGGGATCTACTAGTACTCTTACGATTAGTCTGTATGGAAAACAGAATATATGGATAACCTTGGAACAGGCTATTTCTATCATTACCAACATTTTATAACATGAATAAACCCCCGAGGCGCTAGATGCGTAAAAATAATTTGACAATATTAAATATGCCCCCTAAACGTTCGAATGCTCTTGCAAAGTCTAAATAGAGTATGTCAGTGATCGTCATATTATACTGCAGAGAGAATTGCTAGTAGTACATACTATTTCATCATCCGATACTCTGGCCTTGGTGTGGGTTGTCATAGTCTTGCGTTGCTTACGACTCGGCATGTCACTATCCTTGCCCGGCATGATGCGGCCTGGGTGGACAGCGTTAAGAAGCACGAGTGCAATGAGCATTGGCAAGCTGTCGAGGCAATACTGGTACGCCTCGTGGAGAGGGATAGTGCTTGTCAGACCCTGCGAATATTCGGCCAAACGGAAACAGATTCGAAGCTGTATATCAATTAGTGTCATATTGTAATCGCATGGCAGCTTTTCGCTTACCGTGATCAAGGCGAGACACGCGTAGAGCACATATAAGAGAAGGAGAGCCTTCTTCATGTCGGGCCGTTGTTGCCGAATAATCTTGAGGTGAAAAACGATTGCACAGACGACAAAAATGAGAACAAAGAGCTGCTGGGCACCCACGCCACCCATATAAACGTGTAGTCCCATCATTTGCGTCTTGTATGAGATGTCGTTGCCTGCTGCCGTCGCAGCTCCATAGACCTGAACAATAAACGCGCTTTTTCATTATTAGCATGGAGCCAAGTTTGGAAGAAAAAGAGGGTCTCACATTATATCAAGGATAACGAAAGAAAGACCAAAGTGCCATGGTCGTACGCGCAAGACACGCGCATCATCGCTGAAGTTCCAGACCATTCGACCCATGACCATATAGACAAATGCGTTGGTCCATAGCGGTGCGATGAGAATCAAGATAAACCATGCAGCATAGTAGCCATAACTGGCCGGATTGAGAATACTCAGTACACGGAAGATATAGGTCAATGTTTGCACCGCTCCGGACATGGCGATAACCCAGCAGTATACTTTGCGATGCAGAATTGCCTGTGCGATATGGAAGAGAGTCGTCAAGCCGAGGAGGACGGTAAAAACGTATGCAGCGGCAACAGATGGACAAAATGACCACATAGTATTGGGGGTCGTTAAAGCTATTACTCGTTATTAACTTGTTTTTGACAAGGAATGCCATCACAGATCGGGGATGATTGTCCGTACCTTTGCACTGAGCCATGATGTCGGTGAAGCGTATGCCGCAAGTCAATGGTACTGATAATTATGGGAACGAATCTAATGAAGAGAATTCTAGAGATATGAATGATTTAAATACCAATCTGTTGCTTTCTTACTGCCTGATGAAAAGTCGTTGTTTGGCTTTGTCCATACGAGATTGGCCCCTAAAGGTGGGTCCGCACAGCCCTAAACTGTAGTCCCGATTGGCTAGTTCGTATGGACTAACTCCTAACTCATCTAAAATGATCTTGTCAGATTTCTCCACTCGATGTCTCCCATTTGCTAATTTTAGTTGAAAGAAAGCCACGTTTTGAGTGGGTGTACTTGAGACTGGGGCTTTTGCCGGAATCCATCTGACAGCCTACTATACGAGCCTCGAATTAGATGGCATTATTCTGCAAGATCATGGCTTAGACTCCATGCTAAACCAGCCACGAACAATTTACCTTTGGTGAAGCATAATGACAGCACCGAATAGCATACTAGAAACTCTAGGCAACTACTAAAATATTGAGAAGATTCTTTATGCTGAATAGAAAATTGAGAGAAGTCCACAGCGGGCAGTCAAACAAGGACTAAAGTAGACTAAGGATTCTAGGCCGATTTTCGGACCCCATTTCCATGGGCCGTCCACCGACCCAATACTATCCAAACCGACCCGAAGCTCTAGTAGTACTAGTATTCCTGGCACCTCTCACTTGGCTGTAAAAGCTGTGGACAATACGATCTATTTGATAGAATTGGCATAATGGAACTGCATAGCCACACATACAGATAGTATTTGAATTGTCCTGCGAATGATTGAATATCTCATAAAATTACTAGTCAGTTACTAGTTACTAGACATCCTAGTATACCTCAGGTTTCTCTGCTACACTTGAAATTAATGTGACTAGTACCACATCAAAGGGAATATTATAATCCATTTCGCGACAGAGGAAGAGCCATATATGCCCCCTTCAATCGTCTACGTGCTTTTATAGTTCATAAATATTTATCTGGGAAGAGTACTTACGCGTTGTTAGTTTGTTTTTTGCCGGCAGCGGATATGAATCCGGCGCGTGGGGGTGTGGGGTACCTCCGCAATGAGGGGTTTCCGGGCCATCTAAGACCGAGTAAAGGAGGGAAAGATTAGTTAGTTAGTATTGGATCGCAATCGGTTTCTTTGCCTTTTCACATCCGCAAAGCTTTTACACATCATGGCAGCCACCAAGGAATCGACGACGATTCCCTTCGATGCCCTTCCCCTCAACCCAAACGGCCCGCGAGGAAACGCCTGGGGCAGGTTTGGGCCAAAGGATGAACTTGGTACGCTCAACCTTCTCACTCCCGAGGTGATTGTGGAGGCTGCCAGAGAAATTAAGACGGGAGTGCGCATCTCTCTCGATTGGCCGCTTAGCATGCCCTCATATCCGAGCTTCAATCGCGACCCGTTCAAGCAGCAGATAATCCTCCGGCATCCCAACTGTATATACGACGACATCTTGTCCTTTAACAGCCAGGGCTCAACGCAGTGGGATGGATTCCGGCATTATGGTGAGTTGGCCGTTATCCTAGTACATGTTTTTGGAGGGATAGACTTACTAACCCGGTTCTTAGCAAATCAAAAGTCACGACAGTTTTATAACGGGCACACGACGGATGAAATTGAGAGCTCCGATGTCATTGGCATGCACAGTACGTGAATCCCACAAAATTGACACTTCTTATGCAAGGCTCCATAATTGACCAAGAAATACTAGCCGTTGCCGAGAATGGTGGTATAACTGGTCGCGGCGTTCTGCTTGACTTTGCCGAATGGGCCACATCAAACTCCATATCAGTATCTGCATTGAGTTCTGAAGCTATTACCCTGGAGCAACTGAAACTAGTGATCAAAGACCATAATCTTGAATTCAGGAGGGGCGATATCCTTTTCATCAGATGTGGATTTACTGCTGCATACAATGGCTTGGATGATGAACAGCGCGAAGCAATTCCGCAACGCGCGAGTCCTGATTTCAGCGGTGTGGAAGCGACAGAGGGGATGGTCCGCTGGTTGTGGGATCAACAATTTGCTGCTGTAGCCGGCGATGCGCCGAGCTTTGAACGAGCTCCAATCCGGGGTAGCCATGCTGATTCGGACTTCAATCTTCATGAATGGGTGTTGGCTGGGTGGGGAACTCCGATCGGTGAAATGTTTGACCTGGAGAAGCTATCTCAGCACTGTAAAGCGACTGGCAGATACAGCTTCTTTCTGTCTAGCATGCCTCTCAAGGTGAGTCAATATCTAATTTAATATGCCGTATGTATGCATGGAGGAGTGCTAATGGATCCATCAGGTTGTTGGTGGGGTGGCCAGCCCACCTAATGCTTTCGCTATTTTCTAACGCTTTGGTATCGAATGCAAAGGGATAAAAGGACAGAAAAATACACCGCTAAGGCAAAAGTTTTCACAAACTTAGTAGCGCTGAATAGTGATATTTTCAGTTTCTGACAATTCCACTGCTAAGCAATCGGCATCTCGGGCCCGTGGGATCAAGGGTCCGAAGACCCGATTGTCCGATAACCCCTTTAGTACCGGGAAGTTATTTTTCAAGATGCTCCGAAGGAGCAAACTCTTTCTGCATAGTTCTTCGAAAAACAGACTAGCCTAGTTTTGATATTTAATAACTACTATTATGCATTATTTTTGGAATATGAGAAGGTTGATTCCCTCCACCTCCCCGGTGTTAAGTCCACACATTCTTCATTTCTAACAGCCCAGCCACAATGTCGATAATGGTATTTGTAGTCGGTGGGTTGATGGTATAATTTTCTAAGAGACCTTTCAAGATATTGATCCAGTGCATCGAGATGGTGAAGAGTTTTGAGGTACAAGAAGGCCATTCTTCAGGGAAAGCAGGTGGTGATGAAGAGTATTCCGGATGGCGTTTGAATAGCTCATTGGTAGAAAGAGAGAATGTCTCCTGGAACTCGTGCGATAGTGCCTCCGAAAGCCGTTCGGATCTTGTCTGGGATGAGGGAGAGAAGCTGGACTCTGGATCATTGGCATTTCGAGCCCACAGCCGCACAATTTGTGCTAATTCCGTCGCATCGACGACATTGTGGCTTATGGAGATACATAGTCCCATTCCTCCATCAGCGAAGCGAAAGGTATTCGCGGCGAAAACAGGGATACCGGTTTTGAAAGATGTATCGTCGAGCATACTTGGAACAGGCCAGACATCAGCTGGGATGGCTTCTGCCGGCATTCCGCGGGAGGACGCATCTTCAATTGATGTCGATATGGCGCCTTTGCCAATGAGATTCGGCAGCTCGGCTTCACTATTCCATCGGACCTCAAGTAGAGGCGAGTGCTTCGTTGATGGGCCCTGGAAGACTTTTCCTGCTAACCAAGGAATTTGTTTGGAAAGTCTTTTCAGCCCATGTTGAAGCCTTTGGGTGATATGTGGCGTCGGCGATGTCTCCTTGAAAACGAATACTGCGCTGATGTAGGTCCTCGGCATGGACTGGTCCAACGGAGTAAGTTGCTTGACTGAAGTTGTAGCTGGCATGGTTTTGCAACAAAAAATGTCACAATCTCGGGCTGCGGTTTCGAGAAGCACCAGTATATGAATCTCAGATGGACGTCAGGATTTATACTATAAATAATGTGAGAATGAACTTTGAAAGCGCATGCCTAGTCAGGTCAGGTCAGTCCGGGGCCCCGGGGCCGTAGACCCGAGACCCCAATGGCCCGGGAACGCTCCAAGCTCATGGATATTTTAGTGGGATATAGAGACGAGGAATATTGAATAGTTGAAAACTTCAAGCTTGAGATCATGGATTACATTGGTAGTTTTGAGGTGTCGATCGTGATTGTCTTTACTCGGTGGACTGGACTGAAGGCGACGGGGTCTAAATAACTTGAACACGGGCTCAACAAGAGATAAGCTTAAATGCCAAGTGGCCAAGGAATTATAAGCATGCTACGGAGTATGTACATAGATGATGATCATCAATATTTGCCAGCACAATGTTCCCGGGCGGTAAAAAGCACCCAAGGCAAATCGCCAAGAGTTGCTTAGGCACTGGCAATCGAATCGTACTGCTTCCCCTGAGTAGGCGAGGAAGATTCGCAGGATGATGTCAGTGGGATTCGACACATACGGAAGTGATTGTCACTCTGAAAATAGAAGAACGCTCCAGAGCGCGTTTCTTCCTCGAACGTCAGTGGTGGAGTCGAAATTGAGTGGAGTTGACCCTGGCCCGCTCTTCCCACACGTATATTATCATTGGTTTGAGACCTTCCCAAGCCTTTCGGGTCTCCGTGCGCCACCAAGCCGATTGATTTTGGCATTTGGAGTATCAGGATGTAGTGTAGCCTCTTGGTTGCTGGAAAACATTCTGTGTGACCCTTCTAGAAGAGGTCTGTGTTCAGGCTATAATGGATGTGAGCGATCAATCATGCCTGCCGCCGAATCCCTGGGTGGAGAACACAGCCATTAATCTCCTGACGATCCATTGATCCAGTTGGTTGACGTGATTCGAAATGGGCCCCGGGGATCAAGGGTCTTGGCGAGTCATAACGTTCATAGCTACCCACCACACCTGATACCAGCGAATGGATCCTTGCAGACCCTTTTGCATGTCAAGATTGACGGTGATTACGTTCACCCCTTCTCCACTTTACCCAGGGTCAGACAGAGGTCAATTTAATATTTCTCAGGGATTTGCAGGTGACATAGCCGGGGCGGCGCAGCCCAGTCCCTGAGACTTGCCGCCCCGCAAACGCTGGTTTTTTTTTCGATTTCAACCCCAGACAAGCCTTTTCTCTTCTCCCAAAGGCTCGCGACTTGCGCAGGAGGCCTCCTTGATTTCTAATAGTACGACGCATATCATAGCGGAAACTCCGCAGGCCTCACGTCTACCTTACACAACGATTCGGTTCGCGGGCGCGATCTCCCGTCGCCATGTGGTTCAAGTCAACATGGACATATCTTCTTTACGGATTGTTGTTCGGACAAAAGGTCTCTGCGATTGATCTTCAGATCGACGACGAACGTGAGTTTCTTTTTCTTTTCAGCGCCCGATTGAGTGATGGCGACTAATTTCAGATTACGAACAATAGAGTCAGTCAAGGATGCTGCGTCACAGTCCATCTACGGAATCATGACTTGGTACAAGGGCAACGAAACGGGTCAGATTCCAGGCGGTTTCCCTGACAAGTGGTGGGAAGGTGCAGCTCTATTTCTCGCGCTGCTCAATTATTGGCATTTCACGGGCGACGATACCTATAACGATGAATTGAGTGTTGGCTTGCAATTTCAAGGTGGACCGAACGGCGACTATTGGACTAGCAACTACAGCTCATTTTTGGTAAGGCTTGTTACCCAGAAAATATGGCTCGGCTGTCAAAACTAATAGTTGGGTTTTGTAGGGCAACGATGATCAAATGTTCTGGGGTCTTGCAGCAATCCAAGCGGCCGAATCGAAGCTTCCAGATGTCTCGGATGGGCATTCCTGGCTCTCCCTTGCGCAGGGTGTCTTTAATGACCAAAAGAACCGATGGGATACGACAAAGTGCGGCGGTGGGCTACGCTGGCAGGCCTTTGTCTACCAAAGTGGATATACAATGAAGAACTCCGTGTCAAATGGCGGATTCTTCCAGCTGGCAGCGCGTCTTTACCGATATACCGGAGATGCTATATATAAAGAATGGGCAGAAAAAGTCTGGGACTGGTCGGCTAGCTCTATACTTATGAACAACAAGACCTGGGTTGTTCAAGACTCGGCCAATATGGATGACGACTGCACGACACCCGGCAGAATCCAGTGGACCTATAATTATGGTGTTTATTTAGGTGGAGCCGCTTATATGTACAACAAGGTCAGTATTATATTGTTGTTAAGCATGTTGAAGAGACCATACTCACAATTCTGTATATAGACCAGCGACGACAAATGGCTTACCGCTGTCAATGGTCTCCTAAAGACATCATTGCAGGACTTCTTCCCGTCGAAGTTCGGTGGTGTCATGCAGGAGGTAACTTGTGAGCCCTCGGAACAATGTAACAACAACGAAGTGTTGTTCAAGGGTCTGTTCTCCTGGTGGCTTGCATACACCGCGCTTTTGGTTCCGACGACCTATGATACGATTTTACCGAAATTGGAGACATCTGTTCAAGCGGCGGCAAAGTCCTGTTCCGGACTCGGCAACAATACCTGTGGTGTTCGCTGGTACATGTCCAAATATGATGGCATGAACGGAATGGAACAACAGATTGCCGCCAGCAATATCTTCAGCTCATACCTGGTCAAGTACGAGCATAGTGGCAACGGACCTGTGACCTCTACCACCGGAGGAGACAGTAAAAGTAACCCCAATGCTGGCGCAGAGAGTAACACCGACAAGAACAAAGCCAAGCCAGTCACATCAGGAGATAAAGCCGGAGCGGGAATCTTGACTGTGATAATGGTGGCTTCATGGGCAGGATTGATAGCCTTTGTGCTCATTGGCGGGTGATACGGTCGTGGAAAGTTGCCATTCTGCCGGCTGAAGACATCTGGCGTTGTTATTCTGTATATTTTATTCATCGTTTAGCGTTTTTAAATTTCTCAATTCAAGAAATCAACAGACAAATTGTCTTACTGCTAGTACCTCACCTTATTCATCTTGTATAATTAATCCATTCAAATTAACACTCATAGTATCCCCACCGGAGGAACGTTGTTCCTCCCATCCCCGCAGAACAAAGGTGAAACCGGCCAGTCCAACTACCTTGAGAACACTTTCGAATCAATTTATCTCAGGAATTGATCTCATTTTCGACGGGATGAACGATGAATCAGATCCCCCTCTCACACGATGTTGATCAACGTCATTGTGGCCACTTCTGGGTATGATCTCCTCGCCTCGGCGGATACAGTCGGTCTGACCAATCCAGGACCCTGACAACGCCTGGCTGTCGCCATGTGCATTGCCATACTTTGCCATTGCACCTGCGAGTGTGATTCTGATTATCGCTTTGCATCACTTATTTGGCCCCTTACTTCATCGATGGCGTCCCAAGTGGACTTTACCTTTCGTATCGGAAGATGAGCAGCAAGAAGAGCTCCCGCAGGAAGGACCCAAACACCGACCCCTTCATTGGACTATTACGCTCTTCGGATTCACGGCGGTTGGATTTTTTGCAGAAGCCTGGAACTGCTTATATTCAAGAGTCAATGTCTTTGAAATAATATACGTCGTGTCTTGGGTAGGTAAAGCGTATATAGTCTTGAACATCACTGACTCGATTCTAGGCTACAGCAGCCGCATTGATCGCCGCGAAAAGACCGAGATCATGTTCAATTCCTCTGCTGGCTTACTTCATTCTAACTCTGGCTGTTGATGTCTCTATGGCGACTCAGACCAACCTAAGCTCGAGATCTAAAGCAGTTGCCCATTATGTTGCCGCCAGTGCTGCTCTACTCAATGGGTTCATTATCCTACTCATGCCCTTTCGAACAAGCTCGGCCCCAATTTTCGAAATTAGCGCTGTCGGTCAGATCCCAAATAGCGACTTCCGCAGTCCAGAAGATAATCTTCGACTATGGCAATTTCTCACTGTTTCGTGGATGCAGCCGTTGATCTCCCTCGGGCGCAGCAGGCAATTGCATGAGCGTGATGTCTGGTTACTCGGCTTCGAGTTCCAACATCGCCGTCTCCATGAAAAGTTTCGTCGGCTCAAGGGATCTGTACTTGCTCGAACCCTCAGAGCGAATGGTCTGGATGTTCTCATCATTTCGACTATTGCCATTGTGCAGATGTTCTGTGATTTCTCAACTCCAGTGCTTCTGCAACAGCTCTTGAAATCGATGCAGGATCCGTCAAAGACTAAAAGAGTACCATTGACGTATGCATTTTTGTCGTTGGTGCTACGACTTGTTGCTGCGCAATCCCAAGTGTTGAATTTGTGGTACGGCCGGCGGTGCTACGAGAGGTCAAGAGGCGAAATGGTAATGATGGTTTATCAAAAGGCACTATCACGAAAGAATATTCTCGGCACACATGAAAAGGCAGGGGAAGTGCTGAATGAAGAAAATGACACTGCCAATGGGGATGCGACGCATAGTCCCGAGCCTTCCCCGGGAAAGCCTGGCCTCTGGCGTCGTCTTACTTCTAGGAAGTCGAAGCTGAAGCCGGACGATGCTAAAGAAGCTGCATCCCTGGGAAAGATTTTCAATCTTCTCCGAGGTGATGTTTATGACGTAGCTCAGCGATACTGGGAAATTGACAGTCTAATTGATAAGCCTCTGGGTTTGATTATAGCCGTGGTCCTGGTTTGGACGCTATTTGGCCCATCTTGCTTTCTGGGTATACTGTCTGTCTTGGCTGCTCAAGCAGCAAATGCCGTTGTTACCAAAATATTGCTTCGATATGAACGCGTCAAACGAGCCGCGACGGACGTTCGCTTGCAAATTACCTCGCAGTTTGTTGAGGCAATCCGTCATCTTCGGTGGTATGGGTGGCAAGACCATTGGTTGCGGCAAGTCATGGATGCTAGACAGCATGAGTTGAATTTGCGAATCATCACCGGCCTATGGAACATCTTGATCAGCTTCATCAATACATTCGCGAGTGGTGTTTTCCCCGTTCTCGCACTATACTCCTACACCGTCCTAGCCGGCCATGAACTGAGGATCGACATCATATTCCCTGCTTTGCAGCTGTTCTCCATGCTCGAAGCTCGCTTACGCGAGATTCCAAGCTTGATCACCACTCTGATCAATGCTTCAATCGCCCTGGGTCGTATCGAGGACTTCATGGCAGAGCCAGACAAAATTCACGATCCCGCGGATACTGCAGCCGAGCACATTCCATTCCACCTAGATTCTTGCACATATGCCTGGCCTGGAAAACTAACACCCGTGCTCAAAGAAGTCAGTTTGATCATACCCAAGGGCCTCACAGTCATCAGCGGCAAGGTAGGCGCAGGGAAAACAGCCTTCCTACAGTCGTTTCTAGGGGAGCTTGATCAGTTGGGAGGATCCTCTCGCATTCCAAACGAAATGGTGGGCTACTGCGCCCAGACACCGTGGTTACAAAGTATGAGCATTCGTGACAACATTCTATTCTCTTCGCCATATCAAGAGCAGCGCTACAAGAAGACACTGGAAGCATGTGCCCTCCTACCCGATCTTTCTCAATTCAAACATGGAGATCTGACTTTCATCGGTGAGAACGGCATTGGCCTCTCTGGAGGCCAAAAAGCGCGTGTGGCTCTAGCTCGTGCCGTGTACAGTGCCTCGAATGTGCTGCTGTTAGATGATCCTTTATCTGCGCTTGACCACAACACGGCTGAGTTTGTCACCCGAAAACTTTTGGATGGACAATTGGTTCAAGATCGTACTGTGGTCCTGGTGACACATCGTATGGGACTTGTTCGGGGTATTGCTGCGCAAATAGTCAATATCGTTGATGGGCACGTTACTGTCTATAACAAAAGCGCAATTGAAGCGTCTACCAATAAAACCGGGACTGAGACGTCGCTAGTCGACCTGTCGGGATCGGAAACTGAACAGGATTCCTCCAGTGAAGAAGAAGCTAGTGCGATTCCGGACAAGTTCATTGAGGAAGAGCACCGTGCCGAATGGGGTGTTAAAGCTCGAGTTTACTGGACTTATATCCGAGCTGCAAAATATCGGTGGTGGCTTGCCTTGGTTCTTGTTCTGACTGTGTATCGCCTAGCTGCTGTGGGGCAGTCATGGTTTCTCAAGGAATGGGGCGAAGCGTACAACCAGATACCCTTGACTCTGAATGAGTTCTTCGCCTGGGGTAAACCTCCTCCGTCTGGAGATGCCTTCCTCGCATCAGCATCTTATGGGGATTCTCATTTTATGTCGTGGAATCCCATGGATGGATTGCCCTCTCCAGGTGACAACGTCCGTCCTTGGCTTTGGGCTTTCTTCTGCATCGTCTCCTTCCAGGCAGCCACTCTTCTTTTTTCCCAAGGCTTGATGTTGGTAATCGTTTATTGTGCTGGCAAGTCATTGTTCCGACAAGTGATGACACGGGTCAGCCATGCGACCTTTAGATTCTTCGATGTCACTCCAGTGGGCCGATTGATGAATCGTCTCACATCTGATATTGGTGTTGTTGATGGTAACATCAGCTCGCAATTCCAAACCATCGCTTTCTATGCCATAACCTGGGTTTCATCGATTCTAGTCATTGCAACGGCTACTCCAACCTTTCTCGCATTCTCGTTGCTACTCACTGTAGTGTTTGTCCTGATTTTCCTGCGCTTCTTACCGACATCTCAGAGCTTGCGACGACTTGAAATGGTATCACTAACTCCGCTGTTGTCCAATTTCGGAGAGTTACTCCATGGACTGACCACCGTGCGTGCGTTTCGAGCCGAAGAGCGCTTCCAGGACCGAGTCATATCGGTAGTCGACAAATTCCAAGGCATGGATCACTTTTACTGGTCTTTGCAGGCCTGGCTTATGTACCGCTTCGAGAGTCTTTCTGCATTGTCAACTTTTGGACTAACCGTTTTGGCTCTCTACACCGACACGACACCCGGTCTTGTCGCGTTCGTGTTAATTGCTGCAAACTCCTTCGTGCAATCTACGCACGGTCTTTGCAAACAATATGGTCAGCTACAGATGGACTTTGTTTCGGTCGAACGAGTCGACGAGCTACTTCATGTCGAAGAAGAATCCCCAGGTACCATTGAACCACCTGCGGCATGGCCCAACTATGGCAGTGATGTTGTCTTTGAAAATGCTACCATGCGCTATGCGCCTCATCTCGACCCTTCACTGAAAGACATCACTCTCCGTATCCCCGGTGGATCCACTACGGCCATCATCGGTCGTACCGGCAGCGGCAAGTCAACGTTGGCAGTATCGCTGCTCAGTGTCATTCGACCAGAGTCCGGCCGGATTCTGATCGACAATATCAACATTGCAGATGTCAGCACCCAAGCACTACGCACTCGGGTCACATTTGTTGCGCAAGACCCTGTCCTTTTCCCGGGGAGTATCCGCGTCAATCTCGATCCCACGAATGACTTTTCCGATCGCCAATGCGCAGAAGTCTTAGAACGGCTTTGTGGTCGACATGGCTGGAACCTTGAAACGCATATTGAAGCCGGGGGTAAGAATCTCAGTCAAGGTCAACGACAACTCATCGCGCTCACACGGGCTGTTCTCCGACGCAGCGCTGTTGTGATTCTTGATGAGGCGACCGCATCGATCGATCATGAAACGTCGCTAGAAATCCAGCAAATTGTTCGCGAGGAGTTGGAGCTTTCGACGGTTATTACGATCGCGCACCGGGTCGAGGCTGTCAAGGATGCTGATTACTTTATCGAACTGGAGCAGGGGCGAGTACTTCGAGAAGGGCGCGTTGGGGAGTTGTAGATAGACTCAGAGCTTTGGTATATACCGCAGAGACTGTGAAAAGATTATTTCCTACGCACGGATAGTTTTTTTTTTTGGATAATGATGATAGCGATCACTTCTTTGTAACAAAGTAAGAGCTATTCGTCGTGCGCGTCATCCACAGCAAGGACGATTTGAACGCCGAGGGAAATGTATCTGTACAGATTTGTGGGTCATCAAAAAATAAAGGGTATCTAATTTACAGCTTGGCACCGCCCTGGGCCTTCTTCAGGATGGGCTCCATCTTGGTCGCCTTCATGATGTTGCCCTTGATCTTGAGCTTGCCACCCATGAACAGACGTTGGGCGTTGGCCTTTCCGGAGACCAGCTGGGCGAAGTCCTCGTCGGAGAGGTTCAGGGTGACTGTACACGTAAGAGAAATGGTTAGTTATGTTCCTCCCAGCATTCGTCTTGTATTCATATGGAAGCTCAACTCACCATCAGCCTTGCCACCGGCGGGAGCGGCACCCTCGCCGACCTCGCCCTTGTTCTTCAGGTCGAGGTACCAGCTCTTCTCCTCGCCCTTGGCGTTCTTCAGGTTGAAAGCGACGATGGCCTTGGCCTTATCGACGGCATCCTTGCGGTCGGCGTCGTTAGACTGGAGAGTCTGGTTGATCACGTCGAAGGCGGCGGATGAGGGGAAGGAATCTGTGAGGTGTCAGCGACAAGATGCGACAAGATTGAAGACAAGCGACGTACCGTTCTTGAGAGGCATGGTGAATGGAATTTGTGGAGTAGTAGTAGGAGTGGAGAGAAGTAAAAAGTTCCGGGGAAGAGAGGAGTAATAAATGAACAATTATTATAGCTGGTAGATGAAGCTGCCCACATGTGATCCGCCCATGACCGAGGCCCGCCTCCCCGTGATTCCGCGCTTTCTCCACACTCTCCTTCTTCCGTGCGGATACACATGAAATCCTTTCCCTCCGAGGGATCGACATCCCCATTTCCAATTTCCTTTGCCCCAACAGTTCTCGCGTGCCCTCGACGTCACCGCCAGCTTAGCACTGACACCGGTAGCAGCCGCTTCATAGGATCCGATCCCCCCCAAGACCTTATCACGCACCCGTGTCCTTGCCAAAACCCACGAACCATCCCTTGGTCGATCGACTGCTTGGAGAACCCTTTGAAATTGCTTCTGGCTGACTCCAGCCGGGCTCAAGACAATGGGGACGTTAAACGCGCTTTCGTGTTTCTGCGCCTCTTTCCAGTGGTCACTCCCGCTGAGCTGAGTTAAAGGTGCCAGTGCTTCGTCCCAGCTTCCCGTTCGCAAGGCGACGTCTTGAAGATTGAACTCGCGCAGGGAATGTCGATGATCGAGGATGAATGAAGCGATTTGAGATGCGTCAATAGTCACATTGACCAACTCCATCTCCTGGAGAGTGTGCAGTCTCAAAGGCCTGAGGGATACTCTGGCTTTCGGAATGCCACACACAGCCGCTCGTTTGTTGTATCGCCTTTGAAGCCATGGTTCTGTCGCCAGCGAGATCGGCGATAGTCCCTTATGGCCTTGCCAATGAAACCTCAATACACGGAGTGTGGGGAAGCTTTGCAAATAGGCATGGAGGAGCTTCAAGTGATCCGTGGGACCAACTTGGTAGGAGAAACTCGTCATGAGAATGGTCAAATGGCGTATCTGGTGCCAACGCCTACGCGAGGCAGGAGATGCGCCGAATCCCATCGTTGGCTGGAGGTACAGAACTGCTGCTGGATGAATAGAGATCAAAGAAAGCCTATCGAGTCGACTCAACGGTGCCTGCTCGACTGCCATCCGCAACGATATGAGCGCATAATCCACGATACTACGACGATACCGATGACTGGGTGGTTGACCCTCGCAATTGATGCGGAGATGTTGCAGGTTCGGCATCGACGACAGTGCTCTCACGAATGCATGGACATCGGTTGCTGCGTGGAATAAGGGCGGATACTGTTTCACCAACAGGTCGGTCATTTCCCAGGTTCCGTACCGTGGAATCTTTGGGGCCATCTCGCGACTCGGAGGCATGTATACGAAGGTCTGTTCCTTTCCCGTGGTCGAGTTGATCACCGGAGGTAAAAAGGTCTCCGGTGTGTGCGACATCTTAAAGGTTAGGGTGTGGATGTGTGTCCCAATCCGCCCGAGAACTGCAAGACGAGATGGCCTAGTCAACGTGCCACTGCGAAAGACAATTGTAGTATCTGCGAAGAGGAGTGGTGCTAATATTACAGCGAGATCTCGGCAGGCCAGGCGACATACTTTGAGATCATCCTGCGTCAAATACCGCACGAGCTTCGCTAGACTCGCTTGTGTTTTCCATAACTGAACTAACGCAGGTGCCATCATACCTCTGGTGAGTGGCTAACTAGTAGTTTCTGGCAATTCAAAGTTATCTACTTTCCTTATATCATTTCCTAGGGCATTTTCCCCCTTGGTCTGGACTAGTCTTAGTTTTCGTATTCTTGCCAAATCGTGGTACACTTCTGCATGGATGGTTTGAGACCAGGACGATAGCGGGATTTCTGTCTCCAGAGAGACTGTCTCATTGAGAATTCTTCTTCGAGCCACAGCCCAGAATGAGTCATTAGGCTCATGAGTCAAGGAAATGCAGTCTTGACGAGAATTAAGTAGCTAAGCGCTCTGTATACGTTCATGCAGTCCAAGTCCAGATGTACTCCTCACAGTCCGGAGACCATCGGAGGCGGGGAAACTACCCCAAACAGGCAATGACGATTTTCATATTTACGCGTATATTACTAGTACAGTGATGGCATAGAGGGATAATTTGATTCAGTTAATACTAGTAATTATATTAATATGAATATTCATATTTCTAGTCCTCTACTGTCTCTTAGTTGACAACTTGAAATAACCGCGTCAAATCTCCGCATCCTTCACATATCCCTCGTGGCAGTTCGCGCCGGGTCGGATGGATCTGATCTGATCAATCAGATTTTCACTTCGATCTCCCATTTACTTTGCCAGAGTATACTTCTTTTCTTCCTAGACATCATCTTCTTGTTTGATTCAACCTCAATCCTCCACGATTGCAGATCCCATCCAATTTCTGACCATCATCACTCTCTGTTGGTAAGTGCCAGCTGTCTCTCCCCTGTTTGCATCATCCATGCAGAGCCTCTCCAAATCAAAAGCCTCAGCCTCGCGCACCTGGGCAAAACCGCCGCTCCCATCGCGTCCCCGTCTATCACACCCGTGGCGCCTGCTCTGCTGCCTATTCCAATTCTCATTCTCATCCCCATTCTTATCCTCATCCTCATCTCATTTCCATCCCATCATCCCATCTCATCCCACTGGGGAATTCCCCACTCTCCACTAGGCCCCACCGCCTTCGCGTTTGCCTTGCGACTTTCTATCTACTTCTACTATTCAAAAGCTGACCCTCAGTCAGATACCTCTTCATTTATCCTGAAACAACGCCCTTCGCCGGCTCTGCTTTCGTCGAGGCAGGCCGGTGCTTGTGACTTTTCCTCTTGCATGATTTTGATTCCCGCCTCTGTTCACAGGCCAATCATCGCTTTGTTCTCATTTTTTGTGTCGATTTCCACTTACTGCGCCCGCTAAGAGTGTATAGAATATACATCTTCGGCTAAGATGGCATCTGACAAGAATTTCGAAGTGGAAGATCTCCTCGGGGACATCGAAACACGCAAATTTCTCTACGAAGAAGACCTTGCCAGTCAAGTCGACCCCGAACAGTTGGCCGAAGATGCCAGAATCCTCAAGGAGCTGGAGGCTCGACTCCAACGACTTTTGGGTAATGATACCCCAGATGCTTCGACAGAGCAAGAAAGTAACCAATCCCGTTCAACCCCACTGCCGGCATCACCCGTGGCACATACTGGAAGGTCGACAGCTTCCTCTTCCTCAACGGCATCGCCTGCCCCATCAACTCATCAAACTCCTGCTAGACCTCCCACGAGCAATGGATATGGCCCCTCGCACACTCAACCCGGAGATTCCTACATGCGAAGATGGCATGAAAGTCCTTCTCGTGCTCCGACTGCGGGCCCCTCGCGCACCCCCTCTACGGGCCGATCTCTATCCAGGCCCCAGTTCAATGCAAATGAAGACCCAGAACCTGATTTCTCGGTCCCTGATGCGTCTCGCAAGCGACCGCGTCATGATTCGATTTCCTCGCCTGTAGCGGCTCCGTCAAAACGACAGGCTCTAATTGACGAGTATGAAACTCGAATGGAGCAGTTGTCGGAAGACTTGGATCAGAAGCTGACAAAGATCCGCGAAGATTACGAGGAGAGGCGAAAGGACGTTGATGACCTTGAATTCAGGGCTATGGCCGGCGGAATCTCTATCTCGGAGGTCCTTGAGGCCCTGCAAGAGGAAATGGAAGAAGAGGAGCGAGTTGTTCGGAGGGATATCAACCTGGAACGAGATGGGGCTATGGCTCAAAAACTACAAGCGGAGGATTTGGGCGAGGATGAGCCCGCGACATACCCACCCGGCCAGTCAAACAGACCTACGCACCATCCTCTAGATCGACTCCCTTTCCGACCAACGGATCCTCAACGATTTGATGGGACTTTCAGGCCCGCCTCGTCGATTCCATTTTCATACAACCATCCTTACGCTCCTTTACCCCCTAGCCATCCTGAGATGCTGATATTAGGCGCGGGCCCTGATAAGCAAGCCCAGCCATTCCCTGGCAATCACTGGGATGACGATCTTCAAGAAATCTCAGGGGAATCTTTCAATGCGAGATTTGGAACCCAATTCAGAGATCCAAGAGGGTACGGATACCCATATCTGCCTTCCTCGGATTTCTCCACTGCCCGAAAACTTCCATGGGTATCGTCGGTATCGCCGTATCCCCGCAATTATACCAATGACTATACCCGCGACGCTGCAGGTCTCGCAATGAGCACCTTAGACGAGGCAAAGTTGAACTTTGAGGATGATGACATTGAGTATGTCTTTTATTCAATTTATACACAAAGGCTTCTTCCAAGATACTGACATGCATCTTCAGGCGTTACGAGGAACAAAACTTCCCGAAGGACATCAAGAATCTCCTCACGGGTATCAAAGATATCAGGGATGCTACAAATGCCGACACCGATGAGACTCCGAGTGCACTAAAGGTGACGTTGATGAAGCACCAAAAGATCGGCTTGAGGTGGATGAAGGCAAAGGAAGACAGTAGCCAAAAGGGTGGAATCCTGGCAGATGATATGGGTCTCGGCAAAACCATTCAAGCGATTGCGCTCATGACCGCCCGTCCGCCCACTGACCCTGAACGACACCCGTCCCTCATCGTTGCCCCAAAGGCTCTCATGGAGCAATGGAGACTCGAGATTGCCCGACATGTCAATCCCGGCAAACATAAGCTGTCGGTTTTCATTTTCCACGACAAGACTCGCCGCACCCCCTGGATGGACCTACGCAAAAATGATGTGATCATCACGACCTTTGGCACTTTAATGGCCAACCACAGGTACCTAGCTAAAGCTGAAGAAATGGAGAAAGCGGGCAGAGGCCCGGAGATCACCGACTTGTACCGTAACCAAGCGGTCTTCTTCACGCCCACGAGCAAATTCCACCGAGTTATTGTGGACGAGGCGCAAAACATCAAAAATCCCGCGGCAAAGAGCGGCAAAGCCTGTTGCGCCCTTGACGCTACCTTCCGTTGGTGTCTGACCGGAACGCCCATGATGAACAAGCTGGACGACTTCCAGTCTCTTCTCAAATTCCTTCGAATCAGGCCTTACAACCACAAAGAGAAATTCAAACGAGTAAGTATTCACAGAAAATTGTGTCCACATTGTCATGAAATTTCCTGGAAATTTCAATCCCGGCGCAATAGCAAAATTGTGTTACAAAAGCGAGACTAACAACGTGTGTACAGGATTTCCCCGTGCGTGTCGGCATGGTGGAAGAGAATATCATGAATCAGCTGCGTGTCCTGGTCAAATCTGTCTGTTTGCGACGTACAAAGACATCTCAGATCGATGGCCAGCCTATTCTTAACCTGCCGCCGAAGGTAATCGAGAAAGTCCACGTCGTGTTCAACGAATTTGAGAACGCAACATACACAGAGCTGAGCAACTCCACCCAAGAGAAGATCACCAAGTTGATCAACAGTGGTACCCTCGGCAAGAACTACACTCATGTGCTGGTTCTGCTCCTCCGACTGCGACAGGCATGCTGTCACCCACAGCTGTTGGACATCAACACTGACGACATCAGCACCGTTTCCGGGGTTGATCTAGTCGCGAATGCAAAACTCTTGACGGCTGACGTTGTAACACGCATCAAGAGCCTGGATGAAGAGGGTGATGAAGAAGCTGGGACGTGCCCGATTTGTATGGATAGTTCTGGAAATGCTGTCATCTACATTCCTTGTGGCCATTCGGTCTGTCGCGAATGCTTTGCGCGCATATCCGACCCCGCAGTGCTTGCCCGAGATGATACCTCAGGCCTGGTTAAGTGTCAGAACTGCCGTGGACCAGTCGATCCTGAGAAGATCACAGATCTGAACTCGTTTAAGCAAGCGCATGATCCGAATGCAGTGCCTGAGAAAGAGGTGAAGAAGAAAGATGATACATCGGATGATGACTCCGATACCGAATACGACTCCCAAGATGAGTCCGGTGAATCGGTGAAAAGGGGCAAGAGAAAATCCCTGGCCGTGCTACGACAGGCTGGCCAGAAAAATCAAAAGGAGAGACGCAAGTATCTTCGTCGTCTCGAGAAGACGTGGATTCCAAGCTCGAAGATTGAAAAATCCATGGAGATCCTGCAGGCAAACGAGGACCGAGGAAATGGCGAGAAAACCATCATCTTCAGCCAATTCACCTCGCTGCTCGATCTCTTGGAGGTTCCTATCAAGCGCCGGGGCTGGAAGTACGTGCGATTTGACGGGACGATGAAGGTGGATGATCGCAACGCCGCTGTTGCAGGTTTCACTGATGACCCTATGACGCGGGTCATGCTCGTTTCTCTGAAGGCTGGCAATGCCGGTTTGAATCTGGTCGCTGCGTCACACGTTATCATATTCGATCCCTTCTGGAATCCCTACGTTGAAGACCAGGCTATCGACCGAGCCCATCGTATCGGTCAAACGAAGGATGTATTTGTGCACCGATTGCTCATCGAGAACACTGTGGAGGATAGAATTGTTGAGCTTCAAGAGCAGAAGCGTGAGTTGATCAGTGGTGCCCTTGATGAGGGCGGTTCGATGAACGTGCAACGTTTGAGCGTTAGGGATCTGGCATATTTGTTTGTAAGTGAAAAAAGTACCATCGATTCACGTTCGAGGCAGTATCGACTATCGACTAACATTTCTTTCTCTCTAGGGAATTCAAGACGCTTGATTAGATGATGCTTGCTTGGAATAATGATTTTGTTTCCATTCTACTTGATGTTTCTATGCCTGTCTTCTATTCGATGTTTTGTCTTGTTCGGAAAGCGATACCCCCCGCCATGATCACCAGGTTTAAATACAGGTTGCTTGTTACATGTGTTCAGCAAGATCGAGAATCTCACTTCTTTGCCGTCCTGCTACGGCTTGTTCTTTTTATGGATTTTGTGTTGGGTTTACCTATTTTCGATTACTCTTCAGTGAGACCCGTAGGTAGTAGGGTTCTGGTGGCTCTTGCATTAGACACCTCTTTCTTACCAATTATGTAGCTTGACTAGGTGTGCGCCCAGGTGTTCAATATCAGACAAAGGATACATGAACATCAAAGTTGAAGGATTGTCATAGGCTCGGGGTTGAAAGGGCATTTGAGATATTTGTTTGGCCTCCACTAACTACATTTGACGATCATGCAATATTCTATCTCAGAGTCGCCATTCAGCATTGTAGATCTGCACCAGGTTGCAGAACGAAATCCAATTTGCTTGGCAAGCGCCTTTGTATTTTGATATGTAGAAGTAATGGTTTCTGGAGGTGGAGATGAGAGAGAACCTTGTTGAAAGAGGACTTGCTTTTTGTTTTAGATGCAGCACTCATTTCGGTGGGTGAGGGAGGGCGGGAAAAAAAGGCATTGAGATGGTAAGAGTCTAAGCTACTAAGGTTGGGGGGAGTGAAACAAAAAAAAAAAAAATGCATAATCGATCGTGCCGTCCCTTTCTTCAAACCGCCACTTTGCCCCAACCGCTTTCATTGTATCGTGATTCTGAGAGCGGGATTTTGCCACGGGGGACGTAAAAACCAAATAAAAAAAAGAAGATCATCCGGTCGGGTGGAGGGCTAATGCTCGTCTGATGGTCGTTTTAAAACTGTCGTATGGAGCATAGCCAAGAGTGACCAGAATTTCCGGGAGAGAGAAAACGCCGGCATTGAGGAGGTATAGGGGCCGCTTTACAGGTCGGCATCGTCCTCGTCGGGGAGGGGCATCTGAGCAGCGTCGTCCATCTCCTTCTTGTAAGCAGCGAGCTGCTCGTGGTCGACGGTGACCTCGGGAGGGGCGAGAGCGGGGGCAGCAACGAACTCCTGTAGGGGAGTGGTCAGTATTAATCTAATGGCGGTGTGCGATTAGAGATTAGTTTGGATAACGTACCAGCTGGGGGTTGCCGACCAGCTTGCGAGCGAGCCACAGGAAGGGCTTCTCGAAGTTGTAGTTGGACTTGGCGGAGATATCGTAGTACTGAAGGTTCTTCTTGCGGTGGAAGGTGATGGTCTTGGCCTTGACCTTGCGCTCCTTCACGTCAACCTTGTTACCGCAGAGAACAATGGGGATGTTCTCGCAGACACGGACGAGATCACCTAGAGAGTTGTTAATTTCAAATTATCCGAAAGAAAATCAAGACAAAGACCAAATTGGACGCGGGTGATCGCAATACTCACGGTGCCAGTTGGGAACGTTCTTGTAGGTGATACGGGAGGTAACGTCGAACATGATGATACCGGCCTGGCCGTTGATGTAGTAGCCATCACGGAGACCACCGAACTTCTCCTGACCGGCGGTATCCCAGACATCGAACTGAATGGTTCCCAGGTTCTATCGCACCGATCTGTTAGTCGACCGTCATCGGAGCGGGGTTTTCGGCGGGGCATAGCATACGGTAGTGAAGGTGAGGGGGTGAACTTCGACACCGAGAGTGGCGATGTACTTCTTCTCGAATTCACCAGTCAAGTGGCGCTTGACGAAAGTGGTCTATTGGGTTGGTTACGTTAGCGATGGCGTTGCGCCGGTGAGGCGAGCGTTGGGCAGATATTTTCCATCTTTGTTGACAAGATGGCGGGGCAAGGGAGGGGAGAAGAGGGGGGTGGAGGGATTGTTTCGGGAGAAGCGCAATGAGACGATCCAAGATAATATCAAAGGCTGATGACTTTGATGATGATCGCAAGGAAGTCGGCAGAGCCCCTCGCGAGGGAGTGAAGCCTGGGTAGACTCTGTTTTGAATCGATCTTACCTTACCAGTACCACCATCACCGACGAGGACGAGCTTGAAGGTAGGAGGAGTAGATTGGTCACCCATGGCGAATGTGATGTCAAAGACTGGATTCTGGGGAAAATAGGCGGAACGAAGATGAGAAACGTTGGTGGGGGGAGGAGAAAGAGGAAGGGGAATAATAATGCGAGAGCGCGGGTGTTCAGGGCTGCAATTTTTGCCAGATTAGTCAGCGAGCGGTCCAAGTGTGGCCTGACGTAGTTGGTGTTCGTTCTGTAGGGCTACTTTGATCTTTCAAGTTCACTTGGATCTTCTTCTACAGGAGTAATGAATTAAATAAACACCGTTCAAACTACTTTCAAGCTCAAGATAAATCCATAATTCATTAATCATTTCGGAAAAATAAAATAAGATAATAGAACAAAGAATGGGCTGCTCGGAAATCCTCCATTACACTTTACATGTCAGACCGGCGCCGCCTGTAGCCACGGCAACAGCAAGGAGTCAAGTCTACAGAGGAACTAGATGGCACCCCAACAGTCCTCGACCTCCCCAATTGCGCCGGGGGGAAGTTGCAGATCTAATGAGCTTGTTCCTGATCCACTCTCGTTCTTCCTTACCACCTTGACCAACACAGGACGCTAGAAGATAAATGCGGTTAGCAGATGTCGCATGGAAAAAAGGTGCAGAGCCTCCTGGAAGCTCATCCAGAATCAAAACCTACCCCTTCGTTTTGCTGAACGGTCTCGGCAACCTTGGACAGTCGCTCGTGATTCAACCAATTCGCATCACCAAAGCCTCGAATAGTATCCCCAGCCTTGAGACCTGCCTGGGCCGCTGGGCTGTTCGGTTCCACGCTATTGACCTTGGCGAAGGGTGTCCCTAGCGTGCCCGCATCTGCAATGCTGGTCGGAGTGGCCGCAACTGTCACCGGTGCAGCGGACGGCACACTAGATCCATTCGTGGTCGCAATACCTTGCGCATTTTGTAACTGGGCAAAATGGGCATGAAGACCTTTCTCTAGATACTTCATCACTTCCTTGTGGTCGTTTTGTAGGTGAATCATGCGGACGCGGGTCGTTCGGACTGAGTTCTCGTTTTAGGACTTTGAAGTTGATCAGCACCGGGTCTTTTGCGTACCTTGGGCGATGTCAATGTCGTCGCGCGGGTATCCATCGAAAGTTGTAAGGGACGATTTCATGCTAACACCATGCTTCATATCCAAAAGTGTCAGTTGGTCAACAGTGTCAAAGGCGGGGTTGGTAGCTCTCACGGTGGTGAGGACGCTGCTCAGCGCACTCAGCTCCTCCTCAATCCGTTCCTTCTCCTGCATCAACTTCGGCATGGATAGCTTAGATGCATCGTAGGGAGTGCCCCCGGACGTTGGTCCGGAGGCGACAGTAGGGGCGTGGATGTTCTCGTCCATGGGGATGCCCATAGTAGAAGGTGGGGAAGATCAAACCATCGCGGCGTCAAGGGCGGTGGGTCTCGCTTCGATTTATATAAGCGCTGCCGCCTGGCGCGATTACAGAGACGCCATTGATGAATAGTACCTCTTCCTGCCAGTGAGTACTACTCCTGCCAATGGTAGGATCCTTAGATTATTTTGAATTTCTCAGTTTTGTCAAGGTTCTACATGAAGATCTCAGCTCTACTTGCCGCCAGTACTAGTACTACTAGCAGTATACTTCCAGGGGCAACTACTAGTTACGGCCTAGGTAGTCCATAGGACAGTCAAACACATCAAATGCATCATGATCCTTTTAAACACGGTCTTCTGAATGTCTTTATATTTCTATGATAAAATAATTGCCCAGGTATGTGAAAAGTACGAGTGGTTTTCCTTCCCCCCGTGACAGCCTGAGCGTACTACTAGTAGGTAGTAGCGAGTGCCGCCTGCAGAAGAACTTCAAGTTTCAGCAAGAATTTGTCACGGTTACAATCGGGGTTCGAGTTCCACTAAATGCTCTCCCAACCCTTACCACAATGGCACATCCCTGTCATGAGCATAGCAACCCGATTTGAATCTCACCTGTTGAACTGCCTCGCGCCATGACGTACATGGATGAGATGCAAATGGCCCTGCGGAATTCTCGCAGCTGCCTGAAGCCGCAATGCTTCCAGGGCCGTTCACTACCCGTCCACCATGATTTTCTTTCATTGAATTTGAGTCAACTTGGAATACAAGTACTCCCAAGGAATTCCCCGTTCAATGCAACTTCATCTTGTTCAAAGGTGCTGTGCTCCATCGCGACTGCCAAACCATGAGATCGATTTCGGGTCCACCGATTTGTTTTGGTCGGGTTCATCCTCGCTCATATTACCATCTTCCCTCATGACACTTCGAGTCGGGTCCTCAGACTGCAATCACGGGCTGGCCCCTTGGAGGCACGATGGTTGGCGCCGATAAAGATGATGCAGATGATGCATCCGAGAGCGAAAGGCTTTTGCTGGCTATGAAGGACGAACCAGAGCCGACGCGCAACGAGGTGGATCAAGAATTCTCACCAAAGACGGCCCCAAACCTCCCGTTCAAAAAATGGATGGACAGTTTTCGCACGCGCAAACGGATACCCCCAACAAATCCGGAAAGATTCGTGGCGGGCTGGCCAGACTCACCCCCGTCAGATATATCCACACGGAACCAGTTCAACCAGCTTCCAGCTCTGTCACAAGAGCAGCATTGGGAAAGATCATCGAATCACTCCTCACACCTAGGCATTGTCAAAACTACAACTTTGAGTATTGCAAGTCCGAGCGTGGCAAGGTCTCGAGCCAATACTCAGAGTACAACTAGCCAAAGTGCCACATCGCCCGTTCGTGCTTCAGCAGACAGCTCTCGACCAACGTCAAATACATATGTGGACGAAGCCGCAGAGCAACGCGCGACAAAAAGGCGCCAGCTTCTTCGAGAGGTTCTTTCAACGGAAGCTGACTATGTTCAGGGCTTGACTGCCCTCACGGGAGTAAATTCTGCTCCCGGATATCTCTCTCATGAACACAAGAAGCTAATGAAGTTCGAAGGTACTCCCAATGCTCAATATCAGACCTCAGATATATCATAATATCCAGAAGATCCGTGAGATTCATGAAAGTTTCTTGGCTCAACTTCAAACGATATCACCCATGTCGGCTGGTCCGATCCCAGAAGCCCTCCCAGATTTTCTTCCTCGGGGTAGCATTTCAAAGCGACTGAGCGTGTCTGGCCTGAAAGGTCTGCATAATAGATCGCTTAGGACTCGAAGGTTCAAAGCGGCATTTGATCAGCATCTGAAAGCTCTTGTTGCAGAGCCGATGGAATGCCTTGAAGTCGTTCGCGAGATTGACAAACTGGTAAGTCACTAGTACAGTGCAGGCAATCCAAAAGGTCCTAACCGTACAATTATACTGCAGTCGGTGTCTTTTTCCGCATACGAGGAATTTTGCAGCAATTATGAGCTTCTCACACAGGACGTGGCTCTCTTACGCCGGTCGATCCCCAACTGGACAGTCTTTGAACAGGGAATTGAAGCCTTGTCAAAGTCGGTTGTCTCAACTGAGAACCGAAAGAATGACGACAACCGCTCTATGCTAATGAATGACTTGATGATCAAGGTGTGTAGTTTCTTCACCCTGATTGGAAACAATTTGAAACACTGACAGATTTACTAGCCGATCCAACGTCTTTGCAAATACCCTCTTCTCCTTCAAGATCTCCTTCGATGTACCCCTGTTGGTGACTGTCCAACCTCTCACGATGAGATTCATCAAGTTTTGGAAAGCCTGCGTATAATGGTAGCACGAATCAACTCGGCAACCGGCAACCCGATCAACAAAGATCGCATTCATAAAACTATACTGCTGCAAGGGAAGATTGACTTCTCCGAAACGGTATGTACTTCCAACTCCCAGTGATTTGATTATTATTGACCATGCGGAATGAATAACAGATCATACTTCAAGATGTATATAAAGAGCTTGGTCCAATGACTTTATGTGGTGTTCTGCATGTCACCTATCAGACGCCGGAGCAGACGATTGGCGATTTCATGGTCTGCATACTTTTCAAATGCTACTTTATTCTGGCCAAAGGAACCGATGATCCCAGGCGCTTGGAAATAGTTGCCTGTATCTACATGGATGACCTGAAAATGGATTACATCCAGAACGGCCGAGGTATGACAACCCCCGCTAGATCTCATCAAGAAAGCAATCTAACATTCTCAGGGTTATTCTGCTACGGATGTCCCTTCTCATGGAAGTTGATTTTCCAAGAGCAAGAAGAGAGCTACGAGTTTGTCCTGAGTGCGTCATCTGCCGCGGAGGAAAAACATTGGAAGACCGAGATTCTGAGATCTTCTGCGGCCTTGAGCGAGATGGCCAGACCAGGCGGTGTTTGGAATCCGCGGAGGTATTCCTTTGTCAACTTTCTGCTGGTTCCCTTGGATCGAGCTCAGTATTCGGTGTCTTCCATCGCTCGGAGATCGTCAATGGATTCTATGTCGATATCGCGCAAGTTCAATATCCAACAGGTCATGATCAAAAAGACGCACTACCCCCACAACCACGACGAACCCACCAACCCACCAGGCAGTGAGATCGAAAGGCCGAAGACGCCGATACGCGGCATATTGACTATAGCTGCCCGACGAATTGACAGAATCCGATTGGAGAAGACGATCGCGAATGTTTACACCCACGATGTGCTACCCTTTCCAGGCATGGCGCTAGGTCGAGGAGACTTGTTTCGTCGGGGATCGCTCATGCGGCGCCTCAGTTTCCACGGAGGTTTTAGTCGAAGGTCTACTTCCGGGAGTGCATCTCACACTGGGCCGCTTGTGATAGATGGGAGTGCTGTCGCGGAGTATGGATGCGAGGAAAAAGAACTGATGGGGGGGTCAAGATGGATGTGACGACCCTTCATGTTCGCCGGAGACGGAGCACGCGTCACCTAAGACCCCCCGAACACCCACATCAATGAGTGGTCGGTCTAAAACACTTCGACTTCGAAGTTCAAAGAAGTATATGGGGTCGGCGCCCACATCACCACGCAGCGAGAAGCGTTCGAGTCAGGGCAGTGCCGAAATGTCTCCGACGCGGAAGAAATGGACGTCACCTTTGAGCTTGTTTGGAGCTCTCTCACCGAAGGGATTGGTACGAGCGCGACCCACGATGGGCCCAGCCTGGGACAGGGGAGTAAATGAAGGTGGAGGTACTTAGGTCATGGGTGGGTAGTATGGTATTCTGTAGTTTCAAGCATGGGTGGGGGGAAGAGGAAGACGAAGTGGAAGTGGAAGCCAGAAGGCATTGTTATTAGCTTGGCAGAACGTAATGTGGAAGAGAGACAATCAATTGAATTCCAAAGTGTCTCCACTCTGCAGTGCATTCATCAAAAATAGATGACGTTGTAGAAAAGCAGGGAGCCGCTCAGAAGGGAAAGCTCCCTGATGACCAGCTCCAACACTGACGTCACTCTCCATCATCCCGCCCTTTTAAAGCTTTCCCCGCTGCAACATCAGTTCACTTAACCTGTCAACCTTCTTCTCATAACTCCAAACTCCTCAATACTTTATTCCAATCCCAATTCCAATTCCAATTCCAATATGCCTCGTGGAAACGATACCGCCTCCAAAGTCTTTTACAAGGGCAAGTCGGAGGACTTTGTTGTCTTCGTCGATGATGTTGAGATCCTGAAGAAGTGGAGAAATGACCGCAGCATCGCGCTCTCTGATGTCGTGAATGGCTGGAAGATCTTCGTCACACACCGGTATGTTTTCCTACACCCATATCCATTTGCAAGCCTAGAGTATAACCATCTAACTGTGAATAGTCACGGTGCCCAGGGTATCATGGACACCGCCTCCAAGGCCGCCCTGGAGGACGAGTTCGGCTCCCACAAGGAGGAGGACTGCATGGTTAAGATCCTGGAAGGCGGAGAGCACCAGGCTGTTACAGTAAGCCAAGCCCAACTCGAGAGTCTCAACTCATCCCATACTAATCATGTCACACTAGGCCCGCGAGCGCGAGGGAGTTAAGAACGACTCCCGGTAAATTCAAACTACAACTCAAGCATGATGGAATGGCACATAACCCTGCTCCTTTGATCATTGTAATATCCCTTTGATTCCATCACCGTGCTGTCGGAGCTGCGGGATGTCCATGCATTCACTGGCGCCGGCTGCCACCTTTCTTGCAATACAATGCATGGGAATCGTCGTCGATTGAAAGCTCGGCCTTGAGAGTGATGTGGGATGTGATGGTCGAATCGGAAATATGGGTTGATGTGCATCCTAGCAGTGACAGGCTACGATACCTGAAATATCATGATATAATGAAAGGCGAGCTATGAAACTCGTCACATATGTATTCCAAATACCAACAAAGTTCAAACATGTTGTCTTCCTGTAGTCGACCTCGGAAATTGCTGTAGAATTGTCGCTAACCCAATCCATGGATTCAAGTTGCTCTGCAAAACAGCTATCTACCTAGCACGCGGGGCTGCGTAGATCCTACCCCTCTCCTTGCCAAGGTTCAATGAACCCATAGCTCCCGAGTACCCGGCCATCCGGATTCGGATGATTTCAACCTTCAAGTTGGGGAAGAGGCATATCTTACCACCTCCACCTTTACTACGCAATACATCAAGCCTTCAAGTTAGCCTTCCAAGGCTTGAAGTTAAACTAACGCCCCGGGCCACACATTGCATTAACTAGACAGAAGACATCAGAATCATTATGCATTATTTCTTCATATAGAAGCCAAGTATCTAAATACCATCCTCTACACCAGCATGTAAATGCTCATCAAGTCGCGTACCAAGCCCACCGGCAACCGAGCTCCTTTGAACCCTCCTTTTAACCACCCAACTCCCCAACTCAGCCCAAACAGCCTCCTTCTGCGCAAAACTCATACCAGCAGCCAAGGCACTGGTAGTCGTCGCGACAAAGACAGGCGCCCCACCCCATTCAGAACTCCCAGTAACCCGCCCCATATTCTCCGCATCATCTTGCCATCCATACCGGAACTGCTCTTTCCGAATCGCGCGCCCATGCCTGACGCGCCAGATGGCTTCCCATATACTCTTGCCAACGAGACAGACGGCCTCGGGCCGCTGGGCTGCGATCTTCGCTTCGAGAATGGGCACGCCGGCGTCCATTTCGGCTCTTGTCAACATGCTCGCATCGCGAGTCGGTCTTGCCACGATATTCGTGTTGCCGATGTTGTAGAGGGTGGGAAGTTTGTATGTGTCGGAGGGTGGGTGACGGATTGGCGTTATTCCTGAGGCGTGGAGGAGTTTCCAGAATAGATTGGATGGGTGGGCGTAGGAGTAGCCGGTTGTGCCGGTCAAGGTTCCTGGGTTCACGCCTACGAGGAGGAGGGTTAGGTTTGCTGGGATTGTGTCGCGGAGGAGGGAGTCAGCGGCTGTTGAGGGGGTTGATGGTGGGGAAGATTTGCGACGGCGAGCTTTCTTCGTTGGGGATGTGTTTATTACTGTAGATGTTGTAGAGGAGGAACGAGAGCGGGTTGTGCGAGTTGTTGATGGTGGATGGGTAATGTTGGTGGTCGTTGAGAGGGATTCGGAAATGCTTGTGTCAGTTCTCTGGCGCTTGAGATTGGCTGGTTTGATGGAGGATTCAGTGGGCTTATTGACCGAGTGCATAAATTGATTCAGTCTGCCATTAAAGGTGGTGGTTTTGTTGACTGGGACATCTTCCGTCTCTAGATCGATATCATGTTGCAACTCCGAGCAGCCTTCTTGAGAGGGGCTGAGTGGGGACATTTCAATCAATATATACGAGACTGTGCTCTATTATCAGCCCCGGCGATTAGTCTTAGCTTCGGGAGGTGGAATCAACGTTGTGTCCATCGATTGTGGTGTTGTGAATTGCCAACAGGACCCGAGGCAGATCCATTTTGGGTATGACATCACGTGTAAACATGGTAGCCATAAATATCAGGTATCAACTTACTTTTTGTAGAGCAACTGCAAGACAAAGCGATTAAAAGCAATTATGAATATTTGCTTGGTATGAATTGAATTAAGAACTTGAAATCCCACGGAAGGTGAGGTGTCATATAAGATTGTGCCTGTTAAGATAAATGAATGGAATGCCGTTAACAAAATTTACTAAGAGATGCGTTTCTCGACACCCAAAGGTCAAGTAATTTATTCAGAGTAGAGCAGAAAGACGGGTATAAACTGTATGTTCGTTGTCGTTAATTATTATTATATACATGATCTGCGTCTGGAGTGATCATTATTCCAGACCGAATAGGAATGCTATCCTTTGAGCAATCCTGAGCGCTTTGGTAATGTCCATGGCTCTGCACACACAACCTGAACATAATGTTAGCCTTTGCGGGAGGGAAATTTGAACATCTGAATCAACATACCTCGCCTTCGCTATATGCCCAAAAATATACTCCAATCCCCACTAAATAGTATAAAGCCGGATCGGTGCCTTGATAGAGTAGGGCTGCGAAGAGAGCGCTGAGCGGGTAAACGATGAGTCGAATTTCGATGCTGCGATGTGGAAATGTCCCAGCAAGAGGTTTCAAGGGCCATTCCCAGGCTAACCCGACGATGCCCATTATAAGATTGAGGGTTTGGAGGACAGGGACTGGCGCGACGGCAGCGTCGAGGTTCTTCGATAGAAAATCCCAAAACACCTTTGGCCATATATAGCCTTCGATTGCGCTGGCAATTTGGTCTATTAAAATCATATGTCAGTCGCTCCGCATAACAATGAAGTTTGGAAGATCAACCTATCGAGACATACAGGCTGAGGCGGCGAGGATAATTAACCGCCCCCAGTGATTCTTGATGAGTCTTCCCATGGTGATGCGTTATATTGTGAGAGGCAGTTCAAGTTTTGGCTGAGTCTTTCGTCCAGCGAAAGATTATAATGGTAGGCGAGGGAGTACTCGAAGCGGCATCCGCTCAGACTGAAGCGATAGGACACCCAATGTAGAGCGTTTGATATTTGTGCAAATACCAATGACCCATAAAATGATCTGAGTGGGTTCTAGAAATTCATCGAGTATCGTTGTGGGTGCTGATATTAGGATATTGTCATGATGGCATGGTAGAGGCGGAGAAGGTACTGGAGTGGGATGCTGCAGTACCAGCAGGAGGGGAATGAATACATTCTATACTTAGACCCGCCCGACCAAGTGCAGGCGAGCCAGTGCGAATCAAGCCAAGCTACAAGAATACTGCAATGCGCCATAAAGGTGACTGATGCACGTCCAGCGACTGTCGACGGACGGCATATCGAGAATAGTACGGAGTAGGGCTCGTTGTGATCCGCACGGATGCATCTAAGCGCTGGAGGCCAATCAGTACCTTGGGTCGGGTCTGATCTTTGACATCCCCTCACCTGGATTTTCTTCATCAGGGTTGATGTGCGGTGTGATTGGGGGATGGGCGATGTGACGGAGCGGATCGCGATACGCCCGTGCACAAATCAGAAGCCGCATCGTTGTGACTTGGCGTGATGAGCTGCAGGCCGAAGCACACGCTTACAGGGGGAGGGGGTTGGGGTTTCACGCACATTCTTATTGTCAAGAAGGGCTTTATTGGTGAGTCTCCGGTAGCTATACATACATCGCTCTGCCTAAGCGTTTTCAGGTTGTTGCAGAGGCAAGATGTTGAATTTACAATGCGACGAGGTCAGATGACCGACCCAGCCCTGACTCGATGTGGTCCAGGTTTTTGTTTCACACCCACTTCTCTGTACCACTGGTGGCGTGTACGGTGAGATGTGCCATTTCTACGGAGTGATCAAGCTGAAATGGCAATTGGGACTGTGATGGAGAAGGTGATGTGCGATGCCAAGTGGAACTGTGATTGTCTGTAGGAAGTGGAAAGCAATTGGGGAATTCGAGATAGCGGTCGAGTCACGCCACTGTTAAGCCTTAGAAAGGCTATAATTGGATTCACTACGGAGAAACTCACCCAAACGGTGCCTCAACCGACCAAGTTGAGTGATTAGACCTCCCTCACCGACTTGTATGGCCCCGAAGTTCCCGTGTGACAATGGCCAGCGGCTGCAGGATATCTTCTATAGGCTGGCACTAAAGTAACGCTTCGCGTTAGCTTCATTTGGCGCTGACCATTCACCAACCTTGCCATTATTATTTTGCATGGCTTTCTTCCTATCCTTCTATTCGGAGTCTTTCTTTTGGTAGCCTCGGACTGGTTGTTACCGTCGAAGCGTTGCCCCGCTATGAAGCTGCCCAAAACGAACATTGGTTTGGTTCACGCTGTGGGGAGGAGCAGCACAATCTTTGCGTTTTTAGACCGAATTAATTTTCCACCTACTACCTCGTAATGGAAACGTAGATCAAGATAGAAATAGTCAACTCCCCCCCACTGACCCACAGCTGTAATTCCGTCACGAACTTATGAGATCACTGTGGGCTGCCACGTTCAATGCATGTCAATGTTCTTGTTCAATCCTGGCGCCAAGATGATTGATTACGGTTGCTCCGTATGGAGAGAGCGAAGGGTCTTTAAAACAGGGCCAAGAATAGAGGAAGATAATGGAAACGAGAAAAAATGGTAAGATTTGACGAGCCTAAGCCAGAAAAGAAGCCGGATAGCGAGCACCAGCCTCCTATTTTGGGCATTGGAAGGGTTCTGCGACCACCAGGCCACACCTATCACATCGTGGAGCAACCATAGCGAACAAAGAGATTTTGCAGAGCACGGACATAGAGTTTAGTCAATCGATTGGTCTCGAAAGCCACTGGCTTTTCGGTTGCTGTGCCCGCCAGAAGCGATGTAATTATAGATCGGCCCCCCTCACCCCTGCAGGTAAAACCACAACGCTGGGATTCCTCAACCTCCATCCACCTTCGGCCTTGCCTTTCCCCAGTTTGCCCATCTATTCCAACCATGATCGCATGGCACCCAAGTACCTCCAATACTACACCAAGTAACTAGACATTACTTTGTCCTTGGGTACATACCTCATTCCACCTTGTGGTAGAGCAACGCCTTCTGGGGCCGGCGCGCGACATCTCAAAACGAAGCCCGACTACCTGTTGCATCAGTACTAAGCTAAAACTGAAGGCCTAATCTGTTCCACCGATTCTCAAACTCGTGAAGCAAATTCTTGATTTAACCATCAACACGAAGTACCCCGTTCGGTGGGGAAGATTACGCTCCGCGTCACGTTCATGGAGAAGCGACGACGCCGACGACTGATCTACTTACGCTTCAACTAATTCAACTCTGGAGCGTACTCAGAACAAAATCAAAAACTGTTGCTTTTTTGATTGTTTCGACGTAGAGTTTTGTCGACGAACTCAGGTTGCTGGTCAACCGCGACGCTTGTTTTTCCTTTATTCTTCAAGTCGTCGCTGGCCGACGTCCCCCAAACACTCAGTACGACAAAATGGTCGCACCTAATGATTCTTGGCTAAAAAAAGCCGACCTGAGACCTTCCAAGGTTATTTTCTATATCGGGTTCTGGGTGTTCCATTTAGGCATTTTCGCTCTGGGATGGTGAGTCTTCGAACCCAAGACCAACTAACAGGCATGTGGCTAATGTGAAACTAGGTATCTGCAAGCTTCAAGCAAAAAGTTAGAAGGTCTTAATGTCCTCAGATACTCTGTCTGGATCTCCAGAGGTGCTGGGCTTGTTCTCTCGGTCGATGCAACGGTTATCCTGTTGCCCATGTGTCGCAATGTCTTGCGATGGCTCAGACCTCAGATCAGGTGGCTCCCGCTAGACGAGTCAGCTTGGTTTCATCGTCAAGTTGCTTATTCTTTGCTTGTATTTTCTGGAATCCATACTGCTGCTCACTATGTTAAGTATGTTGAGGACCCAATGCTCGTACCGAATTCCGACTAACAGATATCAGCTTTTACAACATCGAGAAAAACCATGTTCGCCCTGAACTGGCTGTTCAAATCCATTATACTCAAGCAGCCGGCATCACAGGACATGTCATGTTACTTTGTATGCTCTTGATGTATACCACTGCGCATCATCGTATCCGCCAGCAAGCCTACGAAACCTTCTGGTATACGCATCATCTTTTCATTCCCTTCCTCCTGGCTCTCTATACCCATACTACCGGATGCTTCGTGCGTGACACCGCAGAACCTTTCTCCCCATTCGCTGGCAAGGAATTCTGGGATCATTGTCTGGGATACGAAGGCTGGAGATGGGAGCTTGTGGGCGCAGCTTTCTACCTCTGCGAACGACTCTATCGCGAGATTCGCTCTCGCCGGGAAACAGTGATAACCAAGGTTATTCGTCATCCTTATGGTATGTGTCATAGCGCCCATAATATTGAGACTTTGTGCTAATTGCTGTTACAGCTGCCATGGAAATTCAATTCTATAAGCCGACTATGAAGTACAAGGCCGGACAATGGCTTTTCCTTCAGGTCCCCGACGTGTCCAGCACACAATGGCACCCTTTCACCATCACATCCTGCCCCTTTGACGAATACCTCAGTGTTCATGTCCGTCAAGTGGGAGACTTCACCCGAGCTCTTGGAGACGCGCTTGGATGTGGTCCCGCGCAGGCCCGAGATCTCGAAGGCCTTGACCCCATGGGGATGTACGAAGTCGCCCTACAAAATGGACAGATGATGCCTAAGCTTCGCATCGACGGGCCATATGGTGCACCGGCGGAGGATGTTTTTGAAAACGAAATTGCCGTCCTCATTGGAACAGGAATTGGCGTTACCCCCTGGGCATCGATTTTAAAAAACATTTGGCACCTGCGCTCCAGTCCGAATCCCCCGCGTCGACTGCGTCGTGTCGAGTTCATTTGGATTTGCAAAGACACTTCTTCTTTCGAATGGTTCCAAGCCCTTCTTTCCTCTCTTGAAGCTCAGTCGGCCACAGCTGCTGCTCATGAAGGAAGCACTGAATTCTTGCGTATTCATACCTACCTCACGCAGCGCCTTGATGATGATACAGCTGCAAATATTTACCTTAATTCTGTTGGCCAGGCATTGGACCCTTTGACTGAACTGCGAAGTCGCACGAATTTTGGTCGCCCAGACTTCAAACGCTTGTTCACGGCTATGCGTCTTGGTCTTCTTGATCAAACCTACATGCGAGGCCTACAGAGTGGATCGACTACAGAGGTCGGTGTATACTTCTGTGGTCCCAATATGGCAGCCACACAGATTGACGATGCGGCCAAGGCTTCGTCGACGAAAGATGTTCGGTTCAAGTTTTGGAAGGAGCACTTTTGATTTTATTATGATTCTTTTTCTCCGGCAATGCGGTGCTTTGATGGGGTACGATTGGATTTTTATACTTTTGGAATGGAAGGCTAATCGTATCTCGCCACGAACTCACGAGTAACGATTCTCCCAGTTTTGTTTTCCTTGGATTTTTCCTTTTCATCTCTGTTCGCACGAAGTTTAAAGTGGACGGTACGACGTCCTGTACTATAGTTATTGACGACAGTATTTTTGAATACCGAGGATATTATTTGACAAGCATGATTCTAATTCGTTCCTTATTTGCATGATAGTTGTAGATGCAGCATCCAAAGGTCTTGCAACCGTGAGGCCAGAAGTGAGCAGAAGAGGAGTGGATTTCTCTTTTGTACTTCATGGGTTTCATTTCCTGCACCAATAGCTCTCAGAGGACTGACGAGGCTTTATATTTGAATTTTCACAAGATCAAGTCTGATGATCTTCTTCGAAGCTGTCTCGCCTCTCTGCAAGGAGCGCTTGAATTCCATCCTCGATGTCCACATGGATACGTAATTGCTTTTCAGTCATTGCATGATACAGTTGACGAAGATCATCAAAAAGAAAGCCAGTGGATTTGGAGTTCTCCGGAATAATGCGACGAACCTTGTCATCCCGTAGGTATTGGAAGGCAAGCATGAATAGCTGCTTCGACCAAGGGCAAGCTCGAATGGCGCGGTAGAACACGGATTTTGCAGCGTCAATATCCCGTGCATGGTAGACTTCGAAGATGATATAGAGCTTCCAGGTCATGAGGTTTGTTTGTGCACTCTCTGTACTGATACTATTGCGCATTTGTTTATCGCCGTATTTCATCGAGTCTCGATTCACATTTTCGCCAAGAGCCCTTTCAAATGCAGCTCGCGTTGAATGATGAGTGGATCCGGCCCAAGTAGGACGACATAATTCAGACCAGATTGAGAGTAAATGAGTGGTGATGGGAATGGTTTGCACAGCTGCGACTGACAAGGCGGAATCCCTATCGAGCGTATACCGACTTTCGGGATTTTTGATGAGCATGTTGACATTTCGAATGCGATCGAGGATGTTGAAGCGCGACTCATTCCAGGTAAAGAGTGATAGGAATATGGTGTTGTGGGGGAACGAAGATACGCTATCCTGGAGAGTAGCTCGAATTTCAAGTGCCGTCAACCGTGAAGACTTCGTACTGCAATGGAAAAAGAGCAGTCTAGCTCTAGCCTGGTGCAGGAGCTCGATGATATAGGGCCTCAAATTTTGGTCCTCGACTGGGAGGTCATTTGATTTCTCAAGCGCAGATGAGTAGACTTCAAGGGTGGCCTGGATATGGTATTTTTCGGTGAAGAGCAATAAAGCAAGGCAATCGGTATAAGCGACAAAGGCATGGAATCGCCTATATCCCAGAGCACGTGTCTGGCAGTCGCGCAGGTACTGCATATAATTAGATTATGCGCCAGCTTTTGAAGAATTTCATGACTTACCGATTTAACTTGAAGGGTCGATGTTGGGTGAGAGGCCACGCCAGTCGATTGAATACTATTGTATGCATCCTTATCTATGCTCTGCACAGGAATAGCATGCAATACATAAGAAGCCCGAGAGTTATCGCCCCGCTGAAGAAGCTCCCAAGCCCAAGAGTTCCAAAGGATTCCCGTGTCAATCTTCAAATCATCTGAAAACTTTTGGCTCCACAGAATAGAACTTGACCAAATCTGCACAGCAGCTTCTGGCAAATCATTTCTCCATTCCATCAAGGCAAGAGCATTGCAGATTCTAAGACTGGATGTCCACTTCTTGAGCAAGGTCTTAGCATATTTCTTTGCTTTCTTTTGATCCCATGCGAACATAAGCCCGAGTGTGTACTCGGCTAATTCATCATCGAATTCCTCACGAGTAGGGCCACGTTCCACCAATACTCGTAGTACGATCTGAGCCCATTCTCGATCAATAATTGAAGATTCGGAGGACTGGGCATCTTGGCGCCATGATCGGAACGAGTCAAACCAGGCATTAGGCCCCGGGAACAAAGTGCATGTGGTGTGCACGAAATTTGACACAGGGAATCGGAGAGGCGAAGTCGAGGTTCCAGCCTCCGTTTGGTCCATTAACCAGCACGACAGACCTGGTTCCATGTGATCTATTAAGTCATTTTTGAGGAAGTTATCCGCACTCCACAAACGAGTAGTTTGTATATTGCTAGGTCTTGTCAAATGTGGTAAGTGACAAAAGTATAAGAAGCTCTGGAAAAGCTCATCTGGCGAACCAAAGTCGTGGAATAATTGCAACACGCGGTCGAGGTCAGAGAAGAGTACGACCGTGTAAGGATCGTCAACATATTGCTCCTGCTCATCAATAGCATGGCTGGATTTCAGCTGGTCGAGTGTTCGAGATGGCAGTCGTGATGATAGGGTACGTTCTTTCTCGACCTTTTCCCAAGAGTCCATCAGAGATGAAACTTCAATATGCTGTTGGTATTCGCGAATGGCATAGTTGTGGGAATGATTTGATGGATTCTCAACCCAGCCTCGCCATGTTAATGATCCATTCTCGCCAATACGTGGAACTTCGTCCTCCCAATAGCCGCGGAAAGAAGCGAGAGTATCAATATCCTCTACCTGTTGAATTCGTTGACATGGTTTGAAGCATGTGAACTCGAGTACCGCTTGCCAGAGACCGGCAGCTAGTTCCAAATACCCCGCTTCACGCAGGAAAAGTGTCATGCGAAGAAACAAGTAGCATTGTACTTGGTTCTTGGCTGGGTTGGCAGCGGATGCGTTAAGCTCCAGACACTCAGAGAACGTTGTCATAAGCTGCTCGAAATCAAAGTTTTGGAAGTCCGTCTGACGGAAATTAAGATAATTCACCCACAGACTGATGCATCCAGAGTTTTCTTGCAAAGTCTTGTTCCATTGAGCAAGTAGCTTTTTGGTATCCCATAAATGTGCGCCTTCTTGGAGCTTTCCTAGCAAAAGTCGATCTTTATTTGCGCTGTTTGCAGACTGCTTAATTGCCTTTTCATAGATTGACAACTTGACGCCTGCCACACTTTGTTGTTCATTGTATGTTAATGGGCGCGAGTCTTCATCTGGACCGAGAATCAAAAGATCTTGATGATCGATTAGCCTCAGCCATGCGACAACATCTGTAGGATTTTCGTTTACGGCACGCGATAGTTCTGCATGACGGGCTCTGCGTTCGGCTGAGGTACTGTCATCTTGAATGAGTTCATCATCAACCAATTCCATGTGTTGTGGAATAAAGTCCTCCTCTTTTGCTTTGCCATGGATAGAGCGATAAGCGTTGCGCTCGTTACTCAAGTCGCCGTCATCCGATGCGCCGTCTGAACCTTCTAGGATCGTCGAATCGAATGATATGAAATCTTGTTCCAGATCCACAGAGGAGTGCACTTCGTCATCATTTTTGACGCGGAGAAGCTTCTCTGGCTGGCGCATTCGTTTTGCCAACGGCCTGACAGATTTAGATGAATTGGAAGGCAGGGAGTCTCTGATACACAAAACCAAGGTATCACTGTCCAAATGATCTCGATCAATCCGGTATCTCGAATCGGCTCCCAGAACTTGGCCACGGCCACTTCGTCGGTATTTTGGCACAGCATAGCGATGTGTTGCCCCGAAAGTCAAATTGTGTCGGTCGCCCTTCAGATCGATTATGAAGAGATCTGCAACTGAACCGTCTCCATCTGGAAATACCCGGTCCGTATTCACATCTTTGGCGACTCCATTATCATGTCCTCTGCGCTCTGGAGACTTGCGACGGCTACGCGAAGTAGCAGGGCGGGGTGATCGTGAACGGTGATGCCTACCGGGAGATCTCCGTCGTTCTTGGCGGTTGGAACGGCGTGGCGAGCGGGATCGTTCTTCACTGTGTCGACGACCAGGGCGTCGTGACTTTCGATCGTCTTTGTGTCGAGGCTCTGAACGAGCTGGTGGAGCCGAGGAAGCTGAGGGAGCTTTGAAGCTGGAGAATTTGGGGACGGACTGCTTGTCCTGGGTGTTATATTAGTCATATTGTTGGTGGTAAATCGCTGAATGGATTGAAACTTACCTGTGAGTCCATCGTCATGGAACTCGCTCCATTGGAGAAAGCAACTGAGGTTGTGAAAGTACCTTCAGCTAAAAGGCAAGTGGAAGTGGTTGTTATCGGGCGCGACTGCGATAACTGATAACACCGGCAGATTTTACCTCAAAGGGATATTCCGGGGCGGTCAGTAAACTGCCGGAGTGGATTGTCGAAAGAAAAAAAAGTCGGCGGTCGAAGTCGAAAACAGCTCCACTCGATTCCAGCCCGCACGCAATCGACCGTGACAAACGAGGAGAAGAGCGATGGGCTGCAGGAATCTGGCTTGAGAATCAAATTTATTCATCCTTTCGCAATGGCCTCCTCCCTCGCCGCGCAGTTGTCGCAAATCGCGGCCAAGTCGACCAACGAGCTCGACTTGAAATCGCAACGCATCTCCCATTCGCATTCCTTGATCTTCGAGCGCAAAATTGCCGGATCGCAAGATTTTGACACCATCTATGATATCTGCTACGAGGGGTTCCGGGAGCTCTGCTCTTTGGACAGTCGCTTCGAGCAGTTCGCCCGTACAATTTTCAGCGAGCAAAGCAAATCCGAGGACCGGACGCAAATGAATGCCGCCCAGAATAAGGAGCTGGATACTGTGATTGACACTTTTCTTGCTCTGGTTGGAGGAAGACTTCAACTGAGCCCAGCAGTCAAGGCAGTAGATTGGTTGGTGAGACGCTTTAGGTTCGTGCCAATCATCCTATCTACAGTTCGCGCAGAGAGCGTTTTGACAAGCCGTTTTGTATTAACAAAGTCACAGAACCCACGAATACAACACCGCCATCATGCTTTTCACCTTCCTCCCATATCACACTACCCCACTCTTCGTGAACCTTCTTTCGATTTTGCCGACCGACCTCACGTCAACATTCAAAGTACTATACCCATATAAAACTGGCCTGGTCAACCCTCCCCGCCATCCCCTTGTCCACAGCGCAACCACCAATAAGGAGTTCTTTGCTTCGTTCAATGACTATGTTCTGAACGTTTGCCGGCTCCAGGCGCAAAGTCACACCCTGCTTTCGTTCTGGGCTAGTATCACCACTGAGGCTGTGGCTGGCATGCTGGATAATTCTCGCTCTGGCCGGAGAGAAGCCGAGAAGCAGAATCACGAGGACATTGTTCTCCGAGTTCTACCTGTGCTGAGCAATGGCTTTGCCATGAAGAAGGTCTCGGAGTTGATTGTCAGCTGCTACATGATCTCTGTGGTTCTGGCTCAGAAGGCAATGCTTTCCGAAGATGTTCTCAATGGGCTGATGGAAACTGTGGTTTTTTCCTGGACTGAGGAAACTCTGAGCTCCGGTCTTATCTGCTTATCCGTCCTTGCGCAACAAAAGCCTTCCACAGTCCTTCCAAAGAAGGTCTTCAAGGCTATCTGCCGCCTTCCTAACCCCATGGGACAACTGTCCGAAGTTACTTCCCACTACCAAACCTCGAATCTGCTGCTCGGACTTGTTTCCGCATGTGTCAGTGATCTGGACAAGCAGCAGGACAACAGCCGTCTTGCACTGCTCTCATCCGTCTTCGATTCGGGTTCCCTGCAAGGCGAGGATATGAAGCAGGCTATGACTATGGTTCTTCAAGCGACTGGTGATAACGACGAAGCCCGTGGTATTTCATTAGATACCCAGACCCAGCTCGCAGAGCTAGTGCAAGGATTCAGTCGGTCAGAATCACTTCGTCCTCTTTTCCAGAAAACTCTCGCGGAGTCTTCTCTTAACATTTCAGCCGTGGAGCACAACCTTCAAACTGTCGTCGAGGCCCCCATTCAACCTTTGGCTATCGAGGACGTTGAAATGGAGGACGTCGAACAGGAACAAGTGGACAATTTTACACCTGCTCTGGACTCATTGACCAACGAACCGCAATACTCGTCTTCTTTCCTGAGCAAGCAGTTAATTCCGGAATTTGACACCCTCGCACAAGTCTTCGCCCTGACCGCTGACTCCGCTGACTACCTCCGGAAGTTTAGCGACTTGCGCATCCTCAACAAGGCCAGTGTGACAAAATCGCCTACATTTTTGTCTTTTTTCACCCGGGTGATGTCTGGCTCTTATCCTATTGGCATGAAGGTGGCTGCATTAAATGCTATCTCAAACACTCTGGCAACTTCCTTTGGTGATCTGGATCCACAAGCACTTTTGCCATTCCTTCTCGTCGCTCTGTCTGATCCATCAGAGCGTATTCGTCGTGAAGCTGCTGGTGTTTTGGCCGTTATCGACGCCATGTACAAGAAGAGCAAAAAGGTCGATGACACTTCCAGCAAGCCATGGGCCCATGATGTTATTTATGGCAAGGGAAAGCAATCTACTGCTATTTCATGGTTGTCTACCCAGGATGCGCAGAAGATTCTGGAGCGTGCATTGATACCGGGACTTGAGGAATGCATTCTTGACCCAGCCCAGATCGGCAAGGTCATCGATGCTACTCTTCGAGGCACAGTGTTGTCTGAATCGTCGGGTGCCACCGAACTGAAGAAATCTCTTCGGATCAGCCTTTTCTCCTTCCTGTGTTCCCACGTTGTTCAAATGCCTGTCTTTGCACCAAAGTTTGCTCTTCTGCGTTTGCTGAACAATGTCAAGAAGGTTTCAGGAACCACTCGCACCAAGGAGCTCCTTCCCCTGGTTGAGGACTGGCGATCCCTGAATCAAAAGCAGGTCGATGAAATCTGCGGCAGGGAGCGCCTCTCCATCTCCGAAACCGACAATCAGATCGTCGACATTGTCTCTCCGAAGGAAGCAGATGCCATCACTATCCTACTGTCTCAAGTTACCCCCGGCGCCGATTCTCTGCGACCATCATTTGTTACAGCTGGCTTCTCACGAATGAAGCAGGTATGGGGCAAGGTTCCCGAGGAGAATCAATCGGCGGCGGCCGAGAAGCTGTTGGATATTGCATTGGGCACATCAACCAGTCAAGTATCCCTGGCCGACCACTGCCGTGATGTTCTTCGCAGTGTTGAGCTGTCAGGTGCCATTCTGGTGAATTTTGTCAAGAAGATCCCCGTTTCCTTGACAGATATTGAATCTGTTGGACCTGCACCCAAGAGGAGGCGGACTAGCCAAAACAACATGGTTGCCATGACAGTCAAGGACGAAGGAGAACTCAGCAGGTTGATGGACAAGATGACTTTCATTCTCGAGATCATTGATAGCTCAAGTCCTGATTCGCATCCAGGGCTGGCTGATGGTCTTTTCCAAACTCTTGCCGCTCTGCACCACTTCAAGTCTCAGGTTCAATCTGGACTGAGCTATCTGCTGAGTCTCACCTTGGGAAGTCTCCTGGCTATTGTCAACAAGTCAAAGGGTTCTCCCAAGCCGCTTTTCGATACCTCGGTCATTCGTGCCGATTTGGTGGTCGACTGCGTTCGTTCGACAGATAGCCCCCAGGTGCAAAATGCTGCCCTTCTCCTTGTGGCCGGGTTGTCAGTGATCGCACCTGAGCTCGTCCTCCACAGCGTGATGCCCATCTTCACGTTTATGGGATCAAGCGTTCTTCGCAAAGATGATGACTATTCCGTCTCTGTCATCGATCAGACTATTGATCAGGTTGTCCCCGCGCTCATCCAATCCCTCCGTAACCAGAAGCGCGACATTGTCTCAGGAACTTCCGAGCTACTTCTCAGCTTTACTGCTGCATTTGAGCACATTCCGTCGCATCGTCGCCTCCGCCTCTTCCATGCGTTGATCAGCAAACTTGGCACACAAGATTTCCTCTTCGCTGTACTTGCCATGCTTGCAAACCGCTATTCGGTCGACAAGGATGTCCTCACTTTGATGACCGGCCTTGCTTCGGATACCAGCGCTGTCGTTGAACTCACTACGTATAGCAAATATCTCAACCTGGTGATCGATTCATTCAAAGCCAAGCCCAGTATTTCCCAGGTTCTACTTGGCATTGGTAGCGACGATGGCCGTGACCCTCAAAAGGTTGCTGTCGATCTCCTGCGCGATCTTGCTCACCTTTTCAAGCACTCGTCTCTCAAGTCGAAGTTGGAGGAAGCTTTCGAAACCGAGGGCGAAACCGCGGATCAAGCCCGTGCTTGTTACTCTCGAGTTCTTGAGCAGGTCCTGGCCATTCTTGACTTCGTCAAGAACATGAAGCCTGTCAGCCAGGCAATTGGTGAGGCTTTGGGCTCTCTGTTGGGCACGCTGTCTCTTGTTGACTTCCTGGATACTATCGAGGTCCTGATGCAAGGACCCAATAATGATTTGCGACAGAAAGTTCTCCGTCTTCTCGAGAACCGCCTTCGTCAAGTCCCAGAGAGGGACTCCGCCTCTCAAATCCGGGTCCTCGACTTCTTGCCCACTTTGGTTAACACTGTCGAATCCTCGCCAGATGCCCTCATCAAACACGCTGCTGTCGCCTGCATTGATCGTATCACCGAGAAATATGGTCGCAAGGACCCATCCAAGGTCATTACTGCTGCCAAGGTTGTCGCCAGTAAATCTTGCCTTGGCCAGTCTGATGAGCGCATTCGCATCATGGGTGTCCTGTGCCTTGCTTCTATGGCCGAGGTTCTGGGCCAGGCTATGATTCCCGCTCTCCCTGATACCCTGAGCCAATCATTGGCCCTCTTGGAGCTCAGTTTGACCCCCAACAAAGAGAATTCGCGCCTTCACGATGCCACATTCTCCCTATTCTCCGCCCTCCTTGTTAATCTGCCCTTCATGATCTCAGCCGCGCACCTGGACAAGATTTTACTTCTCTCTTTCAAGTCCGCCAATGCTGATCTTGAGGAGAGTAGCGAGAGCAGCCGCCTGGAGACCCTCCGCCTCATGGCATCTCGCAAGATGGATCTCGGCGCTACCCTTGGTGCAATCGATCGCAACTGGGAACAAGCTGTCCAAGCTGGACCCACAGCCACCAGCGAAATTTTGGCAGTCCTCAGCCTTGCTGTTGAGAAGCACCCCAAGTCAGCTGTAATCAACACCATCAATGTCCTGAGCAAGATTCTCTTCAAGGCTTTCGACTTGCGCCGCGAACAGACCGCCGCCGGTGACCGTTCCAACTTTGACGAGGCCGATATCAATGAAGTTGAAAGCGCTCTCAACGATGTCACCATCAAGATGATCTATAAGCTGAATGACAGCACCTTCCGGCCATTGTTCCTCAAGTTTGTTGAGTGGGCTACGACTGGTGTGCCCAAGAAGGATGAGCAGGCTCAGATGTCGCGTCTCACCACCTTCTACAAGTTCCTCCAGGTCTTCTTCGGCACTCTTAAGGTATGTTCTATTTCCCAGAAGTGGTGAATCGACAATTTACTAACAATTTGTCTCTAGTCAATTGTCACTGGATATTCCAACTATATTCTTGAAAATGTTGTTGAAATTCTGAACACCACCACCCCGTCCAAGGCTAGCCGATCCCTCTGGCTCGCTACCCTAGGTACTCTTCGCAACTCGTTTGAACATGACCAAGACGGTAGGCATCTCTGTGTATTCACTGTAAATGGACATTTCTAACTTATTCTTCTAGAATTCTGGCAATCGCCTTCGCACCTTGCTAGCATATCTGGGCCCCTTATCGCGCAACTTGGCCATGCCACCACTACTAAGACCTCCGATCTTGTCGTTGAGGAGGTTGTGCCTGCTATTACTGAGCTTGCCGTCGCTGCGGACTCGACTGATAACCATAAGGAGCTCAACATGGCTTTGATGAAATTCCTTCGACCCTCTTCTGCGCCCAATGCCAAGTCTACTAGCGGTGATAATCCGCTTGTTCGTCTCGCGGCCCTGAAGACTGAGCGGGCTCTTACTGAGCAGCTCGGTGAAGAATGGCTGGCTCTACTTCCGGAGATGCTACCTTACATCAGCGAGCTAATGGAGGACGAGGACGAGAGCGTGGAGAGAGAAGTGCGGAAGTGGGTGAAGCAGATTGAGGGTGTGCTCGGTGAGCGCCTCGATGACATGCTGACTTAAATGGTTACTATTAACCGAGACACCATGTACAAAAACCGCATCTGTTTGGCGTTTGTAGAATAGACCCTTGGGAGGGCATACAATCTTACCCTACAAAAAATTTCATGTTTAAATTCGTTCTTATATCTTAGCTTCATGACTATTCTAGGGGCTTCTGGGTCTCGTAAAGACCGCCCATTCTCGTGACTACCACCTCGATACTTAGTTCTCTGGAACTGGATGGTCTGCTGCATCAACTCCAGCTTGCCAGCGATATCTCGCAGCTGGATGATCAGCTGGCGGGCCAGATTGACCCGGTCGCGAGTACAGATTCTCGCGATATGTTCCTTTCTGAACTGCGTACTCGTCCCAGAACAGACCTCTCTTACGAAGCTCAGGAATGAGAAGATCTATGATATCTTTGAAGGAACCGGGCTTGATGGCGTAGGCCTGGGTTGAAATGGTTAGTCCATTTTGTGTTTTGTTTTTTCTCGGCATCCAAAAAGGACAAATTTGACCTTACCAGATTGAATCCATCCACATCGGCCTCCTTCACCCATTTCTCCATATTATCGGCCACCTGCTGCGGCGTGCCTACTGGGGTGGCCCCCAGTCCACCAACCGTGATGTGCTCACCGACAGTGGCCTTGGTCCATTTTGCGACTTCCGGAGTAGCCTTTGACCAACCTTCGACGGCAGACCTGGACGGAGAAAAGGTTCATCACCGTTCCTTCAGGAAGTGGCACGATGTGGGGAGAAAGAGGACCTACCTGATGGCATTACTCTCTACGTGACGAAGCTCCTCATCATCTCCATACTTGTCGAGATCGATACCAGTCCATCCCCCGAAGAGGGCCAAGGCACCGTCAATTGATCCATAGCTGCGATATTCTTTGAATTTGGCACGCGCCTCTTCCTCCGTTCGACCTAACACAGGCAGAGTAAGGCGAGAAATTTGATGCTTTGCGGGTCTCGTCCAAACTCCGACTGAGCGAGTTGACGAATCTCCGCCACATTCTTTGCAACAACTGATGGACTATGACCTGCCACGAAGATGGCTTCCGCGTGTTGTGCAGCAAAGGTCTTTCCGGCCTTTGAAGTACCGGCTTGCAGGATGACCGGTGTGCGCTGGGGACTCGGCTGAGTGAGATGAGGACCTGGCACGTTGAAATACTTTCCAGAGTGATTGATCTGTCGTACGCGATCTGTTTCCGTGTAGACACCGCGCTCGCGATCGCGAACAACGGCATCTTGGCGCCAGGATGATTCCCAGAGCTTATAGGTCACTTTGACATACTCTTCTGCCACGGCGTAGCGATCGTCGTGCTGAAATTGTGTTAGAGACCCACATCATCGTATAGAATGTAGGGATACTAGCTTACATGTGGCTGCTCTTCCTGGCCCATGTTCCTGGCAGCGGAGTCCAGATAGCCTGTTACGACCTGGAATTGAAAGTCAATACCTCGCTTGGTCGTTTGCTGGGTGAAACTCGTCCTCTATGTTTGTACTCACATTCCATCCGAGTCTGTCGTTGGCAAATGGTTAGCTGAGGGTCAAGTTTGCGATTTCAACCTGCGATTCACATACCGTCCCTTGGTAAGATGATCAACCGTTGACAGTCGCCTTGCGAGATGGTAGGGCTGCTCGTATGTTGTGGTTACAGTAACTCCGAAGCCAATGTTTTTGGTGGCGGCGGCCATTGCAGGTACAACTGCCAAAGGCTCATTTACCGGCCACTGTGCTCCTGAGACAACTGCAGGATCCAAGTTTCGCGGACCCTTATAGACATCATAACCACCTAGAATGATAATATCGGTATGTGCGCTCGAAGGTTTCGTCTTGACAGGGAGTTGGAGAGGAAATACCGAGGACATCCGCGATAAAAATACCGTGGAACTTAGCCGACTCGAGCAATTGTGCAAGTTCTACCCAGTGGTCTACATCGTTGAATCGATGCGATTCGTCTTCTGGGTGTCGCCAGAGACCAGGGGACTGGTGCCCGCTGCCTGTAACCTGGTTAACCTCTTGTAAAGATAAGAACAGAAAGGGGAAAGACAAGAGAAAATATCAAGAGAGGGGCGAAGACTGCTAACTTACACATTTCCACAAAAGCGTTCAAAATCAAGGACTTCTTGGGCTGTTCGGCCGCTGAGCCCTGCGTGTCTCCAGACATTATGCCGAGGGTTTTCGTTTACGATGTCTCCTTAACAACCAGGATACTCAACAGACCACAATGCTTTCACCGATTTTACTATGCAATCTTTCTCGAGATTACAGAGGGTCTTTATCCAATTTGTATGGCGATCACTGAGCACACCATGCCCCCGCGTGCGTCACTCCGTGCATCCGAACATCGTATAGCATCAATGTGGGCCGCGATGGCGCGATGGTGCAGGAGATCTTTGGGGGGGCCCATTTATCAACCAAGTTCATCCTGACTGGTCGGTTCTTGATTATACTCGTCCGGCCGTGCGGGCTAGATGATCCATTCTTGCTTTTACTGGACATCTCTCGGGCGAGAGAGGTGGAAGTCGTGAGGAGTTGGCGCAAAGTATCTGACCATTTCTCTTCGGTTAGATTGACGAGCCTGATAATTACTTAGCTCACACTCTATTCGATTTCATTGACAATAATATTAGTCTGGTCCGAACTCATCCATTTTTTATTGGACGATTGAAAGTTGCTAATTGATGTCATATGCAATACCAGAGACCCTTTCCTCTCCCCCAGATATTCTCCCCCCATCTCTCGGCTCGACTCTGTTAGTATCACGGCAACCCCATGAACAACCCAAGTCTGACACTACCCCTCTCTTAATTAAAAAAAAAATATTGGAAGAGAGCTTGGATATACATCTTTGAAGCTGCCTTTTCGTTGTCCCGATAGGAATAGTTTGTTATAGCAGCCGGCGATCTTCCTCTATACCGCGATAACGCCATAGCGAACCATTCATCACTCTAACCTAAAAATGGGGTTTTTCTGTAGCCTCGTCGTCCCCTAAAAGCACCTCATCAAATCCATTTATCAAGTCATTGCGCATTCAGCCGTGCTAATTTGCCCCGCTAGCACCGAAGCTCTGGTTTTGCAGCATAGCGATCTTGCTCCCCCCTGTCCCTGGGAGCGTAGGGATCACCCAGAGAACTGGATATGATTTAAGTCGACAACAACCCCGGCTCTTCTGAGCCCTTATTACTTATGGAAGTCTTCTATTTTCAATTCTTCACTCATATATATGATAGAACCTTTGCCTCGCGCTGAAATTACTCCTACTGCTATCTCGCATTAAGCTACAGTTTTACAGGATTCATTATGTCTAATCTGTATGCTCGCGATGGTATCTCGACGGTTGATCCGCCTTTATCCCAGGCGGTCGGCTACGTCGTGGTTGTTGTGATCGGAATTATTATTGCTTTCAGTAAGAACAGTTTCATGATTGAAAGAAAAGACTTGAAAACAGCAACTAATACGGCGACAGTCATGATGCTTGTTACGAAGGTCCTAAAGAAGACAGCAGGAGAGGATAACAAGAAAACAGAAATGTGGAATTCGTTATATTTCAACTCCGCGAATTGTTGCTAACAACTTGACAGGTTCATGACGGCAAATAGAACAGTTCGGACGGGTCTTACAGCATCCGCTGTCATATCGGTAAGACTGAAATTCCACTTCGTCTTAGCTCGGACTTGAAAATGAAATTCTAACCTGGGCCCCTTCAGTCTTGGCTATGGTCTACTGCGCTCTTAGGATCTTCATTTGTCGGCTATAGTTATGGTATAGCCGGTCCCTTCTGGTTCGCTGCTGGTTGCAGCCCCATGATCGTGTTCTTTGCTCTACTTGGAATATCCTGCAAACGAAAGATTCCCGAGGCACATACATCTTTGGAGGTTGTTCGCATTCGCTACGGTAACTATATATGTTCAAGTCTCCATTGTGCACTCGCCTTCTGTACTAACTTCTCGAAATTTGAGGCCGAGTTGCTCATGTTGTATTCATGGTCCTTTGTCTCGTTAACAACATCTTCGCCTGCGCAAATATGCTACTTGGAGCTTCCGCTGTAATCACTCCCGTGTATGTTTCTTTCTTAACTCTAGTCGGCCTCAGTTCCAAGGTCACTAACTCAAATAGCTCTGGAATGCATATTATTGCATCTACCTTCCTATTACCCGTCGGTGTGACAATCTACACATTTGTTGGGGGAATTAAAGCAACGTGAGAGCTCCTTTGCTTTCATAATGGAGATACCTCGCTCAAGGCACTGACCATTCAAAGTTTCTTGACTGATTATTTTCACACCGCAATCATCTTGATTATTGCATGTTACTTTTCCATCAAGGCATTCTCAGCCGACCAGGTTGGTTCGATCGAGAACTTGTTTGATCTAGTGCAAGCAGCTGCCCAGCGACATCCAGTTTCTGGAAACTACGAGGGCACCTACCTTACTATGACATCAAAGAGTGTAAGTATACAACCCATGATCCAGAAACTTCCAGTTAATATTCTTCAGGCAATTCTATTTGCTATCCTCCACACCTGTTCCAATTTTGGTCTGGTAATTGTGAGTGTTCTACTATTCTCCACCAACCGGAAGCAACAGCTGACCAGCCAAGATGGATACTAGCTACTTTATCAAAGCCTTCTCGGCCAAGCCATCCTCGGTGGTGCCGGGATATACAATTGGTGGTATTGCTTATTTTTCCATCCCTTGGGCACTAGGTACAGTTATGAGCTCTGTGGCTCTTGGTCTTGAGAACCAGTCAAACTTCCCAACCTTTCCTCGGGTAATATTCATTCCAGCCTTTACTACTCTACTAGAAAACTGCTCATATCTGATCACAGAGAATGACATCTTCCGAGGTCAGCAGTGGCCTTGTACTCCCTTATGCTGCGATTACAATTGCAGGGAAAGGTGGAGCCGCGGCTGTGCTCTTGATCATTTTCATGGCTGTAACTTCAACTCTCTCGGCGCAAGTGATTGCAGTCAGCTCAATCCTCAGCTTTGATGTTTATCGTGAATATTTCAATAAATCTGCGACCGACAAAGATCTGATTCGGTCTAGTCATTTTGGTGTGGTCTTCTTCGCTGCATTTTCAGCCGGATTTAGCACAATGCTGCATTATGTCGGGATTGACCTTGGTTGGACTCTGTACATGCTTGGTGAGAGCCACTCCTAATTCTGGGTAATAAAAACTTCTAACATCTACGTAGGAGTTGTTACCTGCCCCGGAATCTTCCCGATGGTTTTCACCGTTCTGTGGCGTAAACATAGCAAGGCGGCGGCCATTCTGTCGCCCATTCTCGGCTTGGCCACTGGGCTTGCTGTCTGGCTGGGCACTGCCTCTCGCTTTTTTGGTGAAGTATCAGTTGCAACAACCGGTGAAATCCTACCGTGTGTCTACGGTACAGTGGCCTCCTGCTTCTCACCAATTCTATACTCGGTCGTGATCACACTTATCAAACCCCAGAACTATGATTGGGTCGACTTTAAAAAGGAAAAACTTGCATTGGAAAAGTTAGACAGTGAGCTGACTACCGTTCATCATGACGAGTCCACTAGTCAAAATGTCCCCGGCAGTATTGAGCAGGGTGGTGTACACAGTGCCTCCACTGATGCGCAAGAACTCAAGCGATGGGGTCGTATCGCTGCGTTTTGGTCTATCGCAACATTCCTGGGTCACTGGGTAATCTGGCCATTGCCAATGTATGGTTCGCATTATATTTTTGGAAAGAAGGTGAGTAAATCCCTCGTCATGGGTTAAACCATTTTCGCTCACTGACCTTCATAGTTCTTCGTTGCCTGGGTTGTCGTCGCCATCATCTGGCTATGGGGAACCATGCTTGTCGCAATTTGTGCACCACTACTGGACGGTGGCATCCAGCAGATTGTTCAAGTATACCATGGACTCACTGGTAAAGGTCAAATTCCTGGAACTTCCAACGATAGTAAAGAAGTTGGAGTTGCGAGTACCTCTGCTTCACAGTCTGGAGGGTCTCTCGGCGAAGGAAAGGAGGCCGCAAGCGAGAACTTATGAGACCCTCGCTCTCGAATGCAGGGCTTTGGCATTTATTAAATGAACAGAAATTGCATGTTTACAAGTCTCCAAAATTCAGGTTTGTCATCAATAATAATAATCACGAGTGTCATAATATAATCTGTCTGTTACCTGGGTATGATAGTACCTAGGCCAAAATATACCTACTAGTACTATTAGTATTATACTGTAGCTTAGTGCATCATGCTAGGCACTATATTCTACAGTGCAATAATTTCGTAAAGTCAAGTTTATACATATTTCTAGCTAGTGAGTGAAATAATTTGACGGTTCGTGTATGTACCTCAAGAAGCGAGTGGTGACTCAAGAGCAGATGGTATGCTAGCCATGCGCATGCGAAATTCAGAAAATCCACATTGGCACGCCCACATTCAGTTCTTCTCGAATATGTTTAGCTAGATGGGAATCCAGCTTTCAGGTTGTCATAAGTCGATGCTGGGTAGCTTAACTGGTTTTGACTCTGGTCCAAGGCACCGATGCCACCAAACGAATTCACGACCTATGAAATCTTAAATCAGCTCATCAAAATGTTTTGATTGATTGAGGGACATATTTACCGTGGATATAAGACTATCAGAGCCGGTTTTATCGCTGCTGGACTCCCACCACATTCCTCCACCGAGACCCTTTGACTGAATGTACTGCGCCTTCTTCTGAGCAACTTGCGGTGTATCATAGCTAATCATCATTTGCCGTGATGGATCATAGCTGTAGCTTGCAACAATTGAGTCAATGTAGTTCACTGTAGCGCCTGCCTGGGGGAGGGCTTTGTAATCCCAAACGCCATTCTCCCAGGTACCGCTGCCGACGCCATTGAAACTTGTTCCCGGTCCAGCCGTGTCCATGAAGGACCTACCGTACAATGGCATTCCCATAACAATTTTGCTAGAACTGACACCATTGGAGGTGTAGTATGATATGGCCTGATCAGTATTATAGGGCGTGCTTGCTGGGTTGTCACTTGAAGCGTAAACATTGGCATCATGACCGGCAATACTATCCCAGCTTCCGGAATAGTCATAAGCCATGAGGTTCCAGAAGTCCAAGTACTGGTCCATCTGAGACAAATCAAGTTGCTGGTAGTGGGAAGGTCCTATAATTTTTATTAATGACGATTGTCACGAAAGAAAAGACGTGGTTTCATTGCTCCTACCAGCTGGACAAGCGACAGTAATCAGGAAATGGTACCCGTTTGCATAGGTCGCACTGTAGCTATCAAGTGCCTAGTAGACCTGATTAGTTTCTGAAGATTTGTACCACCTCGAGGAGAAATTTAGAGAAACCCACAGAACGCAGAACTTGCAAAGTAGCCACCATGTTAGCCGCCTGGGTGCTGTCCGCCGGGTATTCCCAATCGATATCCAGGCCATCAAAACCAAGATTTTGAACCAGCGCCACGGCAGATGAAGCAAATTTTGCTCTTCCAGCGCTAGTACTCAAGGGACCTGCAAAATTAGAGGAATAGGTCCAACCACCGATTGATAGGAGGACTTTCAACTTTCGATTTTTTTGTTTCAACAGAAACAGTTGCTTGACACAGCCATAGACGTTGTTTCCAGTATCGCTCCAGGAGTCTCCAGGATAGTGTTTATCAGTGTCAGCCCAGGAATCCGTCATGAATACCTCTCCTGTATCCGAGTGCACATTGGCAAAGGCATAGAGAATATGTGTCAGGGTCTGAGCCTGGAGATCTTGAGGGTTGAAATTTCGACCATAGATAGCCTGAAGAATTTTTCGCCATCAGTACTATTCCATTTCATTCTGGAAACATCATATATCTGAGTCATTACATACCCAGTTCACAAAATATGCAACAGATCTATAACCTGTACTACTAGTAGCAGCATCAAGAGCCTCAATTTCGGTCGTATTGTTAATCGGGCTTTTAATGACAGCAGCGTTCGCTGCCAGCCCAAGGCATAGACAGATAAAATGAATGAAACGCATCTTTAATCTTGAAATTGTCTCGAAATAGAAAATTCACCTGCCAGTGAGTATTCGGTAAGCTTGAAGTCGCAATCGTTCAAGTTCCAAAACTTGAAATAGTCTGGCATGGGCATGTATCGTGATATAAATACGACGAAATCCATTTCAATCACTGACAAGGCAAAAGCCTTGGAAGTTCAATAATGTGCGAAAGAAAAGGCGAGCCAATGAAACCCCTCTTGGCAGGATAGTATAGGTCTCCCAAGGTCCCGAATAGGCATCTGGGCATCCTCCGATGTTCAAAAATCTGAGATAATGACTTGAAGTATCGATATGGTATCATGGGAGTGACTTTGCAACAATTGCTGCGAATTTTAATTTTGAGGCGGGGAATAAACTTACCATGTGGCATTTGAGAACAACGATAGCATCCACTAACTAATGCGAGAAGTTCAGCAGATACCATCGGGCGACGTAGTCAACGGACTTCATCGACACATCAAGCACCGACAAAAGAAAGCGTCACATTTACAAGATCTCCATCAGATTTCCGAAAAGGTCTCGATACCGAATATCATGCACAATAACTAGCGCGCCTTGTTGTAGGCAATTTGAAATATGGAGGGTGATTGTTTGTCGATCGTTCCGGGATCCTTTTCTCCGGCTCGACACATGGTCGCATGCCACGCTCAACCGAAAATCGGAACTTTCTTGGATGGGTAACATTCTCGCTACGATAATAATACCCACGAGCTGTTCCGATACTTCGGAGCGTATCTCACGACTAAGATAAATGATCTGAGGTCCGGACTGTCGGAACCGTTGCATTCAAGGCTCCTCGGCATTCGAAGATAGTTTGAGCGGAATGTGGAGTGAATGTAACTTGAATCGTAGTATCATCTGCTAGATAGGAAATTAGGATTTTGAAGCATTCGTTTGCAGCCGCTGTTAAAAGTCAGCAGGCAGCCAAGATAGAGAAAAAGAAAACAAGAGTTTATCCTCTATGACTGCAGGAACATAACATCACCCGCGCGATAGTGAACAAGTCGATGTAACACTAAAGCCATGCGGCCAGGGCATGTGCCGTTTTATCCAAAAACGACAAACTCGGTCATTTCCTGCAGCCAAGAAATTAGAGTGCCATGGAAAACAGAGTCTATTGTAAGAGGGGTAGGCAGGCAGGGGGTGGCTCTACTACAAGTTGAAGGGTTGTTGAAGAATCATGCCCACATCATAAAATGGGAAAAATTAGCAGAATGGGTAAAATCGAACTCATCATACTGATATTTCAACTTCGCGACTTTCTATCCTTCTTCGTGAAATATCTAGCTATAAATGTGAATACTAGAAGACTGGAATAGAGCTTTCAAACTGACCCTCCGAATAAGAATTAACCCTCGTGGGATTCCAAAACCGATTGGTTCACCCCGCATTCCTTGAGCTTAACCTATCTTATCATGAATGAATGGATAGGGTTTGTGAGGCGTTTCAGATAAGAACTAGTTACTGGACCATCCACCGAAATGCCGCTTACGTCGAGTTGGAGTTGTCGGCGCATGACCAGGCGGCAGATCCTCCCGAAGTCTTGTAGCTATTCATGATGGTCACAATGGAACCGTAAGTGCCAGAAATCATGAGGAATGTTCCTGACAATATCACGAACGCACTCCAGCACACCATCATAGTCCACCGAGGCGACCGTGCCTTTTTACCGTCGCTCCAATTATCATAGAGCCACATGCAACCCATGGGCTGAAATGACATTAGAGTCCCAAGCAAAGCACCAACCAGAGAAACAAGATTGTCAAAGACTGGAATGGCGCTGGCGATAATGTATGAGATAAGGGTAATTCCAAAAGTGCAGCTGAGCCAAACCACCCAGTGAGTCACAGTATTCGCAGTTAAATGCCGTGATCCTTTTAGAAGACGGAGAAATATGTATTTTCCAGGGAGCTTCGACAATGTTAGCGGATTCCAACTTGAACTTGTGGGTAATCATTTTCTAAAAGATTTCATAAGGAGACGCACATGAATCACAAGCATGGTTGTGACAAGTAGACCTGGCAAGGCAAACCCGTAGCTGATCTTTTTCAACATTGGGCCAGCGGAGCCGAGAGCAGGCGAGGCGACGTAAGATCCGCAGTAATAATACACGACGCAGCCGATGGCAAGGTAGACACCAGTGACAACGGATTGACAAATCAAGAGCGACCGAGTGTATTGGCGAGGATCGCGCATCTCGGCTGCAATGGAGAAGAATGATGGTGTTCCTATTTAAACATGCTTGCGTCAATACTCAATAACAATCTCTCTAGCTCCTCCCAGTCGTGAAGATGCTTCTCTTACCTGCATAGGCAAATACCAGAGAGGAAACAGCGGTTATAGATTCACTAAATGGAGCACTGCCAGTAATCTGGTAATCAGAAACCCAGACACCAGCCTTTGGTGCTGCCGATGGTCGGTCCTGTACACCGACAGCAATGGTCACTACCATAACTGTAATATTTGGTCAGATACTTGCAGACATCAGAGGGTAACAGGAAGTCTCACTGCCAGTAATAATACAAACCAACCCGATCCATGCCAGTGGACCCATACGGCCTAATGTTTGGATGCTGGAAAGCATGAAGCCTACAATAGCTGCGACAGCAACAAAGACAGCAGTACAGGTGCCATGAGTTGACAGGGCATTCACGGCAATCGATATGCTTAGCATTCCGGACCCAGCAACAAAAACCCAGTCTAGTAGAAGAGTTAGAATAGGGTCGGAATTTAGAGTTGATGGTCATGTACTCACAAAGACAAAAAGCCGAACCGAAAAATATTTTTCCAATTCGGCCAAACATCAACCCTCCAGCATCATCAATACCGTAAACATCACGGTGTCGCATCTTGAAGACACCGACCATATAGTCTGACCATGTTGTAATACAGGCAATGGTGCACAATATGATAACTCCTGGAACAATACCTAGGGTGTCAAATGCGACTGGAATTGAGAGGACCCCGAGGCCAATCTGACTTTTCATCATCAGAGCGGCAGATCCTAGCCATCCGACCTGAGGAATGATTAGTTCTCTAGCAGAACCTGCTTTCAGAGTTTACACACATTGCGGTAATTAGGGCCCTCTTCAGTGATTTCACCAAAGACGGCATCATGAGTATATGTTTGGTCCTCGAATATCTGTCCTGTTTGAGAGGGGACAGGGCTAAGTGAATTATCTTGTTTCTTCTCGGGCATTTTGAGACATTGAGTGTACCTTTCTAACCTTGGAAATGAATTGGAAGGTGAGCCAAATTCCGGGTCCGGAGGCCCTTTTAAAGTGCTCTAGATATCGCATACGTAGCTTCGGGTAGCAGGCCGGTACGCTGTTATTGAAACGCCTTCAAGTGGTAAGTATCACCCAAGGCACTGAGTTAAAATTGAGATATGATCACCGTTCAGCAAGCTATGATCATCGACTGGCTTTCTATGATGATGATAGCCAACCAACTTAGAGAATTAGAATCTACAATTTCATATCATCGGTCGAGCCCGGGCAGTGACGCACTGCTTGCGGGATTTTTCTGTGTGCCCCGGCCCGAAATGCGGGATATAACCCCATAGAATGGGGTAAAGCCGCAGAACCACTCGTCGAAGTGATATTTAGTCTCCAGCTACAGAGGCGTGGCCTGACATGGCGCACCATAGTGTGGGTCGCACCCCGGGGACTAAACTGGGTCGTCGGGCCCCTTCCCGAGACTGACTACCCCGGATATCCCCCAGCCTCTTCTGAAGTCAATAATGAACTTTTAATTATCAAATAAAATGTGAATTTTTAGATTTCGAGTTGATGTAAATAGAAGCTCCAAGTGTTGAGCAATTGACGAACTCCCAAGGTGGGCAATCTGCTTTTGACCTCCCAACTGTAAGACTCGGATCCCAAATTACCTTTGTAGACATTTCTGTGGGGGTCCTGCATGATAGGAAATTTTTCTCTCTGGAAATGTATTCACCCGATCCGGGCTAAGCTCCGCTGATAGAATCTTCAAGTTGAGCAAGTGCCCAGGCGCCAGTGGTCTTCCATACATTCACAAAAGCACTCGCCCAAAAATGATTATCCATGGATGCTAGTGTTCCCCGCGGGCAACACCAGATGATTTTATTTTAAAACTTTGAAACCGGGCAAGGATTGTATAAACTTATAGAGCGCTTACAACTTCTACAGTCTGTCAAGCTACGGTAATGCTTCCGATAGTGCATATCATTTACCCGGTCTGGAATCCAAAACAGAAAGCACAGACTTCTAAGATAGACAGATAGGGACGCTTTGCGCAAGTTTCCCTTGTGCCTGGTTTCAGACAAAAATAACTAGTGTGATTATTTGTATCATCTTCTATTTCATTGTCTCTATAGTCTATTTTGAAAATGGGTATCATTTAAAACACTGGTGGGCTTCAAAGACAACGTATTATGAGAGCAGATGTTGCCTCAAGGTTTTCATTCCTACCTTCATTAGTGGTATTCGTTTTGCGGCTTGCACAGTTCTCTTCCCTTGTAGAATGGCTTTCAATGGCGTCGCAAAAGCATTGAAGCGTGGCAAATTCTGGTGTTTATTAGATGAACATGCAAGAAATCCGAGAATGAACGAGTGCTTTATCCGAAGATTCCTGCTATCCCTTTTGATAGCCTTCCAATTGAGGAAAAGCTGCTCCATAATTCTGAATCTACAAGCCTTAAGATCTCTTTAGAAGGGATCCAAAGGGCTAAAAATGGGAACGAAAATATTAAGCGGAGTATGGGAGTAGAAACTCTTGAGAGCTTCCAATGACGAGCTGCTTCTTCATGGCTAGGAAATGTTCATTGATTTGATTGTGTTAACAATGAACACGCCTACTCATGTATAGACCACCTGTCTTTATAAAAATTTGATACACCTCGAATACACCCTGAGGGTTCATCATGATTCCACCGGTTGTTGCACAATTCTACCAACCCCACCATCTTTAGTCATTTCCCTTTGGTCCATTTCCAGTGTGGGAATTAGAATTTAGGAAAGGCTTCCAGAAATTTTCACGAATTACTAGTCAATTCTTGACAAGCGAGGAATAAACCGATCTATGTAGAACCTAGACAGTCGTGACCCATGAACCTGTATCTCACAGCATAAATTGCATAAAATAGTGCACGCCATTTATTGCTGAATCACCAATGCTGCCCTCATTCTCCCTTCAACAACCAACACTCCCTTCTAACCGCGTGTCGCAGTTGCAGTTCGGCTTCGAGAGATGACCAGCGCGATGGACAATCTGCTCACAAAATGTCTGTCAACGATCCCTGACGAGCTGCTAGGTAATGATGTCATATCTAGTTCCGCCACCTAGATACATTTCGAGGCAATGCTCCTCTCACAGATGATCTATATTAGGCGAGAACGTCTTCATGATGATCCCAATAAGAAAATATTCCGGGCATACAAATGGTAAATCTCCAAGTATGGTTTGTTGGAGCGCTCGGGCATTCAGATCGCCTTCCCGTCGCTGCCTCACGCTCTCTCCTAGATTTACCTCATCGTTCACATGCACCCGCCATTCTCAGGGTTCTGAGCTTCTGTCATGATTGAATATGACTCTCAGGCTATGGCGGCTTCAGGCGACCCGCACTGCCCCCTCGACGTCAGGGGTGCATCGACAATGCTTGGCACAACAATCCCGCTTTCCTTTTGCAGAGCGATTTACGTACTGCGGTTGGCCTGAAGTATTATCAGTGCAAGCATATGACGAGCTTCGACAAGATACAAATAATTCCGTTTTGATCCCAGAAAGAGCTCAAGACGCGAACTCTGTCTCAACCCAACCCCAGATAAGCCCATGTCACGCTTTCAGTGATCTATTCCAAGATGATTCGTTTTGCTCTCTCCTTTGGGTTACTGTTTGCCGCTTCTGCGGTAGCTTCTCCTCTATCATCGGCAGCTCGAGAGACAGCCGCCGAGCAATGCCACGGTATATCTGGGCCGTTTTTACCGCCCTCATTTCCTGATCCATGTGAGTTCAACAAGAGCGGGATTTTTTTCTTGTTTTTTAGGAAGAAAGTCTCTAATATCATGTCCTATAAAGCCATCATTCATGTCGGTAACAACTGGTACTCCTTCGGTACCTCTAATGGGCAGGATGTCCAAGGAGCAAGCTCTACAAAGCTCCAGGGGGAGTGGGAAAGATTCGACGGTCCAATCTTGGCAATTGACGAAGCTGAGTGGGTGGGAAAACAGGCTACTTACGGCATATGGGCTCCAGATGTTTACCAGAGAGGCTCTGACAAGAAATTTATCATGTTCGTTTGAGAATAATTTGTAAAGGCGATTTCTAACAGAACGTCAGGTACTTCTCGGCATTCGATAAAGAAAAAAAGGACCACCGATGTATCGGGGCTGCTATCAGCGACGATATAAAGGGCGTGTACCATCCCGAGAGTGATTTTGTACAGTGCAACCGAACCGCCTCCGGGGCCATTGACCCCTCGTGGTTTAAAGACGACAACGGCAAGCAGTATGTCGTCTACAAGACAGAAATCCCCCAGAATTGGCTAGAGATTCGAGAAGTGAACAATTCTGGACCCAAAGAAGGCGTCGAGTGGGCTGGCAACGCACAAAAGCTTCTTCAAATGGGCAGCCAAGGCTTTGACGATGGTGGCAACATGGAGGCTCCGTACATCTTCAAGCGCGGCGATACCTACTTTTTGACTTACAGTACCCATGTCACCATGAATGAGAGCTACGATGTTCAATATGCGACGGCAAAAAGCGTGACGGGGCCCTATACCAGGGTTAAGAAACCGCTGCTAGAGACTACGAATGATTTCGGCTGCAAGCTTATTGGCCCTGGTGGAGCAAGCTTTCAACAGGACTCTGGGGATCAAAAATCCACGAAGATGATATTGCATGGTCTGACGGAAGCGATGGATATTAACAAGCGTGTGGTCTACACTGCAACTGTACAGGTCGACGGCGATAGACTTTCTGTTGGTTCGGATTAGATTTTGAGCTGAGTTACAGAATTTATCAGTAAATAGATGAAATCTCACAACTTTCTACTACTAGTAAAATTATGCCTTTACTTGGATATTTTTAACCGCTCTGGACAGTTCCAAGGTATTAACAGTATGAAAAGGATTCTAGCCACATCTTATACGCCGCTCGTTAAATCTATCCAAACTGAGATATCAATTCTATTCATATGTCTCTATTAATGTGAGGTAATTTGCCACTGGTCGCCGACTCTGAATCCTTCTGGAAATGGGCCCGAAGGGTCAAGAACCACCTGTTTAAGCACAGCAATCCATGCACTGCCTTTAACAGTCGGCAACACTGCATCATAATCGCCAACCTTTGTGGTGCCACGTATATGGCATTCGAATGAGCTCCCAATGATCCTCCTCCGATGAAACTGCTCATTGACTGCAAGCTGCCCCCTAGCATGAAGAATCGCCATTCTCGTACAACTTCCAGTCCCACATGGACATCGGTCAAATCGACCTGGTGATACCACCACAGTATTCACAGCTGTCTTTTCACCATCGGCGCCTTCAGTCAGTGGCTCTGTGAATTCGATAATGCTAACTCCACGAATTCGGTGTGGACGGGCACATATGATCGCTGGACTGCTTTCTTGATTCCTTCCCATTCTCAATCAATTTCGGTCCATTTTGGTTGCGGATTCGTAGTCCAATCTTCGCCACATCCAAAACCACATAAATCATCCCTCCCCAAACAACATCAACCAACATGGTTGCCAGACCTACAACTTCAACGGGATGATCCAAAGCCAAGACAAATGCGGGTTCATTGTCGAAAGAAACCGCCACGCATTTGCCTTCTTTGCAATCTGCAATGACCACTACAAGTCCCGCGGCCGTATCTAACATCAATTTTGTTGTCGTTTCCACTATTTTCACCATTCATGTCTCCAGTAGAACATTTGCAGTGGCAATTGTGTTACCCCCTGACTTAGGAACGTATTCTTCGCTTTCCCATAATAAGAAATCCAGCATCCGCCTTTGGGTTGCAGGATGGGAGGACAAGATTCATACACATCGCAGGTCGGCCACGAGGCTCATTAAGGAGTAGATGGCGAGTGTGGTCGGCCTTGTCTCGGAAATAGACGAGTTTCTCATACATGTTGGTTCAGTCGGGTGGATTTAAAACGCCTCCCACGATGACATCGCAAACTTCGCCGGCGCAGTGGCAGCCGCCAATTTGCAGGGAGCGATTGAAATGCATCTTGATATATCCAGGGCTCGGCCAGTAAATTCTTTATTAGATAGTGAGCACAGAAAAATATTCAAGTTCTAAGATTTGGCGAAAGACTAGCTTTGTAGCTAAGCAGCCTTGGTTATTATGGTGAGCAGATGAGGGGAGAGTGAGTGTCACGAACCCTCACAATTAAAGGATACCAAGGTCGCTCTAAGTTTTTTGCCTTTGGGATTTGCCGGAAGCTAAATTTGACTATAGACTCATCAAGTAATTTGAATGAGACCGGGCTCTCTATTGCCGGTGGCTTGCCGGTCGGTAGGCCTCCCGACTCGAAGAAGCTTTGGAACTTCAAGTTGCACACGCTTCTGACGGTTGAGGAAGAGGCGGATAGCAATATAACTTGATATTAATGCGAATGGAGCGGATTTGGTTCAGTTTGATTTGATTTTTGGAATTTATTTTCTCATTCCTTTTCTAGCTCACTTCAAGTTCCGACTTGAGGGTTACTACTAGTAGTACTATAGATAGATATAAAATTCCAAGGCTGCACACGGAGGTTCAAACACAGGGATAATTCGCACATCTCACTCAGGGTCCGCGATTTTAAGAACTGCTTTGCCTTTGTTTTTTCCACTCAACATTGCAATAAATGCTTCAGGGCCATGCTCGATCCCGATACTAACATCCTCTCTTGTCTTAATGCTTCCGTCCGCCAGCCACTATGAAAAGCCATATTAGAGGGGAGAAATTATCGACTTTGATCAAGCTTGGACTTACCGCCGACACCTTCTCGTCTCGCTCTTTGTAATATTTGGGTCGCATATTGGGGTCTCCTTGGATAAATCCCTGCATTTTGATGCGCTTTGAGACAACCTGGCCAAGATTCTTGATTCCGTATCTCGCGTCCGGCGCCAGATTGTACTGAGATACCATGCCGCAGGCGACTGTAATGGTCAGTGCTGATATTCAAATCCCATGTCACTTCTATAATGGGCTCAAACATACCAATTCTTCCAAAGAAATTCATTGCATCCAGGGCAGCCTCCAACTGCTCACCTCCGACATTCTCATAGTAAATATCGATACCGTCTGGTGCCAGTCTTGCCAACGCATCGGCGGGCTTTTCCTTCTTGTAATTGAACCCGCCATCAAAGCCAAGATCCTCGGTAATAAATTTCAGTTTTTCGTCATCTCCAACGCTGCCAATCACTCGAAGGCCCTCGTGTTTGGCAAGCTGACCGACAACCTGTCCCACTGCGCCTGCAGCAGAGGAAACGAAGATCGTCTCGCCCTTTTTAGGGGCTCCGATTTCATAAAGACTGGCATAGGCTGTGATACCGGGCATCCCTAGTATACCGACGAAATTTGAGAGCGGGAGATTATGCTTGTTGTCGATCTTATACGTTTGGTCCCCATCTAAGTCTTTCTTTGTCGCAATGGTATACTCCTCCACGGCCAAGAGACTGAACACCAGATCGCCTGCCTGATACTCGGGATGATCCGACTTGATTATCTGCACCAGACAGAAGGCCGTGATAGGTTCTCCAAGTTCGTATGGCATATTGTAAGACTTAATGGCGGGGTCACGCATTCGGCCCCGCATGTAGGGGTCGAGGCTGACATAGAGCTGGCGCACTGTTGCTCCTCCATCTGGAGGCTGCTGGTCAATATCAAAAGATCGTTCTTTCACGATCAGGTCTTGCCCCGCAACTGGTAGACCTGTAGGCACCTTATTGTAAATCAAAGCTTTGTTGGGAAGGGACATCTTGTAAAATGCAGCTTCGCGTGATGATGGTCGTTATGGGAGTATGAGTCTGATTACAAGGGTTGAATCATAAGCTTCATTCAAAGGGTATTTTATAGAATTAAGGGCGGCTTATAAAGCAGGGGTTGGTAGAAGTGAGGGGTCGATTAGAAATACGAAAAGTGGTGGCTGGTGGGGGAGCATGCACCATGCACCAAGCACAACAAGCTGCCCCCAATCTTCATTGTCTCTTGCTTGGTAAAGTAATTTACTAGTTTTTTTTTTTCTTAATATTGCACATGCAAAATTAATTATCTGCTTCATGTTTCATCACAGCTGGCCGTGTTCCTTGAAATTCTTCCTCTGCAAACTTCACTCTCTGGCATACCCTCTCTCACTTCTTAGTTGGTGGATGCTGTACCTCCTGGAATGCACATCCGAGATAACCTGAAGTGCAACGTCCAAAATGCCCATAACAGCCATTCCCATCGCATGGGACGACTCCGTTGCAACCGTATTCACATGGGCAGCCAGCATAGTATCCCTATTTTATCATTTAAGTGCATATCCCCAAAGTTGCATCGTAGCAGATACAAAGAGAGGATTACAAATTTGCATACGAGACTCGTCGGGTTGCCATTGTAGTCATTTTCAAAGCAGTTTCTGATTCCGACGCAATTATCAGCTACATTTATGCTTGGGCTAGCTGCTATAGAAGAAAGAACTGCAAGGTTAAGACACCAAATGTTTTCCTCTTGTGAATTATTCTTGAATTCGCTCATAGGGTTCCGGGGACCTTTTGGTCTGGGTTTGGAGCCTTAGCACAGCTAGTTAGCTGCTAATTAAACCTCGACGTACACTAAAAAGCCTTTTATAACACTTCTAGGGCTCGTAGTGTTCAATCGGAACCAGTGGTCTAGAAACTGAAAGGAGAACCTCAGCACATCTATTTTCCTAGTATTTATTGTTGTTACATCTCCACAACCACAGGCAATTTTTTGAAATTTCGTGCACAAAGCTTATTTCCACTATACTAGACCCGGCCTATAACACTTGCTCTTCACGTCTAAAGGAATCCAATTCGTCTTCACTATCTCCGCACGGGTCCATAAATAGGGGTTTGGCTTGGTTTGAAAAGTTACGAATCGCATATCAGCTTGACTCAGTTTCTTGTTCTACAAAAGTTGAAACGTTAGAGGCCATTTGATTCTTCATCCTCTCCAGTTCCATGGTTGCATCTTTACTTTTTATGGCATGGTCCCGACCAGGTTAGTACGGAGATATTGGGTTGCTGGATTTCGGTTCCCATTCATTGAATACTAGTAGTGGTGGTCTATGGAGATGGCAGATTATTTTCTTGGTCTTTGACTTTACCAATATACTAGTAATGTTGTGCAACTTTAATTTTATAATCTAGACCACCTGGGCAATGAAGTGGAATGTGAGAATCGTGAAAATATACATTAATAATAAGAAATATCCTGGAGACAAGGAATAAAAATAAGCCAAATTCTTTCTAAACGCTCGATGATGACTGTGGCAAATATGTGGGTATCACAAGTATAAAAAGGCTCAACTTGACCAGCACTCTCAACAAAAGAAATAGAGGCAGAAGAAAAGAGAATCAGAATGAAAACCGAAATAAAGAAAAGCAACTTTTGAAAGGTCATGCCTGTCGTTTTGTTGCAAAAGGCCTATAATGAAAGATTGACTTTGTAAGATATCATTGTATCTCACGCGCGAACACTTCTTGGGGCGATTGTGTCCGAATACTCGGGAGGAGCCAAGTTCACGTCAATGACTGTGTCATTCATGATTGGGGCAACAGAACGTGGAGAGAAGAACTCATCCAGTTCCGCCTGAGTCACAACCACGCCCAGCTCGGATTTAAAAGAGCCGCCGTTCTTGGACTCGGTTGTTATTTGAATCGGGACGCGGAGAGAGATCGTCGGGGTGAGGACGTTTGTACCGGGGGTGTGATAGGAGAGGGCGAGTTCCAAGGAGTAGGTTCGGGACATCAGGCATGAGTGGAAAGTCGGGACGAAGGTCTTCGACTTTGGAAGGTTTACTGGGATTAACAGTGATGCAGTATAGTATGTGCCGCCAGTGAATTCGGTAGATGGCCCAGTAGAGGACTCGGAGCAAGTGGACTCTGTCGAGTCACGACGCTCACAGCCAGTTGTTGAATGTTTCTGCCACTTTGCAGATCCGACACACATGGTAGACAGCGGAATTGACTCGCTGAACAAACCTTGGCCAACCTGTGAGAAAGGCATATTGCCGGATTGGAAGGGATAATCCTCCCAGGGGCTTGCGCTGTAGAATGTGCTGGCTTTGATTTTACTGGTCAATGATCCCAGCTTCGGTGGTTCCTCGGTTCCCACAGGGTCAAATCGCAAGTTGATAGTGGCAACGGTGTTGACGGTGTCGCGCGTCTCACAGCTGTGGGGAAGAAGACGAATCGCCTTTGGTTGTGCGGCAGAAGCAACCATGCGGCCCAGTCTGCCTCGCAAAAAACCACGCTTCACACTCTTCTCTTTCCGTGTGCAGTAGTAAGGATGATCAGAGATCTCCATAGGTGGCTCTTCCTCCACAGTTGGAATGACGCGAACCTTTTTGGCGATATTGGCCAAGGCCTTCACCTGGCGTTGGTCTGCGGATGATCTCTTAAGCACACCCGCGCGGATTATATAGGAGATGACGCTCATATCAGGAGCCATATCATCAAGCAAAGTCTTTCCATTTCCAGCGAGCATTGGATCTCCTAAGGTCGGTGGCACCATGGTGTGTGATCGATGAATGGCGTTGTTTACGCGTTTGTGGGTGCACACTTGCGGCAGCAATTGATCTGGGATAATGAATTGGAAGGGGAAGGTATATTTGCGACCAGCTTCAAAAACTCGTGGGGCCGGATAGTCGGTATCTTCGATAGGTTGTCGAAGCTTCAAAAACATGTGCTGGGAGCCGGTTCGACCAGGGCAGGCGGCCCGTTCGACTGTAGTTCGTGATGACCCTATATTGGAATGAGTGGCTGGCGCATTTACATGGCTTTGTTTATTTCAATATAACCTACCTTGAAAGGCAATTTCCACTTCATCAAAGCGTGTCTCATGTTCCACGGTAATGGTGACAGTTCCCTCGATATGATCGCCAGTTGTATACGAGCTCACAAGACCAGGTGTCTGTCCAACAAGATCGATTTCAATTTTTGGCTGCGAACGCCGGGTGAAGACATCAAATGTCTCTGAGCCCCGGCTAATAACCGAAGTCGCGACCATGGTGAGTGAGATTTATTGTTGAAGCGAATAGTAGTTGAGAGTTGAGGGTTGAGGGTTGAGAGGGGAAGAAGGAAAGAGGGGGGGCAAGAGAAGAGTAAATCAAGCACACGAGACCCTGGACCCTTGTTCAGGTATGCGCAGGTGGATGTTTTGAGTTTGGGGAGAATTAAATAAACCCCGGGGTTTATCTGCTTCAAGTTTATTTTGAACCAGACTGCTAGGGGAGAAGAAAAAAAAGTACAGTATGTAGAAAGTGGAGCCGTGGACCGTGAACAACCGCGAAGTGTATTGTAGTACCCCATAATGGAGTGGAGGGGCCACCCCCGTTTTATAGAAAAGGGAAATGCACCTGATGATGATGATCCTTGTTGTAAGATCATGTTTACAAATCCATCGTACAATCTCTATGCCATATTTGTGAGTCATTGACGTTGGAAATCATTTAGAAGACGGGTGACGTTGACACACGTGTGTCAACCAGCAACAGCATTATACTCCAAAGGAAAGCGCGAAAGCTAGCAGCAAGCCAATGCCAGTCCATACGAGCAGAGGCGTCCGGGGAGGGGAACTGGAGAAGATGATTGGATGATTGGCGGTCTGCGCCCTTCCTTCGGTCCATGCTCGCGCCCTTGGATTGACATTCCGTTTGGCGTCAAAGGACCTTGCCGACGCCCTTGTCAAGCAAGCGGATCGGAACCAATAAGATAATTTGCAACGGGATTCTCTCCATTCCGATTGATTCGAAGATGAGACCCTGTCCCATCTTGACCCTCCCCCTGTTAGACGGGCTTGTGAAGCCTCATTGCGATGCCGGAGCATCAAAATCCAAGGCAAGAGTATCAAGCTCAGCAAGACCCAGTGGGTCGAGCCAGGCTGGAACAGTCGGTGGACCGCGCCTTATGCCGACAAGCACGCCCTTCGAGGGTCCACTTTGAGAAAGAACAACCGTGGTGGCCCACTCATGAGTCTCCGATCGGAGCTGCGAAGACGCTCAGACGTGGTGTTGCTCGAGATATAACCAATCATAGTCACGCGGGGGTAACCCGTCCTGCTGACAATCGATGGAGAATTTCAAAGCAAATCTGAGTTTCCAGTGTTTGCAAAATTGAAGGCCATCCTCATGGAAAAGTGAAGTCAGGCGTTGATTTCTCGAACCAAGGAAAATGACACCATCGACAGACCCATTTCCCGAGGAGAAAGAAGGGTGACGACGGTAGCCGGCCTGTTGTCTCTCGGGAGGCTCCAGATGTTTCCGACCTTAGCCGAGCACATTGCATGCCGAGTGGATATTTCTGCCGGTTTTGCAGCGGGTTCAGGGGACAAAAATCATTGATGCTGCAGGAGTTGTGCGGGTTTCGGTCCAAGCGATCGGTCTGCTACGGTGCGGTTGCTTTGTCGGTGCTGGAATTGGAAGTTGTGGGAAGGCGCCGAGGACCCGCATCAGGTGATCCCGATGCATAGTATAGTTTTTGTACACCTCAACTATGGCTTCTATGACTGGACTTGATTTGAGTTTTATTTTTTCTCTTTTTACTTGGAGTATCATTTGAATAGTCAACATAATTCACTCTCATTGTTTCTATTTCACTATATCAATTACGTGATTTACAGGTTGTTCCGACTGATAAATTACGGCTTATATCCGTGGTGCAATGCAGATAAAACCGTACTCAAAGATCGTCGAAGTGTGTTGCCACACTTTTTTTTGTCTCATACAAGCCGTACTCGAAAGTGACGGGTTGCATCCAGCTCAAGATTAGCCGAGTAAGAGCGGCAGACCGAGCGAGGCAAGAGACGACATCCACTTGGGGAAGTCTAAGAGGAGGGGAGGGAGGGGATGGAATGGAATCATGTGAAAAAAAGGCGGATCAAAGCCACCTTTGGATATCGATTAGCGGGTACCTAGGTATCTGAAGCGCAGAGAGCACCAACGCCAGCAAAGTACGCCAGAATTGCCCCATGTTATTAATATGCCACCCTCGTTCGCATGTCCGAGATCTTTCGCTCGATCTCGCGGACGGAGCGATCGAGTTCGGCCGCAATCATCATCTTTGTGTCGTTAGGCAGAAGGAAATACATTTCACACAAATCACCGTCGATGACACCCTTTACAGGTGCATAGTATCCACGATAGATGAGGTGGTCCCGTCCCGCCAGGGGAGGGTGCTGGGCTGCCAGCTGCATTTCCAAACTCTGGAAAAAGTCCACATCCTCACGGCTTGCGAATGGGACGAACATGCCCACGGTTCCCTGTAAACCAGTCCAGACGACGATGTCACGTCCACCTGCAACTAGCTGCGCCTTGTGGATGCTGGTGGGGATATCTTGGGTATAGTAGTGGACCATCAGTTCAAGACGGTTGGGAGTACCCTGGAGATAGCCACGCTCGTGTACAAGGTGGGCACCAGACCCATCTTCGTCGGCCTGTTCAGAGACCTTTCCAGGGCATCGCATCATCCACAAGTTTCCAAACTTGTCACCACCTGCGACGGTTTCGTAGTCAACCATGGCCGTAGAGGTTGTCCAACGAGCGATAGAGTCGTCCACGAAGGGAATCAGAACATTCTCCTGAAACTTGTAGACGACGAAAGTAACACTTTCGCGAACATCACTGACCACAATGCGGCTTCCTTGTGTCTGAAGACCAACGATCGTCTTGGCGACCACGGGTGCCTGGCACTTTCGTAGAAGTTGCTTCATACCCAGATCGTAGAGGCGCAATGTGGAGCCAATACCTGCTAGAAGTCGACCTTGGAATGCAAGAAGAGCAAGAGGAGGGTCTTCAACCTTGGTCTTATGAATGAACTCCAGCTCGCGACCGTCCTCCTGGAACCGGTAAATGTGGATGAAGCCGCCACCAGATGATGGTGGGCTGACAGACATATCCTTTGACGTGCCCACAACTAGGAATGTCTCATCGTCTTGGCTTGAGAAAGACACGGCCGCGACACTAACAGCCGCCTCATTGTCTTCGAGGTCCAGTGTGAAGACAACGGACTTGGTAGAAATTGGATCAACAATTTGGATGCAAGAGGCCCAGTGGCCAGTTCCGCGAGGGTATCCAAACTCCTCCGGCGGCAGGATGACAGCTTCTCCATTACGGCTCTCGGAATCTTGGATGAGACTTTGTCGTGTAGCTGGTGACAGGACACCATTGTCGGACTCGATTACGTAGAAGAGCGGCTGTTCGGGATGTTTGACGAAGCGCCGGGGTGTGTAGGCGAGGGGGATAGACTCTTGAAGCATGTTGTTATCCAGTTTCTCGATGGAGAAGATTCTGCATGTTCGTCAGCGATGATACGCAACCAAAGTGAAAAGAAATGCAATGCAGATGAAGATGATGTTGATCTCAGTAGGAACAATTGGAATATAAATAAAAAGTTCTTCGACATGGTGATTCAGGTCCCATGTTTCATCATATGATCGAATGTGAAGGAAAATGGCGGGGAGGAAAAAGAAAGAGAAGTGGAATGGAATGGGTTAAAACGTACCGGAGATTGCGGCCCTGGATACCGATCATGCCTTCCACGCATTGCTCACTGGAAAAGTTCCAGCCCCATTCCAGGCCAACATAATCCAGGGGAGTTAGCATGAAGCTCTTAGTTTGAGTATCAGAATATCCAAGCCAAGGACGAGAGCTGAGGGCTAGAACTGCGGTTTGTCCCTTCACGGAGACTTGGGAAAGCTTTACGGGCTTGGCGCCCAGGAAGCGTGTTCGAGTATCGGATAGCTCTCCAGTAACCTCGTCGAGGACAGTGCGTAGGTAAACACCGGAGTAGAGACCAATGTGGAGATACAAGGTGGTACCTCCCGAACTCGAATCGGCCATGGCCATGATACTGAGAGCGGATGGTGCGGACGTCAAAGCCTGGACAGACTTACTTTCTAATGTAGAATCTGGGTCCAGGCTGAGGATACGCACTGTAGAGTCATCGCAGCCAACAGCCAGGAAGGAGCTTCGCATCCTGCCTTCGGGAACTTGCCCGAGGCTGAGACAAGTGACAGTACCAGACATTTGCCTCCTTTCGTCATATTCGGCCAAGGTACCATCTGTGTCCATTTCGAAGTAGACAATCTCGCCGGAGCTGAGGGCAACAGCAACTTGACGCTCGTTGGTGGCGGCGGCCACAATAGACCGATGCTGAGGAGCGGGCCATTCATTGACGCGGCCACCCGCGAGAAGATGGCGAATGCCGCGGGGGTGGACTTGAATGAGCGAGTCCTCGCCCAGTTGCTGCACGGCCAGAGTCGGAGCAGTCGAAAGAAATCCTGTATCTGTGACCTCCTCAACGACCTCGCCAATGCCCAAAACCAAAGTGCCGTTGGCAAAGGAGAGAACGATGTAAGCATCGTATTCATCAGAACGCGTCAGCTTAGTAGTCCAGACGGCCGATGGGACAGTTCGAAGTTCTGACTCGACGATCTCAGAAACCTCTAGTCCGTGCTTGAGAGTTCTGAAAGTGCTGCGAGCCCCAGTGCCACCCACGGAGTAGATTTGTGGGGCATCGTCCTCGGTAAGGTTGGCAATCTTACTGTCAATCAACGGATTGAGAGAGTTGATGGTTTCCATCAGGTTGAGATTCTCGTATGTCCGCGGTTGGAAGAAAATCGGATCATAGGGAACAGATGGATCGGCGGAATAATCATCGCTAGAGAATTCGGTTTCCTCATCATCATCGCCAAGTTTTTCGAATTGGTAGAAGTGATGATTACCAGCTTCGCTAGCCACATAAAGGAAGCCACTTTTGAGAATGAGCAGGTTGGAAGCGACCGGGACGGTATCGAAGTATTTTATCTTCAATCTTTGCACTTCTCCCGTCAATTGACCATTCTCATCCTCAACCATTTCAAGGTTCAACTTAAACATATCACCGTCATCGGTCTGCAACAGAAAGAAGAAAGCTCCCCTCATTTTGTGCATAACTCCAGAGACTATGGTGCGTTTCCGCTCGGGGTTTTCAGTGGGACCCTTGCGGCGTGGGATGGGCACGCGGAAAGCATCTTGGTTGGAATGACGATAGGTGACACTATCTTCAGCGCACACCAACACTCCGCTTGGGCCGTCCGCGCCACCGGGGACCTGGAAAAGCATGTTCGCTGTGCGATCGACGGGGTCAGACCACTTGCGGACGACATGATTCAATCCAAGATCCAGCTCGTAGTAAACGAGGACTTTCTCAATCTCCTCGTAAGCCAGGCCAGTGGGATCTTGGTCAGCTTCAGAGTAATCCACTTCCAAAGCAGCAAAGATGGGGTTTTCATAGCCCACATCCAAGGAAATCATGGCGAAGACCAAAGTTTGCGGTTTATGAGCCTCAAGAGGAGAGGAGATTGTAAGCTCCGCTTGGGAGTTACGGTTGAGAACATAGACCAGCTTGTTCTTCTCCACGGAAGCGATCAGACACGCACGTCCTTTGGGATCCACAGCAAGATATTGACCTGGGACAACCCGGCGAACACCCGACTTTCCAAATGTTTCCAAGTGGATGCGGTTAAAACGGTTCTGAGAAGGAACATATTCAATGATTGTGATACGCCCGGAGTCGGAGCCGATGATAATGTAATCTGAATGATATACTCAGCACAGTTCGCACAAAGATTATTTGCAGCGTCAACGTTGCTGGCCGGGGGCAGGTCCGCTTCAACCCTTCAAGGGGGCGGCTCAGAAAACCAGGACCGTGCTACCCGGGAAGCTTGAAGAATCACTAAGTTGAACTCGTAAATGCAAACGCGGGCTAAATGCAAGACATACCTTTATTGCTTCCGGCTAACCGAAAGGCTGCCAATGAGCGGATAATGCCGAAGACATCTTGTGAAAAGATCGGTGTCACTTTTCCCTGACTGGGGTCGGGGCGGTGGATTGTCAGCTTCGAACCCGAGGCAGTGACGATCTGCTGCTCCTTAGTACCCGAAAATTGACCCAGGATGGCCTGGGTGATTGCAGTGGGAGGCTGAATCGTCAAGGAGTACATGAACATGTGCGAAGTGGTGGCCATGGTGGACAAGAGCTAAGCTCGCAAAAACTCGCGAGCTTTCACACCTCAATACGCGACGGTCAGAAAAAGACAATATTGGAGTATGCGCAATGGCAATTGCAATAGAAATTGTGAAGCAGATCACATCAATCCCATCGCTGCTGGGGTCTAATGAAAGAAAGACACCCCAGATAGCAGAAATGCGTGATGGGGTTTAGGGGAGGGGGGGGAGGTTGAATACGGGAAGAAAAGAGGAAGCAAAATGTGCTGGTGGGACTGGAAGCTCGTTCTCTCACGTGACCCTGGCCGCTGGCACAAGATGGAAAGCGGTCGAATTACGTCGGCAACACCGTTGAGTAGCTCCGTCCAACTGCCAACCCGTTGCTTTCAACAACCCAACCACCACCGATCTTCCTTTTTGGCCTTCTAAGAAATTGCTATCTCTCGACAACTGTGCGCATCGCATACATCTCTTCACTTTTACATTCAACGCCTTAGAGGCGATCAGTCGCACCCTCTCCCTCTTTAATCACCCCACACTTCTCTTCCGACAAGTCAATTCACCATGGCCGACGACGCTGGTACTGCCGGAGAGGCACCCATTACCTTCATCGTCAAGACCTCGACAGATAAGAAATATACCATGACCCTTCCTCTATCCACTCTGGTTTCAGATCTGAAGCAGAAACTTGAAACGGCCGAGCCAGACAAGTCCGACAAGTCCGATGACACCAAGAGCATCCCAGCCGATCGTCAACGGCTGATTTACTCCGGCCGGATCTTGAAGGATAACGAGACTCTGGAATCTTACAAGATTAAGGATGGACACACTATTCACATGGTTGGTAATGCCAACAGCAACCAGCGTGCAAATGCTGGAGCTACATCTAGTTCGGGGGCCGCCTCTGCTACGGGAACCCCAACTCCTCCTGCCGCTGCCGGTGTTCCTACAAATTTGGCCGCCGGTACAGGTAACAACCCTCTCGCTGGGTTGACTGGAGCTCGGTATGCCGGGTTTGCCCAGCTTCCTGGGGCAGGTCTCTTTGGCCCTGATGGTGGGGTAAGTATACTCCTCGGTTGGCTCATAAAGCATCCTTATGAGACATCAATCAACTCCAGGTTTGCTGACGTGATGCATTTGATCTAGATGGGACCTCCCCCCCGATAGTGAAACTATGCTGAACATGCTCGAAAACCCTCAATTTCAGTCTACGCTCAATGAAGCCCTCCAGAACCCCGCGATGATCGACATGATGATCCAACAAAACCCCATGCTCCGCGATATGGGACCTGGGGCGCGCCAGATTTTCCAAAGTCCCGAGTTCCGCCGTATGCTGACGGATCCCCAACAAATCCGTCAGATGATGCAGATGCAGCGGATGATGGGCGGTTTGGGAGGTGGTGGCGGCGCCGACGCCGGCGCCTTCCCCGCTCCCGGCGTGACGAACACAACTGCTGGCGAGAACCAAAACCAACAGCAAAACCCCGCAGCCAACCCGTTTGCACAGAATCCGGCTGGAAACCCTTTTGCCGCTCTCTTCGGCGGTAACGCCAACCCATTCGCGAATCCCCTCGCACAGCCCGCCAATACCGATGCTGCGAACACCCAGAATCAAGGCGACCAGTCCACGGATCGGGGGACTACGGGCGAAGGACAGACTCCTGAGGCTGCTCAGAACCCATTCGCCTCTTTGTTCAACCCGGCCATGTTTGGTGGTGCCGGACTGGGTGGACAGGGTGGTATGAACCCGTTCATGAACCGCGATCCGGCCATGATGGCTCAGTTGCTTCAGGGATTGGGAAATGGGAATGCAGAGAACGGCGGTGCCGGCGCGAACGCGTGGGCAAATATGCTTGGCCTTGGTGGTCCTGGCGCGTCACAACAGCCCGCTGACAACCGCCCCCCAGAGGAGCGGTATGCCGAACAACTTCGTCAATTGAACGACATGGGATTCTTTGATTTTGATCTCAACATTGCAGCGTTGCGACGATCGGGTGGCAGTGTGCAAGGCGCGATTGAGCACCTCCTGACCAACTTGTCATGAGACTCCCATAGGTTCATTCGATCGACAGTTTGTGTTTGATGAATCTGCTCATTTTCCCGATGTATTTCATGGTTTCTTGATTCGATGATAACGATTAGGCCGCACGTTGATGATTTCCCTGCCTCCTTTCTTTCACATTTTTTACCTCTATTTATCTCTGGATGTGGAATTTCTCTTTCTGAATGGCTCTGGTACACTAGCGTTTTTTTATCGCCAACGCCATCTTCAATTGAGTTCAGAATCGGACGTTTTGCTCTGCTTGTGGATCATGTTATACTAGTAACTTCAGTAGTAGCAGTAGTAGTAGTAGTAGTAGTAGTAGTAGTAGTAGTAGTAGTAGTAGTAGTAGATCTTCACTGTCGATGTCATTCAAGTTCTTGGAATAGAACGAAGGGCTTCAGCTTGAACTCAAGTGGACCGTGACCCTGGTATTATAACCAATGGTACCAATATATATGGGTAGAACTATTACTTGAAGTACCTAGGTCACGGTATTCAGGGTCCCTGGTTTATCGCTGGTTCCCCCTACCAATCCATGGATGGCAATTTCAATACACTGAATCTGTGCCAGTGAGCTATACTAGTAGAAGTACTGACACCTAGTACCAGTATCACAATTATCATGATCATGACCAGGTAACGTGTTCCACAACCGAACGGGCCGGACAACCGAACGGGCCACCCCACCCCATTACGACGATATATATTGAATATAACTCAACCACCATATAATATATTGCAAAAACTAGGCGTTATTCACAACTGGGCACCTATTCCGCTTGTGCCCTGGCTCCCTGCAATTGCCACAGCGCTGTATAGGTCTCTCAATCGTCGTCCTGGTTGCGCGGCGTGGCGCCGGGGGTATTGCCAATTGGTGCTCATATTCAATTTGTACACGCAATTGCAGGTCCTCTGCTGTAATTCCACCTTCGTAGGGTAATTGCCTATTTGGTAAAGCTTTTTTTCTTTGCTTACGTCCATTTTCGGCCATTACACGCTCATATGTTGTCTTTAACATAACCATCTCATGTGCAAGTAATTGTGCACCTCTGGTAGTCTGCTCCAATTGTCGATATATGTCATTATCAGGGGTTATATCCCTATAGACTAGTAATCGCTTGATTGAGGATGCCTGCCGTTGAAAATTGATAGCTTTGGATGGTGTATGAGGTATGAATTCACGACTGCTATCACTACCATGTGATGGTGGTGGTGTAGGCGATGGGGGATGAATATCAAGTTTTGATAGTACTGTCTCTGGCGAATATGGAATAATGCCCGCTGCCATAAAACTGCTAGCAATTATAGAGGTTTTGTATGTTGCTGCGCGTGCTTTAGGGTATAGACTAAGAAAGTCAGGCTTATCAATATGTGTAGAGCCCACACGTGCAAGATCTTGTACTGCCTGACCATAGAAGTGCTTCAATACACTAAAACAACCTACATCTAGTGGTTGTAATAGATGCGATGAATGAGATGGCATACAAATTGGCACAATATTGTTCTTCATGCAGATAGTGTCAAATTGAGGGGTGACATGACTCCCATGGCCATCCATAACCAAGGCAGACCAGGCACCATGTTGACGCTTTTTGACGTATGGAATGAAGGAATTTTCGAGCCACGAAATGCCAATTTCATCAGTTGTCCATCCATTAGCACTGATCTCAAAGCGCCAGTCATTCGGGACAGTACTACACCACGCTGCCATCAATACCTTCGCTTTAAAGATAATAGTCGGAGGGAGAACACCATCCAGATGGACACACTCAATTGCAGTAACCCACTCTCGGTTACCCGGTTGTAGGAGTTTGCGCTTCCCCTGCCACTCTCGACTGGTAATAACCTTTGAGGTGCTAGTAATCCCCATTGCAAATCCAGTCTCATCGAAATTGTAGATATCTTCGTTAAGAATACCATATTGAGCAATAGTATTGCAATATTGATTAAACCATTCACGAATAAGCTTCGGATCCTCACATAATGCACGCTGTGCAGCGTAGCGACGTGAAAAACGTGTTTTAAGCTTATCGCGACGTTTGACAAAGTTCTGTACCCAGTTTATACCGATTGTAAGAGAGGGGGTAGTTGAACGTTGAGCGAGTAGTAAATTGGCCATTTCTCCTGCAAGAGCAAAGGTAGGGGCCTTGCCACGTGCATCTAGATCCAATATCCAATTCTCTAACGAATCCTCTTCAATTGCATCCAATTTTGTGCAATTTGCGCGAAGGGTTTGGCGATAATGTCTTCCCTTGAAACGCGCTTGCAATGTTGCACGAGGTACCTCAAAAACGCGCGCAGCTTCATTCAGAGAAGCTACTTTTTCATTTCTTAGCGCCTGTATAGCAAGTTCAATCCTGCCTTCTTGCTCAATTCGTTTTTGAGTTTTTGCAGTACGAATTGGTGGCATGGTGGTGGTTTGAAAAAGAGAGCTGCAACACGCGACGCGTTTTTTAGGTGGGGTGGCCCGTTCGGTTGTCCGGCCCGTTCGGTTGTGGAACACGTTAACACCAATAGTTACCCCACGCTGCATTTGGAATGTCACGCTCCACCAGGCTCCACGCAAGGGCCGTTAGTCAGCCTTTATTTGCTTTGAACACGTTGGGATCTCTTGGACCTTGAATGTGATCACTCCAATTGCTCTTCGCTCCAGTCCACTTCAACTTGTCGGCATTCATTGCCAATTACATTCGTTTCTCGCCCGCGGGCTATTCCTCCGCTGTGGCAATCTCACTCTATCTCTCCCCGGGCTGATTCGTGCATTCAAGCTACTATCAAGTCATCCGCCAAGAATAGGGTCATCCCATTAGCGTGCATCCCCCTCTCCACCCTTGGCCTACCCCGTCTTCGATCTGTCTAAAAACTCCCTTTGGACGGACATATCGAACCGGAATATCTTCAATTTTGAAGATCAAGGGGTGTTGATCCATTTAGCCACTCGGGATCTACACTTCGCCACACCCATCTCCGAGCGATCCTTCCGAACATAACATCGCATGCGCTTTGAGAAGCTGACCCAATCTGACGGCGCAAGCTGAATCAAACACCCACATTCTGAAATGTATTATACCACGCCCACGGGGCCGTTGTGTCTGCACAACTGGGTACTCTGGCTGTTCTTCTTTGTGTCGACTACCTGGTCATTCTACATCCCTGGTAAGCTTCGCTCACATAGCCCCATTTGGTCTCCACCTTCTGGCATTGGAAGCTAACAATCTCACTTCCTCGAAAGGATACTCGGTTACCCGGTATAATGATGGCGATGCAATCCCGCTGCTCGTGAATAAGATATTCTCCGACCACACCCAACTTCAATATGCCTACTTCGACCTCCCCTTCGTCTGCCCTCCGAGCGGTAATAAGCATGGTGGATCCCCCTTTGGATCAGGTCAAAGCATCTCGCTCAATCTCGGCGAGGTGTTGCGCGGCGATCGCATCATGACATCCGATTTTGAGCTTCAGATGGGCAAGGACGTGGAATGTCAGTCCTTATGTTCTGCGGAGGTCGGTCGCGAGAACGTGAAGTGGGCCCGCCAGCTCATCAAGGAGAACTATGTCATTGAGTGGATTGCCGATAACTTGCCCGGCGCAACGAGCTTCGTGACCGTCGACCGTAGTCGCAAATACTACGCTTCGGGCTTCAAGCTCGGCTATCGCGACATCTCTCCCGCCACTGGCCGTTCGCGATACTTCTTGAACAACCATTTCACAATTGTCATCCGCTGGCGAGGAGCCCCCGAGGGAGGCAAGGTCATTGTTGGCTTTGAGGTATACCCGAAGAGTATCAGTGCAGAGGATCGCTTGGAAGGTGGTTGTCCGAAGGATGTGCACAAGCAGCGGGATGGTCTGGGTCTGTTCATTGCACCGGACATGTCGCGACTTCGAGAGAAGTATGCTGGGCTTTCTTACATCCCAGAAGACGATGAGGACGACGACGGAGCCATGCTGAAGATCCCGTATACCTATTCTGTTTACTTCCGGGAAGAGAATAAAGTCGACTGGGCGAACCGCTGGGATCTCTATTTTACTAACCAGGAGGAGGGATCCATGACCCACTGGCTGGCGATCATCAACTCCTTGACCATCTCGGCTGTCCTTGGAGTAACGGTGTTTGTCATCTGGAGTCGGACCGTCCAGGGCGATATTAAAGGCCGTGGCGATGGTGCTATGGAAGACCGCAAGCTCAAAGCGCAGTCTCGACGCAAGCGTTCCGGAGAGAAGAAAGGAGAAGGATTGCTGGACAATGCCGACGTCGAAAACGAAGCCGACATGTCCTCGGATGATGAATCCTTCGAAGACACCAGTGGCTGGAAGCTTCTTCACGGCGACGTTTTCCGAATCCCCGCCTACAGCGGTCTTTTGGCTCCACTTGTCGGTTCTGGCATGCAGCTTCTCTTCATGGCTACCGGTCTACTTCTCCTGAGCTGTCTGGGTATTTTAAACCCCAGTTTCCGCGGCGGGTTCGTCAGCGTTGGCATGGGTCTTTTTGTCTTCGCGGGTGTCTTCTCGGGCTATTTCTCTGGACGGCTCTACAAGACCTTTGGCGGATCGACCTGGCGAAAGAATACCTTGATCACTGCTCTATTATTCCCCGGACTGTCGTTCTTCCTGGTTTTGGTTTTGAACCTGTTCGTCTGGGCCCAAGCGTCCAGCACTGCCATCCCGTTCAGCACTCTGATTGGCCTCCTCGCTCTTTGGTTGCTTATCCAAGTTCCCCTGGTATACATCGGAAGCTGGGCTGGATTCGTGCGGGCGACTGCCTGGGAACATCCCTTGAAGACCAATGCCATCTCTCGGCAAATTCCGCCCCAGCCTTGGTACCTGCGCAGCCCCGCCGGCCCTCTGCTGACCGGATTGATTCCATTTGCCGTCCTTTTCATCGAGCTCCTCTTCTTGTTCAAGAATTTGTGGCAAGATAAGAGTGGCTATTACTACGTGTTCGGCTTTCTGAGCGTGGTTTCCACCGTGCTCCTTGTTACCGTCGTTGAAGTGACGATCATTGCGACATACAGCCAGCTTTGCTCCGAGGTAAGTCCCCTCTCCTTTGGGGGTTGTTTTTCTTCCCTTCAAAATTAATACTAACGTCTTCAGAACTATCACTGGTGGTGGCAGAGCTTTTTGACTGGTGGCAGTAGCGCATTCTGGATCTTTGCCTACTGTATTTGGTACTACGCCTTCAAGCTCCACATCACAGGATTCGTCTCGGGGTTGCTATTTTTCAGCTATAGTTTCCTCGCCTGCGCTGTATACGGCCTGTTGACCGGAACTGTAGGTTTCCTTGCAGCCTACGCTTTTGTTCGACGAGTTTATAGGTACGATCGTTGATCGCTGGGGCCTTCCCCTACTCCACATTTTCTTGCACCAGGCACTAATCAGATCAACAGTGCCATCAAGGTTGATTAAAACACCGCCGACAACCTCACTCACGATTTCATCTGCCTCTTTGACCAGCATTGGTGTCGACCACCACGGCGTATCCTGTCCTTTAACTGCATGTCTGCACCAGACTTTTTGAGCCTTCTATTCTGTTGTTTCTCCATGTCTGTCCTTGAAGCTTCATCGTTGTGCTATTTAAATACAGGGTGCATGTACAGCACGGTATCAGCATTGGCAATCTGCCGTTAATTACTTAGGTGATCGCAACAGGTTGTGTATTGTTCAAGTTCTTTCTTCAATATAAATACCATTACATCAAACAAGCTACATCTGACGCCCTGTCTTTGCATCTATGAAAACCACTCAGTTGGAACTTACAGCTAGAGTGGTGCCAGTAGGAACTATTACCAAACTGGCAAGGCACAAACAGCCACCTCCGGTACTAGTCAACTATCGTAGTTACCTACCTAGGTAGATAGTGTACAGAGGAGTGTATTACTTAGTAGTGGTGGTGGTGATAGAATGCACCTCCTTCCACATTCCGTAAATTCCCTCTTCGTCTTTCTCTTCCTCTTTCTCTTTCTCTTTCTCTCATCTCCCACTTCTGTCCCCTTGCCACCCGTGGACAAGTCTGCTCTTTCATTGACTCCCTTGAGCGTCTCGCCAAGGACGGTGGTTTCGGCAGATCATTTGGAATTGCAGTCACAGTTTCAGGAGACCGTTCTCAATACCCTGTGTGAGGCTGAGGATTTCCACGAACTCGTGATTACCGACCTCCCCCCCAGACTGGGCGGACTTTCTTTGGAAACTTGAGGGAGTTATCCCCAAAGTTCGAAAGGTTCGTAACCCCTATTCCCCAGATATTGGTTATTTACGACTCAGGGCGCCACGCTTCTCAGATAATTGGGTTGGCCAATGGCCGTCACACGAAATTTTCCGAGCTGCAGCGACGGGTTTCATAAACGCCGCATAGATAAAAATTTTCTTGACCCAGCAAGATACAAGTAAGATCGAGCTCAGCCAATAACTTGATCCCACGCTGATTGATAATATGGCTGACCTTGAAAGCACTGAAATTTGGAAGTGGTCCATATGCTAGGTGCATCAAAGAACCGGATTTCCTTATCCATAACTCATTGCAATAAGGTATCTTCCAATTCTGGTTGTGGAAGTAGGGTGGGGTAATCTTGAAACTGACAACGAACTACCTGAGCAGATAACCATGCTATTGATTGGTGGTAACGTGGAGATTAAAGTTGTTATTCTTGTCAAGTTGATGAAACATGCAAACAACGGGGTCACTGGAACCCTTGAAGTTTACAAAAACGACCGATAAGGGGTCCCAATACGCACACAGATCGAGACTATCTTCCCTGCGCCGCCTGGTAACCCCCCCCTCAGCCACTCAACATTCAACGTCGTGACATCTAACCTGTCCAACCTCCCCGCTATCCAACTTGAGACTTTTCCTCTACTTGTTAGCAACTTACGCAACGACGCTCGAAGCAGCCTTCAGAAGGACACGAAGGGACATTTCCGTAGGTAGGTAGCTGAATAGCTGAGCGAAGATGGCTATTTCACCTTATCAGTTCAAGTTAGGTACTACTTCTAGTTCCTACCCTGGTAGTATATCCATGGTATTATGGTAATTATGATAGCAGATATAGATCTAGAGCTTTCTTTAGGATGGACCTACTTAAACCGTCTACTTTACACAAATGACTAAAGCCTCTATCAAAGTCACTCAAACCCAACTCATTCATACCCTTCCGGAGCCTGCACAAGCGCTGCTGCCATCCATGGATAGTACCTGGGTATCGGCCCTTGAATTTCCGGGTAAACCTTATGGTGTCCCAGGCTTCAGGCGCAACTGGCAATCTTATCACCACATACAAAAGGATATTCACACCTGGGCACACTCCCTTTCAAACTTCACCTTCCAAGGTTTCTCCTCTCTCGCCTTCATTCCATTTGCACAAAGTTCAAGTTTACTTTATCCCATCGAGACCCAAGTTGTGGAACTTCATTGGCAGGTACATCTTCGTTCATTTGAGCATCTCACTTGTCTCTGCCAGTCCACCTTCTCTCGAATATCGGATACAAAGTGCACGTGGTCTTCATCTGAAGGGAAATCATCTGAAGGGTAATCCTTCGAGGTGACCCTCTCCACCTTTTCCTCACTTCCTCCTCTCCTCTCCCCTCCTTCCTTTCTCTTACTACCTCTTTTCTTATCTCGTTATCCTCCAACCCACCTCATTCTGTCCACCGCTATCAGCAATGTCTTCCAAATCTCCTAAGGAGATTGAGCGTAGCGCCGAAGTTCTGACGTACCTCACCGGTCTGACTATGGACAAGAAAGACATGATCAGCAAAAAGTACAAGTACCGTTTCGAGCAATTCTCCTCCGGTGAAATCCACACGAAACACATACGCTGCATGGATTGTTTTGGTATGTCTCTCCCCTCTATTTTTCTGCACTTTGCTTTGGCAAATGAGACTAAATATTCATTGCAGTCCTGGAGAGTTCCACTGCGGCGAAGCGTCGCTATCGTCTGCCCACCGAGGCCGAAAAGGAAGAAGCTCGTCGTGAACGCACTTGTTACTATGACTTCTGGCCCGAGTACAAGACTAAGCCAATGATCCTGACTAGCGGGGGTACCATTATCCCCTCTGACGATCCCCGGCAACCTTTCATCTTCCGAAAGGACTTCCCCAAGCTTGATCAGAAGCTTGACCAGTACTATCCCGCAGGGTACTACGCCAAAGCAATGGAAAAGCCGCGCCACAAGATCCAACAGACAGACGACAACCGCCACTCATTGGTCCCAGAGTGGACAGAGACGCCTCTTCTCGGAAAGGAGATGGATCCCAACAAGCCATGTTACACCATGACAAATATCTACAAGAATTTCGAAATCATGGAATGGTGGCGTTACTACACTCCTCTTACCTGGAGTGACTACATTGCACTTCGTCCGGACATCAATAAGGTCCCCCAGGCCTCATGCATCGGCCATCCTGGTAAGGTCGGAAGCAACAGAGTAAGTTCCATTGACTTTCCCCTTCCCCTCCTTCTTTATTTTTGACATTTGAACCCCGCTGATTTGATTCCAGAAGTGGACCTGCTGCGGCAGATGGCCCGATTCCCCGGGTTGCCGCCACGCCAGAGGCCACCGATTCCCGGATATCAATGCCGACAGGGAAAGGGAGATCTGGCATCTGTATCCAACTCCCGATCCCAGCGTGGCCGTTGCCCCCCCGAACCGCCGTTGCCTTGAGTTGTGAGACAGGCATCGCCACGGACGGCAGCCATGAGATTATTCGGATTGGAATGATCGACTTCTTCACCGGAGAAGTTCTGATCAATAAGCTCGTCTTCCCAACTGAAGACGTCAAAATGCTCCATTTGAACACTCGCTGGTCTGGCGTGGACTATCAAATGTTGCACGTTGCCCGAGCCATGAAGAATGTGCTCGAAGGCCGCGACGCGGCTCGCAACCGTGTCTGGGACTTCGTCGGTCCCGACACAATCATCATCACCTACGCCGGTGGTACGCGGGACCTGCTAGACCTGCGATTGATTCACCGAAAGGTCATCGACCTCGAGGAGCTGGAGTCACGCCGCGATAAGTCCGACCAGATTAATCTCTGGAAGGGCGGACTCCGAAATCTTGTGTCTGCTCATCTGCAGCGGAAGTACCCAAGTGGCAGCCACGGAAATGTGATTGAGACCGCCATCGCACTCCGTGACCTTACACGTTGGTACATGAATAACTTGCCACCAGTCATGAAGACCAAGGTGGATACCAGCCGCAAGTGCACGGATGAGGAGCTTCGGCTGGCCGCTGAGTTCAGAGAATCCACTCGCGAGATTTTCGGCGAGGCGGTAATCGATGAGGATTACCGCTTCTGCCTTCAGCACAACTATCCGCGTGAGGGAGGAGAGTGGATCCGGCCTGAAATGGAGGAGGACTTTAATCCTCCTATTGTGGCTGATACCAGTGAGCTCTGGGGGTAGTAGAATTGTGATTCTACAAGCACATTGTCCAGCGCGTTGGTGGAAGTTCATCGGTTTCTGCGGTGGTGAATGATGATAGTCGTGGTGGTGGAAGGAAGGTCTTTTTGTTTTACGGTAGTGCTGTTAAACTGTGGTGGATTTTTCTTTCATGTTCTTCTTTTTTCAATTCCTTCCATTTCGTTGCTGGGGGTTTATTTTGCGCATCTTTTGTGTTCATCTATCACAAGGTGCATAGAGTACTCATTTGCGGAAGGGATACGGTTTTTGGACAGGTGGCCCGGTTTCAGGTCTTAGTAGAACCTCTTTTTCTTTTCGGGTTACAATAACACCCACGGGGAGTACTAGTTTTCTCTATTCTGGTCTTATCCTAGTAAGGGACTATCTTACTCTTCCGAGTCTCTAGCCATTTTCTCTGTATCATGTATGTACAGTAGCCGTAACTGGAACGGGACAGGGTCAGAAATGATTGTCGATGCGGAAAAAGAAATAATTATGAACGGGCGGCGGAGCGGTATTGACGGGTTGTCAAAGGAAAGTGGATCTTGGGGCTTGCTTTTGCACTATGGAGTATTTCTCCCCTTTCTCTTAGACATAGTTGATCTGTGTTGATTGCTGAGCGCTGGTAGATGTGATTGAGCGGAAATCCTGCTCACACCTGGGCATGTCCACTTATACACATGTGCAGTTGTGTGTTAGTTAACTAACTAGCTTGTGATAGTATGTCCGAGTCGCCGATGCGCAGTACTCTGTAATGAAATTTAAATTTAATTCTCCGTCATCGTGCAGTCTAGGGAGCAGATACCTAACTAAGGTATTCGACACTCTGTATGGTGGCTGTGATGTTGCGTAATGGTTCCTATTGGTAGTTCCTCCCAGGGTAGGCACTCATCTAGACAAGACTCAAATCGAGAGTGTCCCAGATGTACACCACACCATGCTGTATCGGGTGAAGTAGTCCAGCTAACTAGTGCAAGGTGGTGGGGACCGGATCTTATGCAGAACCTGGAGCCGCGAAACGGCGGTGAATCGAATCGCATCTGATTACGGAGAAACTTTGTAGGTACTTTGTATTCGCGTTCAAAGCCACGCGGCCCAGTCTTGTCTGAGTACAGACTTAGGACTCGTACTACTAGTATGTCCTCTGGAATCCGGGGGCGGCTGGAACAGACCGCCCCCATGGCGTGCTTAGACAGGGGGATTGCTCATTGATCTACTTGCACAGTGCGCGAGCGTGGATATGGGTATGTATTCTGTTCTCCGTATTTCGTATTCCGTATGTTGAAACCGGAATGCCAAGTGTCATTTCTGTACAGCTCGCAAAATTCTGTGCCGTCTGCACCTTCTGCACTTCGCACAGGCTACACTCGTCGCTTATCGGGCAACCCCGTCGGCTCTGGCAAAGTGCTCAAATTTGTGCGGTGCTCAATTCGGAGGTCGAAGCAGAACAGTAATGATTGGCTGGTGAGATAAGCAAGTGGGGGTAACGCCCCAAGCATGGCTAGCACGACATCGTCTCGCCGGAGAGTCGGTCCCAGGGGTAATGAAGCTCGGAATGATTGGGCAGGATGGGCAAGGTGACACGATCGGTGGGGAGTAAGGTTTGCGCCGGTGGTCGGGTTGCTCGGCTGAGATCGCCGGCGTTACAAGGGTCAGCTCAAGGCGGATAACCTTACTGAAGAGTCTGGGGTCGAGAGTGGGTGATAATTGCACTGAACATTACAAGTGATATGTCCAGACATACATGCAAAAGTTGTGAGGATTCCTTGCGTTGGGGTGGAAGGGGGTAGAAGTTGATTTATTTGTTACACCTACCAGTTGTAATGATACCGTCAGAATGGCGGTGGAGCAGGCATGGTTGAGTAATAGCGTGGCAAATAGTCAAGTCACAATCACTCGGCACTTGGGCACTTGCTGTCTTTGAAGGGATTTAGTGACTCGACGAGGAGACTGAGTCCGCATTGGAGGAGTCATGTGGACATACTCCATTGTGGAACGGAGTTTAGTGAGTTCATGAATAAGTTAGGTATACTTTCAAGTTGGCAAATCGATATACTACCTGGGCACCCACTATACAGTATACACCTATACAGTATAATACAGTACTGTCACATTCTTACAATCACACCATCGCACCCAGCAATTGCTTGATCTTGCGCCTTCAACGAGTACGTCACCGCTTCCCCTGATCTTCCATGCAGGACTAGTCTCCTTAGTTGAACTCATGACTCCGCTGGATCGAGCAGTGGGGATCCCCAGTTTATAACTTATATCTACGGTGTACAGGTTGACAAAGCCGACAAAGTGTGGAATATCCAGATGTAAATGATAGTGTACTGTATTGTAACCAACTATAGCCCCGGCTCTCGGGCCCTCGTGTCGAGTTGGAGCCCTCCGTAACTCCAGTGTCAATTTTCCTTTTTCAGACAGCCTCGACAAAAATTTGGTTGGATTGTGCATGAATCTTTTTTATTTTCTTATTTTTCATTTACATTGTTTGGCTCTGAACTATCCTCCCCACACATGTGCCATTCTTCTTAACTTATATCTACCCCCCTCACCCGCCTCCATCCTGTCAACTCTTCTTTTTTCATTCCCCATTCAACTTCTCATCCTCCCCCCCCTCCTCCTCTCTTCCGCTCTACATTCAACTCTGTCTCTCTCTATCCTGTTCTAGGCCAAGGCCAAAAATTCATCACAATGGCCACCAAAAAGCCAAACATCCTGTACATCATGGCTGACCAGATGGCCGCCCCTCTGCTCTCACTTCATGACAAGAACTCTCCCATCAAGACCCCCAACCTCGACAAGTTGGCTGACGAGGGTGTGGTTTTTGACTCTGCCTACTGCAACTCCCCCCTTTGCGCTCCCTCACGCTTTGTCATGGTGAGCGGCCAGCTGCCCTCGAAGATTGGGGCTTACGACAATGCGGCGGATTTCCCAGCCGACATCCCCACCTATGCTCATTACCTCCGTCGTGAGGGTTACCACACGGCCTTGGCCGGTAAAATGCATTTCTGCGGACCGGATCAGCTGCACGGCTACGAGCAGCGCCTCACAAGTGACATCTACCCCGGTGACTACGGTTGGTCGGTGAATTGGGACGAACCCGAGATCCGCCAGGACTACTATCACAACATGTCCTCGGTCATGGAGGCCGGTCCTGTCGTCCGTACCAATCAACTCGACTTTGACGAAGAGGTGATCTACAAGTCTGAACAATATTTGTACGACCACGTACGAAACCGCACTGACCAGCCATTCTGCTTGACCGTCTCAATGACGCACCCTCACGACCCATATGCCATGACCAAGGAGTACTGGGACATGTACGAAGATGTGGAAATCCCACTTCCTAAGAACGGCGCCATTCCTCATGACCAGCTGGACCCTCACTCTCAGCGAATTTTGAAGTGTATTGATCTGTTTGGCAAGGAATTGCCCGAGGACCGCATCAAGGCAGCCCGCCGTGCATATTACGCCGCCTGTACCTACGTTGATACCAACATTGGCAAGCTACTCAAGGTCCTCAAGAACACCGGTCTGGATGAGGATACCATTATCGTTTTCACCGGTGACCACGGGGACATGCTTGGCGAACGCGGCCTGTGGTACAAGATGGCCTGGTTTGAGAACTCCTCCCGAGTGCCCATGCTTTTCCATGCTCCCAAGAAGTTTGCTCCCAAGCGTGTCCCCGAGAATGTCTCCACCATGGATCTGCTCCCCACATTCGCCGGTCTCGTGGGAGCTCCCCTCGTCCCAGGTTTGCCCATGGACGGTGTCTCCCTGGTGCCGTATCTCACAGGCGAAGATGGCCTCCGAACCGACACGGTTTATGGAGAGTACATGGGAGAGGGCACACAGGCACCGCTCGTTATGATTCGCCGAGGCCGCTGGAAGTTCGTTTACTCAGCGATCGACCCACCGATGCTCTTTGACGTGACCAACGATCCGGAGGAGTTGAACAACTTGGCAGCTGGTCTTCCCATCGCATCTGCCCCTGTCCGCGAAGCTCGCGCGCCTTTGAAGTCCGCAAACCCGCTCTCCGTGGCAATTGCCAGCTTGCCCACGCCCAGTGACTCGCCTCACGCTTCCCCAATCCCGCAACGTGCTACCGACGGGTCATACCCGTTCCCATCGCCAACTCCCCCTCGCACTCCCAGCCCCGGTGATGCGGCGCTACCCAACACCACCGACCGAGTCAAGCTTTTGGCCTACTTCCTCGAGGAAGTCAACAACAAATGGGACTTGGAGTCGATCCGCCAGGATGTTCTACAGTCTCAGCGCCGCCGCCGTCTTGTCTACTCTGCTCTCATCAAGGGCACTCCCACGTACTGGGACCATGAGCACCGAGTGGACCCCTCCGACCCAATACGTCCGGAACCAGGGCAAGGGTATCCTGGACGATGTTGAACTCATTTCGCGCTGGCCCCGCGTGCTGCAGCAAGCCGCCAATGCCAATGGCATGTCCACTGCATAAAGCATTCTCCGCATAAACAGAGCGATTGAAAAAGGCCTTCAATCTTGAAAATATTTCCTTCGTTCTTTGTCCATTTCCAGCATCTATTTGCCTTTTCCAATCTCGCTCTTCATCTGAATGCCGATGTTTGTGACGATACGAACTTCCCTTTCGCGTTCCAGCAATGTGTTTGTTTGATTCGGTCTTTTTTGTCTTTCGTTGACCTCTCGTTCCTGGCATTTTCGTCCATCTGGGTTTTTGTCTTCGCGCTTTTTTTCTTCACGTTTAATCATCATCGCGAGGCGCTAATACCCGGGAAGCAGAGAGCTTCTTTTCTCTTTTCATTTCTTTTCACTGCCAAGTTGCATTTCGAGCGGTGCGTTGCACGGCTTTTATACATATTCTTTTCTTTATCCCGGGGCTGGTGCTGCCTGATGGATTGCCAATAGAACAGAATGATATTGAAGATTCCGAGTTTTATTATTTCCGGTGAAGTGTATGCAGAGTAAACTTTGCCACTGTAGAGCATGTATTGTAGTGTAGTGTAGTGTAGTGTTGTGCCACCACTTGGCTCTTAGGCATGAAGGTTTTACTTTACACCCGATGATCATTGTGCAGGCATGCATGTACTAACCTCCAAGTTGGAGAAACACCTATAAGAATTCCCCAGCCTGCAAGGAGTGTACACGAAGTATATTTAACTTTTCTAGCGCGATGTATGAAGTTGACCTTGCCCTACTCGGGCGCAGTGAAGTACACATGATGTCATTTCCCCATTTTATCATTTTCATCAACCGCCCCACCCCCGGACTGTCAGTCTACTCTATTTTGTTTCTTCCATCTCCACTTCATGATCTCCAATCGACCTATCTATACACTGCAATTTATCTCCATATCTATCAACCAAGCCAGATCCATTTGAACTACCCTTCTCAATTCACCCACATCTACAATGCCTCACCTCACAGTAGCAGTGGCCCAAGCCCGAACCCGTGCCACCCTCCCCTCAACCCTCGCCGCCCTAGAACGCACAACAATAACAGCCTCCAAGCGCGGCGTGCACCTCATCCTCTTCCCAGAAGCCTATCTAGGCGGATACCCACGGACCTGCTCCTTCGGCGCCGCAGTCGGAACACGACACCCGCGTGGCCGGGACCAGTTCCTGGCCTACTTCAAGGCGGCGGTTGATCTAGGCGATACACCCGCCGGAGCAGGCGACGACTGGGTTGAGAGGGAAACTGCCCGTTGCGGCGGGGAAGAGTCATCGAGGCGATGGGACTCGGGAGACGCTTGAGCGGATAGCGAGCGAGACGGGCGTTTTTATCGTTACGGGTGTAGTGGAACGGGTTGGTGGGACGCTTTATTGTGCTGTTGTATACGTTGATCCTATGAGGGGTATCTTGGGGAAGAGGAGGAAGGTTATGCCGGTTTGTTCTTTGCCTTTTTTCAACTTGAACCTGTCCGAGGCCCTTTTTTTTGCTAATTTTATATACCTAGACTGGCTCAGAACGATTGATCTGGGGCCAGGGGTCGGCGTCGACTCTTCGGGCTGTAACGACTGTTTTAAATGGCGTGCCCTTGACACTGGCCTCGGCAATATGCTGGGAGAACTACATGCCGCTTCTGCGGCAGAGTTTGTATTCGCAGAATGTGAATATCTATCTTGCGCCGACGGCTGATTCCCGTGATACTTGGTTGCCACTTATGCGGACTGTTGGTGCTGAGGGGCGGTGCTTTGTTCTCTCGGCGAACCAGTGTGTTCGATCCTCTGAGTTGCCGGACTGGATTACTGGGTCTGATGAGTCTTCTGCTGTTTCCGCCGTTGGTGGTGTGCAGCCGCAGACTCAGTCTAGACCTCAGCCTTCTGGACGGAAACTTTCTATTACGTCCGAGGGCCCGCATGAGATTGTTTGGCCGCAGGGGCAGGGCCATCCGTCTGATACTGAGGTAGAGTCTAAGGTTGGGGATGTGGCGAATGAGGTTGAGGAACTGGCTACGAAGGTGGAACAGCTTGGTCAGGCTAAGGCTGGGGCTGATGAGTTTGTTTCTCGTGGCGGGTCTTGTATTGTTTCGCCTCTTGGGGCTGTTCTTGCGGGTCCGTTGTGGGAGGTTTCTACGGATGATTCGGCTGATAGTGAGGATGCGGCTGCTAGTAACCCTTCCGGTCCGCATATTTTGGCGGACATCGAGGAGGAGGCAGTGGCGGTTGGGGATGGCCTGGCAATTGCACAGATTGATCTGGATGATTGTGAGCGTGGCCGGTTGGATTTGGATGTTGCGGGCAGTTACTCCCGCAGCGATGCCTTCAAGTTGACTGTTGAGGGACTGGATTTGGCACCACCTCCTCTTTAAGTGCATTCATGAAAGGGGCAACCTACTGGTAGGCAGGCTCCAAGTTTGGAGAGAGACTCGCAAGGGGGATGAAGTAGGTACTGGGATTGATTGAACACGTGAACTGCCAATATGGCTACCAGTAACTACTGAATTCCGAGACTTAAGCTCATCAACTGCCCTGGGCAACACTGTAAATCATCTGCCCAGTACATAAATCTGGTATTCAAAGTATTCAAATCGAATCTGAAAAGTAACTAGATAAAATAAATGGATATCCTCCCCTTCTCCCGCCAAGTCCACCCTGCAAGAACAAGAACAATAACGAATGGGATATCAATGCTTAATCGTGTTTAAGCTCAAGCTCGTGCTCATCATCACCATGCCACTGCACCGCAGCATGAATCGTGCGTCCATGATATGTACAACAACTCTACTTTTGTTCACTCTATCAGCCACACAGGCGCTTTCACCAGGACCATCGCCTGGCCCTTGCCGCGCACCTCGACCGTCAGGAAAGAAGAGAATCGAATCCGAGGCGGAATCGCAACTTCGGGCTGTTCGACCTTCTCTTCGTGTGGATGGGATGCTCCCGATCGGCTGTGGTCGGCTCCGCCAGATTTGCGGTTTCTTATAGCGTCGAAGACGGATTTCTTCTTGGACTCACGCGGGGCTGGAGATGTGCCCTCGCCGGCTCCGGTGGAGTTTGAAGCAGGCGACGAGTCTTCCTCTACTGCGGCGGGGTCTTCTGATTCCTGTTCTGCTGGAGGTGGCGGTAGGTGCGCCAGTGGTGGCAATTGGCCCTCCACCTTCATATATGCGTCGGCAAAGGTTATATTGGTTGGTAGGTACTCCACGTAAACGTCGCGAGCCTCGAGTGGGATCTTCTCGGCGATGTTGATGGTGTTCTCGATGATCATCCGGACGCCTGCTTCTAGGCCTGGCAGCGCGGGTTCGTGGAGCTGTGTGCTTAGGAATGAGGCGAGCTCAGCAATTAGGTGCTCGATCAATTCCGCGCGGTGCTCTTGAGCGTCTGGGGTGGACAATGCATCGCCGAGACCGTCGAAGGTCGTGCGGCGCCAGTTGGAAAGTCGAGCGATCGCATTCTCTCGATCTTCGTCGGTGCATGGACGCAGCTGTTGACGGCGCAGGTTCATCTCGATGCTCTTCAGCTGCCCGCTGAGCGTGGAATCCAATCCTGGATGGAAATACTTGTGGAAAACCTCTTCCCCGAGCCATTTGCTGACCACAGCTCGGCCCATGGCAGTCATCTCTTTCGTGCCGGTCGCGACGGCATCATCGGTCACGAGGCCGTGCAGCCATGGGGGAACGGAGCGCCAATCTTTCCGCACCGAGAATGCCAGATCCTTGATGGCTCCATCCAGACGCTGGAACCGGTTCGCGTATTCATTGTCGTCTAGTACGGTTCGAGAAACGGCCATGCGCTGGTGCGCGACTGTGTTCTGGAGATGCTGGACTTGAGCCTCTTTGTCGAAGTAGTAACGTTTGACCTTGGAGTATTTGCTCTCTATCGTTCTCGTTATCAGATCAGTATTGGTGCACCAAACAATTGGAACCGCTGGAACCAACCAACAGTGGGGAAACAACAAAACAAAAAAGAAATATATTGGGGAAAGTTCATTGAACATACGTAGCTCTTCATGCTTCTGCAGCAAAGCTTGAAAATCAAGATCTCCGGGATCTGCGCGTTGGCGATTGCTGGTCGGCGTCTGTCGGCCAGGTTGATCGGGCATGTTATGGGCGGTCGCACTGCCGCGACGACTGGAACTCCCCGACGGCTGATCGTTGGATATTGGTGGTAGTGCCTGCGCGGAAGCCTGCTGCATGGCGTCAGGATGAGTCTGCGAAACGATTGGGGAGAGTGGCTCGTAGGATTGCCGGGAAGGGGGCCGGGCATTCAATACCAGGTCCTGCTGGGAACGATGGGGCTGGCCCCGATGGCTCTCGAAGGGATGGGGCGGTTCGTCGGTGGATTCGGAGAAGGAAAGCTGACTGGAGTTCCCCAGCAAGTTTGGATCAGTATTGGAGCGCACAAGGGGCCGGGGATAGGGCTGGTCGATCGGCGCGGGGAATTGCTGCGAGGGGTATTGCGACTGCGGCGACCGTTCGTTTTGTTCACGCGATGCTTGTCGCAGGTGTTGCTGGTGGTGGTGGTTCTGCTGCTGCTGCTGCTGTTGATACGCTAACGATGTCGATCGAGGTTCATAAGAATGGGTTGCAGGGGAGTGATCCTCGTGGTGGTGGACGACCTGTTCGTCGGAAGTGTTGGAGGGCACTTGCGGCGAGGTGGGATGGGAGATGGGATGAGAGATCTTCCCCTTGATGGAAACACTAGAGCTGCGATCGAGAATACCCGAGGAAGGGCGCACAAATAGACCTCTTTTTTGACGAGGCTGAGGCTGAGTGTCAGGGGCGACGACAGTCACAGTCGGTCGGTCGCGTTGCTGCAGGTGGGGCTGGCGTTGGCTTTGAGAGCGGTGCAACGAGCTTTGAGATTGTACTTCGGGCTGTGACTGTCTCTGTGGCCCCGATACTTCGGATGTGAAACGAGGATCGGGGACTGGAAAGTGTCCACCTTCGTAATTAGGAGGAGTGAGGGGTGGTGGATGAGGCTGTGATTGTTGTTGAATAGAACGACCGTCAGCAAAGGCGGGGATGAGATGTTCCACCGAACGAGCAAAGGAATTGGAATGGGAGCTCCCCTCAGGATTCACAATCGAGTTCGAGTTCGAATTCGGTGACTTCCTCTTGAAGAAGGGCATCCTTGTGTTGTCGAGAATGAACAACACAGCAAGAGGGGAAAGAGAGAAGGCTGGTGGAGGGTGATCAGCGCAAAGACAACAATGATTGGCGCGGGATATACGAATGTTGCTATAATTATCCCCAAGCTGACGTCGGAATCGAGGCAATGCAAGTGCAACTGCCTTCCAGAAAACCCTTGCGAGGTGCAGAAAAACCTTCCAAGTAATTTCTAATTATGGCTGTGGCAAGAGTTTATCCCCCGTGAAATTGGATGGGGACTGCGTACGGAGACGGGAGACTCTAAAGGGTTCAAGTTGGTTTGGGGGCGAAGATGTGGGGAGAAGAGTTGTTGACTTTGAACACTTTTTTACTAGGGAACCGTCTCAAGAGTATCTCATAAGTCGCTCAATTCAATTACATCGTAGACAACATCACAGCTAACTATCCAACACTAAATAACATCCTTGTTAATGGCAAATATTGAAGCATCCCGGAAAGTAGTCCAAGCTAACCACAACCCCCGTGGCTGTGCAGCATACTGAAAGGATGAGCTCCACCTATCACATCCACGAATCTAGCACTAGCACACTCCGTGCGTCTTGCCGTGCTGGCCTTGCAGCGAATGCTTCTCGCCTTGGTATTGAGGATGCGTTTGTTTGTGGCGGGGGTGGGCCCGATGGCTGCGCATGTGGCTGTCGAAAGAGTCAGAAGGTGGGAACTAGGGAACAAGGAGGGGGGAGAAGAGAGGGATGGTCAACTTACGCCTTATACTTGGTGATCATCGCCTGGTCCATAGACTCCAAAGTCTGAAGAGCCAGCTTCACGTCAATCAGGAGGCTGTCACAGCGGTTCATGCTGAAATCTTCGCGTACAACCACGCGCATCATCTGGAGCTTCTCGCTGTGAGGAGCCATCGTGTAGGCGGGCACAACCCAGCCACGCTCACGCAGCTGGTGGGCAACAGCAAACTCGTCGTAAACACGGTCTGGGTTCGGGGGCAAGCGGAATGCCACCAGCGGCAGACCATTTCCTTTACCCTGGCTCATAATGATCATACCCATCTGCTTCAGCTGGTCCGACATGTAGTCCGCAATGCGAGTCAGGTTCACCATGATCGAGCGGTAACCGTGCTTGCCGAGTCGGATCATCTGGTAGTATTGGCCGATCACCTGCGAAGCACCCTTGGAAAAGTTCAGAGTGAAACTGGCCTGGTCGGCACCCAGGTAGTTGATGTTGAAGACCAGCTCCTGGGGTAGATACTCGGGGGAACGCCAGATGGCCCAGCCAACTCCGGGGTAGACGAGACCGTACTTGTGACCAGACACGTTGATGGAGACAACCTTTTCAAGACGGAAGTCCCAGGCGAGGTCGGGCTTGATGAAAGGCGCGACAAAGCCACCACTGGCGGCATCAACGTGGATAGGGCAGTCAATGCCCCTCTCGACCAGCAAGTCGTTGATAGCCTTGACGTCCTCATACTCTCCGGTGTAGGTTGTTCCGAGAATGGCGCAGATACCAATGGTGTTCTCGTCAACGAGGTCGACGGCCTGTTGAGGGTCGATCACGAAACGACTGTCGGTACAGTAGACGTACTTCTCCTCGATATCAAAGTAGCGAGCGGCCTTCTCCCAGCAGACCTGGACAGCGCTGTTCATGATGATGTTGGGACGGGTCCAGTCCTTGCCCTCAGCCTTGCGCTTGTTCTGCCAACGCTTCTTCATGGCCAGAGTGCCCAGCATGATGGCCTCAGAGGAGCCAATGGTGGAGGTTCCCATGGCATTCTCACCACTGGGGTCCGTCGGGCAATTGAACAAACGAGCGATCATGTTGACGCAACGGTTCTGGATCTCGGCACTGTGGGGGTACTCCTCGTAGTCGATGAAGTTTTTGGCGAAGGAATCGGTCATAATGTCCTCAATCTCGTCCTCCATGTAGGTGGTGACGAAACTGGCGAGGTTGAGCTTGGGGTTGCCGTCCAGACTCAATTCATCTCTAATCATACGGGCAGCAACCTGGCGAGGCATCTCACCCTCGGGCATCTCATGATCGGGGAGATGCTCAGCAGCGAAACGACTACCGTAGACATTGGTATAGATCTCGCTTTCGTCAGGGATAGGGGAGAGGGAATCAATTTTGCGACTAGAGGGGTCAAAGACCTCATCGTCCTTCTTGACGGAAGAGAGATGAACCATGATGAATTGAGGCGGGATAAGGTACTGGCGGAGTAAGCGGGAGTAGGTTGGACACAGAAGATGAATGAGAAGAGAAGATAAAAGGAGGGGGAAAGAAGAAGCGAAGCTGAAAACAAGCAAAGCAAAAGCCACGGCACGTGTAAACAGGCAATGGCCATGCGGGGCAGAATGACGCAGTGACTTCCCCTCTTCGTCTTCGTCTTCCTCTCTCCCTCTTCCTCTGTTAGACATCTTCGACATCTTCCCACTTCCACACTTTCTTGCATTGCATTGCATTGCATTACACTCAGCACATTATCAGACTCACAGAATATACTGCATATAGCATGCAGCATACAACATTCAACTACATCTGCATGGCCAGCTCCCAGCTCTCCAATACCTGGTTCACCTACACTATGGGGCATGAACTAAAGCTTGGAGAAAGCTTGGCTCGATGATCGGACCCGGTCTACCCGAGTTCAATTTACATAATTCCATTTTATTTAATCCTGAAACCATGGCAACAACTAAAACCGGGCACACCGTCAATTCAAGTGGGGCTTGTTCTCTCTATTCCCCGCTCTCGTCCAATCTACTCGTGGGAGATGCGCTGTCTAGTCGCACTTCCTTCACCCAATGATCCTCCACAATTCACAATTTGCTCTCCCGCTTCTCGATCTCGACGAATCGATAATAATAATCCAGGCTGCCAGGGTTGAGCAGGGTCCCCGAGGGTTGAACTCGCTTGCCTGATACAATCTGCTTCACAGGCAGCTCCACTTTCTTCAAATTGACCGTGGTCTGATCCACCATGCCGTCAGTACCGAGCTCGACTCAATCACAGTGGAGTTCGATGGATCAGCCACTTACCGGTATTTCAGGGGTCTCGAATATGTACATCGGCACATGGCGGGCACTCAACTCGCTTCGGATCGCATTCTTGACCCGATCGACCAATTCGTTCGTAAAGGATACCCCGCCCCTCATCATCAAGAAGAGCAACACCTGCTCGTCTGTGTCGGAGGGCCGTCGTTGACCTACACAAATTGAATCCGCAATTTCCTGTGCGAATTGGCCCTCAATCACTCGATAGATCTCAGCCGATCCGAAACGGACGCCGGAGGGGTTGAGGACCCCGTCAGCTCGCCCGTGGAACACGAGCTGCTTTGTGATAGGATGAATGGAAACAAAGTCCCCGTGCGTCCAAACATCTGTTGCCTAGTTAGCAACCATTGAGCTAACTGGACTTGAAACTGTGACGCGGCCTTACTGTCGAATCGTTCAAAATATGCGCTGTGGTACTTTTTGCCATTGGCATCACCCCAGAATTGTGTTGGCATGTTAGGGAAGGCTGAAGTGGCCACGAGCTCACCAGGCACACCTTCCTCCACAGGAACACCCTTGGCACCATTTCCTCCTTCGATAGTTGCGTCGAAGACTTCAACTGGCACTCCTAAACTGCACCCAGCGCACCCACCTACATAAAGGGCACTCAGAGAATTGCCAATTCCAAAACACCCAGCAAGATCCGTGCCACCCGAGATATTGTTCAGCCGAACATGCGCCGGAAATCCTTCATCATAAAACCATTCGAATAACTCATCTCGCAGCACCATACCGGTGCTAGTTACCACTTGAAGCGATGAGAGGTCTGCCACCTCGCGTGGTCGTATCGTCGCTTGCTGCAATTCATGTAGCCACCGTGGGGAAATTCCTAGGTGCGTGACCCTGTGATATATCAGCACCTGTCTTCAAGATGGATGTTCAATGCATCTCGATACTTTTCCTGGGCTACAATTTCGACCAGCACTCTGACATCTGGTATAAAAGGACTGCCGTCGTATAGAATCACGCGGGATCCAAAGAGCAATGTTTGGATGGCGGAAAGGTACATGATCCACCCCGTGGTTGTATATTGGCATGCCGTGCTCTGAGGTCCAAGTTCTGTGTGCAAACTACCTTCCTTGTGAGAATTCAACAGCACGCCTCCCACCGAGTGAACAATGCATTTTGGTTTACCAGTAGTGCCAGAGGAATATACCACCAGAAAGGGATCACGAAAGTCGACTCGCTCAAACTCCAGATGATCTCTGCCCTTTGCCTTGGAGAGAAAGTTGGAAAGTGTCTCAACCCGCGGGATATCCCGGATATCAGCAGGCTCAGATGGTGCGCGTGGCTGTGAGACAACACCTTGGAACTCGCGAATGGACCGTATTCCGGCAACTATCTCCTTAATCTTGGGGCGCAAGTCAATCTTCTTCCCATTGTACACGGCGAAATCGTCCATGAACAACCAACGCGGCTTTATTTGTAGGAGACGATCCAACACTCCCTTCACACCCATGTCCGTCGAACTTGAAGAGAATATCGCGCCCAGGGCTGTTGATGCGAGGAATACGAGAAGAGTATCAATGCTGTTGGAAGCACAGACAGCTATTCGATCGCCGCGTACAACACCACTTGCTTTCATCGCCTGGATCAGCAGGCCTGTTCTCGATCTCAACTTTCCCCAGGTAAGATGTACCGCCTCATTCAGTCCCCCCTCGCGAATCTCTGTGATGGCGACTTTGGTGTCTTCTTTGCCAGTGGTGTCGCCCAGGCGACGAGAAAAAAGTAGATTCTCTGCGAAATTCACCTTAACGCCAGTAAACCACCCAGGCACACTGTCCATCCTCGCAGACTCGTCTACCACAGAGCCGTAAGTTCCTTCATGGATGATCTTGAAATACCTCCAACAAAATTCCCAGAACTCGGGTCGATTCCGAATTGAATACAGATAGAGCTCATGAAATGACTAGTGATTCGAGTTAGGTCTTCAACAAGCTAGTTTATTAATCATCTTGTTTTACACACCTTGAACTTGACGCCTCTGGATATCTCCAGCGCAGTCCGGAATCGGCCCATTTGGGTAGATTCCGGGCTTGGGTGCTCCCAAAGCTTCCGAGGAACAGTGACTTCTCCCATTGCCACAAAATACAAATCAATGCGAACACTAGAAGTTAGCTCTAGCTAGCGGAATCGCTCCTTAAATAGAATATCTCCCTATCTTTATCAATTGGGACCCCAGGGGCTGAACAAATACGTCTTGATTGGCAATTATTTCGCTTCGGCAACCGGCTAACTGCGGCCCGCTTTGCTTCCCCGTGGGGATTGGTCCCCCATACAATCGTGCAATAACTCTCACCAAGGCCCCGCAGGATGGCGGGATCTATTCGGCTACGCTCAGGAGTGTGAGAAGGGCACTACGACAGTGAAGAGTCAATCAGCATCATTATACTTTTGGAAAATTGGAGATTGTAGTTAAGTATACCTAGGTACAATTGGCGGATATCGGCATCAATACCTGTATAAAAAAAGAAAAGTATACCAGTATTAGAAGCCTTCAACAATACTTGGGGTCCAAGTGGTGCAGAATAATCAAACGTGATTGAGGGACATTAGGTAAATAATAAATATTCATTGATGTATTGGGGACAACACTCCCTCTTTTAACTAAGACAAATTGCTCAATTGTCCCAAGACCTGCTCCAACTCGGTTCTAGAACTACAACTAGCAAAAACAAAACGATCAAATCTGAGTATCACATATCGTTTTCCGCCCATATTATCCCAAATCAACGACTCATAATATCCCCGCGGTTCCGGCCGGGAATTGCAAAGAGTTGAATGGAAAAACTCGTCGCTTGACGCCGTGCGGAAGAGCGGCCGGGCCACCAATGCATCCAGCCGACCCGCAGGCGCCGACTCGCAAGCAACCCGAGGCACGAAGAAAGTAGCTTCATCTCGACGAATAAGATACTCGTCCGTTTTGATCCCTTCTAAATCTCGCATAGCCGAGTCCATTTCATCGAGACTATCCAGCAAAACCACAATCTGAAATATCCCCTTCTTGCCGAAGAATATCACGTCGTCGGTAAACTGCACTTCTGCGCCACCTCTCGGGCTGATACAGTAAGTCTGCGGGAAACAAACACCGCCACCAAATTCCGGTAGAAATGGCATCTCGGGCGTGTGTGTGTATTGGGTAGGTCCGATTCCTCGGGGCCCACGTTCGAGCCAGTGCTTCCAACTTGGAACCAACTGCATAAACCAAAGACCCCAATCGCGAAGGAAGTTGTGACTCCAGTTTTTCCCATTCACCATTTCGCCGTTTCGAACCGTGGCGGCGAGTGAGGTATCGAGCTGCTGCTTTCGTTCCAGATACCAACCTGTTAATAGGCGCTCGTAGTCGAGGTTGGATCCGGGCTTGCAGGCGATAGCCAGTCGCCAGGCTAGTGAAACTGCATCTCGGAATCCAGATGTAATGCCTTGTCCGCCGACTATGCGATCAATTAGCTTGGTCTTGTTGAAATGTCAAATAGGGAGGAGTAGTTACATGGTGGAAAAACGTGCGCTGCATCGCCGCAGAGAATCACTCGGTCGAGACTCCACTTGTTGCAACTTCGAGCTGAGAATCGAAATGGTCGCGAGCGGAGAACCTCGATACAGTCTTCTGGGTATGAGACATCTTGCTTCAACCTGTGGCGTAATTAGTGTATGAAATATCTGCGGCTTTTCTCGTAGATCTCACCCATAGAGACTGCCCGGATGCGTCAAGTATGGGTACACAACATCGCGCACTTTTACCTCCGATGCCATCTCTACACCATCCTCATCGGGAGCAATGACAAACTCGAATCGCCAGAGACGATCTTCTGGAAGGCCAAATCGGCCGCATACGGCTGGGCGAGCGGGGTTGCAAAGGAACCGAAAGTCGACCGGGAAGAAGAGGTCATAGACTTGTTCAGGCGTGTATCCTAGATTCCACAGCGGGAATGAAGGGTGGGTCTCTCTTGTCGGAAGATGAAGTTTCCAATTTAATGCAACCCATGTCTCTTCATATTTGGTTCTGAGGAAAGTTCAAGCTGTGAGTTGACAAGGAATCGGAGCCTGCAGCGAGAAAATTTCACATACTGTTCTGCCCTATCGAGTCGAATCCCCTTCGGCTCTAGATACATCTTGCGCACGAATCCAGTCTTGCCATCCGCAGCAGCGAGGAATTTCGCGCGAATACGCTTTTCTCTTCCCGAGGCATCATTATACGTTGCGTATACCCAGTTTTCGTCCTCGGAGATTGAAGTTAACGTGCAGCTACTCCGCAGCTCGCAGCTATCGCCTTCCTCAACGATAGATCGAAGATATTTCTCGAGAACGGGCTGCTTGTGAGCAAGAACACCCACATGACCGGTTTGTCCTTCGCTCTATTTATTTGCTGTTAGTTGAATGACACTTGTCTGTACTAACCACAATTTCCAAGGTTACAAGTCTCTCACCGAAGCCATATCAAAATGCAAAAAAGCCTTCGCGTGCAGATTTTGATGTGTCCCGCTAATGAATTTAGTTTTCTCAATATCTGTGAAAACAATTCGTATTAGCAAAGAGACGAACAAAATCTATCCAAAGTTGAAGTTGAAGGTGTCGCTATTACAAGAACCAATCTCAGTGAAAATATGCTCGTATAGCCCAAGGCCTTGCACTAGCCGAATACCATCATCATCAAGGGCGATACCGCGAGGATCGGTGGTGATAGCGGCTTCTTTCTCGAGTATAATGTTGTGAACCCCGAGTTTGCCTAGATAGCCGGACAACATTGCGCCCGTGGGCCCGCACCCGCAGATGAGAACGTTGGTTGTTTCCCAGTCTGCCTGGTTTGTTTGGTTTTCCATTTTGTACGTGCTGGTCGGAATGGAAGGTATGAACAAGGGTGTATAAGCCTTCGAGCCCCTTTCAAAAAGCTTCTTCGTGATTTCTATAGGCTGCTGTTGTTTTGCGGGAATAGTTGAGATGCGGGGACAATCTGGAATGTGGGTCGGTCGAAATGCCACAGTCCCTGGTCGTCGGATCAGACGTTAGGCCCCTCAACAAACAACCTTTTGAATTGTGGGGTATAGTTTCGGATTTTGAGACTATGTAATTTCCAGAAAAAAACTTTGGGATTTTCAAGTTTGTTGATCAAATGTTGTTGGGATAGTGGCTACTAAAAAGTAACTGGAACGAGAACCACATCCAAGGCAGCAAGGAGGTAGTTAACCTTAGAAGTTTCGGCCATGCCACTATTTTCACAAAGTCCCCTCTAACATGGGAACAATTATAATTATACATTTTTAAAAATTTAGCTTGGATTTTATTAACTATATAAGTAGAATGCGCTTTGATAATCAAATAGAAGCTACTTTCCTCTTTCTTGCCTGAGTGGCAAGTCAATTTGTGCGTGACATCAAAGCAGTGAAACTCAAGCTTGTAGCAGTCTCCACAAATTGCCAGGCTCACAGCTGTAAAACTCACGGCCAGGGATGCCATAAGTGCACACATCACAGCAGCCTGAACCTGAGCCCGAGCCTTTCTCTTCCTCTGGAAAATCCATATCGATTCCCTTGGTTGCTACTATATCTTTAACAAGCTGGATGATCATATTACTGCCGCACTTCAAAGCCCAAAAACTCAGGCTACAACCGAAGCCATCCACGACGACAACTGAATCATTTTCCAGTGTAATGAGATATTCAACTACGTCCTCATGTCCATGACGAATAGCAGCACACAACGGGGTATTCTGGTAGCGATCCATCGTATTTGAAAGAGGATTATGTTGAAACAAGACTTTGAGAGTATCGACATGCCCCCGAATGGCGGCTACGAAGAATGCAGTTAGACCATAGCGATTTTTGGTGTTTGAACAAATTCCATGAATCTCAAGTAATAATTTGACGACCCTTGTGCGGCCCCCTTGTGTGGTTAGATGTATTGTCGTATTTCCTCGTTTGTCCGCAAGCGAGGTATTCGCCCCTCTCTGAAGGAGCAGATCAACGACTCTTGCATTCCCCTGATAAGCGGCAGTGCAAAGAGAAGATTGCCCGCTTTTTTCTGTTCTTTCAATATCTGCACCGCTGTCAAGAAGCAATTCCACCTTGTCTAGATGGCCGTATGAAGCCGCAGCGCTCAATAGCGTCCATCCATTTTCTTTTGAGATATTCAAGTCTGGGCCGTGTTCAACGAGAAGTCTCACTATGCTCGAGTGGCCTTCTAGTGAGGCAGAGTAGAGAGGAGTCTGGCCACTGGTTTCTGCGGCTGTGATATCTGCATCTCCATCAAGAACAGTGGATGAAAAAATTCATCTAAGGGAACGATTTCCTCGTCAGCTCGATTTTGGCCCACAAAGAGGCGGGGTATGAAAAGGGGCTTGTACGACGGACAACGGTCAGCGGCCTATGTACCCGCGGCGATTGCCTCGTATACTAATTATACACGACCAGCTATGTTGAAATCTCCTTGTAAATGCTGGCCAGATCAATTCGGTTATGCTTCTGCATATCAAACTATCTCCACAACGAATAGATAGAGGCTAGCCCTTTCAAGAGAAGTTGCTCTCATATATGATAGTCGAGCTCGGTTCAAGACAGATGGGTCTACAAGTCTGGTATCAAGCAGACCAATCAAGTCTCCGTTGAATTAGCCTTTTCCTCTTCATTTTGATTCTTGGCCAACTTTCGCCTTCGATGATCTTTGAGTAGAAATACAAGGGCGAGAACAGTGCCTAATGCTGTCAACCCGACAGAAAACCAGAGAGTACCCCGATAACCATGAAGCAAGTCTGCCTCAGTGTGTCCGCCATTATTGATCTGGAGTTCAATGGTACCAGCGAAACCAAGACCTAGCGATATGCTGTAGACAACAATCGTCATGATCACACTGGATCCCATACCCTGGTACTGTCGAGGCACTGCATTCGCGAAGATGATCGTGGCAGCAGGCAACGATGAATCCATTGCAAAGGTGGCGATGATGGTCGCGAAAAAGAAATAGGTCCAGTACGTCGAATGTACAGGTCGCAAGGCCATTAAAAGCGAAGTGAGAAAGTAGCAAAGCATTGCAAACAACATGATGAACGAAGCTGGAACTTTGTTGATTACTTTTCCAACAATCAATGCTGTTGATATGCCGGTGACGAGGATAGGAGAAAGCCATGCAGCCAGTTGAATGGGAGTTTGGCCGCCGATATTGAGGGATATTCTGAGGACGTAGAAAAGCTAAAAACATCCTTAGCTTGACATACTTTCGGGGTAAAAGATCAGCACTTACCCAGATGCCAAATGTAGACCAGCCCGCTGCTGTACAACCAAAGACGAAGGCGATGTCGGAAGTGAGGACGGCGACAGGTAGGATTGGATAGCGAGCTAGGCGAAGTTCGATGTAAGAGAATGCCGCCAGAAACAATAAACTAAGTATCAGACATACGTAGACGTAAGGTTCGTCCCACGTAGTGACAAGGCTCTGGTTCCAGGCGAAGTTGAACAAAACCAGAGCTATAACACCGCTTGCACCTCCCAGGAGATCAAGGTGGTCCAAGGTTTCGCGAATCGTTCGTCGTTGCTTTTGTTCACTCTCGACAGGCATGTTTGGAATTGCAAAGATAGCGATGATGACGAGAAAGGCAACCCCCAAAGCCTGACTCCAGTAGATCCATGGCCACCAAGCCATGGCGAAGAGGGGCCCAAAGAGGAGACCTGCCATCGCACCGACTGGAGCTGATGCAGCAAACCATGCGAACCCCATATTTCGAGGCCCCTCGGAGAAGCATTTCCCCATAATGGCGAGTGCATTGGGCACAGTCAAGGCGGGACCGAGGCCCTGCAGTACACGAGCAAGGACGTAGACGGGGTAGCTTGAGTAGACAGAGACTCCAGCCATCATGCTAGTCAAGGCAAGCCATCCCATACCAATGATGAAGATTGCCTTGTTGCCAAATTCGTCACCCAAACGTCCTCCGATCAAGACGAATGTGCCTAGAGTCAAACCATAGCCAGAGATTATCCACGAGAGTTTGCCAGGGTCGGAGACATCAAAGGAATCCCCGATTATTTCGAGCGTCGTGAGGCTGTTGCATAGGCCCAACTGATTGGTGAACATGGATGAGCACACCGTCATGATGAAGATGATCCGCCGAATCAAGTTGTAGCCATCGGCAATGTAGACGTATTCATCTGTCGCAGCCTGTGCAGAATCTAGACCTGAATCTGTATGAGTTAGTCAACGGTTTTAAAGGGCATCCAGCTTTGGCAGGATATCTTTGCGAACTATTTACCATCACCACGTCGCCTTGGTGGAATTCTGGAGTTATGAGGTGCATTTTCGAGTTCCTGCCCTCCTTCAAGCTCCTGCCTCTCGAGAGATGAGATGGTCATCGTAAATAGAAATGAATGTAGTGACGGGAGAAGAAGTTTACGGAGAGGCGAAACATATTTAATGCATGGAAGATGAATACAGGGACTAGATAGGGCAGCGCCAAGCCCTGCAGTCTGAAAGTGCAGTCCTTTGATGTATGTTGTTGTCGATTTGTCAGATTCGATATCCGGAGTAGTCAAAAGTCCCCAGTTTCAAAAGTCTCCACTCGAAAGTCTCCGTTGTTCCGCTCCCCGACCCACCCATAACTACTGATTCCTCGGCCAGTTTTTGGCATATGGGTCTAATTCATTCAAAAGAGCAAGAAAAACTAATTGGACTTTGCTTCAATTCTAGAATGCGCTCTAATGTTTGGTCTCAGTATCAACCAGCCACTGGGGAAGGTTTTTGGTCGCTTTCCCCGTACTCGCAGCTTCCACACATTGTGCCAACCCGCCGAATCGAACTTGTCGACCGGTCAATCCTTTCCCATAGTGGGCATACTTGGCCGAATTTGTGATTATTGTTCGTGAATCTGGGGGAATCACTGGCTCTTGAATCATGCACCAGCAGGTATCAGTAATTATCAGAGCCCCGAAATCTTCCAGTGCAGAAATGTGGCCGTCCCGGGCTGCTCGAGAGTATGTATCTCGATTGCAAGCAATCACCAGAGTAGCTAGCTCGCTCTTTTTGCGACCGGAACAGAGGCTGACGGCCTTAACAATCTCATCGTACGAGAAATGAGGATTGCCTAACGATACTAAATCGATGGAGGTATCGCTATAGCCCTCACTGTAGTCGTTGAATCGGCACCATTGCTTGACTAAATCCGAGCGTGTTATTGTTACCCGAGTTGTATCTTTCAAGTGTGTCTTGATTTCCTCGGTACTGCGTGCTTCTATCGTAATCCCGGCAATGTGAAACATTGGCGATGAGCTTGTCGTAGCAAAGGCAGCTCCAAATGCTTTAAGGTCCTCGATCGTGACACACTGCGTTTCAAGTCCAGTCACAATTGGAATGCATTCAGCGGCAATATCACCAACAAGATACCCTAGAAGTGGGAAAATAGTATCGTCAGCTCCCTTGGCAGACGCAAAGTGAACTTCCATTCTAGCCTTGCGATTTTCCGTGATATGACAACCAGTATTCAACGCACGACCAGTCAGGGCACACATCACATCCAGGTAATCCGGGCATTTGATGGTTCTTGCACCGAGAACGCTATTCGCAAATACCACAGCATTTGACTCGGCCCACGTAATGTTTTCTCCCAATTTCGGAGCTTCCTCAAGGAGATATGGGGCACAGGTGAATGTTGGTCGAGCTCCCATCTCTAAGTAAGCACGCGCCAGCTCCTCGGAAGGCTCTCCAAGCGCCGGATCAACCCCTTGGGAGCGCCACAGTCTTTGGTCGACAGAGATTGAGTTCAATGATGTCGGGATTCTGAACTTTCCTCCCATGTCGCATAGTCTTTGTGCAAATTCCAAAGTTGCAGGTCCTGTGTAGATGCAACAATCAATGTGTCCGTTGGTGATGTCAATGAGCGAAGTCACGCCTTCAATCTGTGCCGTCCGAATAATTACTCGCATTGCAATCTGTGCCGCTTCTCCATGCAAACCGGCCAGCAATTCTTGGTCAAAAGGGGTCAGATGTAGCGATGGAGTATCAAGCTTGCGATCAGATCCTTTCAAAGACGTCTCCAGCTCTGCGTTATCGGTGGCTACTCCAAAAGACATCTGACCGTTTGAAATTCGAGCCCAGTTGATGTCCTGAAGTTCCTCCAACGAAGACATCGGAATGTTCAAAACGGGAATACTCTTCCCGAACATTTCTTGGGCAACAAGAACACCGATTGTGAGAATCATCTCTTCCCGGCCGAATATGAGAGCAAGGGGCGCGCAGTCATTAAGAATCAATTGAAGAATAACACCACTTCCAGTGCAGGATCCACGACCGCTTGGAATAGCAAGAATCTTGCCAGCCACCGATTTCCCCACCAAGGGATGATGGCTGTCAATCACGATGCCGGTCTCGGGGTCAACGCCTCCCCAGAAACTGAGGGGAACATTGCTGGAAAGAATTTGACCTTCCGTGCTTCCTGGGATAAGCTCGCGCGCTCGAATAGGTTCCTTATTCCAATTAGCGACAAAATCTTCGGCATTCATTCCAATGTGCTCACAATCATTGCGTTGGTATTGTACTGGTTCAGTGTAGTCATCAAACCAGAACTGTACAGGATGATAGAAGGAAGAAGTTCTCTTTTCTGTTGGATTTTCAGTCCATGGTCTCCGAGGGCTTGCCTTCCTAACTTGTAGAGGGCTTATCAGAAACGAAAGAGGAGTGGCATCGGTTGGGAGGTCCGACTGCGGGTCACTCCCACCCCACATCAATTGTGAAGGAATCGATAATAATCACCCTGGGGCATGATATCGAAGACATCTGCAGATTTCGACTGTGAACAAATCAGGTCGACTTGATGAATATTCAAGGCTCATGAATTTCTGCCTTTTAGATGAACAGTATCCAGATGCTACTTCCAGTGCTGATCTAGGGTACCCCGTCGGATCATTCAACCGAGCGGCAAGAGGAACAGAACTCGGAGATAAGTGCGGGGAAATAGAGTCGGCATCTCTGATCTCCACGACCGGAGACATTTTCGGTTCATGGTCTGCAAATAGTATACCTAGGTATCTAATCAGTGACTCCTAATTGAGTAGTCATCGATTTAGAGCACCACCACGTACTAGAGTTACATCACTGCGACCCTATTTTATCTCTATCAACACCCACATTGCCTGGACCAGGCGTGCAAGGAAATTGACTAGGTTGGACTTGGGTCTGTGGAGTAATTTACCTCTCAAGAAGTGTAAAATCTGCCTTGCCTGCAAGCTGCAATCAAGGAGGCTCTTCGCGTGCACCCTGCGATCAATGTGGCGGGTTGTCCCACCTGGTGGTCTGACTGTGTGCGACCAAGTTTCCCGAGGGAATTAGCGAGCTCTCCTGCCAATTTTACCAACGGAATTTGCTAATATAATTTTGGTGTCATTGCAAAACTGAAACTTGAATTGCAGGAAGTATACTCACTGAGACTAGTAGCAAGTGTCAACATCTGAAATTATCCCAGGGGATCTGACATGGGACCCCTATCAACCCCGAAGCTTCGTGGTTCACCAGGAACCCCCAGGCGAAATACCTGTCCACGATCTGCAGCAAAACACGACCATGTGGAGTCAAAGGACCCCAGTTACAGATCTAATCCAGCTATCGAGTTACGACGCACGGTGTCAAGTATCACCCCGGATCCATTCCAAGCCCAGCGTTTGTCACATCTGTTGCACTACAACCATCCACGCCAACAGCCCATTGTGAGGTTCTACTGCGGGGATAGGAATTTGGCCGATCTAACAAGATCACAATCGTTTTCAAATTGAATCCGACGGTGGAGCTGAAAATGTAACGATATCGTATGGCTTGTGAGCTTCTGAGGATATTCCTTCTTGTAGACGGAATCTTTTCGGTTTGTTTGACTTGGTTTGAGGGTCCAGTTTTAATTTCAAAGTGTAAAAACCTCATTTCTGTTTAATTTCAGGGTCTCAGTATGGGTTTTTCCCTTGGGAAAAGGTTTTCCTATACCCTTGTGCGAATGCAGAGACGTGTTTTCATAATATCTATTGTAACACTTGAATCTGAGTATTTTTTTCTTCAATGTATTATTTAATTCTAATACACGTAAGCCTTGCTCAAAATAATACTCATACGCACTTTGCATGAGTTATCAGCTCGTACTTTGCGATTATAGCCAGCTGGTTCACTGCCAGGATCAACTGCCGATGAGGCATGTCCATCAATTCTGTGTATCATTTACTGATAAGCTGACACAGCACGACGCTATACCTGGACTAGCTTTTGAGTTGGTCCTAATTATAACTGCGAAACTTATCTGTAAAAATTTAGCATGAGACAATTAGGTTCCGGACCATTCCGTGCCGGATTTTAACTTAAGCATTGGATGTATTCTGAAGCGAACTGGAACCCGATAGTAAGCTAGTAGCACATTCATACCGTCTTAGTCCTAAAGTCTCTACCTAGGTAATTTAATGTAGAATAAATGCCTTCAAATTATTTCCCATTTAATCCTCTGTTCGGTTCGATCCCGTTCACTGGCTCTTGTGCCACCATGGACGCCTAAATCAGTATTTTTGATATCCATGCCTACTGTGCTACGTGATGGCGCGTCTTTGGACGAAAGAATACGAAAGTATGTGTTCGTGAGATTGATTCCGATTATCTTAGAATAGCCTGACTATCTGCTCCCGTGATCAATTTTAGGGACATCAGAAGCAGAAGAGGCACTTGTCAGAAAGTGGGGGTTACCAAACCCAGGTTCTTGTTACATAGTCGACTTCTAGTATAAAGAACGCAAGTTTCCGTTTAATTTCTGCTTCACTCTTCAGTGAGATCAAAATACTTTTTCTAAACGAAGCCCCAGTCTCAGAATTGACCTTTCGCAATGCGGTTCACAATTACATCTCTCGTCGCGGTCTTCGCGGCTACTACTCAAGGTAAGTCATTCGATGTCGTTCCCGATGGCATTCAAGTTAGATAAAACCCGCAGGAATAAAAATCACATCGCCCTCGGACGGACAGTGCGTAAACCTGATGAAGGATTTGGATGTCAAATGGACGTCGGTTAAGTATAGATTCCTATTGCTTTACGATCCAAAGTGTAGATCGAAAATCATTAACACAATCAAGCGCCGATCCCTCCGAAATTTCCTTCAGTCTTGTTAACTACAAAGGAGCCAGTCCTCCTGTCGATTATCCATTGAATTTTGTTGTCTTTACGGATGACCTTTCTTTCGCTCTGCCCGGTGTGAGCCATAATGTGGCCACTAACCTTTCTCGTACAAACAAAGGGTATGCGAATTCGGATTCTACAATTCATCCTTTGAGAGAAACATCTAACAGTTGAGTACAGAAGCGGCTATCAAATTAATATTATCAAACCTGGTAGTGGCGTGGGCGCCACCCCTCTGGCTCGGTCAGGAACTTTCAAGATCGCTAAGCCTGGACATTCGTGCTAGCCATGTATGGAGATGAAATATCCCCTTCTTCCATCGTATCAAGGTTATTCAATCAGATATTTTGATCGTTTATAGCTCGAACTCAAAGCTTTCAAGTTTAGTAGTATCATGATGAGTAAGGCAATTCAGTAGCATAATAATCAATTAGTATGATCATAATGTTTGAAGATATACCGATTTCCGGAAATACTGTATTGCTACCTAACTCAAAGGAATTGGAGTTTGGTGACGCAGGAAACTCATATCTCGGCCGCTGAAATTCCTCGGCCTCCCTCTCAAAGTGATGAACCAACTTTGAGAAACCCGCCTTACTGACCGAAGGTGGGCTAAAAGTCAACACTATGCCATAATGACCATAGACTTCGGCGCCTACAGTGTCCATTCGATCCCACGGATACACGAGGTCCCCGAATTCGTACCATGTGCTGTTCTCAGGGTTGGGTTTGAAAGTTATTTCGATTCTCTTGAGTGGGCATTGTCTGGCGAGGGCTTCTGTGACAAAAGCTCGCAATCAATCTTCTTCTTTTTCTGAAAAATCAGTCAAGCGGTCCATATTTTCCCCCGGTCGTGTGAAGTTCCAGTTAGTTACACTCAGCCGAAGAGTAAGGAAGTTATGCAATGGGATGAATACGTTTGGTAACTTGTACCCGTCCTGGTCTTCGTCCTCGGGGCTCCTTCTGGGGGAAGTGACTGCGGAAGAGAGGCTGAGATATTACATCATTTTAAAGTCGTGAATATCAAATTCAAAAGGTTCAGGGCTTCCGAATCCGTGAATTGAAAGTTATTGGAGTGTATCCTTCTGTGACGCTAACATCTCATGGAGATTGGAGATATCTGGCCACGAATGAAACCAATCAAACGAATCAAAGTCCCCTCCCATGGATAGCTCTAAGATCTCAAGCTTTCGGTGGCCATTTCAGCAATATTTCCAGACTCCATTATCAGGTCATAAAGAAGTAATCTGGCAAAGAGAGCGGTGCCTGGATCAAATTTACATGGTTGTGTCAGTTCCCACCACTCGGCGCAGTTTTAAAAAGCTTTCCGGTGAGATATCCATACCTTCATAGTTTGGAGGAGTGTTTTCTCTAGAATAACCGGACCAATTAATTGGGTCATAAGCAGCCCCTTCGGGGCTGAGAGTATGAATGTTGGGAATAAATCCAGATTTGAAGCTCCTAGTATTTCCATCACCCAGAAGATTGTAATGATGCGTTTTGCCATGACGGTCACCAGTGTATCTAAAAGACATGAGAAATAGCTCTTTGCAATCGGGAATTTTCATGAGAACAAGGTTGAACAATCTTCCTGAGTTCAAATCGATTGGGAAAAGCGTGAGGGACTGGACAGAGGTCAGTCAGGCAGGACAGACAATAGTCCGCAGTTTCATAACCATGTTGGCCGTACCCGTCATAGCAGATTTTGGGAGAGCGACAGTAAGTTTGAAGTGAGGGATTCTGTCCGTAAGCATAGCGGTGATTTACTTTAAGCTGCTCCTCTCATACTTTCATGTCAGTGCAGTTGATCCAGAGAGTTGAGTATAGCAATGTGGTTGAATCGCCAGCTGACCATTGAAATGTGGAATAATTGCTGACAGCTCTGTCGCCATTCTGTAGTCCTATCAGTCCACTCATCGCATTTGGATCGAGTCTTCACCGTGTCGCTCAGCCCAGCTCTGTCCACTATGTCGACCAGAATCTCGTAAGGAAGCCTGAGAATGTAGGCCGTATCAGGCGAGGTCTTGTCGGGAGTATCCATCTGAATAAATGCAGGTGAATCTCTGGCTGGTCTTTGCTCGAAGGAGAGAGAGAAGTAACTGAGGATGGAAATCGGAAGTGGTGGATAGAAGTGGTGGATGTGTGACAGAGAAGACCACCCGAACAGGGAAGGTGCAAGGCCACCGCGGTGCCTGCGACAACGGCGGCGCTCAGCATTCATGATGAACACTTCATGATTACCCACCCTTTCACACCGTTTTTAGTGCTTCTTAGTACTTTGACTCTACGAATATTAACCTTTGTTTTAGTATTTATATGATAACTCAATAACTAGGCCATCGTAGGTAGATTGCGGCAAACCCGCCGGCCGGGAGGGATACTATACATCGATCCCGTCAATGCCACTTCGGACAGCTCTTAAACCCTAGTAGGATAGCACTGCTACCGATTAACAAGGAACATAATATCGTTTCATATATCTTGCCGGGTATTGTAATAATTTATTACATCTGCCGCGCACGACTTTTCCCAAGGTTATTCCTTCTGAGCTGACCTTCTATTCAAAGGCCCCCAATTTGGTCATCACGTCTTGGAATTATATCCCTGCCGTGTCACGGATGTCGTATTCTGACGCGAGTCACAACTTCCAGTCCCCTAAGAGAAGTGATAAGAAATCCGAAAAGAAATGCCACCATACCATCGCCACTGATGAGAATAGCATCACCGTGGGAGCAGAATGACTATAGGGAGGCCCTAAGGCCCTACTGGAGGTCTATAAAAGAGACGGAATATTCGATCATAGAGTCATTATACAGATATCATCACGTCGATCACCATTTCAACCCTTCTATCATATTCTCACTTCAAAGGTTTACAAGATGCGCTTCACTGCTACCTCCTCCTTCGTGGCCCTTATCGCCACTGCGACAGGTCAGTCTATTTCGTTCCGGCGATGAAATTCTTCGTATTGACTCCAGGGCTCGCGCTAGCTTATACTATCGACTCGCCTAGTGGAGGATGCATCGACATCACCCTCCCCTTGACAGTGACATGGACGCCACCGCAGTAAAATCCCCATTCATGTCCTAATGCCATTAAGGGACAGAAGCAATACTAAGCAATATGGCTAGGGGCGCAACTCCGGTAACCGTCTCCTTCGTACTCGCGAATTACAACGGCGCCTATCCGAATGTCGACAAGCTATATGAGAATCTCGTCGTGAATGCGACCCAGGTTAGCAGCGTTACTCTCCCGGGTCTGGATCAGGCTACGGCGCTGGGTTACTCTATGCAAAATGGCGGGTGAGTTTTGAGTTATTTCTTTCAAGTTTATCGACGATTCGATTATGGTTGGTACATTGTGCTCATTATTCCGGTAGAAATGGGTACCAGGTCTGGATGGTGGATCCTAACAGTCCTCCGCCTCATAATGGGAATCATTACGCTGAGTCGAAGTCTTTCCGGATTGTGGCGCCGGGAGCTGGGAATAGTTGCTAGAGGTGGAGTGAGAGAGAACGGGAACTTTTACCTCACTACAGGGCTGGCGCAATGAGTTTGCTTTTTATCTGCTGTGAGCAGACTGGCCCTGGCTTTCACTTAACTCGTGTGTCGTGAATTATTTTTAAGAATAGAAAAGCCTTCTGCAAAGCGTATATAATCCTTTTAGGCTGTATTTCAGGACTAGGCTGGGTAAGCGTGTTCTGTTTTACTAGTAAGTGGAATATTCAGAGGCCCACATAGTACTTAAACCCTAAGCAGCCTATCAGGTATCCAGTCCATCTCGCTTAGTCGGGATGTCTGCGTGTTAAGTGTGTAAGATCAGCTGACCAGCCCCTGACGATACCTGCTGCAGCTAGAACAGAGTTATCTAACCTCAAGATGACTATCGATGATGATCGTGTGACAGCCAGTCAGAGATGCAGAGTGCGGGGGACAGAAGGCTAGTGAGAAGGATCATTGCCTTTAGTGGAATGCCGAGACTTGATGTGCGCTGTTGGCTGCGGGGACTTGTCTTGGCGAGATTAAGTTGGGATCAGCCTCAAATTTAGATATCTCTATTAGTATGTAGTACATAGGGTATAATTTGTTACTACCGAATGTAGAACACGGCTCGGAGTAGTATATTTACCGGTTCTAATCCACGGGTATCCAACTTGTTTGCATATGGTCTACTTCGCGCGGGGATATATTTGAATTTTTGTATTCAACCATCTAGCAAGTGTCTATATATCTAGAGCGGGTCTCAAAGCATAATAAGAGAGCAAAACGCCAACACGGGTATACGCTCAAATGCAGGGCATTTGGGATGCAAGTCGATCCATTGGGAACGTGGATCATTCGTACTCGACCCTGTCTCCAGCGGTGATCCCTAGCACCGCCCGTGAACCATCAAGGTACACGATTTCATGGGGAGAGCGATAAGGGAGAGCCATAAAAGGTGATCAAGGTGGTGGTGAAAAGTGACTTCAAGGGTGAAGTGAGGAAGAGAAAGGGAGAAAAATGGGTAGGGCTGATCTCCAGGATATAGCAAGAAAGTGGAAGGTAGGGGAATGGGCGGTGTGAGGATTTTTACGCGCAAAGTTGAACAGCGACCAAGGCGCGAGTCAAATCTTCGGGCGCAAAGGGCTGATGTGTGCCCTTGCGTGGGGTCCGTGAGGTTGGGGATAAAGTGCGGAAGATGGGGGAGGAGTAGCGTATTGACTCCTTCAGTTGGGCAATGGGGTCTTCGGGGAAGTCATAAACAGAACCCTCGTTGAGAAGAGTCATCATAGAGCCGTTGTAACTATCAGAGTTGACGACGGTCGAAGACTGAGAGCCGTTGGCGGGGCGCGAGTTAAGCAGGTCTTGGTCCTGGTCCTGATCTTGATCGTGGTCGGAGACTGCGGCAGAGATGGCGTCAGACACGGACACGGGCACGGACACGGACACGATAAGAGGGGAGGAGAGGGGTGACAGGGATATCGGCCAGGTTCCGAGAGGGTGAAACCTGAGAATATCGGGGTTGTTCGACATACCTGGATCGACGATTTCCACGCCGTCGTCGTCGGGAGAAATCTCGCCGGAATCGTCACTGTCCATTGGGTCCATTAAAGGATTGAGATTGGGATTGGGGCCGGGTAAATCGAAAGTGGCGCAGGGTGACAGGGCCAAGTCGAGAGAACGCGTGCGCTCTACCATGGCCCGATCGAAGGACCACGCAGCAAGGCGTTTTTGATGTTCCTTATCGAAGGGTCCGCGGAACTTGGATGGGGGGCACTCATGACGACGATAATATTCCACCTTGGGTCGGCCAGTATCCTGGCTGGCTGAGGAGCGGTGGAAGACGCGCCTAACTTTTTCACGAAAAGTCATGGTGAGGTTGGTGGGTGGGGGGGGATAAACTGGAGCAGAACACAGGTACACAGGTACAGACAGACTCGAGGATTACCGGAAAGGCCGGAGTACTATGATTCTGTAATTTGTGATTGTGGTTCTGGTTCTGCGTCACAGTGGACGTCTCCCGTGGGGGTCGACGGGGTGCAAGCACGTAAAGCGGGATGGGAGAGGAGGGGAGAGTTTGACCATTGGAGAGGAATTGGGGGAGGGGGAGAAGGGGAGAAGAAAAGGAAGGGGAAGGGAATGAAGTGGTAGAAGTAAAAGAGTGGAAATGGAATGGAAGTAGAGTGGATGCAACCGATAAGACAGGACTGGGAGTGTACTGTAGGATGTAGTACTGTACGGAGTACGGCCCAGTCTACTTCGGTCCTCTCGGTCACTCCAGTCTGTGCGGCATTTCCTTTACAAACGGCGTCTCGTAAGTGGAGTCAATGAGAGAGATTACTCTGGGGGCTGCTTTGGGATTGGACTCTCCAGACTTTTCGGGCCAATTGTGGGTATACGAGAGATAGATACGATACGAATGCCTTTACGAGTACTCCGTACTCTGTATGTAGTGATATCCTAGGATAGAGTTGAAGCCACGAGTGCTACGGTATCTCCCGGTTTGCCACCAAGACCAGAGTTTGCCGCCTGCACCGAAGACTTCCAGAAGAATACAGGATCCAGGATTAAGATCAGCCTCACCAGTCTCGCCCACCGACATCATCATAGGCCAACCACCGGGGGGCGACACGGGCAACACGGGCGACACGGGGCAATAACGTCAATATCTGACGAGGGCAAACTGGACTCGGCGATTATGGTCTCCGATTGCACCGGAGGAGGGCACACCGGAAACAACCGCATCAAAGGATCCATTTATAGCGGCGATAGCCACCAATAAGAGGGGGAAAGATGACTGTGGTGGATGGTGAGTGGTGGAACAAGTGGGAATTGGCAAGTGGGGTTCAGACTGGAGACAACTGGGGATTCTTGGGTTTCTCTGGAATCTTTCAACTTCTCGGCATTCCTGACCCGGTTTACCGCTTTCGGCAGTATTCTGCATTACTGGTACCCGGATGTTCAGGTTGATATTGGCAAAATTGGTCGGCCAATATATACACTAGGCCGGCTGGCCCAATGGCAAGGCGCTTGACTACGAATCAAGAGATTGCAGGTTCGACCCCTGCGTCGGTCAATTTTTTTGTTTTTCTTTCCATGTCAAGTATGGAGATATTGTACACGAAATTATTTTCTTTTTATTTTGTTGCCATTCATAGTCATCTCTTTGAGCTGGTATTGACAAATATGCTGATGCCTACTAGTACTAATACTAGTAGTAGTGGTACCTACTACTGTAGAAGTACAGATTTACATCATGCCCACCTGGCAGGTGATCCCAGAATAGAACTGGGTCGGTGGCTGATGCTGATGATGACATATATATTCCACATGTCCACTTGTCCGACGGGTTCTATGGCTCTTTTAATTAGCTGACGACTATCAATAACCACTTGCAGTACCTCCAGGGCTCTTCACTACCCAATATGATGTAACTTATCTCCAGCATAGCCGCAGTCATGGTGGCTCTACTCTAAGATTATGCTGTGCATGCATGTACGACATGTTTGCAGCCCTATTACCCAATCCGGTGTTAGGGCTGCAGGGGCCCAAGGCACAGACGGGGAATTGTAGATACTTAGTGCTAGTACTCCGGCTATAGTTAAAGGATCAAAGGGATCCCTTTGCGTCAGAACCTGAAACAATGAACTGTCTTCAATAAGACACCATTCCAACCGCAACCAGGAGAATGCGACCAGTCAACAGCCACTCGTATAGCTAGCATCTACAGCATCTACGTAGGCGACAGGCCGCAGCCTATAGCAACGCAGTAAACTAAGAACACCAAAAATAAAGAAACAGAAACAGAACTTTGGAAACCAAAAAAAGAAACATAAAGAAATGCTGCAAAAAGAACAATGATGCCATTTGTCCTCTAGCCTTCTGGACCCGACGGTCTCCAGTTCCAATTCGACCCAGGGACAGCCCAGCATACCGGAGGTCTCATCTCATCCCATCCCATCCCATCCCTTACTTTTCCTTCCCTCCGCTCCACCCTCCACCTTCATCTCCTGTCATCTCCCATCCCATCCTTTCTTTCGCATCCACTTTATCCCATTCTCCATCTGTAAGTCTTTGAGTGTTACTTAACCTTCCATCATCCACCACGCTTCCCATCCACCACCAATTGCACCGCGCGCACCCGCTGTCGTCATCTACCGTGGCAACTCTGACCCGCCGCAGACCTCACGAATCGTCACGAACATAATGCCTAAGAAGGGTGGCAAGAAGAAGAACAAGGGCGGCGCCAAGGGCCCCGTCGCCGCTGCTGTCGACAAGGTCGCCGATACTGCAAAGGATATTGTGTCAGTTACCCTCAATGCGCCAAGTGAAACGTTGCAGAAAAAAAAAAGCGCTGCGGTGGTCGCGTGCCACCTGCAGCTAGCTAGCTCGGATCGCGCATCGCTAACACCCTTCCAGTCATCCCGACCACAAGGCCGAGAAGGCCGAGACCACCACCGCACAGACTGATGCGCCTACTACCGCGTCGCAGACTGACGCTGCCGCCGACGTGAAGACTGATGAGGCTGTTGCGCCCGCCACCACCACCGCCACTGAATCCGAATCCAAGGCCAAAGACGACGTTGAGAAGAAGGCCGAGGAGAAGGTTGCGCCCGCCGCTGTCGCCGAGAAGGTCGAGGAGCCTAAAGCCGAGAAGATCGATGCTCTGAAGACTGAAGCCGAGGAGAAAGGTACGAATCGAACCTGTTCAATCAATTGCGCCAATGTAAGCTAATCATCCGCCGCAGCAGTCCTCCCCGAGAGCACCGTCAAGGAGACTTCCCTTGGCGCAGAGATCTACCCCTCCACCAGCGAAGCCGTCGCCGAGGAGTCGGCCACTTCCACCGCTGCCGCGACCGGCGCCGCTGCCCCCATCCCCAGCTCGACCGAGCGCCCCAAGACCGCCGAGTCGGCCACCGTCGTCGCGGCCGAGCCCGCTCCCGCCGCCATCCCCTCGGAGACCGATGCCGCCCACAAGCGCCCGTACGAGAAGCCAATCTTCTCTAACGACGAGGTGAAGCCGCACAAGATCGCCAAGACCGAGGAGGAGAAGCAGGCAGCCGCCAGCGCCGCGGCTGAGAAGCAGAACCTGGTCGGTGCTGGTCCCGCCTCCACTGCCGCTTACACTGCTCCTGAGCCCGTGCCCGTCCCCGAGACCAAGAAGGTCGAGGACAAGCCCGTTGAGAAGCAGGTCGAGGCTGAGAAGCCCAAGGTCGAGAAGCCCGCTCCCATCCAGCCCCCTGCTACCCAGGCGCCTGTCACCAAGTCTTCCACGGCCACTGACAAGCAGCCCGCCTCGCCCGACGCGGTCGCCGCTGCTAATGCTGCTATCAACACCTCCAAGGCTGACAAGTCTGCCGCGCCCGCTCCGGTCGTCGCCGAGGAGCTGAAGAAGCCTGAGGCTGCTTTCAAGCGCGGCGAGGAGCCCGCTACCGAGGCACCCAAGACTGAGGCCAAGGAGTCTGCTCAAGAACCCGCCAAGGTGAACGAGGAGACCAAGGCCGACCAGGCTGCTGAGCAGCAGCAACCCGAGAAGAAGAAGGGTGGTTTCTTTGGCTGGTTGAAGCGGAAGTTCAAGTAGGCGAAAGCTAAAGCTGAAAGAACGGAGTTGCTGTTTGCTGTTAGTGAGCTAGGTCAGTGCTCGCGGAAGATTTTCTTGGTCCAGTCCTTGAGAAAAGGTGTGGATGTACGATATCCAGGAAAGGTTGGAGTGGAGGATTTGGTTCTGCTTTTCTTTTTTTTCTTCCCTTTTTTTCCCTGCTCCGTTGAAATGATACACCATCGAAATTATATAACATAGTGCTTATTAAAATAAATCTCTTCTGAGGATCGCTGCCCCCTTTTCTATTTCCCCCCCCCTTCTGATTGTAACACACCGCCATTTGTTCAAGCAGGTGGGCTGGCCTGGGCAGCCCCAGTGTCGATATTGGACTAGCGTTGCGTAGTGGTTCGATGGAGCTGATGATCCCTCGTCATACATCAGCTCTAGTGGGTCAGCATGAGGTGGACAATGTAGGTACGGGGTAACTACTCCCAGTGCGTAACTAATACTGGAGACTAGTACTGAGTAGTATACGATCAAATTCAACTTGAACTTGACAGAATTTGAATAGTTCCAAGGCTGTATACAGATACACTTCCAACCACCATGACTAGTCACCGACCCGTATATCAACTCGCCTCATGATCTAAAAAAGCCCCTGCGTCTCCTCAACAACAGCCAAAAGCGTCTCAGCCAATCGCCTCGCAATCCGAAAATGATTAACCCTCTGCAACAAATCCACAACCCTCAACAAAGACCCCATAGCCAACCTCCCCGGCAAAATCGACGAACCCAACTGTTCCAAAAACACCACCCCATCCACCCCCTCCAACCCCAACTCATCGAAATGCCGCGCATCGCCCGCCGACAAAGTAACAGGCACACCCTGATCCTGACCCTGATCCAGATCCAGACCCTGATCCAGCCGACCAAAGCACAAAAAGCAGGCCCATAAGATCCCACAGTAGTAAAGTGAGAGGGGCACGTGGATGGCTGGTTCGGCGCCGGCGGGGAGAGTCTCGAATTGGCGCTGTAGGAGCATGGCATGGAGGAGGGCACGTTTGGCGTCTTGTGTGCGGATCCAGGACTTGGCGTAGGTGGGCGTGTTTGGGTTGTGGCCTTCGCGGCCGAGGGAGTTTTCTAGGGCGTTTATGTCTGTGTGGAGGGTGATGAAGATTGAGTGCCAGAGTATCATTGTGCAGGGCCATGTGTGGGTGTAGGAGGGGTTGGGATGGGAATACCCGCTGGGTTTATTGGGGTGAGGGTTGTATTTGATGTGGAAGTTGGTGAGGAGTTTGTGGCTTTTTTGGACGGTGTGTATCCAGTCTGGGGTTGGGGAGTGGTGTTCTTGGTCTTCGTAGGTGAGGGCGTTTATTGATTCGAGGAGGCCGTTTAGGGCGAAGTCGCTTGGGGTTCGGGACTGGTGTTGGATTCGTTGGGTTGGGGATGGGTGAGTGAGGGGCCCTGGGTTGGCTTGGGTTTCTAGCATGAGGGATTTCCAGGTTGAGGCGTTGGATGCTGTGAAGAGCTCGTTTGAGGATATCTGGGGTAGTCGGTCGAGCGAGTTGTGGAGGAGAGGTTCGTGGTGGTGGATTCGGGAAAGCAGGGCGTCGTGGATGTGTAAGCCTAGGATGATTCTTTGCTTGACTTCGCTTTGGACCCAGTTCATCCAGACTTCTTCTAGAGATGGGCCCTCGGTGTCGAGGAGATGATATTCGGCTGGTTGGAGATTGAATAGCTTTGCTTTGCGGGCCCACTGAGACTGTTATAAGCTGGATGTCGTTGGTGGAAATATTAATGGGACTTACGGCTATGATACTTCCATGGAATATATCGATTCCAATTAGATCTTTAGGTCTCTGCAGAGTCCGAGTCGTCAGTTGAGCACTCAAATGGAAGCTACATGGTGTATTTCATGTTGCTTACTCCCAATAGCAGACCGAATGACTGCCCAATGATAGATGCTTGCAGAGCTATAAAAGATGAACCTCCGGATTTGAAAGTATAAGTGTCCCACTTTGGCTGTCAGCAAATTTGTCCTACCTGATATGACTCAGAATCAATCATAAGCGACCTACTGATGCAAGAATGGCTTTATTCAACCGCTCAAACATGCTGATTCCATGGTTGACCGCGCGAGAAGAGCCAACAAATAAGCTCCCGACAGAACAGATAGAAAGAAGAAGGATCGAGTTCTGCGTGCCTGGTCGGAAACTAGCCATGTGAACCACGGGAAAAAGAGGGTGGAACTTGGAAAAATATGCTTGAATGCAAAGGTCCTACCTCGAATCAGTATACTAGTATTCCCTAGGTAAATGATTGCTGAGGCGGGAACCATACTAGAAAAGGAGTAGAGGGCAGTATCCCTGTCTGCACAGGCTGCTGTAGTCGATCTGCCAATCGTTTACGGTAGGTCTCATCGATATAATTCTCCTCGTTTGGCACATCAGGTGTCATTTGACCCGAGGATGACATTTCACAGAATGTATGCCATTTCCTTTGAACTGTGTTGCTATGCGGCTTTGCTTGCTGGTCGACCGGTAAAGGTTGGGAAGTCGTGGTATTTAGATCGAATGGGAATTCCGCCGCAGGTATGTATTGCGATGACGCAGAAAGTAGAGACATATTCACAGCGTTCAAATCGAAGTCATCGCCGGTCAAAAGTGTCTCCCATTCCTGATCCAGTCGGGAATCCCATAGCGGAGGTGGTGGACATTCCTGGTTTCTCCAGGAATCGGTGGCCTCTAAAGAGAAAAATGAAGCCAGGGGAGTCATCTGTGAATGGTAGCTGTGCTCGCTGATCGAGAAATCCGGCGTGCGCTTGTCAATGGAGGCGCTGCTTGGTGGCGAGATCATGTCGTCCGGCATTGTCATTTCGGGATGAATTGGAATGGTCGGAACACCCGTCGCAATCGATATTTGTGACATGAGTTCGGGATCAAGACACCCATGACTTTCGGGTTCAAGAGAAACCGCGTGCTTTTCGCCGTCCTCTCGACCTGTCGCATGGGATCGCGAGTGGCGTAGGAGAGTGTCTCTGTCACAGCATGAGCATTGGAATATCCGGGAGAGGCAGGGATGAATGAAGTACTGTCTAGCAAATGCCTTGCTGCATACAGTACAGCTGAACGGCTTTTCTTTCGTGTGTGACCTTAGATGTCGGGCTAAATGTTCCGCCTTCTTAAATGCCTGTCCACAGACCGCGCAGACTCGCTCCTCCTTGGAAGTCTTGCGGCGGCGACGAGCTTTGATGCCAGAACATGAAGGGGCTGCATGGACTCTGCTGGAAAACATGATATTGATCAAAGTTATCGAAGCGGAACAGTCATGCTGTTCAGGTGAAAAGAGGAAATGAAAACGAAATATTGTGCAACGAGGTAACATTCTACACCCGAGCTTTCCCCGCTCCAAGATCTACACATTATGCCGAGACCCAATGATCTTCAACAGAGGCTGACTTTAGACTCTAGTCAGAATGAATACAGATCGGGGATTCGCATTCTCAAAGTCCGAGCGGATTCAAATTGATCGGTGTGTCGGGTGCTATGGGCCCCGCGTGAGCAAAATGTGGGATCTATCATGCGGGACCTTCCGTATATCCGACACTCAACCGTGGTGGATGCGGTTTTTGGTCGACGCAACGCCTTCAATCTCCACTTCAACCACATCGTTGTCCCGCAGAAACTCCTTCCTGAAATAACCAACTCCCGATGGCGTACCCGTCATGATCAGAGTTCCCTTGCGCAGGGTCGTGCCGCGAGAGAGATGAGTGATGATCTGGCGCACCGTCCAAATCATGTCTGCAGTGCTAGTCTCTTGTTTCACCACTCCATTTACCTTGGTAGTCAGTCGCAGAGCTTGGGGATCAGGGATCGTTTCTGTGGCTACGATTGTGTGGCCAATTGGCGCAAACTTGTCGAAAGATTTGGCGTAGCAGAATTGCCCTCCAGAATTTTCGGGGAGCTGAAAGTTCCGTGCAGACAGATCGTTTCCAGCAGTATATCCAAGAACGTAATCTAGTGCAGTGTCCTCTGTTACATCTTTTGCATCTTTTCCGATCACAATGGTGAGTTCGCCTTCGTAATCGAGAAGCTCGCGCGCATCAGCATGGATGTTAATCGCATCAAAAGGGCCAGCGAGCGAATCGGCAGGCTTGATGAAGCTGACGGGGTATTTGGGCACTGTCAGCTGTTTGAATAATGAATTAGTATGTAAAAGTTAATTCAAGCCAGAAGAGTCATTTACATTTGCTTCCTCTGCATGCTGCTTATAGTTCAGTCCGATGCAAAGCACAATAGGTGTGCTCTCGATAGGGCATTCAAGCTAGCATAAAGAGAATTCACGTTAGGAATGATGCCGTTTGAACCTTTTGAATAACTTACCGAGTCAACTTTTAGTGTTTCCCCTGTTGCTTTCAGACCTGTGAAAGGGTTTCCTTCCAGCCTACGAACTGTATGTTGATTTCCGATGACATCCAGTAGATCCCCGTAATGGATCCCCGACCCAGGAGAAGCGAAACGAACAAGTCTCTTGAAGGCAGCCATAGTGATAATTGAAATTATGCTGTGAATCTAGACCAGTTTAATTGTGATGAGTGACTCAATTTATACAACATCGATAGCGGGGATGGTGAGCGAGATAGGGCAGAATGTGGGATCAATTGTAGCCCCGCGTGTTGATCAATCGCAGGCTGAGAGAACCACATCGGAATAGTAATGGAAAATAGAGAGGAAAATATATTGATTTATTTAAAACATTGAACATGGGGAAGAAGAAGAGATTGAAGTGAGACAGCAACTAAAAGCCTACATCCATGAGGGCCCCGTTTCCAAGGCACCAAAAGTCACCAAACATGCGTTTCGGAGATGATAGGTAGACACACCATGTTCTAGTATATATCTAGTTAATTTTATTTAAATGGATAATTGATTGAACTAGTGATACATTTCAAGGCATTTTTCTTTTCTAAAAAAAAGTATGCCTACCGCTCCATTTATGTCACTCTGCATGACGCAGACGTTAGGATTAGATAGAATTTGAGAAATTTGATATCGAACAACGTTAATAATTGGAAAAGGACCGCGAAATTGAATTCGCGTACATATATACAAGGCGAGGAACTATCAGATAGTTGATGGGTACCGTAGCCCCATGATTTCTATTGTTCTTTCGTTCGAACATTAGACTCCAGGGCAGTAAGAGATTCGGAGAGGACCCTGTATTCCGGGGTGCATAATTCACATGCTTTCAAGTTGTAAGTCTCTAGCGGTGAAGAGATGATTGAAGTACTAATAGTACTAGTCGTAGTTTGTAGTTTTGGTGACTCGGGTTGAAGGTCATACTAGTAGTACTTTACTAGATATATGGGAAGAGAATAGCGAGTTCGATTCCCGAGGTCTCTAAAGGTAGTAAATTAACAACCGCGGCATGATAAGCTCGCTCATCAAGATCATGGGGGCTTACTCATGAATAAGATAATTGTTGGAAAACATATTGGATCAGCTTTTGGACAATCTTGAAAGAGAACCAAACGAAGAGTCTAAAATCCATGGGGTAAGCTGGATCCATTCCTTCCGCGTTCCTGGCACATCGCATTTTCAATAAAACCGACGAAGCACGTGGAACGTGTGGGACAGGCTGAATGATTATTTTTCAGGGTCAGGAACTGGGGATTTAGGCGATCATTTATAATTTTCCTCTGAGACAGGGCTGACGAAAATTCCTTTTCCAACCGAGTGACCCAAGACCAGCCTGAGTGTCTCCGATACTATGGACGCAACGCCGCATCATCGATGTGACTAGTATGGAAGTTCCCGTTTCTCGTAACAAGGATATATGCAAAGGAGACGGGGTATGTGCATCTGTGGCGTGCGATGGCTGCATGTTGGCAGCCCCGAAGAATCAGGTGATTTTGGGCTCAGATCTTCCAGAATTGCGTCTTGGACTGGAACTTAGATAGCATGACTTGATTTATGGGAGAGAAAAAAATAGTAAACTCAAAAAGTTCAGTTTTACTATGTGAGCGCCTTCCTACTATATACAGTAGGGGTACTGATTATCTCTTGGTTGGTCTAGATTTGAATCCCGCCCTTTTGCGCCAAGTCACACCCACTGGCAGCTTCAGATATTTGTAGCGCCCCAAGGCTCTTTTCTCTCGAATAAAGCACTGAGAGTTTTATTTATTAATATGATTAATAGGGGTGAATTTTCTACAAGATTCGAATTCTGAAATTGTTCGAATTCTAAAGAGGCTCGATTCTGAGCAGATGGCCGAGTGTAACATAAATTTGAGACGGATTGATTGAGGCAAACCGTCTGCCAACCTTGGTAATAATACCAAGACAGGCAGTTTATTTTCCAAAAATAGATTACACCTGTAGTAGTCGAGCGTATTAGATATCTCCAACCTGGGAAGGCAGTATACTTATTCTTAGATACGCCACACCAGAGTTGATATGCTGCATTTCCGAGCACGACACGGAAACACAGCTTCAAACGTGGAATCAAATGTAGCTCATACCCTTATTCTGTTGGGATCGATAAAAGAAGCTATCATTTGGAATCAAGTTCAGATGCCTCAAGATTCGACAAGTCCTCGAGAATACAACAGTCTGTAAAGCTTCCCTTAAGGTGCGTGCATATACTGAGATCGCCACACAAATAAATCCTAGGACCATTCGAAGCACCCGATACATAGGGGCCAGAAAGAGAATTTATTATGAACATCATGATTAGCTGGAGCCAGATTCTATTTTCTGACAATGTTGCATTACATCTGAGCTAGGCATGGTTAACTATTGCATGCAACCTATGCCGCTCGAGTAGCCCTCAACGAATAAGATAATACCGAACACTAACCGAGGCTCACTGAATAGATTCTAAAAAGGCCGGGGTCTTTGGTATTGTATTTAGAGTTTCCCTCGTTCCAGCTCCCATGCGCACTCTCCGCTTGCTTGATCGACAAGACCATTGTTTCCTTCTCATACGCTAATGAACGTGTTCCACAAACTCGAGCCTTGGCGTAGCCCCATATTGATTATTTTGTGGCTTCACCGGGGTTGGTTTACGAGTATGAGGAGGACTTGAGATCTCTGGCTTTTTAATATTGTATTGTAAAACTGGCAAAGTATCTTTAGATCTTGTACGTGTGGGCTATCGTAATGAGCAGTCGTTGATCCTCTACGAACCAGGATAGCGGTACTAGTAGTTACCGAGAGCTTTCTAGACGACTGGGTTAGAAAAAAAACATTACTAGTATTCTCAATGGGTTGAATATGCCCCAACTTAGAAGATACGTGGAATTTGGGCTATATTTGAGTGTCGAGACAGAGAGTGTTGGACGGGCCGGTAGTGCCCGTATATTCATCGCTACGCGAGTAATTGCATTCCAGTATTGAGAATAATGCCAATCTCAATATCATATTAATTCAAATGACCTTGATAGTTTCGATGAAATTTACTGGTTAGGCCGTTGCAAATCCGTCGACAGGACGGTGCCCTTTGAGGCAGGGATCCACTTTTACATTGGCAAATCATGTAAATCGACCAACTATGGAATTGATATGGGATAAGCGAGCCTCTCAGCCTCTTGCTTTCCAGCTGCAGATACCACAGCCAAATAGAGCATTTAAATAATATGGCACGAGTGAATCACACCGTCTCTGCCTTCCCGCATTGTGGTGGTAGCCCACGTGGGCGTGGGCCTATACTACGCTTGGGGTATGCGTATGCACCATTGACCGTTTACCACTGGCTATCTCTCACTTTGCTCACTTTCTTCCTCTCTTCTTCTCCTCTCGTAATTCAAAAGTACAAATTACTTCTCCATCCCACTTTCATTTTCTGACATTTTCCTTAGTGACCCCCGTTGACTTAACTTTGCGCTTCTGGACGGTCCTAACATCTCGGTGCCTCTTAGTGGAACATGGCTCCCAACATGTTTCGATCTATCAAGCGTCTACTTTGTTTTGCTTCGCCTCAGCGCTCTGATGAGACATGCCCAACCGCCTCTTTCACACACGATGCTCCTAGTCGGACTTCAATTCCAGATTCCACTGCCTGGGCTAACCGCCCTCAGCCACGAGTGCGAGAACGGATCACAACAAGGGTGATAATACCGCGATTTCCCTCCACATACAGCTCCACCAGCACTCCTACTACCTGTTTCATATCCGACACAGAGAGCCCGGTCACTCCTATAACCTCTGCAACCAGTCAAAGTCTTTCCTGGTCATCCGAGGTTCTTCTCAAGGTTGCCACCGATCCCTCTTGGGATTACGGCACACCGTATGTTCCGATTCTGCAGCCGGATGGCACACTGAGACCGCCACCGATCTCATTCAGTGGCTATGGCCCATTTGGGGGCCAGTTCGTTCCAGAATCCATCATGGGCTTCCTCCACGAGTTGACATCGACCTTTGAAGCCGCTGTCTCCGATCCAGCTTTCTGGGCCGAATACGCCACCCTGCAACGCTCCCAGCACACACCATTAACCCGGGCTAGCAAGCTATCCGACCCAGCCACGGCGGCAACTATATGGCTGAAGAGGGAGGACCTGAATGATTACGGCAGCCACAAGACTCGCAATATCATCGGCCAGCTATTGCTTGCTCGCCGCATGGGTCGTACAGAGGTCGTCACAGATTGCGCAGCGGCCAAGCATGGGACATTCACGGCGGCAATGTGTGCACGTCTTGGGTTGCAGTGTGTTGTCGTCATGGGTGCGGACGATGCATGCGCGCAGGAAGAAGACGTCCTGGATATGAAGATGCTCGGGGCCAAGGTCGTGACCGCTAGAACTCCTTCCGGTATGGGTTCGCTGCGCGCTGCAATCACAGAAGCACTCCGCTATTCAGTTCGCAACTATGAAACTGCGTACTATCTGATGGGAGGACCCGTGGGTCCCAGTCCACTGCCAACCGTGACCCGCACTTTCCAGGCACTCCTAGGCGAGGAGGTCGCAGCCCAGATGCACAGGGAGGTCGGTTGCCAGCCAGATGCTGTCGTCACCGCCGTTGGTAGTGGGTGCGGTGCGGTGGGCCTATTCAGGCCCTTTCTTCACAGCCCCGCTGTTCGCCTGGTTGGCGTTGAAGGCGTACATGCCGCTGCCTTGACGGAGGGTTCAATCGGCGTTCTCCAGGGCTCGCGCACACTGATGCTTCAGAATGAGGACGGTCAGATCTTGGATTCAAACTCTATCTCGCCAGATATGAATATTTCCACGGTTGGACCCGAGGTGGCGTATTGGAAGAGTGTGGGCCGTGTTGAAATTAAGACTGCCACGGATACGGATGCCCTGGATGGGTTTAAAAGTCTCTTCGATCACGAGGGGATTGTTTCTGGTTTGGACTCGAGTCACGCGGTGAGCGCAGCCCTGAGGTTAGCGAGAGATCTGGGTCCAGGTAAGAATGTTGTTCTGATGGTGACGGGAGGAGATAGCATTGGCATGCATGATGGAAGGAGGTTGGGTGTTTGATAACCCCCTTCCCCCTCCGCCTTATGTGAAATTGCGTGAGGCGCTCTCTCCTTCACCTTCTTCCAGTCCTCTTCCCTCACATTCTCGTCTGTTTTGTTTGTTTGGACTTCTTTTTGAGTCCGATGCTCTTAGTTTCCACAATACCCGGGTTATTTTGATTTAGAATCGGGAGTTTGCGTTTTTTCCAGGGCGGCCTACATTTACTATGTTCACCGCTGTATCGTCATAATGGCTAATGGCTAATGACGATCTTTTTGAGATTTATGGTTACATAGCATTTCGTTTTTTTATGAATATGATTTTCATTTTATTTTAATGACTTCCGAAGTCATGGTAGATGCACGATCACATTTCAGGGCTTGATAATGGGATTCCCAGCAACTTGGATGATGCAGGTTCCCTTGACCTCAAGCAACACAACATTCGTACAACCTCAAAGCCTGAAACTTTGAAATTTAAAGGCCAATTGATTTCCAAGATTTCTCACAAGAATAGTAATCCAGGCCCGACACATAATAGATTGAAACTTATTTCAACATAAGCACTTTTTGCTTTTCTAGTAGTTCATCAGTCATTTTACAGGGTCATCATAGATACACGGTCCAAGTCTATATTGGTCGGATCTCAAGTAGATCAATCCTCATGTGTCACAGACATATCCAGGACCTCCACTCTGCCCCGTCCGCGAGTCTCATTGCCAACAAAATCATTCAATCCTTTGAAAGCTCCCGGCTCCGCGAATCCAACCACCTCCCACTCGTCACCGCTCACTTCTTGCGACTCGATAGATTCGATGTAGCTCAGAATCTTATCCTTCACGGTACCCGGTGCCTTGGGACCGGTTTCCACCTCCTCACCGCCACCTTCAAGATCAGAATCATCTCCGCCTTTACCAGACTTCTTCGTGCCCTTCTTGTTCTTCTTGTTGGTCTTGGGATTTCCGGCCGGTGCATCTTTCTCTTTGCTCGGAGCAGCACTGGGTGCAGCCTTGACGGACTGTTTCAGGAATGAGACCGGGCAGGTAACACGGAGTCGCATGCGGGCCCGCATCACAGGAATCGGCTGCCAGGCAATGAGCGCCTTCATAGCATCCAGAGCTTGACTCTTGGCAGAACGGGTGGCAGAGACGCCAGTCCAGAGAGGCTTCTTGGGTTGAGCCGGCTTTTCATCGTCTCCGCCGTTGCCATCGCCAGTTGATGGTTGCTGATTTTGTTGACCGCTAGCCGAACTGAGTTGGTCCAGCGCCTTAGAGATCATGCCCGATGTATAGACGCGCTTCGTGTTGGGGTCGACGAGACGACCGGAGACTATGTCTAGTACTTCCTTCTCGACACGCTCGAGAATGTCCTTTCGTTCGCGCTCGCCGACTTGCACTTCGCCTTTGCGCAGGATTTCTTGCAAAATTTCATCACGTGGGGTGTCGGCGCCGAAGGCTTTGGTGAGTTCTGCCGAGGGGGCGGTTTGGGCTTTTGATACGGAAAGAAAGACGGTGGGAACTTGGAGGACGTTGTCAAGGTCTTTCTCGGCGCCGGATCGGTATTCTAGAAGCTTGTTCTTGTAGCAGGCTAGTTCGAAGCGCTTCTTGCCTGGAGTTGAGTATCACTGTTAGTCTCAAGGTTTCGGTCACAAACTTAAGAAATATGTGATTTTAAGCATACCTTTCTTGAGTCGTACGATGGAGACATTGGTGAATTTGATCTGGTTGGAGGGTTGGTTGATCGGCATGGTGGGATGACGCCGCGATAGCGGGGTTGCAGATTAAGCAAAGGGCAGTTCCAATAAAAAGGACGAAGTTAAAAATGAGAAATATATGCGCAAGACTCTGGGGTATCTTCAAGGAACCAACTGGAGGAAAGGCAAAAAAAAAAAGTGGGATGAGATGATATTTGCAAGTTTCCCTTTGCAGCTGGGCAACAGTCATCATTCCCCCTCACTGCCACTAGTCACCGCTCTCATCACCGCCCTGCTGAGTCACCTATCGGGGGCCCGAAAGCGGAGCGGACCAAAGCGGACTAGAGCGAACTGTGATGACGCCCCCCCAAGGTTCCCAGTGCTTGTCCATTGGTGCCCCTTCCCCATCCTCTCCTCATCACTCCTCACGTTGCAGTCCCCTGCATCATTCCATCTACCATCTTTATTGACTTTGTTCCTGTATGTCATTCTATCTCTACTTTCACACTGAATTCTATCCCGTTCCATCCCAACTTTGCCAGACATCCACCCCCAGGTTCCCGAGCGGTTACTGATAAGAGCTGCCGCCTAGATCCAGACCCCCGCTTTCCATCATTAAGCTATTCAGATCGCCATTTACCATCTTTATTCCCTGAACTTCATCCAGAATGAGAGTTATTCCCACCGCACTGCTGGTGGGAGCCGCTTTCGGCGGCCGCCCCGCCCTTCCAGCAGGTCATCGGCTCTCAGAATGAGCAGATGGACAACTGGGCCCAACAGGGTTCTGACCTCTTCAAGCAGGGCCACGATGCTTTCAAGCAGGGCTCCGAGTTCCTCTCCAAGCCCCTGCAGAATCTTCAGGATCAGTTCAAGACACTCTCTGGCGAGGCCCGTCAGCTTTGGCAGGAGGTCGCCGACCACTTCCCCAACAGCATGGAGCAGGCCCCCATGCTCTCGCTGCCCAAGAAGCACAACCGTCGCCCTGACTCTCACTGGGACCATGTTGTCCGTGGCGAGGAGGTGCAGAGTGTTTGGGTCACTGGTGCTGGCGGCACCAAGGAGCGGGAGATTGATGGTAAGCTCGAGGCTTATGATCTCCGCGTGAAGAAGGTGGATCCCAGCGTCCTCGGTGTCGATCCCGACGTCAAGCAATACAGTGGTTATCTTGACGATAACGAGAACGACAAGCATCTGTTCTATTGTAAGTCTAACACCACCAATCTTCTTTCATTGTCCTTAATCTAACTATCCCCAAGGGTTCTTCGAGTCTCGCAACGACCCCGAGAATGATCCCGTCGTTCTCTGGCTGAACGGCGGCCCCGGCTGCTCTTCCCTGACTGGACTGTTCATGGAGCTTGGACCCAGCTCCATAAACGCTGAGATCAAGACTGTTTACAACGACTACTCCTGGAACTCCAATGCCTCGGTGATTTTCCTGGACCAGCCTGTCAACGTCGGTTACTCCTACAGTGGCAGCGCCGTGAGCAGCACCGTCGCTGCGGGCAAGGACGTCTATGCTCTTCTGTCCCTGTTCTTCAAGCAGTTCCCCCAGTACGCTAAGCAGGACTTCCACATTGCTGGCGAGTCCTACGCTGGTCACTACATCCCCCAGTTCGCCTCTGAGATTCTCTCCCACAAGAAGCGCAACATCAACCTGAAGTCCGTCCTGATCGGAAACGGTCTGACCGATGGTCTCACCCAGTACGAGTACTACCGCCCCATGGCTTGCGGTGACGGTGGCTACCCTGCTGTCCTTGATGAGGGTACCTGCCAGTCCATGGACAACGCTCTTCCCCGCTGCCAGCAGATGATCCAGGCTTGCTACGACAGCGAGAGCGCTTGGGTCTGCGTTCCCGCCTCCATCTACTGCAACAACGCCCTGTTGGCTCCCTACCAGCGTACTGGCCAGAACGTTTACGACGTCCGTGGCAAGTGTGAGGATGAGTCTAACCTGTGCTACAAGGGCATGGGCTATGTTAGCGAGTACCTCAACCAGGCCAACGTTCGCGAGGCACTCGGTGCCGAGGTCGACGGCTACGACTCCTGCAACTTCGACATCAACCGCAACTTCCTGTTCAACGGTGATTGGATGAAGCCCTTCCACCGTCTTGTTCCTGGTCTCCTCGAGCAGATCCCCGTCCTCATCTACGCCGGTGACGCCGACTTCATCTGCAACTGGCTCGGCAACAAGGCTTGGACCGAGGCTCTTGAGTGGCCCGGCCAGAAGAAGTTTGCTGGTCTGGAGCTGGACGACCTTGTTATTGAGCAGAACAAGCACACTGGCAAGAAGATCGGCCAGGTCAAGTCCCACGGCAACTTCACCTTCATGCGTCTGTATGGCGGTGGCCACATGGTCCCTATGGACCAGCCCGAGTCCAGCCTGGAGTTCTTCAACCGCTGGTTGGGTGGTGAGTGGTTCTAAGCGCCACGCCATGACATTGCGGTACCCTACTGCATTGTTTTTCCTATCCTTACTCCGGTGGTGTTTGTTTCGACTTTCGATCAGATACAGGATCTGTCGTATGAAGGGTGAAGGAGGATTTAAACTAGCAGATAGTAGTATTTTGCCTCTCGCGAGGATGTTCGCTTATGCAAGTATATAGTGTTTAAGCATTTGAATGAATTTGTTAATTTCAGATATTAAATGTGCCTACTAATACCTAGGTACGTATCGATATAATAGATAACGTAGGCCTTGCCAGTAGTTAACCCGCGATACGTACATATTACCTAGGTAGTGAACATTGGAAGCCAACGCTGGAAGGAATGATATGAGAGCCCTGGAGAATGTCAAGAATATCCGTCATCATGAGACACCTACAGTAATATGTCAATCTTAGATGTACTAGTGATGAAACGGGGGACTTTGGAATGTTGAGCAGCTGCACATGATAGTGTGGAGAGTCTACATGGAAGCCAAGGACAGCTAGACACAACCAGTCGTACTACTGTATTCTACTCTACTCGCAGTAGAGCCGCGCGGGAAGAGGTACGAGGAAAAGCAAATCGGTTCGTTGCATAATGGTATGATTCATTTTCAATTTTTTAGACCGGGTACACCCAGTCCAGCGGGGAAAAGATCCCACGGATGCCCAATAGAAACACACCGACAATAAAGGAATCCCTCCATAAACCCCCCGGAAAACGACGAATAGTTTAGCCCTTCTTCTTGCTGACACCGACGGTGCGACCGCGGCGGCCAGTGGTCTTGGTGTGCTGACCACGGACACGGAGGCCCCAGTAGTGACGCAGACCACGGTGGGAGCGGATCTTCTTGAGGCGCTCGAGGTCGTCACGGAGCTTGGAGTCCAGAGCGTTGGAGACGGCCTGGGAGTCCTTGCCGTCGGTGATGTCGCGCTGTCTGTTCAGGAACCACGAGGGGATCTTGTACTGGGTGGGGGTCTGGAGGATGGTGACGATGCGCTCGAGCTCTTCGGTGGTGAGTTCACCAGCACTAAAGGAGGAATTTTGGTCAGCATTTCTTCTCTGCGAGTGTTCACCAGTATCCATCTGCAAAGTCTCGAGTGGAATCGTTTAAATGTCGTAGTGTGGTGGTGATGGTTTTCGTGTTGTGTGTGCGTGTCGTTTTCCAGATTTGCGAAGTGGCGGAGGGACAAAAAAATCCAGTTGTTCATACAATCCACGTCGGTTGATCCTTGTCGTCTTCTTCCATATTTCACACCCCATTCGAGACATTGCAGGTTGATACCGGTGTAGTTGATCGTAGTCGAAACGTACCGCTTGCTCAGGTCAACATCGGCCTTCTTGCAGACCAAGTTGGAGTAACGACGACCAACACCCTTGATCTGGGTCAGGGCGAACATGATCTTCTCCTTTCCATCGACGTTGGTGTTCAGCAATCGCAGAATGTACTGGAAGTTGCTCTTCTCCCCTGAGACGAGCGCTATTCGAAGAAAGGTCGCATGTTAGCCACTAACGAGTTCTGATCGAGAAATTGCGGCCACAGGGATTTTGTGCATCGCTTGGATGTGGCGGATTGGAAAGAATCGTTGGAATAGGAGGTTTTGGAACGTACACATGATGGGCGATTGGCGCGATGGTATCGCGATGTGTTGTCGACTAGAGGGATGAGAGGTCGAAGTCTCGGGTGACTTGTGTGGGATAATTTGGACACTAGGGCTCGCTTGAATGTCGCGCTAGTCCGAATATGGTTGGTGGATCAGGTGACGGAGATGGGAAATGGATCAGATCACATGATCCATCGACCAGCCCAGGTCATGTGAGGTTTTGTCATTTGGTAATACTCCCTATTATTTTGCAAGGCCATACCGGTATCTTTCATCCTGCCTCAAATCATTACAGCACTGTTTCCTTCCCTTTGCATTTTGGCTCATTTTGTCATTGCATTCTCCATCTTTCCTTGTGTCCTGTATGTCTTCTTTTATTGATTTTTGTTCATTTGTCCCGCGTTGCATTCCCTTCTACCCAGTAGGGTGGTACCGCTTAGTTTCAGCGGGCGAGCTACGGTAATACCACAGATGCTGTGCGGTTGCGTGGCATAGCGCATGGCGACGAGAAGTAAAGTCAAAACTCTGGGAGTGTTGGTGCAAGCTAGTATTGAGTAGTAATTGAGATATTCAAATTGATTAATTTCTCGATTGACATCGAGCTCACGTTCCAAGCCATAAACTTCTGCTCTTCCACCAACAACACTAATGACAGATTTAAATACAATGATTCATAGGTCCCGAGGTCGTCTAAACATATCCTATATATCCCTTGATGAATTTAGTCTAAACCGCGATCTTTCTTTGGGTTTTGGACCAAGTACGCTTCTCATCCTTCAGTGCATGCTTAGCCCAGTAAGTAGTAGTGACCGCCCAGACAGCAGCCCAAATCCACGGGATCGTCCATCCTGCCAAAGGGAAACATAAAGTATCAGTTCAGTTCATTCCGGAGAGATAGAATGCGGCAAGACTCGTCTTGACAGGTAAAGGAAGGGGGGGGGGGGAGACAGGAAATAAGCTTGAAAAGCGGAAGGGCATGAATGATTAACTCACCAAGTCCGAAAGCAAAGGTATTGGTGTGAGCCTTGGAAATTATAGTTATCAAGAGAATGCCCATGACCAGTCCACCAAACCCCCAGAACCAGTTGAGATCTTCCATTAGCTTTTGAAATCGCAAGCTAACTCTATATCTCTCCATCAGAGCTGAGCGGTATAGCCTGCCTCTACCACCATCTACCGCAACGACATCTTCGATAATCGTTAGGATACCTGGGCGAAAGACTGTGCCTGCAGGCATGGAAGAGACTGCAAATGGCTGCCGCAAACCGAGCTTTGCCAGAATTCCGACAATGACCAGGGTGAAGCCGACTTGAACGAGTAAAATACACGGAGGTAAAGCCGCCATGCGCACACTCGGGGGTTCGTGTGTCAAGCCAATCACGATGATGATTGTCACAAGGATAAAACCAAGAAGATAGTTCCAGTGGAAGAAATCGAACTATATCAAAGAAAACAAAAAGATGCGTTAGCAGGTCCTCATCTGTTGTTTCTCCTCCATTTGTGGTAGTGTATTGGATTAGGGAAAATGCGGATAATGAAAAGAGACAATAGAGAGAAAGAGTGGGGTGAGACGCGGAAGGGACATATCCCAAGGAAACAGAAACTTGGAGAAACATACATGCCAGCGGCTTTCTGACGTGGCAGGTCGGCAGTTTGATGTCGGTTTGAGTAGTTCCCATGTTCGCATGCCCAGCGAAAACAAGGTTGACACTCCGAGTACAGCGCTAGCCACACTCAAGGCTAATTTTGAGATTGCTTAGAATCATTCCATCTCATAGAGACAGAATCATATAGGAAAACGATAGAAACACATACCAATTTTGTCTTCCAGGTGTGCCGCCCAGTGTAAAGTTGGATAAAGTACCAATGGAGCTATGCAGGATGTGAGCAATATGAAGCCCCAATTCAAGGCTATCTTGAGTTTGTGCTCATGGAGATCAAGAGGCAAGGAAGGGAGGCCCTCGAGCTCCATTAACTGATGATCGTCCCGTCCAATCATACTATGGCCTTCACTTTCGTTTGAGATCAAGTCACTGGAGGGCATATTGAAAGATATAGCAGATTGAATTTCCCGGGAGTACATAGTCACTAGCAGTACCAGTGCCGTACGGGTTGGCTTTTATATTTGATCAAGACGGTACCCACAACAACTATTTACATGCTAGCAATGCGATGTTATGCTAGTGGCTTCCAAAAATGACATCTGTCGCGTTTGCGGCTCGCACCAGCTGAACCTTTCTCGCTCGGAATTACTTGAAACTGTAGCCGGTGCTTCTATTAAAGGCAACTTGAACTGCGAAGACACGAGGTGGGAACTCAGCCCTGCCAGACTAAACTCGTTTAGGGAATATCCTGCGTAGACCGACAAAAACTCTATAGTTTATCCCGGCTAGCTAGATCGATGAAATTGGGGCCGTCAAAGAATCGGACACTGTATTTCCCTTCCGCCCCCACGTCTGTTATGGCGGCACTCCACCATAAAAAAGTAGCATGGTGCAATGAGTATGTGCTTTCACCCATTTGGTATAAGGTTGCGAGATGTTAACCTTCACCAATTGCAGAGATCTGCACAATGCTCGTTAATGGCTCAATCATGTTTTTCCCAAGTATCTGGTCGATCTCGAGCTCATCATAGTTGGCTTGTTAGGAACTGACGCTAGACTTAATATGGAACCAATTTGCGCCAGGCTTGGGCTTGGCAGGTTGATTGTGGGGCAGGCAATAGTCCCCTTACCATAAAGCTTTCTCAAATAATTTGCATATTCTTCTTTGTACGGAGTATAACCAACAAGGCTGAGTCCGTGAGGGCGGTAAGTGTGCTGGCGAAGAAAGGATGTGCTGGGTCATTTGAGTCCCTCTCTCCTTTTCGACCAAGGCTCTCTAAGAACATACTTGGATTTGATTTCTCCTTCTACAGTCATAAATTGGTAAATACAGCTAAGCCACTACAAGGAATTTCATTGTTATGTTGGAGGTGGGGCAGGGTTTTCAGCAGCTAGAGAAATTGTGGCTTTGGCTTAGGTTGGTAGTTTACTTGCAGGAAGTCGTACATAGTATCATTCTCAAATTCTCGGGAATACCGACGAGGATTGTTCTATCTACCTAGATACTATCAGAGTAAGCAGGGCGCCTAAGCTCTTGTCACTGCCAATTTTTATGTGGCCCCGAGCACGAGTGCTCATATGCCTAATAATCTGGAATACTGTGTGGATTGATTGGTGCCAATTACCGTAATTTCGGAGCTTTCCAAGATTGAAGCTTGATAAGGTCGGGAAACTGAGAGACTTCAAGTGGGACATGGTATTGGCCAGGGTGGGCGGACGGGTAGGTGAAGAATTTCCTTTTTTGAAGAGACAATTGCGAGGTAAATATCGATCCTACTACTACTAGTACGTATATCACAGATCTGAATCATATTCATCCAATGGGAAGTAGTATCCTTCACATGTATCCATCTGATTCATGTATCCTGCCAAGGGGCTTGTCACTGACCATTTCCACCAGCTAGTGACCTGCTCAAGACCTTTTCTTTCCAGCAATTCATCTAGATCCAAGTCTCCTATTGGTGATTTTAGACCGCGTATCAAGTCCCACGTCCATGTATCCTGACCGAATGAGTCTGAAAGCTCACAAGGCATATGTTCAGTATGCCAAGTATCGAAAACAATATTCGTTTCCAGATTCGCGCGCTCGAACGCTGCTCTGTATTGAGAATCGTTTATCTCACAAGGGTCCGGATCCGAGTTATAAGATATATCGAATTGCTTGGAATACGTTTGGTAATGGCCCCAGACGATTCGGAAATAGAAGAACTGTTCGGCCTCTTCAGCAGATCGAACAACTAAATCGAACAATGTGCTCATCCGAAGGCCATCCCCACAATTTCCCAATGGAAGCTTATATCTTTGCAGGGTAATCCTGTTATCAAAGCTAAGACTGCGGTCAATCCATTGCAAGGTCAAAACTGGAGGCTGTTGCACCAGCATGCGTCGCCAGCTTGCTTTTGGCCCAAGATACTTCTTCCTCCTGTCGAGAAAATCTTGCATATCTCCAGCTCCATAAGCCATGGCACAGGATTTGATATTATCGTCGGGAAACCAGTAAGGGAAATTTGCTGCCAGCAACGGGTTATGACGTGGTATTTGACATCCTGGTAGAATCGGGTTCGCTGGCTGGAAGAAAAGGTCTTGCTGGATTGCAGAGGACTGTCGGATGCAGTCGGCCCATCGCCGACATACTCGCTGCGCGAGCAGAACGGTCTTTTCGTCTCCAACCCCTAGCAGAATCGCCTCAAGTAGCTCTGGGGGTACATTCTCTAAACCCATGCTTCATTAACCTTAATGTCGCTCTGTGACCTATCGCGAAGTCGTGGCAATTTTCGACATAATAAAAGAGTCACTGCGCGCTTGGTTGGGAGATTGTTGACACGAAATCACAAGCACGGTTGGTGCTAACCCCTCCAGGGCTAGTTCGGACCAGCAGCTTCGGCTCCAGGCAGTTTGGTAATATTACACAGACCAACAGGAACATATATCCGACCCACAACAATGATGGGATACATAGAATTTATGTACCCATCCCTGGAGTCTGATTTTCAAATAATAAAAAAGTGCAAAAGATTGCGCTCATTTCTCCGGACATGTCAAGGTCACGCGGAGACGCCTCGCCTCACTAGGGTAAAAGACGAGTTTCAACGACCGCACGACACAAGCTCTTAATGGAAGATACCCCAATTTATCTTCCGATGAGCTTTATCTCCAGCTTGGAACACTACCATGATTCTTGAAGTGCATGGCTTAGCTTCTTCCGGATCAGCAAAAAGTTCTCATCTTACCAGCCGTGGAGTCCTTCCAGACCGGTCCCTCGATGTTCGATGTTTCTTTCACAGGTCGCAGAACAGTTCCCTTTCGCTAATTATGGTAATCAATTTAAACTTAATTGATTTTAAAAGAAGACTTGAGATGAATGGACTACTGTGACTCATTGTGTCAAAGAAAATGAACAGATGCACCCACACCATGACTGTCATGCGGTTCCTTTGACTCGAGTAAGCTCTTTGACTCGACATAAAGGAATCCTCGCCCCCCTCGTCATGCCATGAATTTACTTGAACACTCTTCCCACCCCCCCAATACGTTGTCAAACCTGAAACCAACTCCATTTTATGATTTGAATATGGAAGATGAGCCCATTCAATACGGCCGGGTTCAAATCCCCCACGGCTTTCCCAAGGAAGAGGATTACAATCCACCGCCTGCTCCTTCGCCCTATTACGACTTGTGGTTACTTCCAGACCCTCCGCATGATGCAAAAGTTTGTTTCAACCGCGCATGGACGGCCTTTGAAAATGATCGCGCATTGTCCAGAGGCGTTTTGGAGACTCTTGCGAAACACCACTTCTGGGGTATCGACTGGCACCATACCGACAGAATGAAGAAAAGTGTCATTCTTAAGGGCCTTTGGAAGCTTTTCTACCATATGCCGGAACGTAACCGGCCTCAGACCTTGGGCGAGCTGGTTGATCTTGGCCGGGATGCTGGCCCTCGACTCTTAGGATACGAACCACGCACTCCAGACCCTAACAATTTGCAATACGCCTCGGGAGATAGGCTAAATAGGGCCTTTAACGATGCAACAGGAGCCGCTAGGCCTATAGCTCCACCCCAGCCTGTCAGTATCCAACACCCCCGTATGCCTCCTGCGATGCAGGATGGTGGTAGTTACGACCCACCATTCTGTATGCCGGAGGATGCAAAAAAACTTGGTTTACGTCCAAGTCATGTTCGGCAGTATCTTTTCCCGCTATACAAGATGATGCTTCCCGAACATCCCTGGACTCCCCTAGACCCCGAGAATATTCCAGAGGTGAAGCGCGAAGCTCCAGTGCGGCGAGAGGTGCTGATTTCACGGATCCAACAAACCTCAGAGGTCAATGAATTTGATATCCCAAGACTGAGTGATGGCAATCCTCCTTCTAGTAATTTCCCGCCACTTCCCAGACCAAGTTACGCTACCGAAAAAGAAGTCAATGTAGCGATTGTGGAGGCTTTGATGAAACTCACTTACCATGAGCTTCAGCGGCATGAGACTGCACCAACCCGTGGCATGGCACCATTCTTCCTTGCTGAAAACTCCGCAGATTTAGACATTATCCAGGTTTATATGGGGTCTAGGGTTTCCGAGGTGAACATTGACCTCGAAACCCTTGAGATTAGTGCCTTCGGGACGGTATGCCAATATAGGGGTCAAGGCCCGGTGATGGGATCTGTACCTTCTGCGTCCATTGACACCGTCATTGTTGTGGGAATGTTAACCGAAGTCGGCTGCACTGCCATAGATCGTTATGGGGGGCGACATCAATTTTTTGATGACGTTGAGATGGCCTTCATCGAGGTGACTAACATGAACTGGGATTGCATGAGTGCTGAACTCTCCGCGGAGCTTCGCGATTCCTTCTTCCGAAAGCTACACACCAATTATCCCGCCTTTGGAATGGGGCAAACTATCCCTCCTTGGGCGGCATGGGCGAAGCTGACGAGAAACTTTGCGCAATTTCAATACACATTTCAAGATCGCTCTCATTACTGTGCGTGCGAAGGCAAGGCCTACGAGGACAGCCCTGTCACCATTGGCAACTGCCTTTTACCCCCTTTTCAGCCAGAGGACCGCAATGGTGTTACTCCAGGTGCTCTGGTTAGTCGGAAATTAGGGGTTGAACATAAATGGGGCTGTGAAATATGTAACTTGACAAGGGGCGAAGGAAGTATCACTGAACGGACTATAACCAGACTTCCGCCCCGGCTGTCCTTGTTGACCAACTCTGAAACGCGCCTTGTTGATCACACGGCTGAATTCACTTTCGAATATCGCGGTTCGAATGGCATGATTGAGGAGGCCAGGTATCGATGGCTTGGGGGAATCTATCACTGCGATGGACGGCTTCGGGTTTATTGGACCGACGGGGAGCCAGGTCATACAGATCCTAGGACTATGCGTGGATATGACCCCATCAGTAAAGAAGGCATTATTGCCGGGTCGATTCCCTCAGCCAGCAATGGTCGAATTCCATCTGACTGGCTACAGTCAACTATCCCACTGCTGATCTATGAGAGAGTCATCGATCCGCCCAAGACAAGTTTGCTTTTCTGGGGAGCCCACATCACGCATATGCTGAAGAATATCAATGAAGGGCGGCCTGCTCTCCATTCTCATACCCTGCCTGTTCGTCGACGCCATCTTCCAACTAAAATGCACAATGATCGCCGATTGCCTAGCCTCGGTGATCGGTGCTTCGAAGTTCGTCGGCCGGATCCAGGGACCCAGCTCGAACTGAATCCTTCGATCGGAAATTCAGAATTCAATCTCTATTCTTTGATGAAGGTGAACCCATTCCACTCGGTCATCCCGATTCTCTTTCAAGCTGTAGCCAAGTACCCTTTGCCAAAAATGCCTCCGGGTGTCGCGCCAGAATTGCCAGTCTACCCCTTGCCTATTCCCGACGAAACCTTCGACTCGTTATTGAGTAGTCCGGATATTTACTTTCAGAATCCGCAAACATGGTCATTGGGCCCTATGGAGGTACGAGAGCGCAGTGCTGATCCCAAAGATGAGGAAGATTGGGCAGGTTTACAAGATTGGCTTGAGTACGGCGAGCAGCCCCCAGCGTCACTAGTTCCACAAGCCCCACAAGGCAGGGGAGGAAAAGAAAATGATACACAAGTAGACAAGTTGGCGGAAGCACAACAGGCAGAAACAGAAGCCAAAGAGAAGGCACAAAAAATGGCACAGGAGATGTGGTTGCAGTGGATCAACTTCAGCCCGACTCAGTCTCGGAAATCCAGCACGGACAGTAATAAATACGTTCAGCCTCAAGAGAGCAATAAAACACATATAGGTGGGACCTCGGTCGTACCCCGTTCAAGGAGAAGAGGAGGAGAGGATGCAAGGGTTCAGCAAAGAGGGACCAAAGGCCACGGAAAGAAGAGGTGACATGTAGGGTTAGAGGATATGATGAGTTATCTGTGACTGACTCAATAGATTCTTCAGGCTGTCTAGTAATTTCAAGAGTTCGGAGTACACAAGTTAGTATGATATAATTCCTATTTTATTATTAATGGAATTAATAAGGTAACAATAGTACATACTTGATACCTCCACTTTACAAGTCCGGGGCATTCTGGGGCAGCCGAACACCAATCAGAGGCCTGCCATTAGGCAGAAAGTGTATGCGCCTTCATTACAGGGTATAGCTAGTATAACTAGTATAGTTAACTGTTTCACAGTTACAGTGTAGTAGTATTCGTCCTTCCACGGAAACCCCCGCTTTCTCCTGCCTACCCCGGACTTCTGTCTTCCCCCTTCTCTTCTCTTCCTCTTCCTCTTCCCCTTCCCCTTCTTTCATCCTCATCTATCCTCCATCATGGAACCAGTCCCCCTGCTACGCATCATCTCACTTAATACTCGTCTACTCCCTACTCCTACTTGAATCATTTTCATCACTAGGAACAGTGTGAGGTATCTTTCGCTCATGGTCTATGATTATTTACAAGTTCGGACCCAGCCAATATACCCGCGGCCCAGATCGATTAACAAAAAGGGGAATTCATCCAATGCCAAACAAACATCACAAAAACAGAAAATCAAAGAGAGCATCACCCACACGGCCCTCTACAGACGAGCCCGAGGTTCGCCCTTCTTCGGACCGGTGGCAGTATTGCTCTTCTTAGGCGCAGAGACATATCCACCCAGCTTGTTGTCGCTGTTGGTGATGACACCCTGCGCATCACGCTGGATACCCAGTTCAACCAACTTTGCAAACACCTTGGAAAAGTGATCGAAGAACAGGTCCTTATCTTTGGCATAGGCATGTACCCAAGGTGCAAAAGCCGGGTCAGTCTTCAGCGCCATGTCGGTCGGCAGCATCATCAAAGGCTCCTCATCCTCGTCCGCATCAGGATCCTCATACACAAACTGGGTCATACCCGTTGAAAGCTTGCGGGGCTTCCAGTCTAGCGTCAACAACAACTTGAAGAACGAGTTCGAGAAGCGCGTTGGGTTGGTGACCCAGGGTCCCTCGAATCCACTACGGTCGCCGTGGCACCGACCGAGGTTGTGACCGCCAGCCAGCGCAACAATCTCTTGATCGTTGAAGCCCATACGGCCAAAGATGAACCGCAAGTGGTCGGCGCCCAGAGCACCGTCGGGCAGTCGACCCCGTGGGGGGACCTTCGAGTCGTCCACCAGATCAGTACGTCCACCTTGCCAGGGAATCTCCGGACCACCGAGTTCCTTGATTGCGACTACGCCCGCCAGTGTCCACAGATCCGAGTATGTGATCCAAGGGTGCTTTTCCTTGATCGGCTCCAGGAAGGCCCGGCCGTGCTGCAGGCCCGCATTGGCTGGGTCGCCACCCTCGGCTTCATAGCGCATACCGGCGCCATTTGAACCGCCAGTGTCAGATTCAAGGTCATAGGTTCCGGAGGAGTGCCTGTTCACATAATATATCGTTAGCGAAAAAGGTTCGTTGCTGATTACTTCCGTCGCTAGGATTCCAATTGCCGCCAACCAAGTTCACAACCTCTCCCCGAAATAAGAAACTGGGATTCACGTACCATGCCAACCGGACGAATACTGGTCCAGCGCTGCCGTCATCATAGTCGGGCTTCTTCAGTTGAGCGACGATGTCCTTGCGGACCGCCTCATAGTCGTGCACGCTACTCATTCTCGGCCGATAACCGCGGTTCGGGATGGTGTTTGTAGTTGGGTTTTGGTTTGGGATGCTTTTCTCGAAGGCAACGGCGAATGGTTGACAAACAACAGTTGAAACCACGGAAGAGGTGAAGAGGGAAGATAAACTGGGAGAAGAGGGAGAGAAATGGTGAAAAGAAAGGGTCCTCAGTCTGGAGTCCTCCCACATGAAGGCCCAGAGAGAGGAAGTGGAGCACCCGGCCGAATCAGCCTGCGCGTTATTCGGCGGCCGCAATGCCGAGGTCCCTTCTCGGGCTTCGATAGCCCGTCTATCAGTGGTTCCCATGGCCTCTCCCCATTTCCCCGTGTCAGCGTACCGTTCGCTGCTTCGGATTCGAAAGATAGCGAAATATTCCGATTTTCGGCCTGTCTCGTGGAATTCATCATCCAATCCTGACGGGTTTTTTCGCACACCATCATGGACCTGCGTCCTGAATGAGAGTGCGGGACGGTCCAGCCGAATAAAGTCATTTTCCCCGTTCAAATTCCGTCGGCGATGAATCTGAATACCGGAGAGTACCTCGGAACTTGGAAGCCGATATCGAGTCCCGTGACTGTCACCCTTTCCCACGGGGTTTTTCGCATATGGAGGACCCATTCTCGCTCCGCTTTCATTTTTTCTGCTACTAATTACTCACATTTCATTGCTCAGCTGTTATTTTCGTTAGGATTTTGTGGAAACCGCGTGGCGGAGATCTTAACTCTGCTATGTACTGAGCTGCCTGGATCACGCCAGACTGCCCGATGCTCAACTAATGATCTAAATAGCCATCACCGACACTAATTTAAGCTCTAGAAACACTAAAATATTTAATGCTTGATTTTGAAAAAATAAAAATAAAAATAAAAAACCACACTATCCATGTCAGAAAAGCCTCTTATCGCAGTAATAAGGCCCAGCTTTTGAACTAGATGCTTGCTAACCACCTGGGCACCCCTAGTGCAGAGGTTAATTCAACTTGCAATTGATTAGTAGCTTCCCATGAACACCACAATCTCTACACAGAACAATGGGACAGATCAGCAGAAGAATTAGAATGACTCGGATTGCTAGAGAAAAGCCACCTACGAGATTCGAAGTGAATCTGAATATGGCGAAGGTAACTATACAACAAAATCCAATTCCACATCCCGCCTCCGATCTCCATCTCCGTTTCCGTCCGCAATCTCATAATGACCAAATATTTCTACTTCAGGTGTCGTTTCCCCAGGTCCTTCATGTTTTCGACCGAGGCCTCGAGTCAGGATATCCCGCTCCTGTGTAACATAGGATAACCTCATCCTAAGCACTCTTGCTCTATCACGGAGTCTTTCCACTTTGACTTTATAAGCTTGCGCCAGAGAACGAGTTGAAAAATGAAGTTTTCTATACTCCTTTATCGTACGGTGCTCTTGCACCCGCAAGCGCCGAATCTCCTCCTTAAGCCTCTGTTGCTGTGCGATATTCTGCTTGCAGATCGTTCGGGCCACATCGTATATTGGCTCTGCGCTCGATGAACTGAGTGTACCTTGATTTAGGTGCTGACCTATGCTGGAGAATGTTCTCTGGATGTCTAGTGCGATCGAGCGGAGGAGGTGTATTTGGTCGCTTTTAGATAGGGAGTGGAGGTTTTCGAGGCGGCTTGTGCAGGGGCCTTTTGCTGGTACAGTCATTGCGGGATGAATTGTAGACTGGAGGTCAGTTGTAAAGAGGAAATGGGGGATATTGATATTGCGGTTCTCTGTATATGTACTAGTAGAGATGGCCAAATTCTGGGGCATTGATCAAATAATGATGGGCTTAATCGATGAATGTGCGACAAAGGCTATGATATAAGAAGGAAAGCCCCAGACATTCCCAGTGTCTCACGGGAACTACTACCTACCTAGGATTAGGAGCAATGTAAGTCATGTTGATGCAACGCCCCGTCTTCTTTGAGGGCAAAGATTGCCATTCCGCGGATGGCAACCTCACTTTGCTCTCACTTTCTTTGAAACTGAAAGGAGATCATGAACAATCGGACATAGCTCTATGCACAGTCCTAATTCTTTATCTTTCAATTCAATTGCGACATTCATCTTCCACCGTGATTCATCTTTGTAATATGCGTTGATCCATTTTGAATATATTCCAAATCATCAAAGTACAGTATTTTTAGCGATTTCTCTGTCTTGAATATTGCTATTGACTCTCTTATTTACTATATCTCTATTGCAGGTTCAACTCTCTTTACAAAGCAGCTACGATAGCATCACCGACCTCCTTGGTTCCCACCTTTCCTTTCAAATCAGGAGTTCGAACACCTGAATCAAGGACCTTCCGAACAGCATCTTCGACCCGCTTTGCTTCAGCCTCCATGTTTAATGAGTAGCGAAACATCAAAGCGACGCAAAGAATCATCGCGACGGGGTTAGCAATATTTCTCCCCGCAATACTTGACAATGGTTAGCGATGTTTATTGTTGGTATATCTCCATATTTCGAAATACTTACTCTGGAGCTGAACCGTGAGTAGGCTCGTACAATCCGTACGGTCGCGTCTTCAACGCCTTGTCGCCGGGTAGACCATTCAGACTGGCACTGGGAAGAACTCCCAAGGTTCCAACAATCGAGCCGGCTTGATCGGAGAGCATGTCGCCAAAAGTATTGTCGGCCAGAATGACGCCGTTTAGGGATCGCGGGTTCGTCGCCATTATAAGTGAGGCTGAGTCCGCAAGCTGATGGATCAGCTTCACTTGCGGGTACTCGGTCGTGATGGTCTTCTCTACTACACGGCGCCAGAGACGGGATGAGGCGAGGACGTTGGCTTTGTCCAGGGAGATGACGGGCCAAGGGGGGGTCGTGGCGAAGGGCCACTTCTGCGGACAGCCGGGCGACACGCTGGATTTCTTCTTCGGAGTAGCCCCATTCATCCATTGCTGAGAATGGTGAGCATGTGGGGAAATGAGATGGGGATGGAGCTTTTAACGGGTATCACGCACCATATGTTGGTTCTTCAACCTTTCGTCCAAAGTAAGCACCTCCACAATTCTCTCTCACGACGACGAAGTCAACGCCCTCAATGATCTCTTCTCGGAATGGACTGAACTCCTTTGCGATGGACGGACTGGGCGAAGTCGCAGAGCAAGGACGCAGGTTTGCATAGATATCCATTGCCTTGCGCAGCTGGAGTAGTCCACCTTCCGGCCCATCAAGACCACGACGAGCTCCATCCCACTTGGGTCCACCAACGGCAGCAAATAGCACCGCGTCTGAATCCAATGCAGCTTGTTTTACCTCTTCGGTGACCGGCTTGCCTGTGGCATCGATGCTACATCCTCCAATGAGCTCGTGTCGTAGTTGGAACTTGCGTTGCGGAGTTTCGAATGCTTGGAGGACCTTTACAGCCTCGGCCATGACTTCGGGGCCAATGCCGTCGCCTGGTAGGACGAGAATGTGGTGTGTTTGCGCCATGGTGATGAAGGCTTTATCCACAAACTGGTATCGTATTTTAAGATCAGACGATGAATTGTGTGGGAAATACTAGTATACTGAGGATGTGTTGCATCAGTACTTATTACGGAGTACTATGTCGTCCTATATCGGCGACTCGGTCTTTCGCCCGACTAATGCGGGGTTGGGGATACCTCGGGCATTTTCCGGTCTGACATTCTCCGATATAGGAGGTGTATAACCTTAATTTCCGGATATTCTTGGCTTATATTTTGGTCTTTTAGCTCAGTATACATATGAGAGTTGGCCATTGGTGTTTGGTGAGTCCATTGGTACAGAGCGGGGAAACTGACGATGATATTAGAGGTACCTGCGTTTGGTATGTCAGATGTAATACGAGCATTCTAGATACAGTAGTCAGTCGTGCATGAATGAATGCATCCTGCTTCGCATTCTTGTTTTGCCGATTACAAGTACTAGTATTCTACTCGTGGATACAGTAGTATTCTTATACTATTACCAGTTACTAGTTTATTTGGCTAAATATTACCAGTAGTATTAATAGTATACTCCAGGGCTTCCGAGATCTTCGAGATTTAGAATTTTGAGGAAATTATTATAAGTTCATTGTTGGCGAAGAGGGTAGTTTAGTACATAGGTATTGAGCACAAAATCTGTATGCAGATCTTTAAGATTAGGATAGACAGAAGCACCATTTTGTCGGACAAAACCTAGACCAAAATGACACTCTCAATTCACTGAACAACAATTTCTAGATCCGAAGAGTCTAGGAAACCCGGTTGGCCAGAGAGTCGATTCTGCCAAGAGACAATTGTTTTTTGGAGTGGATCTTGATCATAGTTATCCATCGATGTCCATTAGATCTTCATCACAGATATTAGCCGAGTCCGAAGGTGAAATGGAGTATAATGGAGGCGCCGATGTCAAAGGTGATGTATGTGATGTATCGTTTGAATGGGAAAGCTGTTGCAGTTGAGTCTTTTTGGCCCTGGCTCTGGCTCTTGACTCTATTATCGCCCTTCTTACGCTATCTTGCTCTCTCGGCACGGAAAGCGAGGATGGATCGGAGTAAAGAACCAGCTCCTTCCCTTGTTTGGAATCATCTGAAAGGACGGAATCGGGTACGGCGAGCATACGCTCTGCTAGAGGCAAGAGGACTAAAGCACCGGGCGGGGAATCGGAATCAGCCAATTCTCGATCTAGGTCGTATATATAGGTGGTGTGTTCTGTGTCGTCTAGAAGCATCGACTCATTTTCATTGCCTTGGACCTGTGGGTAGACTGGAAGGGGCGTTGAATTTGGAGTTGAAGTTGTCATTGAAGTTGAAGTTGGATCCTCGTGGTATCTGGCCCGAGCACCGGGGCTCGGCGGAACATTGTCTGCGGGATAAGAGATATGTCAATTGATGATTTGATCGCAACGCAGTCGTAACCATAGTCGCAACCCCAACGTGAAAGGGAGAACATACCTAATTGAAGTTGATTAAATCTCTTGGTTAGTGGTTGCGCGCCATCTGGGTCACCCTCTGCGGCGCGCTTTTTGCCGTGCTGGGATCTTTCATCACTCCGCGCCATCCACAACGACCCCCTGTTCTGGTTATTGAACACGAAGCAGGCAACCCAAGATTAAAGGATAACGTGTGAGTGAGTGATTGAGTGAGTATTTATGGGTGTGTGTATTTCATTGGAAGGATAGGTAGCTCGAATGTGGGTTGGGTCTGGAGTTCAAGTTGTCCAGAGGAGGGGGGAACTGGCTTTGACCTTGACTCATCTTCCCTTTGCGCGCCAACTCCAACTCCAAATTCCCAGAACCTTCCATCCTCGCTTTGTCCACTCTCCCACAACCAAGCCACCAACGCTTACCAGGATGGCTTCTGACAATGGTCCTGAATGGACCGCCCCCAAAGTTCGAGAGACTTTTCTCAACTATTTCCAGGAGAATGGTCATACTTTTGGTGAGTGACCCCGCGATCAGCCCCTCCTTCTCGTTACCTACGCCACCCTCCCCCATTTTGCACACGACATTTACTGATCAGAGGTTGCTTGCAATTTTTAGTCCCCTCCTCGGCCGTTGCGCCTCTATCCGACCCAACCCTTCTCTTCACCAATGCTGGCATGAACCAGTTCAAGTCGATTTTCCTCGGTACCGTTGACCCGCAGTCAGACTTTGCGAAACTAAAAAGTGCGGTGAACTCGCAGAAGGTTAGGATAATCCTGGGATATGATTTCTTTGATGAGCATTACGCTGACATTCCCTTTCTCTATTAGTGTATTCGTGCCGGTGGAAAACACAATGTGAGTAGGACAAGATCATTTTTGATCATGGATCTGTGGTAAGGTATGGTTCAGTTTGTTGACCTCCAGCGCTCTAGGATCTCGACGATGTCGGCAAGGACAGCTACCACCATGTGAGTATTGGCCCACCGAGTCTTTATAGTGACCATGATCATAGCCATGACTATCTAGATCTCAAATCTAACCTTATGCGCCAATCTTAGACCTTCTTCGAGATGCTCGGTAACTGGAGTTTCGGCGACTACTTCAAAAAGGAAGCCATCAACTACTCGTGGACTTTGCTCACCAAGGTCTATGGCTTGCAACCCGACCGCTTATATGTCACCTACTTCGAGGGTGATGAGGCCAGTGGCGTGGAACCTGATCTGGAGGCAAAGGAGCTATGGTTATCCGTGGGTGTTCCAGAGGCCAACATCCTCTCGGGCAACATGAAGGATAATTTCTGGGAAATGGGTGACCAGGGTCCCTGCGGTCCTTGCAGTGAGGTGCACTATGACCGCATCGGTGGCCGAAATGCTGCCCACCTGGTCAACATGGATGACCCCAATGTGCTGGAGATCTGGAACAACGTCTTCATCCAATACAACCGCGAGGCAGACCGCTCCCTGCAACCTCTCCCCAACAAGCACGTCGACACTGGCCTAGGATTCGAGCGTCTGGTTTCCATCCTGCAGGATAAGTCGTCCAACTATGATACCGACGTCTTCACACCCATCTTCCAGACCATCCAAGATACCACCGGAGCTCGGGAATACCGCGGCAAGTTCGGTGCCGATGATCCCGATGGAATTGATACCGCTTACCGCGTCGTCGCGGACCACGTGCGAACTCTCATGTTTGCCATCTCCGATGGTGTCGCCCCTAACAACGAGGGTCGTGGCTATGTCATCCGTCGTGTTCTTCGCCGAGGAGCTCGCTTCGCTCGTAAATATTTCCAGGTCGAGATCGGTAGCTTCTTCTCCAAGCTCGTGCCCACTGTTGTCGACCAGCTCGGGGAGATGTTCCCCGAGCTGAAGAGAAAGCAGCAGGATGTTATGGAGATCCTGGATGAGGAGGAATTGTCATTTGCGAAGACTTTGGATCGGGGTGAGCGTCAATTCGAACAATACGCCCAACAGGCCAAGGTCAAGGGCGATGACAAGCTCCACGGCGCGGATGTTTGGAGACTTTATGACACTTTCGGTTTCCCTGTTGATCTGACCCAAATCATGGCTGAAGAGCGTGGTCTTCGCATCGACAATGATGAATTCGAAGAGGCACGCCTCAAGGCCAAGGAAGCCAGCAAAGGACAGAAGAAGGCGGCCGCAAGCACCGTGAAGCTTGATGTCCACGATATCAACAAGCTGGAGAAAATGAGCGGTGTTACGAAGACAGATGATTCGGCCAAGTTTGGCAGGGAGAACATCACTGCCCATGTCAAGGCCATTTACCATGGAAGGAATTTCCATGAGAACACCGATGCTATCCCCGAGGGCGAGCAGCTTGGATTCGTCCTCGATAAGACCAATTTCTATGCTGAGCAAGGTGGCCAGGAAAGTGACGTCGGCAAGATTGTCATTGACGGCCAGGCTGAGCTGGAGGTTGGTGATGTCCAGACCTATGCTGGATACGTTCTCCACACCGGTTTCATGAAGTATGGTAAACTGTCCGTGGGTGACTCTGTCATCTGTGAATACGACGAACTCCGCCGCTGGCCGATCCGGAACAACCACACCGGTACTCACATTCTCAACTTTGCGCTGAAGGAAGTTCTCGGCGATGGGGTGGACCAAAAGGGTTCCCTTGTCGCAGCGGAGAAGCTCCGATTCGATTTTTCACACAAGGCTGCGGTTTCCGACGCCGATCTGGAGAAGATCGAAGCAAAGGCTACTGAGTATATCCGTCAAAACTGTGCCGTCTATTCCCAAGAAGTCCCCCTTGCCACTGCCCAGCAAATTTCTGGCGTCCGAGCCGTTTTCGGCGAAACCTACCCCGACCCTGTTCGCGTTGTCTCTGTCGGCGTCGAGCTGGAAGAAATCCTGCGCGATGTGAAGGACCCCCGCTGGAAGGAGGTCAGCATTGAGTTCTGCGGTGGAACCCACGTCCAAAAGACCGGCGATATCAAAGACCTGATCATCCTGGAAGAGAGCGGAATTGCCAAGGGAATCCGTCGCATTATTGCCGTCACCGGCGAAGAGGCCCACGAGGTCCAGCGCCTGGCCCAAGAATTCGGCCAGCGCCTGGACCGATTGGATGGCCTGGCTCTTGGAGCCGAGAAGGAGCGTGAAGCCAAGCAAATCCAGGTCGATCTCAACCAACTAGTGATCTCCGCCGTTCAGAAGGCGCGCTTCCGTACGCGTTTCACTGCTATTAACAAGCAGGTCCTTGATGGACAGAAGGCTCAGCAGAAGCTCGAGGTCAAGCAGGCCGTTGACGCCATCAACGCCCACTTCCAAGACCCGGAGAACAAGGATTCCTCATCGTTTGTTGTGAAGCTTTCCAACCCAGCTAGCGCGAAGGCTATTAGCGAGTCTATCAACCACGTCAAGTCGAAGTTGCAGAACAAGAACGTCTATGTCATGGCTGTTGACTCTGAGCAAACTCGTGTTGCTCATGGCTGCCATGTGTCTAAGGTGAGTGACCCCATACAAACAAACAAGCTTTTAGTTTCTTGAACCGACGCTAATATTTGATCTTTTAGGAACTTGGCGACCAAGGTGCATCGGCCACAGAATGGGCCGCTGTCGTTTCCGGCGCCGTTGGAGGCAAGGCTGGAGGTAAAGGAGCAACCTCTCTTGGAAACGGTACCAACCCGGGCAAAGTCGATGAGGCTGTCGCGCTTGCGACTGAATATTTGAGCAAATTCAAGTTCTAAATTGGTTTGGTTCGATAATGGCAATATGCAAAGCAACATGTTACTCTAGGGGTATACATTCCATTCTATTTTCGAGAAATATCAAAATTGGGAGGCAAAAAAAAGTCTTGAGGTTTTCGAATGATTTCCTGTGTCTCGGTGGCCGAGATGGCCAGGATTGCCAGACCAAGGTCTTGGTGGCGTTTTATAGGCAGGATAGATCAGATGTTTGGCATCCCATGAAGATGTATTCCATTTCACAATTACCGCCTGTAGTTTTTTTCTTCTCTTCTTCTTCTCCTTCTTCTTCTTCTCTCTCTATGGCTATTTACATCTCTCCACACTGCACGATAGAAACATCTTGGTTCGGCTTATCTCTGGTAGTACGTGTGTGTTCAATCATACGAACCACGTCGAGTCCATCAATGACTTGGCCGAAGACAACATGTTTGTTGTTGAGAAATGGAGTTGCGGTAGTTGTGATAAAAAATTGGCAGCCATTGGTGTTTGGGCCAGAGTTCTGCTCAAGTCAGTACATGCAATGCGGGTCAATAATATGAGGAGAGATTGAGGAGTGAAGAAGAGACGGGGGATTGGATTTGCTTACAGCCATACTGAGCAGACCAGGACGATCATGTGTGAGTTCGAAATTTTCATCAGCGAATTTGGGAGTGCCGTAGATGGTACAACTTCCCGTGCCATCACCGTTGATGAAGTCACCACCTTGGATCATGAAATCTTTAATCTGGAAATGAGGCGCAGGTGGTGAGTAACCAACCAATCAATTTTAACACCTAGGATTGGAGAATGGAGGATACATACAACGCGGTGAAACTTGCACCCTTTGTAGCCTTGGGGTTGGCCCTTGGAGTTCTTAGTCTCGCCCGTACAGAATTGGCGGAAGTTCTCTGCTGTTCGGGGAGTTTTGTGGGCAAACAGCTCCATCTTCACTCGGCCAAGGGCCTCGCCTGGATGAATGATTGAGGTTAGTGATTTGTATTTCATGCATGGGTAATCGAAACACTATGAAAACAGGGTTTTAGGATTGGCTTTGACAGGCTCAGCCCTTACCTGCAAGGGCAATATCAAAGAAGACCACTGGGTTAGTGGCTTCTGATGGAGTGATTGATTCAGCCATGATCGGGTTTCTATGGAGACCGAACTGTATTGGCAGGATTGGAGGTCGAGAATAAAGTAGAAAGGCAGTAGAATGGTGGTGCACTGGAGGAGTGGTGATGATGGTGGTGGTCGAGATTGGGTCTTCTTTCCCGACGAGCATCACCACATCACATCGCCGCGCCGAACCCGCACCGCACTCCACTCCACTCTCCCTTATCGCTACGCCTTTTTTTTTCTCTCTATATTTTTTTTTTCATGATCTACATCGAATTTAATTTTATTCGATTGGCCCCTTGCAATTTACCTGAAGTTTCTTTTTTTTTTCCCCCTTCTGAACTACTTCGTATTCCTTGATTCCAGCCCCCCTCCTCCTTCTCTTCTCCTCTTCTTTCGTCCCGTGACCAACCTCCTCTTCTGCACCTCCGCATGCGTCCATCCTTCTTGCTCTTACTCCGTACTTCCATTCAGGTTAAGATGATATGAGTGCTTTGCTTGGATCCCCCGAGTGGAGAATCTAGAGCCTCTTCTCGGACTCTTAACCCGCAACACCACTCTTTCGTTGCCTTGCCTTGCCTAACCAGCTCGCATGCAGTTCGCTGCATTGACCTAAGCGTCGGTTACCCTCAGCCAACAACCAACCTCCTTTCTCCTCCTCCTTCTCCAACCCCCGCAAACCCCCTTGGGAGCACAACAAGCGACTATTCACGCATAGTGCGCTTTCTCGATCCGGCGCCTGGAGGAATGGTTACGGACACCCTCCGATCCAGACACCGTGGGATATAGCATTTGATTTGCACCCCTACGTCCCTACGATCCTATCGCCAACCCCTGCCTTGTTGATCAGGATGGCAACGCCTACCACCACTGCAGCTGCCAGTGCTGCGACTACATCTGGCAGTAGCGGAGGCGGCGGGGGCTCAGGTGCCACGAGCTCTCCGCTACTATTTTTCGTCGCGCTCGGTTTTGGCGTCGTCTTCACCAATTTATGGTATGTTGGAGCATCACTAAACTGCGCCATTACACATTCCTCGGTTAAAAATAAAAAGAAACGAGCCCTGACATAATTCACAGGATCATTGTTGGTGTTAAGTACTGTTTCCGATACAATCAGCGAAACCGCCAGCTGCGCGGCGAAGAGACAGGCGACCCAATCGATCTGGTAGCCATGCCCCGTCCTCATCGACGACGACGCGAAAAGAAACTCATGTCGATGGAGGAAGTCAATGAGCGATTCCCCTTGGTGAAATACAAGGTCTGGAGGTCATCGCGTGCCAATCAGGGCCTTCCAACTGAAGGTGGTATCACGGCTCCGAATAGTAGGCCGCCCAGTATGATTGACGAAAGTGGTATTGTTTCCGCCCCGACTGCTCCTGTGCCCTCGAACGTTGAAGCGCCGCCACTTGCGGCTGAACATGACCTGCGTGGAGAAACACATCGTGATTCTTCGCCTGCCTCACATTCTCAACCAACTTCACGACCAGTGGACGAGAAAGTTTCTCCTGCTACGGGTGTATCCATACTTCACCCCGACGATCCTGCCCTTGCGGAAGAAAAGTGGCGCCACTCTTTGGTGAACGAAGGCATCGAGGTCGAAGAAGACGAGGAAGACGGCGATAAGATTCGAAAAGCCGTTCCTTCCGAGCTGTTACCAAACCCCGGTGACTCCTGCGCCATCTGTTTGGATACCATTGAGGACGATGACGATATTCGCGGATTGACCTGTGGACACGCTTTCCATGCTTCTTGCGTCGATCCGTGGTTGACCAGTCGAAGGGCTTGCTGCCCTTTGTGCAAGGCTGACTACTATGTGCCTAAGCCTCGCGCCCAGGCGCCCGACGGGGCTGCGGGTGCAGATCGTAACGGACGTCGTACTCCCACGAGTCGCATTGATCTCCTCGCCAGACCTGTTCGAGCAGCGCGACCCGGGGGCCCGTCGAATCTATTCCGGATGCAAGTGGCGCTACCTGGTCGATTTTTCCAATCATCATCACCATCACCATCACCATCACCATCTCAATACCCACCACGAGATGACTCCCCGCGAGCAGGACCTCGCTCTGAACCAACGCAAGCCCCAGCTGACATGAACCAACCACAATCACAGTCGCGGTGGTCGCGTTTTATTCCCTCTCGTCTGCGTTCATCCCCCCGGACATCTCCAACAAATGAACAACAACCGCCTCCCAGCAATAGCTCTCCGGGCTTCATCGCTGGAGAAACTCGAACACCAGCCCAACTCGAGGCTGGCACCATATAATGAATCTTGCACTCCGATTTTCCTAGTCTCTGGACTATACGATTTTACTGATATTAAAACCTATTTGCATGCTGGATCAACATCTGGAATGTTTGGTCGAAGTCAAGCAGCTGCTTCGTTGTCCATTTCTTTATCTATTTTATGTAATTAGTCGGTCTCGATCTCGGTCCTATACGCGTTTGCAAGACATCTCAATGCCTATCTACACCTATGGCGTGATCTGGTCTCGCGAGAGCAGAGTGGCATTGCAGAATTTCCCTCCTTGCGTGTCTGATTTTTGAAGAGGTTGTCATTGTGTACTTGTTTTCTACTTGAATCCTGGGAAACATACCCCGTTTTCCCTGTCGAGGCGCATCGCAACCTATAATGATTTACCCTACATATTATATCCGGCTTTTTTTGCCAAACGAAAGGAAACATGAGTAATATCTAAACGCATATTTATGGTCTATAATATAACATCCAACGGACTTGAGATCTGTCACATCTAGTAATTTGAATGGCACTAGCCAACGCTAGTGATTCAAATCCAATAAAAAAGTAGGCTATGTAAAGGCTCGAGTTTAGCTTCCGCCACTCGATTCAAGTTGATAAGGTAGAGTAGATTCTAAGCTGTTGAAATACATGTCATGTGCAGAGAAAGCAATTAACCGAGTCCACGTACAAGATAATAAAAATACCAAACACCGAAATTTCCCGTTTGGGCCATTTGGGGACGAGACCAGATCAGATCACGACTGTGTTTTTGTAGTGCCCACTCCAGCACCAATAACACTGGGAAGTGGCTCGCTGCCCATGCTGAAAAGCATTCCGATAGCGCTACCAGCCAGAACAATAACCAAGATGGTAACGCTGGCAATCAGAAAGAATGGAGAACTGATATCCTCCTTCTGACAAGCTACGCCACCCCACTGGATCTTCTTGACAGATCCGTCGCTATTTTTCACCGTCGTTTGTCGGCATTTGCAGGCGTAGCAGTTACCCTTGGCGTCCTCGTTACCGGGTCCGAATTTCAGATAGCAGGATCCGTGGCCGGAGCAGTTGTTTGTTGCGTCTTCGCAGGAAGAGTTCGAGGCGTGGCATACGGGTGCGAGGTTTGAGTGCACGAATTCCGCGGAGGACCTTTCAGATACAAAAGCGGGTGATTGAGATCGTGCCTCCACGGAGCGCCGTTGGACGGGCGCGGATTCCTGGGTGTGGTCAATTGTTGGGAGGGCAACAACTGTGACCTCGATGTTGGATGATAGGGCTGTCTTGGCCAGATCGGCAAAGGTAGCTTCGAGAGACTTGGCGATTTGGGCAGCTTTGACTGACTTTATCTGTGATGGTGCTTGGTTTAGCTGCTATTCCATCAATCCATCTAGACTGCATGTGTTTATTTCTTACCTCGAATACCAGTCTTGAACTAGTCAATTTTGTGTTCTTGCTGACGAATGTCTCCATTGAATCCACCTGCCCGAGGATGTCATGGTCAGATAAGCCGCTCCCATGGGAGAGAACGGGGTTGTAGGCGAGGCACTCTCGAATGGACTAAAAGCCAATTTGTTAAAATGAAATTTCACATCTTCTAGTATTGGGGTGAAAGCTTTCTTACCCGAGAGTTCTGAGATGTGCCGTCGTGCTGGCTATATGTGCAATGCTTTCCATTGGCCTTGTTCATCAGAGGCTCCAGGGCATCATTAACCAGAGCTGGCGAAGCATGGGGGACAAAAATGCTATGATCTTGACTCTTGCGTAGAGTCGAAACTATGGCGGAAATCCAAGTGGTGAGCCAATGAGTCGTATTAAACGTTTAGGGTTCCCCGATCAACACATACCAACTTCCTCATCAAGTCCCTCTAGGAAAATGATGCTCCGGCCTTGGGTGTCCTGGGCCTCTGAGCCTCCAAAAAGAGAGAACTGAGAATCCGCATACTGATCAAGATTGTTCACAACATCGGGTTCCATGCTTCCCAGCTTTGAATGTAAAGGCGATCTCATGCGGAGCTCTAGGATAAGTCGAGCAACATCTTCCGAGACGGTCTGTGATCCGGTAGAATCGGCGGAAGCCTGCTGGTCCGCATGGAATGTGAAGATTGAGGACTCAAATGCATTCGTCCCCACTGCACTCGTGGCCGCCAGGGCCAGGAGTTTCGATAGCCAGTGCATGACGGGTGAAGCTCAAGGGTTCGAGGCGGATAGGGTTGGGGCGAGGGGTTGTCAAGAAGTGGCCGTGGTCGTGACAGCCATACAAGAGCCCTTATTTACCGGGCCGACAAGAGACTATCTTGAATGGGTCAGTCGAGAAGGTCGAAGACAGAACGGAGACAGCAACAACGTAGCTCCCTCGCGGGCGGGAACTTGTCCATTGCGATAACGCGTCACGTGGCCACGGCCAGCGGGCGCCCGATCGGCGTGTTCCTTAACATTCGGTCTAGGCTCTCCCTTCCATTCCATGTTAATATCGATACCCCGTGGTGCTTCTTGTGGCCGAGGATCTCTTTTGAACGGATCTTCTCAATGCTTTGGCTACGGCAGTTATTTCGAACATCAGCACGTCCCTCGCGCTTCTATACTGGGCCTCAAACGATTACCGCTCCCACAACTATTCGACATGTGAGATTTCGACGGCCCTGGCTGAGGTGAGTCTAGTACTTTCAAGTTATATCTTTGAATTATGAGGAGATGGTCTACTGGAACCCGGCCATTCTCTTAGCTTCGGACCTGCTGCTCCGGATTCCTTCCATCGCATGGCCTACTTGAAGAGGCGCCTGTGACAATGGCACCAGAGCGCAGCAGCTGCGATAGAATTTTGTCGGGCAATGAGAGGCTCATGTCTATATCGATTTTTCTCGCAAGGGTCTTTTCACTGACGGTTTATGAAATAGGTCTTTCTTCGGAAAATGTTTGTTTTACGCCGTTGCTTTCGAAAGCTGGAGCATCCTTGTTAGAGTTTACACTCACTGGGACGAGGACGACGAGACCCGTGCCGAAAATAGACGCAAAGCAATGGAAACGGTTGAATACGTGCGTCGAAAGCGGATGAAAGTTACAGCAGAGGATGCAGAGAAGGATGCAGTGAAGGAAGCAGAGATGGAAGCAGAGATGGAAGCAGAGAAGGAAGCAGAGAGGGCTGCAAAGAAGGCTGCGGAGCGGGATGCAGAGGATCATGAGCCCTTATTCATCCCCCTTTCCTGGTATCGGGACGAACAGGAGGGTGTATACTACACCGCAGCAGATCCGGAATGGCAAGAGTTCGCGAGGATATCAAGGGATGGCAAGAAAATCCAAAAGCTGAGAGGTTCGCTTTCGTTCTTTTTTCCACTGGAATCGAGATCGAGTAACTAACAAGTACCAGAGGAGCTTACGGCTCTGGTTCTCCAGGGTGCATCCGAGCAGATGTCGCCATTTCTTGGAGGTCCAGTAACAATAACCGGGCTTTGGCTGATTCCAGAGTTTCCGACTAAGCCTCCGCCGGAATATGTGCGCTCGGGGTATGCTTCGCTCCAGTTGAAACATATCATCAATGAATTCGCGCTAACTATACACAGGATGGAACTTGAATATGAGGGGGGGATATCACTTGTGAAAAAGCCTATGGATCCTGAGACGGGCGATAAACTGCAGTCATTCATGCAACCAATGCATGTCGCACTCGCAATCTGGGATGCCTATTATGTCTTATACAAGAGACAACTAGATCGCATAATGAGCCCGGACGGCCAAGCGGACGATGTACAGTTGCTGGGCGGGAGGTTTACACTATCAAGCCGCGAAAGACCGAATCCCATGGTCACCCATGGACATTCTCAACTGCAGCCGCCAGGTCGTACGGAGAGCATCCCATCCAACGCCGAGCCCGAACTCCACCCATCATTTTTCATATCTACACTGCAGCGGCTGCCCCTACCGGATCTCAGCCCTGGATCTGATCTGCATCTGGCATCTCTAGCCTTCAAGTTAAGGCTCCATGTACATAAGTCTGAAACACCCCCAACCCCGCACCGAGGTTCTTTCTTCTTTAATGGTCCGGTGGGCGTGAGGGGACCGAATGGATCTTGCAGGTTTGAAGTGCGGGGCGAGTATGACCCTGCGAAGCCTGGATGGCGAAATGTGGATATGAAACTCAGAGACATGAGTTATAACCAACAACGGCCGCACATGTGAGATAGGATGACGATGACCCTCTACCTGTAGAGGCCCGCATTTTCCGACCCCGATCCCATTCGACCATATGGCAAAGGACGTGCAGGATTTGAAAATAGCCAACAACACCTCTTATACCCATTTCAAGCATGATTTACATTGAATTAAAAAAGCCTCAATATGATTGTAAATTTACTTTACGCTCAAGTATCCTGGTAATAACCACTATCTCGGAGCGAGACGACCCGTGAAATTAACGTAGACGAATATGAAGCCGAGGCCGAAAGTTTCGAAACCGAGAAAAATGTAGTGTATGGGATCTATCTTCGAAGCCGATTATAAGGATCTGTAGGTATAGTTCGATGGTACAAGATATCCCCCCACTGGCGGGGTAAATCGATAGTATGACGCCAGATCCACGACCGCCTCAAGACCATCCCTTTCACTAAACTTCCTTCAGCATCCCATCACCACCACTACAATCACCATCACCATGTCTGTTCCTCCTAAATTTGCCGGTATCAAGCTCTCAGGAGCTAAAAGCGAAGAGACACAGCATACTCTTGAATTGTGTATGTATGATCATATTCTCTCAGTGGAGAGGCAAATATGCTGACAGGCCTATCAAGACCTTGACTATGTGTGCCCGGTTGGTCTAACTAATCCTTACATTCCTTCAACCCCATACATCATCTAAAACCGTTTATCATGGTTATCAGTTCTCGGCCAAAATGTTCAATACATTCTATTCCCTGAGTCCCGAGATCACACAGCGATACAACTCCCGACTCCAGGTAATCTTCCGCCAGCACATCCAGCCCTGGCACCCATCCTCCACACTCACTCATGAAGCCGGGGCCGCCGTTCTCCGTCTAGCACCGGAGAAATTCTGGGCTTTTAGTGCCGCACTTTTCAAAGTCCAGGGTGAATTCTTCGACGTGAGTGTGGTGAATGAAACCCGCAACCAGACATACGAGCGTCTGGCGCGGGTTGCCGGCTCCGTTGGCGTAGATGAGGCGAAGGTGTTGAATCTATTGAAGATTCCTGATACTCCCGGTCCAGATGGAGCGCTGAATGCGGGTAATCAGGTCACGAATGATATCAAGTGGATTGTCAAGGTTTGTTGTTTTTTCCCCGGCCCCTTCCTATCAATATTGGAAAGGTCTCCGAGCGCCTCTGACCTGATATCAATGCAAATCTAGACGGGCCGAGTGATTGGGGTGCACGTGTCGCCAACTGTATTCTTCAATGTGAGGCAACACCTCTGACTTTCTCTCTCGAACGGTACCAGATCAAATCACTGACATCACTCAGGGGGTGGAGGAGCGTGGAATCAGCAGTGGTTTCAGCACAGCCCAGTGGGAGGAATGGCTGGCAAAGAACGTGGTCTGATGTGATGGCCAGAAACATTCACAGGCGCGCACATGTGGCTACCTAGGTCTTGGAAGCAGGCAGGCGGAACGGAACGAAAACCCCCCCATTCCTGTTCCAACGCATTAGAGGTCAGGTCCAGAGGTGCGTTGCCGCTGCTGCTGCCAGTTCATGTTCATAGAAAATTGAAGAAGGAAAATGTGAATCATATCTCATTCCGGAACTTCCATTACGAAGCTGCCGTGGGCCCTAGTGAACATAACAAGCTATGCATGTTCATGCGATCATAAGAAGAAAAGGAGAATAAAAAGGGAAACAAAGTGGGGAAGAGAAAGACCACAGTCTAGCCGAGCATTTGAGGGAGATTGAGAGCGGGATGGTAGGAGGGGGAGTAAGGTAGATTTCCAACTGCAACTGCATCAATTCGTGTTCGTGAAGGGAGCTTATTGGGCTAGTGGGGGCTGGTAGTTGAGAGGACGCCTGAATGATACAGAATCGAAGGTTAGCTAGAACAATCTGGCGATACAGGTGGAGGGTGACAGACTTGAATAGCAAAATATGAGGCTCCGGCTCATGCACTTCGTAATGCTCCCAACCCAGACTCTAGAGGAAGAAGAAGTGTGTCAGTGAGGTCTGCAGATAAAGTGCAGAGATATATTTCCATTTCCACCTATTGGAACGCACCTGTGTGATCCCCAACGCTCGCCATTCTTCCTCCCAGAGCAACTTCAACGTTCCCTTCGCACTGTCGAAATAGTCTTGGGGGATCTTCTTGAGCATGTTTTTGGGCAGCTGCACGTGGCGATACTCATATTTGTCATCGGAGTACCTGATACCGAGTCAGTCAAAACTCAAGACTGTCGGACCTCCGAGCCATCAATTTATTTCAAGTTTAATTCCACATATCATACCTGGCCGAATAGTGGATGGAGTCAATGAATTCGTCAAGACGCTCGCGCTCCGTCTCGAGCAGGAGACGGGGTTTCTTGTTTCGTCGGACGGGATCGATGTCCATTGTGAAGGGTGAAGGTCTAGGGAGAGGAGAAATCCGTAGCTGCACGTGGCGGAGGTCAGTCGGGGGTCCGGGAGAAACAATTTGGAGGATGGGGGGAGCATACAAGATTAGGGGCCGGAATTGGTTGAGAGATGTATCTCACGGAGTCCTTGGAGTGGAGACCAAGATGAAAAAGAGAGGGAGAGGGGAAAAGAGAAAGATGGGGTCGCGTTTTGCCAGAGCGGGTTTGTTTTCGGGACGAAAATGGAAATGGAGAAATGGAGGGGTCGGTCACTGTAATTTTGGTGCCTCAGGCCGACAAGGGTGTATATCAGTACTAGCACTTAGTACTAATGGTGAAATCTATCTCGCTCGGAATTGACTTGAAATTGTTGAGAAGCTCTGGTAGTATCTATCTAAGTACATTGTATAAATGATTCGGTAATCAGGGACTTCAAGTTCTAGACATTTGCCCACTTCAAGTTTCAAGTTGTCTACGGGTGTTAGTGTACTCAAAGTACCTGGGCACCTGGCATATATGTCACCTGGCTCAATCCGGCATACCTACTAGTACCTAGTACTATATTACTACTAGTAGTACTACTAAGCTGCCTTGAAGCAATATTAATTACAATTGATAATATCTAGGGATAGCATCGAACTCCATTTATATACCAGCTACTATACTACAACTTGGACTATTTCATAGAATGCAAAAGTAGGCTTACCCAAGGCGGCGAGGCGGGTGGACCCTCCGGGGCAGATCGCCGCGCGCGCGTCGGCTGCACCCCTCGAGGTATGAATCCCTCGCCCAAGACCACTTTTCCCTTATCCAGACACTTGCGCTTTGAGTGCACGACCTTAAAATGAGTTCCAAACGGCGCTCCGCAGCTGCTGCTTCCCCAGAGCTCCGCAGGCAAAAGCGGCGCAAAGTTTCTGTAAGTCATCGCGCGCGCTCCCCCACTGTTTAGATGAGTGCTTGTCCCTCCGATCCGCGTCTGGATGCCCACTGCTGCCGACAATCTTGCATTGATCTTCGTCCAAGCAGGGATGCTGGGCTCCGCTTATGCGAATCTGCCTTGCGACGAAGCTGTGCGACGAGCTCCGACCGCCACGAGCCAAAGCCCGCACCCCCCTTCATCTCCATCTCCACCTCCACTTCCTTCCTTCGCTCGCGAATTGTGTCGCATGGGTGAATTGAATTGTGTCACTAACATTCGAACTTCGGGATAGGATGATGATTTAGCGGACCAGGAAGACACTCAACTGGCGGACGAAGTTAACTCGGATCCTGAGGAGGAGGAAGAAGAAGAAGAGGAAGGAGAGGAGGAGGAGGAGGAAGAGGAAGAGGAAGAGGAATCCGAGGCGAACTTTGAAGGCGACACTCTTCAATCGGCACAGGATAGAATCATCTCTGAACTGTCTAGGTTGAAGGATTCCGAGTAAGCATTTTTGTTTCTCATGGAACGTGGACGATAACGCGAAGCTAACCTTGCCTTCTCCGCAGTGGTGAAGAAGTCGCATACCCGTTTGTCGGAAAGCCCGACCGAAATCTATACCGCGACTACTACGAGGTTATTCACCATCCTGTATCAATAAGAAGTATTCAGCAGAAGGTGCGCGGCACTGAAAGCCGCAAGAATCCCTCCAAGACGACCGCATTCCTGACCTGGCAATCATTTGAGGAAGAAGTCAGCTATCTTTGGCGAAATGCGAGGGAGTATAATGAAGACGATAGCGACATTGTTGTGCTTGCGGGAATTTTGGAGGTGAGCATTTCCTACCTCATGTGCATCATGTAAAACTGCAGAGTGTAGAGTCTGGGCTTTGTGTTAACGACAATCTAGGCGTACTTCCGTCGGCGAGTAGCTGAAGCAAAGAAGCTAGTGCCGGAACTCATTCAGGTAGATGGTGCCCCCGAGATGCCTCGAATTCGATTGAAGATGGGTGCAAGGGATTCGGAGCCCCCAGCGCAAAGGTTAACATTGAAGATGTCTGGACAGACCTCAGAGACACCTTCTAAGGATGCTCCGTCATCTGGCGTTGCTGTTGATAACGACGCTCTAAAACGACAACAAGAGCTCGTGAGAACCGGATCAGCCAGTCAAAGTCAAGATGCCGATGCGCCACGTTCTCCTCGAACAAGATCTCTTCGACGACAAATTGGCAGCCCCCGATCGAATGTCACCACCACTCCCTCTGCTTCTGAGCAACCGCACGGGATGCCTGTGAATGGGCGAGATGCTACACATGTCAAAGATGAGACGCCAATGGCATCGTCTCACAATCCCGAGAGACGCTCTTCTCATGCCCTCCAGGGTGTCCCCCTCGAGTCTCCCGGCGGAGTCGCTCCGTATGATGGTATAGCACTACCCTCAACCCTACCCGTGTGCTTTTACTGACCCCAGGATATCTAGCCCCAGCTCCTCCACAACCACCCCCTGAATCATCGTCACCTCTTGACTCAATATGGAGGCGCCCAGGTCAAGGTGAGTGCCGGGCTTCCGATTCCGATTCCGATTCGGGAAACCAGGCGAGCGATGTAGTCACTGACAACGATATAGATGCAAGCTCTGCTTTAATTCAGAATGTGCAAATTTCGACCCACTCATCACTTGCTCTTCAACAAGGTTTATGCCTGGACATCCCGCCATCGTCTACTATCCGTCAACAGGAAATCACAATCAGTCTTCCTCCGTCGCATCGCATCCTGACGCTCAAGCCTACCTTGGTAGCTAGTACGGCGGAGAGACAAACGAAATTGGTTGCTGGTATGGGCACGCATCGACTTCACCCATCTGGGGATTCGACTACGCTGGCGTATGACATCCAACTCCACCCGGGTACTACGAAGGTTGATTTAGAAGCGATTGCCGGGCCGCCAAGAGGGGCACCGAAATCCGGCCCCCCGGGCTCAGAAGTGGACTATGAGCGGGTCACTATTTTTTTCAATCTGTTGCGATGAGAGGTCTGTTGTATAACATTTGAATAACTGTATTCTTTGCATCGTGCATATTTTTTTTATTTTTAGTTCTATGGAGGAGGAGATGATAGAGGACTGCCGGTGTTTGAAGTATCATGTTGTTCTGCCACCCCTATTCTTTTTTTTTTTTCTCTCAAGTTTTCCATCCTTTTTGCCTCTTTTCTTCTCTATCCGAGTTATTGTATTGGTTCCATATTATAATATTAAACCAATCAAATTTTTCAAACCCGGAGATTCCCGTTAAGCCTTGATATAAGATTTTTCCAACCTAAAAAGGTAAGTCTCCCTCGTTTCCGCCTCCCCCATAACACGTGATCTACCGCTCCCGAGAAATTTCTGCCCTGCCGATGTGTGGCACTGCTTTTATTAAAAAATTCGACCCCTCCCCTTCCCTTCCCTCTCCATCCTTTCCCACTCTTTCATCCCTACCACATATCTTCAAAATGGCCGACTCTGAGGTGTACGACGGTGCGATCGGTATCGATCTCGGTATGCACTTTCCCAATTCTGTTTATCGAAATTCGCCCGCTAATCAATTTTTTTTCTTTTGTGCGCAGGTACCACCTACTCTTGCGTTGCCAACTATGAGGGCACCAACGTTGAGATCAGTGCGTTCTCACGATAAATCACCAATTCGCTCCAATTCAATGCTAACATTCACCCAGTCGCCAACGACCAGGGTTCTTACACCACCCCTTCTTTCGTCTCTTTCACCGAGAAGGAGCGTCTGATCGGTGAGGCCGCCAAGAACGCTGCCGCCATGAACCCCGCCAACACCGTCTTCGACATCAAGTGAGTATATCAAGATCCATTGATATTCTTTTTTTTGCGAGGATCCACTTGGGCACCCTCGAAAAAAGAGATTTTTTTTTTTCAAAAGGCCCAAAAATTCTGACCGATGGATTTTCACAGGCGTCTGATTGGTCGCCGTTTCGACGACCCCATTGTCAAGAAGGATGTTGAGTCCTGGCCCTTCAAGGTCGTCGCCCAGGGTGACCAGCCCGCCGTCCAGGTTTCTTACCTCGGTGAGGACAAGACCTTCACTCCCCAGGAGATCTCCTCCATGGTCCTCGTGAAGGTAAGTTATTACTGAGAAAAAGAGAGAAAAAAACTCGAATGAGGTTGCAATATACTAACCAATAAAACAGATGAAGGAGGTTGCCGAGACCAAGCTCGGCAAGAAGGTCGAGAAGGCCGTCATCACCGTTCCCGCCTACTTCAACGACAACCAGCGTCAGGCTACCAAGGACGCCGGTGCCATTGCTGGCCTGAACGTTCTGCGTATCATCAACGAGCCCACTGCTGCCGCTATTGCTTACGGTCTGGGTGCTGGCAAGTCTGACAAGGAGCGCAACGTCCTCATCTACGATCTGGGTGGTGGTACTTTCGATGTTTCCCTGCTGAACATCCAGGGTGGTGTCTTCACTGTCAAGGCCACCGCTGGTGACACTCACCTTGGTGGTCAGGATTTCGACACCAACCTCCTTGACCACTTCAAGAAGGAGTTCCAGAAGAAGACCAAGAAGGATCTGTCCGGCGATGCCCGTGCCCTCCGCCGTCTCCGCACTGCTTGCGAGCGTGCCAAGCGTACTCTCTCCAACGCTACCCAGACCACTGTCGAGATTGACTCCCTCTTCGACGGTGAGGACTTCAACTCCGCCATCACCCGTGCCCGTTTCGAGGACCTGAACGCCAAGGCCTTCTCCGGCACCCTGGACCCCGTCCAGCAGGTCCTGAAGGACTCTGGTATGGACAAGTCCAAGGTCGATGAGATCGTCCTGGTTGGTGGTTCCACCCGTATTCCCCGTATCCAGAAGCTCCTGTCCGACTTCTTCGATGGCAAGAAGCTCGAGAAGAGCATCAACCCCGATGAGGCCGTTGCCTACGGTGCCGCCGTCCAGGCCGGTATCCTCTCCGGAAAGGCTACCTCCGCCGAGACCGCTGACCTCCTCCTTCTGGATGTCGTTCCCCTGTCCCTGGGTGTCGCCATGGAGGGTAACATCTTCGCCCCCGTTGTCACCCGTGGCCAGACCGTCCCCACCATCAAGAAGCGTACCTTCACCACCGTTGTTGACAACCAGAGCACCGTCCAGTTCCCCGTCTACCAGGGTGAGCGTACCAACTGTGCCGACAACACCTCCCTGGGAGAGTTCACCCTTGCTCCCCTCCCCCCCCATGCGCGCCGGCGAGGCTGCTCTTGAGTGTGTTTTCGAGGTCGATGTCAACGGTATCCTCAAGGTTACCGCCACTGAGAAGACCTCCGGCCGCACCGCCAACATCACCATCTCCAACGCTGTCGGCAAGCTCTCCAGCTCCGAGATCGACCAGATGGTTGAGGACGCCGCCAAGTTCAAGACCAGCGACGAGGCTTTCACCAAGAAGTTCGAGTCCCGCCAGCAGCTCGAGTCCTACATCTCCCGTGTCGAGGAGATGATCTCCGAGCCCACCCTGGCCATGAAGCTGAAGCGTGGCAACAAGGAGCGCATCGAGTCCGCTCTCTCTGACGCCATGGCCCAGCTTGAGGTTGAGGACTCCACCCCGAGGACCTCAAGAAGAAGGAGCTCGCCCTTAAGCGTCTCATGACCAAGGCTATGGCTACCCGCTAAGCGAAGCGATAGCGATGAACATAGGATCGGCCAACATATGAACCCCTTCCTCGGATAATGGAAGGTCTGCCGCAGCCTTATAGATCTTGGGGCAGCGTTGGCCCTTGCTTTTTGTGTTTGAAGCCGGGCACACTTGGGCGCAGTATTTTCTCTTTTTTTACCCGTCACCCCTTTCCATTTTGTCTTTAAAAAGTACGGTTCCTGTAGACGAAGATTTAACGTTGCAAATTTAATGTGTAACGACCTTTTCTCTGCGTGTCATTGGTGCTGGTGGTATTCGTGTAGGAGTATTTGTAACAAATAGTCGTACTCTATAGGTGTACCCTGCAGGTATATTTTACAGCCAAGTTGATGCTTAATGCCTAGAGTGAGTTTGATTCAATTGCCCAAGTTGATGCTTTGGCCTTCGCAGCTGCAGCTGCAGCTCTCCGCTTTCCCCAACTTTTTTTGCCCTCGGGGCCGATATCGAGATCCTCACATCCTCATTTTACTTACTCTACCTTCAATTACCACAGACAATTCTCGCTCACGATGCTACGTATTGCAACTCGCCTACCGAGTAGGCTTACCACTCAATGTCGCCCTACATCCAGGGTTTGGCAACCAGCTCTTCTATCGACTCCGGTCTCGCCGCTGTCGCATCAACGTACCTTCGCCAATTCGCCCACCCTATACAAAAAGAAAGACAAGGGCAGCAAGAAAGCATCAGGCTCCGACTCCTCCCCCCAAGCAAGCCCCGCGACGGGTTCCTCCGAAGGCCCAGACCCCTTCGATCTCTCCCACCTCGAAACCGGCATATCGACCGCCGTTTCGCGATTGAAGGATGACCTCTCCAAGCTTCGCGCCGGAGGCCGATTCAACACCGCCACCCTGGAAGGACTAAAGGTCCAGCTGAGCAAGGATATTGCCGACTCGTTCAAGCTGGGCGATTTGGCACAGGTTGTGCCCAAGGGTGGGCGGATGGTTACCATCTTGGCCGCTGAGGAGGAGGTGAGTTTAACACTGAGAATCGTTAAGGCCGAAATGCCTTGCTAATATGGCTATTGTTTCTTAGCACATTAAACCCATAACTTCATCAATCGTCTCCTCAAATCTATCTCTGACCCCGCAGCCAGACCCCCACAATCCCCTCCAACTCAACATCCCCATTCCACCCCCGACCAAAGAGTCCCGAGACCAAAGCGTGACGGTCGCCAAAGCGGCTTTTGAAAAGGCGGCTACTAGCGTCCGTGAGGCGCGAGGCTCTATGCACAAACGACTGCAGGATATGCAGAAGAAGAAGACGGCGAGACCGGATGATGTACGCAATGCCCAGGTCCAGATGGAGAAGGTTACGGAGAAGGGTCATAAGGAGGTTAAAGATTTGTTTGATGGGGCTCGGAAGATGCTGGAGACAGCATAAGTGAGGAGATTGAAGGAGATTGAGGATATTTTTGGGCTGTGACGTGATAGTAGTAACACTTTACCAAATGTAAATTTAGATACAAGAGAGCCAGCCCTGTGCAAGGGCCAGAAAACATGCCCAGGTCAGGGATAAAAAGAACAGCAATGAAAAAGAAAAAGGAAGTAAAAACCCCATGTATAATACAGAAATCCACACGCTGCAAATGAGATGATCAAGCGCGCTTCACACGACTGGAGCGGGAGGAGAGTAGAGACTCAACCTTGGCCATAAACTGAGGCCTCTTACCCGCTGTCTCATAAGTACCATTGTTTCGGAGATTCCGCACCACATCACCCAGAGCAGCGGGCTCGTCCTTGCCAGCCGCTTCAAGGACAGGGTATTTGCCCAGGGCATATTTATCCATCAAAGTCTTTGTACCCTCAGCGTTGAGAGCATTGAACTTAACCTCCTTCGGCTCAACAAGCTCGCCCTTCCGTTGCGAGATCTTATCAGCACGCAGCTGAGAAAGACGCTTAACTTCCTCCAGCGTCTGAATACGCTCAGCCTCACTCTCAAACAGGACGTTCTCGCCCTTCCACATCCGCCGGGCCAATTCATAGGGAGGAATATATCCGTTCGCAAAACGACCACCAAGGCTGGCGACCTTCTCGAGGACGGCAGCGGAGCGGGAGTTTGCGTCCGAGGGAAGCGAAGGCCAAGTAGCCTTCAATGTAGAGAAATCAATATCACGCGGCTCGTAGCGAACAGGCACTGGTCGCTCCTTGAGCGCCTGTTCTTGCTCGATTTTCTCAATGGCGGCTTCCTCGGCGGCTTCCTGGGCCTCGTCGCCATCGTCCCTTTTGGCGTCGCGGGGTCGGCGCTCACGACCACCCTTACCCTTGGCCTTGGCTAAGGGCTTCTTGTTGAAGGGCTTGCGGCCCTGGAATTGGCCTTGGCCCTGGTTACCCTGGCCACCGGGTCGGACGTTGCGGGCTCGCGGGCTGCGGATGATGCGAGGTTGGTCTGATCCAGCGGCGGGAGCGGCGAATGATCGAGCATCAATTGCTTTCAAGTTTGCAGGGCGTCGGTTTGGGGCACCGGGTGGGCCACGCGACTGTGGAGGTCTGCGCTGAGCGGTTGGGGCATTCTGGCGGCGTTCGGGTTTGGCTGGTGCTGTAGGAAATGAACATATCGTTAGTTAACTTGGAAATTGAGGTCTTATGCAGCGGCATTGGGGTATGGTATGGTATCGTGCGGAGGATGAGGTATGGGGATCGAATTGAACCTACCAGACGGCTTGCTCTCGCCTTCTCTTGCGGCGCAGGAGACGGAAAAGGGACGCACGGATGCGGAGAGACCGGTTCGTACTGCCTCGGTGTGACGGGCGAGCTGCCTGAGCTGAGGCCGCATCATTTTGTGGTGTAAGGAGATGGTGGAAACCCAATTGGCCGGGAACAACTTCAACTTTTGGAAAGAACTCAGTTGCACCTTTTCACCGCCCTGGACGCCGCCTTTCTCTCTGTGAACTTTGTGGATTGACTCAATGTTTCGGAGGTCGCTTTTTTGAATTATCTAAGAGCATGCGTTGGTATGATGGTTTTATACAAGGGGCTATCCCATAACCTTTTATCTGTCAAAAAGAGAGATGATCGGGGTTTAGATTTGGTGTTCCCTATACCTAGTCAAGACACGGCGGGATGAGAACACAAACCTTGAAAGGACATGTTTATATATGCCAACGGTTCTATCATAGTCGGGGATGATAAACTCAACTTGAATATAAAGAAAATGAAAAACTTCGAGTCGACATCAAATGATTCACACTTCACAAAGCACCATTGAAAGCAGCGAGGCAAGGTAGTAAACTAGGTATCTTACATGCAATGTTTATTTCTCCGGCAGAAAATCGCCGCAGTGCGGGCTGCCACCGCTCAACATGCACTGCAACCTTGCGAATTATTTTGTTTCTTTTCTAAATCTTGGTAAAGAAAACTATTAAAATAACTCGAGCCCAACAACATAATGCTCCGCCGCAAACCCACCGCGATAACAGTCACAATTGAAGATATCGCCGCATTCGAAGAGTCCCGACTCCGCAAACAAGAGGAACAAAGCCGACAGGCCCATCCCGAGCAAGGCAAAAGCGGCGCCAACGCCAACACAGGCTTCGATCCTAGCGATGAGTTGAAGCCGCTTCCTGGCGATAAAGCGAGGATAGTCCGATCGCGCGAGGAACGGATTGGTCTTGGAAGACAGGCGTAGTGGCCCAGGTGAAACACCATGGCGTTGCGCTAGGTTAGAGGCCTCGCATCGCATCGCATCAATCCAATCCATCCGTCACCGACAAACAAACTCTTCTCACTCGGCTCGGTCGCGAGTCTGTTTGGTTTCTTGCCCTATCTCCTTCGGCAAAATATCGGAGAATAATATACGACCAACAACACCTTTCAGCCATATAATCTGGGATTTGGACTTTATGATGATTGGGATTCTTGCACTGTTTCTATTGGCTATAATATCCTGAGTTCATGGCTGTGCTGATGAACACATCTCATCACATTACACCCGGCTGCTCTCGCTCATTCGACTGGCCCAGCTGTACCTGCAATGCAAGGGTTATTTACGCCTATAAACGAGTCTACATACGAATTGGAATTGGAAGCGGTGGAGTTTTGTTTTATATGAACCAAAAAGGATCCAAACCCCATTCCTAAATAAAGAAGATGAGGTAAGGATTTGGTTGGAAGCATAATTTGTCTTGTCATGATATACAGGGTGGATTTATTTCAAATCCAATTTTCTTTTCGTTTCAGCCAACCGACATCAGCGAATGATTCGTAGACGGCTTGGCCACATCGCATTTTGTACACGATTCGTAGACGTAGTTCATGGGAACTGGGGTAGGGGAGTAGCATGGATATGGACACCAGACCAGAAAATGAAGATGATATACATGAACAAAAAGAAGGGAAATTTGGAGATAGACGTGGATATAGCGAAGCTATCGGATGCAAAATCGTTGGCGCGGAGAGAATCCTGTATGTAGTCTGCTGTCTCATCCCCGTTATCTTTGTCGTTTAGCTACATTATTGTCGACATTCATATCGACAGAATAGTTCCATCGTCTCTTCAACCCCTGGGGATCGAATACGCTGGCCACACTTTGTTGCCAGTCCCTGGCGCTAAACACGACAGGCGGGGCCTGGAATTGCGGGGGAGAGACCGAGACGGACTGGGTTGATGGGACGGTTCTGGAAGGCGACTCGTACTGCATGGGATATTGTTGATGTTGATGTTGATGTTGGTGTTGATGTTGGTTCACCATGTTTCCGATTGGTTGTGGTTGTGGGGTGTTCATTGGCATTGGGGGCGAGTTCGCGCTGACGGTTGATGGGTTGACGGAGAATGCCATGTCCCATTGACTATAATTTTCGAAGATGTTAGCGTTCGGATTCAACAGTATGGACAACCAACCACGCAGATAGACATGGGGTGTCACTAAGTGAGAGGGCCGAGCCGGGGCTAATTACTTGATAATGCGCGTAGGGTCCCAGCTATTTTCATCTACGAGGGGCGTGTCAAGGGGGTGCGTTGTGGGCGGTTGATGAGGAACCATTCCTAAGGACTGCAACTGAGAGGAAGTGTCGGACTTGGAGTCTTCAGCACCAGCGGAAATCGGAGGGGTGATTGGATGTGCGTTGAGACCCACTCTGGATTGGACATTGAGATGCGGATGATAGTGCGCGTCCATGGGAGGACTGGGCTGATATGGCTCCGATGGGCTCCCGTATGGAAAACTGGGCTTCAATTCAAATGGTCGATGGGTGTCGGCGGAAAAAGCGAGCCTTAGTGAGTCGATTTGCGCCTGGATCTCCGGCATAGGCCAAGCGGTCGAACAGCGTTCTAGGATGCGCATGTGGCGGGTGAAGAACTCTCGCGCATCGGAGTTGAATTCGGGATCTGGGGACGTGATGGCAATCTATTCTGGGTTAGGAAGAGTTGCTTGTGTTGGGGTCAAGGTATGGGTTCAGGTTCTCAAAAGACTCACCAAGTGTAACATGGTGCAAGTGAGAATACAGTAGATGGCAAAGTTGATTCCACGCTGCATATAAAGAAGGCCTTGGAGGCCAAATCGTTCAAGAATAGCTTCCTGCAGTCGACAGATACTCTTTGCCGAGGAATAACACAAGGAGAAATGTAGTTTCCAGTCACCCCCAGCCGCAAAGGACTGGGAGGCCACGAGTTGCGGGCGATGCAACAAAATAATGGCCAAGTGACAATGAGAATGCATATTACCCACAAAGTGAGACGGAATCCACGGCGGAGAGCCATCGGTTGGGTAATTGACCTGAAGATCGGGTGGTAAGCTGCGTAGCCAATCTGCAAATAGCGGATTCTTCTGCACAAACTGGGGGCTGGCGCCCCAGTCTTTCTGCTTTTTGATTTTGTGATATATGTCTGTGATGATTCGAATATGGCGAGCATTGCGAACAAAATATGCATATTGCCTGGAACGATCCGATTCATATGCATCGAGGCCTCTGATGTCCAGAGTGGGACGCATGTCCACGGTTTCGATATCAACGCCGTAGTCCGAGCGGCCTGAGATAAGTCAGCAACTGGGCTGAGTAAAGCGAATCATACAAAGATAGAAAATGAAAACTTACCTTGAGGAGCGCCGATCATGATCTCGACTACCAAAATAGCCTGCCAAACTCGAGTATGGACCAAACATTCAATCGGACTCAGGTCGCAGGGTCTTCCTTCGGCGTGAGTGCTGTAATGTTCATGTATGTCTAAATCTTTGGCCATCGATACGATTGTTTTGACCGTTTGCCAGGAACGGTAGTAATAGCCCTTCTTGGGCAACGACTCCCGTGCTTTCAGTAAGAGGAGTAGTGCTTGGATCGTGCTTAAACGCGGAACATCCATGAAGCTGGTTTCATGCCCTGGAGAAGAGAAATTAGCCAAAGGTCGAGGTAGATCATGGTAGGCTAGGGTAATGAACTTACTATTTGCCAGAGCAAGCCATTGGGCACCTTCCGCGGGCTCATCGGATAGTCGTCCTGCACATGCGAACAAAGCTTCCAGCAGGAGAGGAGAGATCGAGCGGCGATCATTCTGCCATTGATAATACAGATGTGCACGTGGTATGACAGGCAGGTACGGATGGATCTCATCGAAATAAATTTTGAAGTAATTCATCACGTCGTCGTCGTCGGGCATAAGTTCGGGTGGGATTCGGATCATCGCGCCGGCGCCTGTGCTGAGAGGCGGGAGTTTTTCTTCCACGTCTTCTTGAACCGGTACATCGGGCTCGGCGCGATCTGTTCTTTGTCTCCTAATATATGGAGCTGTGATTGATTAGTAACCTTGTAGCCACATTGGAATATAAGGAGAACAAAAGCCATACCGATTCCGGTCTCATCAATCTTCAATTCTCCAAGAACATCACTGAGATTCTCGGCCGTGGATGGCTCGCTCTCAGCATACACTCCCCGATCCGCAGTGCCAAGTGAAGGGTGCTGCGCGCCCGGATACATTTGGGGCTGAGGTTGTTGTTGATAGGATTGGTGTGACATGACCATTGGAGAAGAGCGCATGTCATTATACATCGCGGGCTGATTTGGTGGCGCTTGAACAAATTGCGAGTACATGCCCATTGAGTCATAAGAAGTTAAGGGCGCCATCGTAGGCTGGTTGCCATCTCTATACGTTGGAGGTACCGGGAACGAGTGATGAGAAGCTTCGGAGGCACTGGAAGGGCCTCCCATATGGACGGACTCTCCACCTGGCCCGTCAAGAAATTCGCCGTCCTGCCCGATAGTGGGAGGAACACAGACGAGTTTCAGACGCGTGCATGCCGAGCAAGGCCATGTATTAGTGGTAGCTGCATCACACTTGATTTTTCGCTTTCGGCAGCCATTGCATGCCCGCATCACTATCAATGGTTAGCATCTAAGTTGGACGATTGTAACATGGAACTGATAGAAGCGGGATTACACACCCTTCAGTCTCTTGTGTCGATTGTGTTCATCGACAAACACATAGTCTAAAACGCCCAAAGATCAGCATTCGTTTCATATCGGGCTGCGGTGGGGACTAATATCCGGGATAATCTACTTTTTTGGCCTTCTCGAGGAGGCCCCCCCCAGGAGGAGCGAATGAGTAACCTTGCATTGCTCCAAAATTCTCTGAAAAGGGGGGAGAGGGGGGGTGCAGGGAAGGTCGAATTATAAGTATAAGTTGATGGGTCACGATATTCAAAATAACCCGCGACCTGAGGAAAATCGGAACTTGCAAGGGCCTGCCTTGGGAAACCGAAGATGGTAGAGAGAGAGGAATAGTGGTATGAAAGGAACAGAGATTGAAGCTTGAAGAAGATTCGTGAATATCACCGAACGAACTCCAGGCCACGTCGCGGGCGGTAGCTGGCGGAAAACAGGGGATGCCTCGGGATGTCTCGAGAGGAAGAGGGCGCGAGGATCGTCCGTGCGAATCTAATAGCAGGGGTTTAATGATACTGGGCGGGAAGTGAGATCAGACAATGCCGGCGCTATGGGCCGGCGCAGGTCGCGAGTTCGGGGTTATCGCACCAGCCTCCGCACGGCGAGTTTGATCACGTTCGGGATAGAGAGATTGGGCGGATCTGTAAGCGTGAACCATGCACGCGCGCACGCAATTGCCAGTTGATATGGAGTCGGGTTGAGCAGGAAAGGTTGTGTGGGATCAAGTGGAGAGACAAGACTCTTGTGCAGACTGCGCGCACCGGTTAGCGAGTCGTGCGATCTGAAGCATCGAAGGATTTCCGAAATACCGAGGAAACGTACTTAGATCAGAACAGAACAGTCAGTCGGATATTCAAAACGGCGAGACCGGCAATAGAAACAAGGAGCATCATGAAAGGTGCGCAATGCGAAAAAAAAGGTGGAGACAGGGGAATTTACTAGGATTAGGGAGGAGAAAGAGGAGGGGGATCTGAAAATGGCGGAGGAGTCGAAGCTGAGAGGGAGAGGGGTGCACCTTTTGCCAAGAAGGTTGGACATTCATGGACATCCAATAGCGCCGACTCCTCCACTGTGAAGTGGAGAACGGGGGCGATCAAAGATTGCCTCGTGTTCCGTAATAATAGCCCTACCTTTACCCGGAGTAAGGTGTGAGAAGTGGGCTAAGGGGGGTTTAATCTACGGATCCCGAACTCCACGAGGGTTAAACACATGGCCAATTATTGACTAAATCCGGCCCGTGGAAGAGGTTAAGTG